GCAATCCTGAATCCTGAAAGTGGTCAAGAAACTAACCTAACAATTAATTAAAAGATAGTCAAAAGGCACGCGAGAAAATGACGTATTTGTCGAATGAAAGATAAATTCCTAAAAGTGTATCAGGTTCTAACGTAACAAACCAATAACAGACAATATTAAAAGTGCGCAAAAGGTGAACGCAACTAGTGAAGGAGAGAGAATCCTTCAAGTGCACAAGATACGAACGTAACAATCGAATGAAGCAAGAGTCCTTAAACAGCCCAAAATACTTAGTTAAATGTAACAATCCAATGATACTGAAGGAATTCTAAAAAGGGTGCGAGGTACTTGCATTATAAGCCAACGTGAGATAGTCCTGAAAGTGTCCAAGACACCAGTGTAGCGATGGATTGGAAAAGAAGTCTTAAAGTGCACGAGATACTAGGGTAGCAATCGAAGGAAAGAGACTTAAAAGTTCTTTAGATACCAAATCAAAATTGTTAAAAAAAGGCTTAGTGTGTGAGATACAAAAGTATAGCAATCCAATCTAAAAACACTCTAAAACTGCGCAATACAATTGCGTAACTTTGAAATGAAGGAGAAGCAGAAAAATGTGCGAGATTCTACCGTAACTATCTCAATAAGAAAATCCTTAAGATTCCCAAGATACCAACGTAAATATCGATTGAAAAAGAAGCCTGAAGTTGCGCAAGATACTAACGTAACAATCCACTGAAAGATAATCCTAAAAGTGGTGAGATCTAACGTAATAATCCAATAAAACAGAATCCTAAAAGTGCATAAGATACTCACGTAACCTTTGAATGAGGGAGTATCTTGAAAGTGTGCAAAACACAAAACTAACAATCAATTCATGTTTTCATATTAAGAATAGAAAAACTTTATATTGATTTTAACTCATAGAAATATATCTTCCTTATAATCGTCAGCCGTCAAAAACCCGAAATTGAGAGCCTGAACTGAGGTCCTAGACTTTAAAAATGAACTGAAGTCCTAGACTTTGAACCCGAACTGCGAGCCTGAACTGCGAGCCTAAACTGGGAACATGAATTGCGAGCATAATCTCAGAACATGAAATTATCGTCATCATCATTGAGCTAGGAATTTAACAATAATTTGTTGTGTTAGCATGTTTCATCGACAAACAAAGCACGGAATTAAGGTCTTCAAATAAGGTCTTTGAAGCATTGTACTTGACTCACGAAGAAAGAGGAAAATACTTCATACAAGCACTCATAGGAAAAGCGAAAATACTAAACGATATGTAGGTGAAGACGGGAAACGAACTTACCACTGCAGTGACGCGGGGAACGAAACTCGTCACTTCAACGACGCAGAAAACGAGACTCGCAAAGCAACAAGGCAAAATAAAAGCTGAAGCAAACAAACCGACCTAAGAAGCCGGATTTGCATATGGCGCGAAATAAAAGTGTGAAAAATTCAAAACACTGACATGTGGGGTTACGTAACAAACACAATCTCAATGAAAAAATGATCTTACATGGCATTTGTTCACAGCAAATCCTGGTCTGTTCACTTGTTACTAATTTAGATTGTCATGATAAAATGTACTCATGAGATTTGACATACCAGCATACTGATTAGACAATGTTACAAGTATACCACGAAGAAGCCCTGGTCACGGTTGAAAATTAGATGAAAATGAAACAAATTTAGAAACCTATGGAAACCATGCAAGTAAAATAAGATATGGAATTGTGAATATTATGCAAGGCTTTGTTGGGTCCAAATTAAAAAAGTATTCGTTGACTTGCGAAAGCGGGATTTTTATCCCTACCTTTGAGGTCCATTACCAGATGTCGAGGCTTTGATGAGCCATGTTATTAAAGAGGGAAGGAAAGTGGGAGGTGGGGGGAGGGAGGGAGGGGCGGATGCTGATTTCGTTTCAAGTACTATTATTGGAAAAATTCACGCGTCACGTAAATGAAAGGGGAACTTCAAATCTTTCTTCTTGTATGAAAGTTTTCGGGGAAATCATGAGGTTTTCACGAGTTTAGAGAAGACAATCATGGGTCACGTAAACTTTAGGAGGCAAATCACACCTCAAGCTGGTTCATAAATTCACGAATCAAGCTCGCCTTTCTGTAAAATCCACGTGTCACATATTAATTTAGGCCTTAATCATACGTCTCGTATAAACCCTTTGTCATCCTTTTAAGCATGGAAGATAGTAAAAAAACAAACAGAAACAACGAGAATTCATCCTGATTGATCAAACAACTCCTCCATAGTAAGATTTCTCCTTCCGTTCGATTATCGCAGACATAATTTCCAATGTTAAAGGAGCGGTATGATACATTTAAGTCGCCCCCCTTGCAGGGAATGTGAAATGGAAGAATCAATCATTTAACACATACATCATGAATCTAAAATAATCATAAAATGGAATCGGTGGTATATCTTTTCAAAGGAAATGTTTTATCTTGATCACTGTTGTGTTTAAAACAGCCTCTTGTTTCTGCAATTATGGCAGTTAAAATGTTGAACATACACACAAGTGCATATCATTAGGAAAATAGCTAATTGGTAATTGCTACTTTTCTCTTGAAATTTAATGCATTCCAAAAAGTATACAATGAGGAATTCATCTCCCCTCCCCCCCCCCTCCCCCAGTTGAAATGGTCGTTTCTTAATTCATTTTTTTGAAAAGATTTGTCTCAGTTATTTGCCAAGGGTGGGGATTTACTTTGGTAGTTTTGTGTTGCGCCCCAACGGACACAGTCGATGTGTAAAGAAAAGTACTGTGCCCTCTCCTGCCGGATCAGACGTCATCTTGTAACTTCTCAATTGCTTCTCGCAATTTTTTGATGCGCTTGCATTTGCTAACGTATCGCTAAGGGGTCGCATCCGACATTAGGGAATTTTTCAACACGCAATTGCACTCTTCCGCCTACCCTTCCATTGACAGCCTTTGTTAGAACAGTACATTCCTAAATACTCGGCAAGCATGTCCAGACTGACAATCAAGGTTAGAAACAAACAGAAAAAGGAGCTGTTGTTGCAGAGGTATTATTTGCCGGCAGGATGACAGACTTCTGTCATCCTAGAATGACCATAGCCACATGCCCGGCGAAGTGGTTTGATCATCACTGTTAAACTATGATTGGAAAAAAAAAAAGAAATATCACTGGTCATTAGAGTTACTTGAATATCATGCTTTGATTGTTTTCCCCAAACGGTGTTTTTCTTAGGTTTTCCTTCATGAATTTATCTTCTTAGAATTATGTTGGAATTCAGCTCGTGGAATTCAATTTGGCTACCACATAAGCTTTCAATGACGAAGTTCATCGGCTGGAGTCCGTGGAGCACGAGAGCCAATAACTTACTTTAGGAGAAAAAGCACCGCAGAGAGTGCCACATTAAAATTTATATATATAGATTTTTTTCTCATCGCACCTATCCTGAGCAACCAGTTATTTACAAATGAATAAAGGGGGTAAGTTTCTAAAGAAACTGTCGTGCTGCGTCGGTGGGAGAATGTAACAGGGTAATATCGTCTTATCAACTGAGTTGATTACGTAAATTGGCCACCGTACTGCACTGAAACTCTTTATGGTAGCCAGTTTGCATTAACAATTCAGTTGATAACACTGAATTACCCAGTTATTTACAAAGTCGACATCGTTCATGTGCTAACAAAAATTAAAGAAAAGCGAGAGTGTATACCCATTTCACAGCTTGCTTTACTATTGCTGTAAAGTTAGTTGTCCAGGAGCTAAACCTAGTCCCTCAAGTTGTGTTTCCTGGGTAGCTGTTATGCCCAGCTGTCTAGCTTTGAACTTACATACCTTTACACCAGATTCATTAAAAATATTAAGTATGTTTGCGATGAGCAACAGGAACAACATAGTTCCTGTTCGTGCTCGTGGCCTTGGTTTGGACCAACAACATAGTTCCTATTTACATTTGTGTTTTCAATGGTTGACTAGTATTTTAATAGTGCAGAGTATCAAGTGCTTTGTTGCCAACCCTCCAAAGTTGGTTGTAACACATTGCATCGGCATGTCGCAGTACTATCAGTGGTTATAAAGGAAGGGTGACTTTTCTATCTGCTCTCTGTTTTTCCCTTTCATGGAACTTGAACGCAGAACATGAACGCAGAACATTAACGCAGAACATGAACGCATAAAATAAACGCAGAACATGAACGCAGAACATAACCTCATAACATGAACGCAGAGCATGAACTTGGAACATGAACTCAGAACATGAATTTAGAACATGAACTCAGAGCATGAACTCGGAACATGAACTCAGAACATGAACTCAGAAATGAATTCAGAACATGAACTCAGAGCATGAACTCAGAGCATGAACTCAGCGCATGATCTCGGAACATGAGTCTAGTCTCGTCATTTTTACTGATTTAAGCAAACAAAGGTAACATTTTGAACATCGGAATCAACGACGATCTTATCTATGATCTATGCTTAAAAATCCTAAGAGTGCGCTTAAGGCTAGAACTAGAACAGCACGAGATAACATAACAATCAATTGAAAGATAGTCCTAATGGTGCGCAAGATACAACCGTTAAAATCCAATGAAAGAGAATCCTAAAAGTGCGCAAGATACTAAAGTAACAACTGATCAAAAGACGTACTAACGTAACAATCCAAAAGGGGAATTCTAAAAGCGCGCGAGGTACTAACGTAAAAATCCGAAAAAAGAGAATCTTATAAGTGTAGAAGATACTAACGCAGCAATCCAATGTAAGACAATCCTATCTAGTGAAAGATAAACCTAAAAGTCCGCGAATATATGCTAACGTAATAATCCAATGAAAGAGAATCTTATAAGTGCATGAGATACTCACCTAACAGTCGAATGAGAGAGAATTCTAAGTCCCAGATCCCAGACACCTTTAATTTGCACAATCACGAGTATCCGATTAGCAGCAACTCATTGAATACGAATCACTTCCTTTCGCCAGCGAAAGACTGAATAGATCTGAACGTTATTTATTACTTTAACTAAGAACGGAAAGACTTAATATTCAAGTAAGATGTGGAATTGTGAACATAACGCAAGCTTTTGTTGAGTCCACATTAAAAATTAAAGTATTTGATGACTTGTGAAAGCGGGATTTTCATCACTCCTCTTAAGATCAAACAGTATTGCACAACACATGCACATAGATTTGAATACTACAGCAAAAACATCACCGTGAATCACTTCCAACCAGCGCTCAATGTAATCTACCGGAAGCCTCTCCTGAAAATGAGTGAAAAAATATTAGTGAACGTTTAACGTGTCTGCAAGCGGCTCTGATCGCTACCATGAAAATGTTTTTGAACAAGTGGGAAAGTTGACCTTTTTCAAAAATTCGAAAGCTGTCGAACTGTTGAAAGGTTGAAACTTGAGAAATGTCCGTCTATTTTTCCACACTAATGCAATAAAAGCATTTTGACATTTTTCGCTGAAAGTACTGGCTTAACTTATTCGAACTGGGAGCCTCGTGGCTGAGCTCGGTACAGAAAGTTTCCAGACGTAATCGACCTAGCCCGTTTGCTAGCGTGTATAGTGGTATGTTGTTCGCACCGATCAGATCACCAATCAAATTCCACTTCGACACTGCGCTCTATCTCGTGTCATATCCTTGTCAACAACCTGCATTTTATCACGTATTCTAACCGCATAATACAAAAATAAATCCTAAAAATCCTGAAAAAAATTCAAATGGAACTGAGCTCTACTGTTTTCAAAAATAACTCTGTTATACTGCATGCGTAGTATACCTGTTTCTCATTTTGAGTGCTTTCGCCCACGCTCTTTACGACTTTCCTTTCTCGGATTGTGGATTTTTTGTTTTGTTTGATTCATTAATAAATTCGACCTTTACTGACAGTTAAGGCCTACTGTGTTTGAAGATAATCTTAATTTGACTCAATATCTTACCCGCTAACGCTGTTATTGATTGTTGTAAGGCCTTTTATTGCGCCTCCTAAAGTACACAGTTACATAAGTTGAAGATCAAATTTAGAATCGGGGCCAATCTTCTTTCATGGCTCACAGGTTACGGTAGTGAACTCCACTCAGTCAGAGGAGCTAATGATCACATCACTGTCTGGGGAAACTGTGACAACCTAGATTACATTGAATCCCTGCAAGCACTACACGGTCGCTGGAAGGATAATTTTTAATTTGCCACCGGACACACCATCAGAAGCAATTATGAAACTCACTCAATGGAACTCGATTTGTGATCTGTATAAACTAAGTCCTGTTAAACTATTGCACAACATAGTTAGCGATAATAAACCCCAATTTATTCCAAATTAGCTAAATGGCGCAGCAGTCCATATAACTTAAGAGGATATAATAAGGCCGTTGTTCTGCGATTTTCCACCTATTTTATGAACAATTATATCCCTAATAACGGCGCTGTATAGAGGATTTTTGTCTCAGATTAAGACTCTTGATGTTTTTCAAGCAATTTTATAGAAAGTTGAAATCTGATCTCGAATTCAAGGAGTTCAGATTTACTAGCTTCTTCGTACAGTCGGTAGCAAAGATTTCCGACGTTTAATTTCAAATTATCTTTAATCACAAAAGTACACTTTGCATTTCCATGTGTTTTCTTTTAATTCTGCTTATTCATTTCATATATTTATCCACTTTTGAATGCAGGTTACTTGGGTATGAGCTATTTACACACGACCCCTCAAGCATGTAATGCTTTCATTCTAATCGTGTTTAAATAAAGGATGTTACTTACTTACTAAATAAAGGATCTTAATTACTTACTTACCCGTTTGCTACACTCACTCTTGAGATATCAAGTTAAACGCTCCTACAAAGTTTTCATATCTACACGCGCCACTGTTTTAACCTCTAGTGACAACCACAATCTCTGGCAGCCTCAATTAGCTTACAACAGAGATTTATCTGATTTCAGCAAAAAGTTTTACAAGTTACGACAAGTCATCAAAGAACGCCACATTACTTCCCAGTCTCCAGTGTTGTTTAGATGACTTTCGTTTAGAGTATCCCTAGAGGGGATACCCTACACATTACACGGCGATACCCGAAATACTGAGACAGCGGAAGTTTTAGTCTTGGAAATTGTTCCGACTGTAATTCAATTGATTTGTTTATCTTTCACCTCCAGAAGCATCAGCCACGAGGTCTTCATCTTGGTGAGTACGATTAATAATTTTTCATATCCAGTTTTCCATCGCTGAAATGACTGAGTAACTCAAGAGAAATAGTTCTTTTTGGGTAAGCCCATAATCCGATCTTTATGTTTATACTCTGTACTTGCATATCATTCGAATAATACGTGGCGAAAGAGTCGGCATTGCAGTGAAATAAATTTAGAGCGCCTTTGTATTCTATCCATTGAGTAACTCTGGAGATATAAGGCTCTCATGGGAAAGTCCACTTACTCGTTTTTCGATAAAGCTTGCATTATGTATTTATGTCACGTTATGAAAGAATCTTTCTAAAATGTACCTTAGTAGCTTTATACCCCTAACTCTATCTCCACAGCTATGATTTAAAACCATCATTCAATTTGAGGACATGATGATCCAAAAAAAAATATCAGACCTATGTATATCATGACTGTCTGTACATGATATCATAAGATATTCGTGGAGATTCACTACATGGTTTCCTAGTGGCTTTTCTGCATTAGCAATCAAATTAACTTTGTTTCAGCAGGATTCAGCGAACGATTCAAAGATCACGCTAGATACAAATTCAGTTTCTGTTATCCACTTGTAACCTAGCGTTTAATGGTCGAGGTACTCTTCATTGAAATTCTCGCGGTTTTTCTGTTACACAAATCGTAATGTGCATCGGTAACTTGACCTTTTTCTTAAGAAGACAAATTTAAATTGCACGCCAATGGAGGGTTTTTTTTCCTTAAACATATTTAAATTTACCTGACTTCACCGAAACTGCGTGATTGTGTAGTTAATCACTAATCTTACTTTTGCGTTGGAAGTCTCGTAGCCCGCAATTGAAGCACGATCACCTTTTTTGCATTACGTAACAGAACCAAACAGCTTTCGTGCCAATTCCTTTAACGATACCCGTTTTCTGGTCAGCTATAATAACTGACTTATTTTTCCTAATCGCTATGATCACATAAAGTGTATAATACAATCTGTCTTTTGTGGATCACTACATGTGGATCACTACATGAAAGCTTCCTTTTCAGAGGGAAGTAACCTTCAGGTTTCCCCAGCTCTATATTGGTTCGATTGCGTTATGGTGAACCATGAATCCAAGAAAAATTCGTTGAAAGTTTGAAGATACTCTGCTACTCGTGTTATTTCTGACTAAGACAATATTTAACGATTATTCGCTAATGACGAGGTGAATATTGTTCAATAATCCGCGCGAAGAAGTCGAGGGAATTATTCCACAATAGTTACTGAGCCTGAGGTGAATAACATTTTTCTTATGATTGCTTAATTTCTTTGGTAAATTCGTTTTATTTTGGAGACCATTCTGTTACAATTGTTCAGGTTACTCGTGTCGAGATTAGCAGCCAGTCTCCCCTAAAATTTAGCAGGTTTTTCTTTATTCAATCAACAAAACTTCAGATCTTTCTTTTGAGAATTGATACGCCAAACTCGATAACATCTTTTGCATTCTTCGAAATTGCATTTCCTTCTATCGAGTATGTCACTTCCTCGGTAACACTGACAAAACGCGATGCAGCCATTTTGAAATTTATCGCTGCTGCTGTAATCACCTTGCGCGAGGTGATTGTATCATTACAGTAATAATGTAATGTGATGATCTCTCACAAATTGCAAAGCAATAAACACGCATGCTAGTCAGCTATATTTTCAAGGAGCTGAAGACCTTCGTTGGTGTTCCTACATTTTGAACGGATTTTCCGGAATAGGGATTGTTTTATTCAGATGCGGTGTAAGATGTCAGTATCGGTTGAATTGATATTTATTGAACGCCATTGATAATTTCGTTTAGGGGAAATGAGCCAAAATTGAAAGAAACTACTTCGAACTCAGTCGATTAATCGATGGGTACACGTAAGAACTGTGAGTCAATAGAACAGATTAAAATAGAAAAAAGGGAAATAAGTCAATTATTTTAAATTCTCCTGATGTCAATGGGTATGACGGCTTACTCCAGTGATTTTTACTCTAGCATGTCAAAATTCTCTGATAAGCGTAGAAAAATATAAAAAACAAAACTCACTTTTAACTTGTGCTTAAACCTGTTATTTTTTCAATTTTCTCTTTCGATTATATTCCTTTCATGATAATTTCTTCTCTGGCTGACTGGAACTGTATGTGTCTGTGTCTTAAAGCCAACGGTCTACCGTCTGTTTCTTGCGCAAAGAAAGTTTGATTAAAACAAAGTTAATCTATAACTAAAAAAACAATATCTTATTTCAAACTTGATAATGGAGAGGGACTTACGATTCGACAGTGAAAATATTTCTAGAAACCTAGGAAAACATTTCTGGATTTAACTTGTACATTAAAGAGAAAAATTCACAACATAAATTAAGTTTTCTCTTAAGTTTTAAAGTTAAGCTGATGTTGTTGGTGGCCACAATAAAGAAGTTAAAAAGTTTTAGACGGTTGCTTCTCAGGATAACAAATAATTGACTAGACCTCTTTACCTTGTATGTTTCGTTTACCCATTTCAGGTCATGTGATAATACTCTAGAGAACTGTTGCTTTCATTTTTTGTAAATTATTTGTATATCAGCACGTGAATAACAAGAAATTTGAAAGAAACAGCTTTGTAGAGTATTATTACTGACATTACCTGAATATAAGCTAATAGAGGTCTATTTCCTAGCAGGTGGAGTTGTGGCAAAAAAAATGGTAACACGAAACACAACATTAGATTTTTTACTTTTCTAAAAAAGTATTCATTTGACCATCTATTAAGACTTTCACTTGTTCACTAGGACAAAATATAAAGAACGTTTTTAAAAAGACTTGGGTATTTTTTAAAATTTGTCAACTCATTGCAACAACTCTGGTTACACATTAAAAGCACAATTTTGTCCTCCACTTTTTCAATACGGCAGTAACAAGCTGGCAAAACTTTGTGATATATTCCAACTTAACCATTTTCCACATGTTGTAAACATCGTTATCGAATAGTTATGCAGATACCCTGGTTTAATTGAAAATTTATTGCATGTACCCCATGTCTGAAATGCCATGTTCAGAATAAGCTGACAAGATTAAGGAAGTTGCTTGGTTGTTTCTGTTATTCATTTGTTTCTCATTTGTTTCTGACTAGTTGATGAGGTTGGGCTGTCAGTGTAAGGAAGTGGGATTTTAGCAGGCCAGTAGATTTAGGGGAAATGTGAAAGTGATGAAAGTGTTTTATCTTTAGTCTGGAAACTATCATTGTGAAAGCCACACTCGTAATGGATATAACTCGATCTTTCTCATCCATTAGTTTAAGGATACAATGTTTTATTACACAAATTTGATGCATAGGCTGTGCACAAAACTTAAATTTGACTAAAAAGTACACATCTATAGCCATTACCAGTCCTTGCGCATTGTAAATTGTTAATAGGGTCAGGGGAAAAATTAATGTGCTATACATCTACACAATTCATGTTATTATTAAAAGTTTTCAAAGACCTGTTGATTACTGATATTAGGAGATCTAAGAATATTCAAAAGAATATAAAATTTGGTAGAAAAATTAGAATTCAGTTTGGGCCAATTTAACAAGATTCTTAGAAAAAGATAAGTGTGCTACTGAAAAAGGTTTAGCAAAATTTTGCAGCATAACAGCTTTTTACAACACCAAGTGTATCTAATCAAAAATAGCAAAATAATTATATATAGCCACAATCTTGGCTTCAATGTTGAAACACATGTACACATGCAGATTTCCCATAAACTTGTAGTTTAAGCCTACTGTGACTTCAAAACTTTGATACACACCTCAAAAGGAGAATAACAAATAAACTTTAAGTTTCTATTTACTCAGTTTAGGTTTGTCAGGTAACACTAAGTCAAACTTTCTTGTGACCACACAGTCAATAAATTTTTACAACCTATACATAAATGTCGGCCTAACTGAAACAAGAAACTTCACATACACATCACAGGTTTACAACCATGAAAGAAAAAATTGCTTGCATTAAAAGAAAAATAATGAGCCAGAATCAGTAGCAAATTTCAGCTGTGGGTCTGCCATTGAATCTTCATCTTAAGCTAGTGCTTTAAAATAACAATTTAGTTGCATGCAAAAGAACTAACTGCTGACAATTTCCCCAAGGACTGCTTTGCAAGTTGTAAAAACATCATGATGATTTCAACTAAGAGAATGTATGTCAATAATTTCTGATGATTTACGTTTTGACTGTGAGTTTTCTTTGTGTCTGACTTCTGTGTTCAATCGAATGGTACAGTATGAATATTGTGCAATACTTTGCAGACATTAAACAACCAAATAATAAAAAATGTATAGCATAGTGTTGTAAATCAGTACCTATAAGGTTCTGCCATCTTTCTTCCTTTGCACAGTATCTTAATATCCTATTATTCCAAGTGCACTTTTGACTTTGCTCTTCTTATATCTCTTTTACCTGAGTTATTTGTTGGTTGAACTTTCACTTTGATCAACACTCTTTTTAGATATAACCTTTCCCCTTTATTACAGAAATCATTCAGCTTTTGAAAACAAATAAGCAAGGGAATTTTCATCTGATTTACAACCACCTTTGTTGTTTAAAACTTGCATGGGATACATTTATTTGGATCCAGTCTCCCCAGGCATAAAAACCCTTTTGAACCTCATTAAAATGCTGACAGGGTGAATTTGGTCAACAATCAAGAGCTTCTCTACATGTAGTTGACCATCACTTCCTTTATTCAAGCAAACTTAATCTGTGATTCGGTAGTGTAATAATATTGTAAATCAAATCAAAAGAGGAGGGACACCAACAATATCAGTAATAATTAAAGGAGGATACCTGCATTTCCAGATTCCCACTTTTTAAAACTCACTTATCTTATATCAAAGTTTCCTTTGTGGAATGGGTATCAGCATTTGAAAGAACACAGTGCACTGATGAAAGCCTAAGTATTACATGCCATCAAGGCAAATAAAAATTACATGTCACAATGTGTAAACTAAAGCAAAATTGTATAATCACAAAAAACAAAAAAATTAAGTCAGACTCATGTGCTACAAATTTTGAAGGCTTAGGGTACAAAGAAATAAATATGGTATAATAATTGTAATAATAATAATAATGAGGGTATTAATTATTGCACTTAGAAGCATTAATTGCAAAATTATATACATTGTAAATGATAAACATGATAAAAAATTGTTACATTTATATTTAACTGGGCCTCATATATGCATATCTTTTATTAACATTTTACCAGATCTTCTGTTAATAATAGCTAATAAAAAGGGATACCAAAATTTATTTTTACCACTAGGCCATTTTACAATTTTGTCGTACTAAGTTGCCAAGCCTCTGATATAGACTGAGGCTGAAGGAAGGTGACCTTGTTGTGATAGACACCAGTTTCCAGTTAGCATAATAATAAAGCAATTTACATTTGAAAAGCAGCAGGGTTTGTATCATAACAAGGTCACCCTTTGCCTCACTCCTGTTCAAGGGCTTGGCAAACAAGCACTCAACCATAAAATGGGCTATTGAAAATTAGAGAAATTTAAGAATTTAAAAGTTTAAAAATTATGCAGCTAGAGGCACAGTGCAGGGGAAAAATTATTTTTGAAACACTCAGTCTTACACAAATAATGCTGGTAGCTCAGGCTCAAGTCAGGCCACTGTATTTTTCAAACAGTGATAATTAAAGGTTGAAAATTTGAACGATGAAACACATTACAATAATCTGCTATAATCACCTACATGCAGCACAAGGTGATTACAGCTGGAGCACTAAATTTCAAAATGGCTGCCTCGCATTTGATTAATGTTTGTGAGGACGTGATTAAAGCAGGAGCACTAAATTTCAAAATGGCTGCCTCCCATTTGGTCAATGTTTGTGAGAAAGTGATAAATGGAATAGAAGATTCAAATGCAAAGAGCACAAAATTTGATGCTAAAAGAATGGCAGAAAACTAAAAAAATACAGTGCACATATGAAATTTTAGCTGACTGAATCAAATAAACCTATTAAAACTGCTTCCTTATGTTGATACAGGTTATACAATAATCCATTTTACAGTTGCATGCTTGGTTGCCAAGCCTTTGAAAAGGAGTAAGGCTTGAAGGGGACCTTGCTGTGATACAAACCTTGCTTCTTTTCAAATGTAAATTACTTTGTTATCATGCTAACTAGATACTAGTCTCTATCACAAGGTCACCTTCAGCCTCAAAGTCTTAGCAGCTTAGTACACAACTATAAAATGGCCTATTCTAACAAAGAAAGTACGATGCTTTCGATATTCATAGAAATTACAACAGAATTCAAAGCACCTGAGCAATTGTACAACAGTATTGTGCAAAATTATTTTTGCAAAAGAAATATGGCAAATTTTGATTTTTGTTCCGGCAATCTTTTGTCAAAGGTTTAAGAGAAAATTCAATCAAAAGTTTGAGGCCTTTTAGGTGACATTTTGTTTGAACAAAGAGCGCATTCTCGTTTAATTTATGTCACAAAGCAGAAATTTGTGGTCGAAAGTCTCTTTCAGATCAATAGTCTTTGAGATTTTGCTTCAAACTGACAATAGACCTCCTAGAGTAATCAAATTTGTCTACCATTCATGTAACAAACATGAAATATTTCCAAACATATTTCCAAACTTTTTCAGTCACCAAGACACAGTATGAGAACAACACTTTATATTTGAGACCAAACACAAGAGACAAGTTAAGAGACCGAAACACCAATAAAACATCACATCAGATGCTGGCTTAATCTGTGTATGACAAAAAAAGCAAATTGGGTAAATTGCCCTAAATATCTTACAGTAATTCTCACTAAGATAGCCTATTTGGTTGAAATTATTTACCAAACAAATCCAGATATTTTGCACCTCAACCTTATTTGTCTGATGTTTAAACAAGGAAACAAAAGAACAAAACAAGCCTAAACCATCACATGTGATTCAGACTTCAATCTGTTTACGATCATGATGAAAGTAAATCAGGATGAACCGCCCCCAATGTTGCACCACAATACATACTAGGAGATATGTATTTGGTTGAAACAGTTTTGTACATAAACTTCATTTCTTGATTTTTAACCTGACAGAGCAGAGAACACGTCTAGAGTGTTGTCAAACATTTGTGATTGAGAAATGCACTCCTGCTGTTTATTCCATTTCAGTTCCCGTGCAATTAGAAATCACCCTTATTGCTAGTTGCAATATGCTCTCCAGATATCACAACACAATGCTTGTTTAGAAAATATTCATTCTTCACATTTGAAAAAAAATATACATTACCTTAAGAGTATGTAAATTCAACAATATTCACTTTGCCCTAGGCAAATATTTGTAAAAAAATACAAAAGTTGTATTGAATATTTTCCACTGTTTACTGTAAGAATTGTGAGGGGATTACATAATTTGCTTCCTTGTCTCTATATATAGCACCTTTGTATATGCATATGTGCTTTTCAATAAAAACATACCTCATGAAAATGTTAAATTTAAAGGCATATTACCGTAATTTCCTGTTGATTACCCTTACTGGGTAGTCTGTTAATTCATCAGTACAAACTGTTGCTGTTTGCTTTCATCTTTGACTTCCTTGACAGTTGAAAACATCCAAATTTAAATATTGACACCTAAACCGCTCGTGACCGCCCATGCCGCGTGGACTCACGCGAGAGGCGCTTTCCCTCTTACCTCCCCTACTAAGCAGAATTTTGTCCTCATACTTCCTTTGTTCATGTATCCGTCTTTTGCGCAAATATTTTGATGACTTTAGGGGGTACTAGTAAGGCGTCATTTTGTACGTTCACAAGAAATGATCAAATAGTAAAATATGGCGTCCGCGCGGCCGACTTTCAATATTTTCATGTGAGATTTTCCGTTCCTTTTCGATCATGTTAGACCTTCTGGTCAACAAAATGAAAAGTAAAAATGCTATAGAATACTTTCCTTGGAAAATAATGAACATCAAAGTCTGAAAAGCGACAAAATAAGCTTTCGAGTCAATAACACTACGATCCTCTGATGCGATGCGACTTAAAACCAAACTTTCGGACTTTAAGCGAGGTCTAGCAACATTATGAAGATTCCACAGTCCGGTAAATATTACGTTTAAGTAAAGAGATGTCGAAAAACTATTGTTCAATGGAAGATTTTGTGTCAAAACGTAGAACTACAACAATTTTCAACATAACGCTACGCAGTTTTCTGGCCGTGATGTCTAGCATGATGAATTCTCCTTCGTGGGCTTCGTACAAGAAAGAAATTCGCACGTTTTTCCCTTCTAAAAGAAAATCGAGAACTTTGTTGAATAAAGCTTTCATTCTGAAACGTTCCTAAGCCAGTTTCGTCTTGCCTATCATATATAAATTCCATGCATCAAGAGATCTCTTTACACAGTGACATATTTGCATATTCACTTTCAAATCATATATGATAAAATATGGACTGGACCATTGGATCCTTGGACCATTGGACCATTGGACTTTTTTGGGACCATTTTGGGGTCTTTTTTGGAACAATTTTTTTGGACCATTATATGGGGGATGACATACCATTAGTACTTAGGAAGGGGTGGGATACAGTCTATCAATACTCAGGGAGGGGTGGTAGGCAGACTGTTGTTACTGAGGGAGGGGTGGGTAGCTCTTGTATTAATAAATGCTACTAATTAATGGAGTTTCCACTAGATCATACAAATTATTATTACTGACTATTTGCATGTCAAAATTTGCACTGGGTGATAGCATTTCTTTATTTTTAAGTAATGTGAATATGAAACTGGCACCTAAACACAAGACTATAATTTTTACTGAAAATATTACCAACTCTTGTTTTCAACCCTCCACTGTTGGGTCATGTGTGTATCTTTTTAAGTCGACTTGTTCCAGTGCTAAATTATACTCAAGGGTTATCATGAATCATCCAACAGTTGCTTCAGTTTCCCTTTGTGTGTACAGTACATCATTACTAAATTTATCTATCTTCCTCTTGTCATTGATCTTATCAGAACTACAGAGATCCCAGAGTTTCTAATCCTTAGCCTTTAACTTAGCAGTGTAGCATTCACAAGCACTATTACAATTTTAACCTTTGCACCTTTACTATCAAACATTGTTGAAAGTTTCATACAAAGCAACCTTCTCTCTTTTTAGATACACAGTTTTCCACCATTACATGCCATTTCCACACAGCCCACATACTTAAACTTTATTTCTACAATTCAGTTTTTTCCTTTTTCTGCATAAAATTTTGATCTGGTCTGCAGTTAGCTGACACTTATCAACCTGGACAGTTCAGAAAATGGAAAGAGATTTCAAGTTCTCTTTGACAGTCATTGTGAAATATAGAAGTCACTTTGTCATTTTCTCAGAGAGGGCTTATCGTTATTTATGAAACAAAACAGAATAGAAAAATGTACCTTGTGAGATAAACTCAAATTAGTAATTTTCCAAGAGGAAATTTGCAATTTGTGAATTAGAACTCTGTAATTTTCAAGAATGGTAATTCTGTATTTTGCACTCGTGTGGATTTAATGAATTAATGCATTGGCTAAGTGAGAGGAAAATTGCACCATTAAGCAATAAAATGTAAACCTGTTATTTAAAAAAATTATCTAGCGCTGAAGCCATGCAGTTTTAAATCATCTGTCTACGAAGTGAAATGCGTGACATGACACTCAACTTTAGGTGTGAGTTGAGTGTATCTAATAGGGGAAAACTGTGTATCTGAAAAGAGAGAAGACTGCTTTGTACAATTATTGAAGCAACAATATTTTCATAGCAAATTTGAAAAATGTGAAAATTGCAATGGCACTTGGGCATACTATGCTAAGGTCCAGAAATTCCATGATCTTTGTTGTTTGATAAGATCACTGACAAAAGGAAGATGGCTAAATTCAATGATATACTGTATACACAAAGGAAAATGTGAAGCAACTGATGGATGATTCGTGATAACCCATGAGTATCATTTAGCACTGGCACAAGTCGACTTAACAGGCACATGCATGACTCAACAGTGGAGGATCAAAAACAAAAATAAAAATAGTAAGATGAAACACCGCTCAAAATAATTTGTAAAACTCCATTAATCAGTAGCATTTACTTATACAGCAACCTCCCACTCCCCCTTGTGTATTTACAGTTCGACCTCCTCCCCTCCCTCATTAACAACAGTCTGCCTACCACCCCTACCTGAGTACTAGTGGCCTACCTCCCCCCAATAAAATGGTTAAAAAAAGTAAAATTAAAAAAAAGTCCACAAAATAGTCCAAAAAAATAATCCAAGGGTCCAATAGTCCAGTCCACAATGTTTCCAATACCAATCCGGATATCCTATACCAATCCGGATATCCTATACCAATCCACATAATTGTTTGCACACGTGTGTGAAAAATTTACCGATTTTTATCTTTTATCTTGATTTTAGAGTAAAAACTTACAATGCATCAATCGCTTTTTTCGTTGAAAATACGTTATTTCAATGGTCTTCTCTCCGTTCCATAATTCCATCGAATGGCGTCACTTGGTTAAACTCAAGGTATCGTATTCCTGACCTATCTCGCTTTACAAAGTTATCGGCTCTTTTGGGTATTAGTAATAGCTGATTGAAATGGTAAAATGCTTTCTCTTTGAATAAATAAATGTTTTCTTCAAAGTTTCCACGATGAGCAGATCAAATCTATTTGGATATTTCTGCAAGGAATACCACGATGAACTATTTGGAGATGTTTATCATCATCTGTTGTGTCACTGCAAGAACTGATAAAATCATAATCTTCGGATCTACAGAGCATAAATTGGTGATTCAGACGGTTAAATGCACTCTCTTTGAAGGAAAAATTTCTCCTCTTAGTTTTCATTGTGCGCTGATATATATCACACCTTATGAGATAATTCTGCAAAGAAAAGCTCCGTTTGTGCACGCGCCCTCCTGAAATGATTGTGAGATATTTATCGTCAATTGTAAAGTGGCAGCGAGGAACATCGGGTCAAAGTTGGGGCAAGATCTGATTTCTACTATTACCATCTCTAACTCGCTCATTTCGAGGACAGTATGTGGCTTCTCCTCTTTGGGGACGCTGTAGCCACAAAAACTGCTCGCAGTTTGCTTAACCTGTGGTGCAGATACGAATATTCATCGATCACAATCACTTATGAAAAGAAGGTACCCGAGCTGGTTACAAAATTATGAAAACCCGAGGATGTAACTCGGTGGATTCAAAACACCCCAGCAGGTTACAAAATGGATTTATGAAGTGTAAACGGAAAGAGTGAATGAAATTACGCTTTGATCTAATACAAGCTGTAAGCAACTATTTATACGCTAACCATGTGGTTACCTGAATGCTTTTGGGCATATTATGGCCATTATGCGAGACTCCGTTTCGATACGAAAACACAACTCGGACGCTTCGTGCAAACTGTGATGACTGATTCATCAATTTCCAGCCTAAGAAGATAATATTGTATCACAAACATGTTCATCATAACCCGAGTATCTACACAGTTTCACTCACCATTCTCGCAGTAAGTCCATACGTTTGATTCTCTGCACTTCTGAAGTCCGTAATCGTATAGATGATTGACAGGTTCTCAGATGACAACTATGTAAACAAAGTAACCGCGTGGAACATGAGGGTCGCGGACCCAACCTCGTTTCATTTTAACCTTCGGAAAGACCCGTTAGGGTAAAGTCACGCATCTCCGACAAAAGTGCGATTCCTTTTTTAAAAGAACTGAGCAAATAAACTCTGCGGTATAGAGAAATGAAGATTAAAGGTGTTAACCGTCAGTCGTAAAATGGCCCAAATTTTAACCGTTAGCCGTAAAAGCCATCACTCTCCTTCGCGTTTTTCCCGACTTGCACCACGACTAATACTCCTTGCTCTCTATGGTCGCTCTTGTCCTCATTCCAGCCTATTTTTACCCTTTCCACACGAAATTGAATTAAAATGGATTCTTCGTGTTGACATAGCATTAGCTCTAACTACTGTTGCTCTGGAATGGAAAGATGTTAACCGTTAGCCGTAGATTAGCTAAAATTTTAACCGTTAGAAGTAAAAGCCATCACCCCATTGAGACCCTCGCAAGAGAAACCATGTTATTACTTGTTAATAATGTACATAAAAAAAATCATGAAATTTTGAAAGTGTACGCGCGCTATTTGTAATTGCACTCGTGTTAAAACTTTGCACTTACATGAGACATGCACTCATTTTTAGCCAACCAGAAGCGTGTAATTTTTTCATGTACTTTATTACACATGGAACTTAATGCTTTTTGTAGTCAATTTTCCTCGCAATTCTCTCTCGGTTTGGCGTTTTCTACCAATCAAATTCCCTACTTAGGACTTCACCCCATAACTTGTCAATTCTATGTAAAATAACCCGCATTTTGTCACGTATTCCGCACACAAAAGGCAAAGTCCAGGTAGGCAGTAACCAAATAAGGAGCCCACGTCGTTATGCCCATATGAAATGATGATTCTTTTCTCTTCCTTCAATACATTTTCACGTCACTGAAGAACGGAGACCGCAAAATATATTTGGTTATAGGCTATTGGAGTTAAAATAGAGTATCAAAATCGTAATTAGATGAGAAATTACGTGCAATCAAAAGAATGAAAAAGGAAATTGATATTGAGTTACTTTGACCAAATTTTAGGCATTTTGAACTCTATTACATGCGCTGCTCATGCTCAGATTTCAGCCAATGAAATATTGTGCTGAAACGGATTATCACAGAGATCTTGTTCCCCATCTGTAAGGCATTAGAGATCGAGACCTCTGGGAACGAGACTGAGTTTTTTCCTAGAGCCGACGAATGAGAATTCCAGGTTATGCACGCAATCGCGCATGATGCCATAACTCTCTCTCTTCCTTCTAATTGCGTAATGACTAGACTTGTGCCCGCAATGCAGTTGGCCGCGCAAGCTAAAAGTAGCACCTTGTCCATAAGTCGTACCGTCACGTAAAAACCTTTTTTATCATATAAACTACGGTGTTATACAGGGAATTCCGAGCCTGAGAAAAGAAGTAACAACGCAAGTGAAAAAATATCGAATTTTTTTCCACGTGTGTTGATATAGCCAATCAGCTGCTGTACGTCACTCGCCTTTGGCGCCACTCGGTCAGGTTGATAAAGGAACGGCAAAGCCTTCACGGCTCTCAGCACAAGGTAGTTTGTTAGAACTTTCTCGGATTATGGCTGCCAAAACACTAAAAAATTCGTATTGCTGACAGACAGTGAATACAGTTACCGAAAGTTACGTATTCAGTGGCTTTGGTGTTGGCATTTTTCGCGGCTGAGAATGAAAAAACAAAGTCAATAAATGATAATTTCGTAAATTGAAAATTACGACCATCGTTGTTTTTGTAATCATGATTCAACGCATTTTTCCATCTTAAGAGTTAGCGCCAACGCACTCTACGATTGTTATTCGGGGATTGTCGATTCATTTATTTTCATTCTTTAATGTAGTCGGCTTTTCTTCTCAGTCTAGGGCTATTGTGTTTATATGATAAACAAAATAGATAAGGAATTTCTCTTCGACATCTCACTCGTTCGCTGCGCTCAGTCGTGAGCTATCGAGTTAAACACTTGAAGAGAAATCCCATATCTACACACGCCCATGTATTATTCTCTGTTTATTTTTTGGCTTGATGGGTTACCATTTTACTGAGTGTTGTGTCTCTACTTTAAATCTTTCTGGTCTTGTTTCAGACTGTCGCTCTGCTCATATCTATCAGTATGATCCTTGCCAAACGGGTTTCAATTTCTTCTTTAAGAAGTGGGGTGTATTTGGTAAGTGAATTATTCATTTTTTTCCCTGAATGTTATTCATGGTGGTATTAGGCTTTTTTGATCGTGACCAGGGTTACCAGACCCTCTTTATAGAGGATTCGGGAGGATATTTAGAAAACATAAAAGACCATTAGTGATTTTTATCCTCGGCTCCGCCTAAAAACAAGAAAATATGCTAACCATCCAAACCGAGAAATTTTGGTTGTGACATCAACTTCAGTTAACTTTCCTTTTCATTTGAGACAAATATTTTCGAGAAAATCGCTGTCTTCTCTCAACTAACCATTATAATCCACAAATTCAGGAATACTTAGGATAGCTTGTCACTTCACACCCTTTTATTCAGTCTTGGGTGGACTGGTTTCAATTTTTATTACATCCATTTTGAAATCACTGGTGATCCTTGCAATCTGATTAGCTCTCATCTGTGCGATTTATTCACGATTTATTGCACCATATTTTGCTCTAGATCGCATCATTTTCTCAGCCAATGACAAAAGTTTTACTCAATCACAACAGTCAAACAGATTCGATGCTTGTTTAAAGTAGGCAATCAAATTGCAGGAAAATTAATGAAATACAACTTTTGCAACTTTTTACAAACCAGCTCAGAACTGGATCAGTAAAGTATTTGTACGGATAAAAAGTACTATATTTCAGCGATTGAAATTTTCTATTTCAAAAGCGATGTAATAAAGTGGTAAATTATCTTCGTGTTGTGAAATTTTGGTCTGAAATTATACTTCCAATTTCAAATGAAACTCGCGCTGCGCGCTCGTTTGATTTTGACATGACGCGTATGGTTTCAGACCAAATTGCACTCCACACAGTTCAATTACCATTATTTATTATTTCTATTTTCCACTTAGTTTGCCTGTATTGTAGTGGCTGTGTTGGTTGTGTTCTGGTTGCCGATGATTTCATTCTCGAGACCAACTCCAAAAGAGAACATGGAAACTACTCTTGTATTAGGTAAGAACGCCCGTGTTTAAATCACCGAACCCGCCAACGAGTTCAAAGCTACGTAATTTTTACCTTATGTCAAAGGTCTGTCCGAACAGCTTCGCTGTTACCCACAACAACAAGGCGTACGCGCTGTTTTCAAGTCGGAGACTACGCTAAGATCTCAGCTATTACGACCAAGAGACGCTGTCGACCCGGCTAAACAAGATGGCGTAATTGACAGGATTCCTTATGAATGCGGCAAGGTGTACATCGGAGAGACTGGAAGACCCATGCAAGACAGAATTAAGGAGCACGATCGAGACATCCGACTCGCCCGTACCGAGACCTCCGCCGTTTCAGAGCATACCCACAACACTGGACAAGCCACTCTGGAACGAAGTAAAGTTTATTGATCGTGACCCTTATTACTACACACGCAGGGTCAGGGTCAGAGGCAATTCAAATAAGACTTCACCCTGACAACACCAACAGGGATAGTGGAATAGAAATTTCAGAAGCGTGGATGCCCACGATCAAAAAACACAACAATAGGAGAGCCGTGCGACAGCGGACCTCCGAGGGAGCAAATCACTGAGTGAAACAGCAAGGATCGAAATGCGCCAATCATAGCTGTTGAAAAAACAACCAATCACAGCAGAGCATCATACTTTATAAGATCACGCATGAACAGTCGCATTCATCGCCTGAAGAAGACTAGCAGTTTCGGTCGAAACGTCGCGATCTAAATAACACGTGACTACATCGTGAGACATTCGAAAACTTAGCTTTTATTGTTATTCACCACGATGAATAACCACAGCCTTTTTTTACGAAAATCACTACAACCTTCTCAAAGCAAAAGAGCGCTGCATTTTTAATTACTCGTCCAAAGGGGCGCTTGATAATAAAGTTCCATTTCGCGTACGAACTTTGCGAGAAGGCTATATAAGGGAACCAGACCTCCCCCATCAGCTTAAAAATTAAATGATAATGATTAGATTTCTCTAGAGGGCTGCTACTTGATCTAAGCGCGCTTTAAAAAAAATGAAAGAATGGGAAGACAGCGTAGCCGATTCGAAAGAGTGTGATTTGCCAACAATATCTAGTTCTCAGATATAGCAACATCAAAAGTTATCATCTTGTTTATTTTTTGGAGGGTATTTCATATAATATACACAGTTTTTAAACGAAGGTGTTGGGCTGATGTTCTGCTGTTTATTAAATTTTGTTGCGCCTGCGATCTTGTGGGCATTCTAATTAAGGCCTTGTCCATTTGAAAGTGTAATTTTATTTCTTTACTTAGGCAACCAAACTGAAATCAAGTGCAAGCCTCACAGGTAAGAAGAGGCATAACTGATGCTCTATTGCTCTAATGATAAGACGTGATTTTGTATCCAGTCACCAACCGCGTGCTTAATTAACTACGGGCTTGATGTTGATGCTATAAAGGTCGGTGCACGTATCGCTTGGTCGTTCGTGCAAGGATCTGGGCTCTAAACAAGTTTGCACAATAAATGTATCCTGTATGCTCAAATGTCTTTAGATGCTGAGTCAAAAGCAAAATTCATCGACAGATGCGATCAATCAATGTGGACTGATATTTTTTAATTGTAGGAACCATTAACATGCCTTTTCTGTCTTTTAGACCCGACCAGGATGGTATAAAGCAAATTACTGACCATAATGGGCCGTTAGACCGTATCGAGAGTAGGAAATGTGACGACAATCATTACTCAGATATCTGTGCATTTGGAAAAACAGAATCTAGAAACCAGGCCCTGTCGTGTGACCTCAAGGTCTGTGGCAAGTCGGAGGTTGAAATAGCTTCTGTTGATCCTAAAATGGGAAAAGCCGTGACGGACTGGAAATTGTTGCCAAAGGACCAAATTGATGTAACAGTTCAAAAGGCCGTCACATCCAATTTGGAAAGAGGATTTAACTTTCTTTTTTTAAGATGTGGAAGCATTTTCCAAGTGCTCAGCTTTCCTCCCGTCTTTAGGAAAGTCGACGGCGGCAAAAACAGAACTAAAATCAATTTGAATGTGATATTGTTAGACTCCATCTCCAGGCCGCATTTTTACCGAATTCTTCCAAGGGCTGTAAAGGCTCTGCATAAAATTTCACATGATCCTAAGATTCAAGCTACCACCTTGGACTTTGAACTTGTTCAGGGCATAGGACAACAGACATTTGAAAACATAAGGCCGTTCTTCTGTGGCGTCCTCAAAGGTGAGTGGAATTAACTCCATTAAAAACTGAATGGCATAGGTTATCTTATCTTAGTGGCTATGACTTCTCTATATTGTAATTATGAGAACATTTCTGAAACGTTTTCAGACGACAACAAAGTTACTGCCTCTTCGAAAAATACCAGAGCTTCCCTGGGTGTGGAGGTGTTGTATGGGACCTTCAAGAAATGGGGCTACCAGACGTTATTTCAAGAGGATCTTTGTTGGTACGATGTATGGGGAAGCGGGTTAACAGACATTGAAAAGAGAGCAGTGCCTCAGTCAGATTCTGAGTTCAAGGAGAGGTAATAACCGGGTCTATGTTGCATGTTTGATGCTGAAATGATGCTTTGTTTGATACAAGTGTTATGTAGATTTTTAATGCAATTTATCTGCCTATTTTTGCGGAGCACAAAGGTTTTCCTAACATAACTAATTATACTTTAATTGCTGCTTTAAGATCTTGCCCCAATGAAAAGCTTTGAATACGCACTTGGTATAAAGTTATAAAATGTTTGTTTAGAGGTTGACTGATACCAGGCAAGTTAAGGTTCTTTGAATATTGTTTTATGGGCGGGTGTCTCTTTGAGTTTATACAACAAGCACAGATCTTTAGGGCAGAGTCAGTCTAATTTTGTCAGGAGGCACAGTGCAATGGCTATATGAACGATTTAACCACTTATGAGAGCGTCTTTATTCGAATTCCTTTAAATATAAACTCAGAACTTAGTGTTATGCACAGTGTCCGAAAATACACAGATTTCTAGAAAGAACTGAAAAAAAAGTAAAATAATCCAGTGGTTATCTAAATTATCCTCACAAGTTAGGACATATTTCATCACAGGTGGAAGGAATTTGAAGAGAAGGTGGCTAAGAAACAAGTTGACCATCAGGGTATTACACATTTTTCATGCACGGCGTTAGACAAAATGCTTCGCAGGACCAATCACTACGATTATCCCCAGAAAATCTGCCTAAATGGCAAGTTTTATAGTTGGTATTTCATGGACTACATAACAAAGGTGTACACTGCTCTGAAAAGCGACGAAAAAGCCAAACCTTTGCTATCCTACATGCATTTTAATACCGGACACGAGACTAATGGTAAACGGATGATCAACATGGACGCCAACATGGCGAAATTCATCATAAATATAACCTCTTTTTCTGATACTCTAACGTTGATATTATCTGACCACGGTCACACAAGGACTCCGTTTCGTAACACAAAAGAGGGAGGAAAAGAGTTGTACGATCCATTATTCTTTATGATTGTTCCTGATGGCGTTAGGGAAAAACTTGGTCCAGAAAGGATGAACGCTCTAGTCACCAACCAAAAGCGCCTTTTCGTGCTTAAAGATGTACACAAAGCATTCATGAGTTTACATGATCCTAAGAAAATGGACTCTGTGGACTATTCAGTGACAGGAATTTTTTCAGAGATTCCAGCAAACCGCACATGCGCAGACCTCGAAATGCTCCCCGCTGCCAAATGTAAATGTAAAGGTTTTGATGAAGAAATTGAGATAAGAGAAAACGCAGATGACCACAAGTGGCTAGCAGAATTTGCTGTGGGATACATCAATAATGCAATACAAAGACAACATAGGGAAGGTAAGATATTAAGAGAAATAAATAGATAAATAAGAAAACCAAGTGGAACTAAGCAGGGTGTAACACTGCTTTTATAGCTGATGGGTTTTACACTATACGTCCTACGTCGGTGTGGTTAAAGAAATCAGTTAATTAACATTTTACCATCTTTTTGCGAACTGTAATGGCTTTCATTACCCATGTAGGAATTTTAACCAAAAGTATATGCTCAATGGAGATATTTGGGGTCTCACAGGGACAGCAATTATCTCCTTGGGTATACTATATCTACTTTCACAAAGTTGTTAATCTCATGATACTTAGCACTGGCGCTAAATTTGCGTCAGATCGCCGATTTGAGTACAATTATTCCCTGCTCGGTTTCCTCATAGACATTCTTTTAAATGTTGAAGTGCTTTTATTCATTTTAGGTTCTTCGTTTGCTTATTTTGGATATGATGATCATTAACCGGTAATTGAGTATTTTACATCTGTCCCATGCTCTGTTTCGTTGCAAACCCTTAATGAGCAGATCTACAGAGAACAAAGGTTTGTTCCAATCCAAGAAATATCATGAAAGGGTTTTGAGAGGGTCTAAAAGAGGTGATGGTTTTAGCTATCTACCAAGGAATACAACATTTGGAACTGTATTTCCACATTGCTAGCTTTATGTGTAATTCCACAGAACAGGCCTGTTGAGGGTTCAATCTTTGCTCATGGGGAATTAAGCTTAGATAGACTTCTCTCTCCTCTTTTCAGGAGGTGTCAACTCATATGGCTATGGAAACTGCGAACGCTTGGTTGGCAAATCGTTTTCAAAAGTGATCAAACGTTTCCGAGGAGAATTTATCGAGACGAACATGGACATCCACGTGTTCCCTCCAACCGGTTACAATGAGGATGAAGTGTTTAGAGTAACTGTCAAACAGTTCGCTGAACCGAAAGATGGAGTGTTTTTTCTAAATTCCATAAGAGTGACAACTTACAGCAAGTTTGAAATTTGTGCAGACAAGTCAGTCGATATTAAGCTCTGCGCATGCGCCAAAAATCAAATCACTAGGAAAGAAGTGTTGTTTGAGAATGGCGTTCCAAGCAAAATGTTTGGTTCGAAGACAGTTGTAAAGAACCTGGACTCCAACTGTTTGTTGTTCATGAGACGAGATTACAGGTCGTTTTCTTTTGCATTAGAAATAGCCAATGTTTGCACAAATACAACTTATAAATTTACGATGACAGGTTCAACGGATCAAAGAATTTTTACCAATACTTTGCCTATCTCTCTTGAGTTACCTCCCAAAACCTTTCATTTTCTAACATCTGTGACCAAGTATATCGTGAAGGTAGATACGGACCTTAATCTAAAAGCAAGTATACAGGTTCAGAACAGGGAATCGGATACCTTTCACAGTTTAGGAACTGTTGAAGTTTCGTAACGGTTAACATGCTGTTATTTGGAACTTTTGAATTTTACCATTTTGGCATTAATGGGGAAATCTGATTGGCCACTTCGCTGCTGTCGATAAGGGTTCAGGCAACGCTGCTCTCGTCAAAGTGTCAAGCAATGGTCATGCGCTGAAAGAATCGTTTTATTTGACGTCGAAAACAAGTGGTTTAGCGAGGTCTGTACTCTTGTTGCAGACTCACTCGGCCACATCTCGTGAGTCCACACTATTTTGACCACTGTGATGACGAGTATCGCTGTCAATAAGAATACAGACCATGTTAAACCACTGTCAATTTTTTTAATCTTTATCCTAGGGTTTATTACAAATTTTCTTGGATATGTTGAGTTTAAAATGCCGCAAAAATAGATAAACATTTTATAACTTAGTGTCATGCACGTGTCCAAAAATACACAGATTTCTAGAAAATAGTAAAATAGTGTGGTTATTCAAATTTCCCCTACAAGTTGGAGGATATTTAATTACGCTAGATATTTATAAATTAAATTATTTTAAGACTCCTTTGTGGTAAGTGTTGTTGTAGGAAAGTATTTCAGTAACTATCGAAGAATTTTGATTAACAGAGTGAATTGTAATATATGAATACAAAATTTAAGTATAGGCCGATTGGAGTCTGGCTAAGAATAGTGGCTCACGATTTTATTTTGAGGTCTAGACAATTATTTTACTTCATAAATGCCTTTATATCGTGCGGTCATCATGCTTCTTTTTTGACAGGGAGGGAGTGGGTGGGGGTCCTTTAGATCATAACCTCATTTCGCTCACCAGTTAGGTTTTCGAATCATCATTTATTTCCTATTCACTTTGCGTTTATTCTTCTCTGCATATTTCTCTCTTCCATTTCTTGTAAACTGAGCTGAGTTAAATAAATAAAGCCTGAAAAAATAAATCATCTTTCTACTACACGTTTTACAACGGTAGCTAAAAATGGTTCATCGGTTTTGTTTTATACTTGTGATCCTTACATATTGAAAGCTCTTGATACAACTTTTCTCGAAACGAGTTATCGGGAGCGCTTCCAAAGAAGTATGGAAGGCCTGTGGTTGAATACCAAGCATATTTCTCTTACTTAATTAATTGTCTTTGAGTATGGCAATAATGCCTTGTGATTATACCCTTTTCCTCTTCTCATATTTTCGTTCTCTGCAAAAAGGGAACACCTGATGGCAGGTGAAGGAAAAAGGAACTGCTTTAACGTGGGAGAACGTATTTCTATAGGAACTTTAAGTCGTTTTTACACATTTACACATCTTTCTTCCGTTGTTTTCTTAGACTGAGTGTAAGGCGGGTGGTTTTGCGTGTGCTTTGCGAGAGACTTGTGCGCACACAAAAAGGTGAAGCACACCTCTCTACTCAACACTTAGCACTCATAAAAAGGTAAAACGCCCTCCAAACCGCTATGAAATTTACCATCGTCTCGGTCTATTCCGTATGGGGGAAAATGCTGGTTTATTTCATGAACAGGGGCTGGTAATCGAAAGGCTCGAAACGCCATTGACGCGATTTCATGATATGAGTGCGGCAAGCGATTGGGTGTGCGTGTGTGAACGTTGTTAATTAAATGTTGATTGATCAAAGCAAAACAAAAGGTCACAAGACATCTGGTCAGTTTTCTACAATTCTCTTCCACCCATCTCAGTTCATTTGATCTTTCCTTACCTCATTTTATCACACACATTCTTTCTCGATCAGCATCTCATCATATCTTACTCAGCTCTAAACTAAACTTAACTGATACTACCCACCCTAACAGTCTTAGCACACAAAACCCCATTTTAACCCACCTAATCTAACTATACCTCACCCACAGTACCCATCTCTCTGTCTGCATTTCTCCATCTTACTTCCCCCCATCCGGCAACCTACCTCAACTCACCCTACCCCAATCATCGATCACGACGTGGCTATCCGTTTCAGCAGTAGCATTTTATTTTTATTGCCTAATAAATGAAGACTCGTAACATGAAATATGAATCAATACCTAATTTTAATTCAATACCAGTTCCCTGTGGTTGTGGAATGCGATAAAAGAAAGAAACACACATACACAAGCGCTCTTTCTGTCGGGTATTCTGAGGGTTAGTGAGTTGTAGGGTTATCTATAGATATATTTACCTCCGTCCATGGGATAAATCCTGAAAAATTGGAAATCAATCTTAAAAATCGGCTGATTTAATATCAGAGGGGAATTAAAATGTCATTTTCCAGAGTCTAATTTGGTTTTTTAGCTTCTTGTGTGTACTTTGCACCCTAGGATAAAATACTATTTCCCAGGCTTCCCCAACACGTGCAGTCCAGCCAAGAGCATTATATGGATCAGGAAATTCTGTAGTTAATCTTCCTCCAAATGTATTTTCAATCCTCCTCTTTGTCAACTCTACATTGTCGTTTCGTTCTCGAAATCTCTGCTACAATAAAAATCTGCTCCATCAAATTAAGTGTTCAGGACTTACAATAAAAATATTATCTTAGTTTCCTTTCCTTTGGATAACGCAAAAGTTCGCCTAGAATTTTAAGCGACCCCTTTTCATGTGGTCTATGACGTCACCTATGCACGCAACATCTGTCAAAAGACGTCACGAGAGAAACATCTGTGAAAAAGAAATATATGAAATCCTAACACGACCAATAGCAGTTCGGTAGTGAAATTTACCTAATTAGTAACTGGTGTGAAAATAATCTAATGATTAATTGGTTCTCCGGGATAGGGTCATTAATATTTGCATAAATTAAACCATTATTAGAGACATCTCTCGGAAGGCCCTTATATGTATATTATCAGTCTGCTAAACGAAAACAAAAAAAAAAGCGCACGGATATTTCCTCGAGGCTTGAAATAACGCAACAGCCGATTATCCTTCAAAGTCACTGCAGTGATCCATTGAGAGCGGGCTGTGGCACAACCATCGCAGTGTCATTCAATATACTCCCGGGCACCTGCGAGTTTCGTTCCGTTGTCATCGAAATATCTTCCGGCAGCACTGGTGTGATTTGCAAATTACGTTGATATTATTGAAGTATTGAAGTTTTGAAGCTTACGAGACGATCTTTGATGGGCTGATAAACGCCATTTTCAGTTCGATGGTTGCTACGAGCTACAGCAACCAATTCAGATTTTCGACGATTTTCGCTAGGTTATTTTATCTGTCAATTCTTCAGGTCGTTTCAGAGGTAAATCCGAGGTGATAAAAGCGACTGCACAAGCTAAGACAATTCGTAGCGCGGAAAGTCGGTTATTGGTAGAAGTTTTCTCATTGATTACGGTGGTTTTAAATCGACTCGCTAATTCAAAGGGTAATTAGTGGTGGCCGATTACATATCATCTTCGACAAAGTTTCGCAGCAATCATGCAAGCAAACCGGCTCGTGGACTGCACATTAGTCAAAGTGAACCAGGGATTTCAAGAAAAAATACGGGGAATTTAGACTTCCAATAGCGCCTTTATTTATCATGGAGGCGTTACATCTGATCCATAAACTTGTCCCTGGTCGCCAAAGGAGGTATCGTCTCAGTTCACATGGGTTAAATCGAAGTGTAGACAGCATCCTGGATGGCCTTGATGGTTCGAAACGACGAGCATCATATCCGGCAAACTCTGAGGTAAATATGTTATTTTCTTTTTCTGCTAAAGAGTCACTGATATTGCAGTTCAAGTATATGATTGTCATATGTAGAATACTCCGCTGAAAGTCGAATTTAAACGCGATGGCTTTTACGATGGTTTGCTTGGTAAAAACTAAACCGCACGAAAAGTTATGAAAATCGGATTTCAGACGAGGGGCTTTCAATCTTGTAAGTTATTTGTCTTGTTGCCATTCTGTTATAATTTCAGTTTCCAAAATCTTAAAATATGATATGCATTTTTTAAGCATGATATCTATTGCTCTGAATTGGTTTTGCGTCTGTCGGCTGGTTAATTTGAACGGATTATGGTTGGTCTTATCAAACGCGATTAAGAAAACTCGGTTCCCTGTGAAAAGTCAAGATTTTTATCATCTTTATAGTGGAGTGCAAGCAGATATTCGCACGCTGGTGATGAATCGTTTATTGAATTTTCTTGTGCGTATCTATGCGCTGTAATATACAACATCAGGAAAAGAACAAGCCTGATGAAGTGGGCGTTGAATTTACCTATGTCATACTCAGAAATAAAAACGACAAACTGAATGCGAAAAAAAATTAAAACGTCATCATATTGTAGATATTACAAAATTGTTCCATATTGATCACCACCAAAATGGAAAAACATTAACTTCGGGGCCAAATTTATAACCAGATAGATGAAATTATTCATTGCCGTGAGTCTTTTCCTTGGAAGAAAACTATTTTTTGTTGCAATTTATGATAAGCAGGAAAGTGCACTACCAGTGAGTCTGATGTTTGAAATTTGTCGATGAAAATTGAGTAATATGAACTCGGTAAATGACCACACACAGAGAAAACTTTAAACTATTATACATTTCACTTTATGATGATGTATATCTCCAGCGGTTTGAACGCATCAAACCGAACTCAGACGGAAGTCTTTGAATAGAACAGGTGGCCGTGAACCCGTCTTTGAACATGGCGTGCGCATTTACATCCAAACGATTCTATCGCCAAAAAATTGGATTCAGTGCTAAAAATATTTTTCAAGTCGTAGAATCGATGCCAGTGCACAATTTGAAACTTCGTGTTCAAACACTGAGATCAATCGACAAAGGAATCAGCTCTGAAATTTTTGATAATAAAACTGCTCGGTTCTGCCTTGTAATTTATTGATATTCTTTGTTGATATTCTAATGATGTGCCCTCTGCTTACTTATGCGGTCCTGACAATGAAGTTGTGGTTTTCAAACTTCCCAAAACCCATCGATCATTTCATCCGCGTCTTTTTAATCTATTACCTCAGGGCGATGTTAGGTTTCCTATAAATTTAGGTTCTTTGGTCGCTAGCATAGTAAGTCAATTGAATTCTCAATGGTCACGATTCACCCACAGTAAAACAAACTTTACTTCAATCGTTGGAGAAAAAAAAATATAGGGCATTTCGGACAATTTACTTCGACGATCGAAACTAAATAAAGCTGGCCTCTAGCCAACCTAGAAAATGGAAAATTCACAATATTTCCGTTGTTTAACATGCCCAAACAAGCGAATACTTTCTATTCATCATTTTACGTATTGTGTTTGTGGTAGCACCTGCGTAGAGATTTTCGGTACATATTGGAGCCGTTTCAAATTAGAAGCTGATATTAGCGCCGAGGCTCAGACGGACCGATCATGATTGCGCGGCAAAGAGTCTTCAGACGATCACAAGCGTTTTCATTATTTCATTAACATCGTTTTTTAATACCACTGCGATCTTCTTTTGTTAAAATGTATTTTTTAATTGACTAACTAATATTGTGCTCAGTTCTCTCCCATAGTCAACGCGCTTGTGGTCATTAAAAGATTCTGTAGAACTTCTTGAGGTTAAGATGCCATATTGATCTACACATCCCCGTTGATTTGAAGTAAAATTAAATAAATAAATACATGAAAATCAGCGAGCGACTCTGAATCCGTTCAGACGTTAAACGCACATTATGCTATAATTAAAGGTGTTTTAAGCGGCTGAAGTGTCACTATGGCAACTCACTGCGTCGAAAATGATATTTGAACGATTCATATATTTTTTAGTTGCGATTATAGATGAAAGCATAGGAAAGGAAAAACTCTAACAGAAGGCGCTGAAAAAGTAGGAGACACTTTTCAACTTCCTCAGCTGCGTTTAAGATGTGCAAGAGCACCTTTATTTTGTTTAACACTGCTCTGAGCGAGTTGAAAAGCTCAGGTGAAAGTTGATTTGGCCATTATGAGACCAAACGTTGAATATGCAGCTGTGTCACGATCGAATCGATACAAAAGCTATGCTCGAAAATACCAGTCGGTTGCAGCGCAATCGCTCCAACCATTTCCTCGATCAACTACAGTTGAGAAAAGATCTGCAAATCGGTAAATCAGCAATTTCAGGGGTTAGAAAATTATTTTATTTGGAGTTTGAGGCTTATCGAAGCCTCTATTAATAACAACGGAATCATGAACCCCAGACTGAAAACAACGGAAGTATATGCTCAAAAATTGCATCAGCTTATGTAAACGGTTTGAACCGTATTGAATTTGCTTATCATTGGACAGGTTAGGTCGGGAATTCGAAATTGCTGTGAATGACATCATCTGTTGTTATTTTATTGTTTGAAAGTCTAAATATAACTATTTAAATTTAGGATTATAAGGCTAAATATACTTCCGATATCCGTTGCAATAATTCTATGGGGGGGGGGGACCCGACGATGGTTCCCTCCCCCTGACCCTTGAATACAACAAATTGGGGGACTGGGGTTCTTTTCACTTTATCAAGACTGCTCTACCTGGGTTCGATTTACTTGATCTGAGGTAGAGCGCTAGAGTAAATTAGGGTGAAGGGGGGGGGTTGAAATAAGATCTAGAGTGCCCTGTGGGGCTCAGCCTACGAGTTTTATTAAGCCAGCAGTCCCATACAGAACGAGTAGTTTCACTTAGGACAGGCAGGGGAAGCTGTAGACGGGTGCGAGGTTAAATCCTGTATTCAAACAATCTGACAGTATGAACAAGCTTATCAGTGGGTGACGTACGAGTTAAGCTACCCCCTCTCCCCGCTTCCCGACTGAAATATATGTCTACATTTATTCTCACCGGTGGCAGTGAAACCTGTCCTAGGTATATTTTTAGAAATGACGGATGAAAAAGCTGCTTTTACCGCGTGACATCCACTTTTCAAGGCTTAATGAGCTCAAGTTTCCGGATCGTGCCAAAGTTATTTTGATGATGAAGGAAAAAGGTCACAAACCTAACTTCGAGTAAATTTATGACGCTACTAAGGAATTATAACGCGCTTTCTTCTTAACCTGAGGGGATCATTTTAAAAGGAGGTAGGGAGAGCTCCTATGGAGAAACTTTTTTCTCAGTATTCAAGAAAGGAACTTACTAAGCGTCGCGTAGACGAAAATACTGTCACCCTTTCAATTTGCCTTGACCTTGTCATAAATGTACTCTCCCTCCCCTCCCCCTAGCTTTTCCTGCATCACGTGCCTTGAGCCCAGTGTCTCGTTAGGTCGTATTCGAAAAGTTTTATCGATGAAATCATGGAGGAAAGGAACTAGTATTCCCGGGACGAAAATGATTCTCTATCAGGCTGTACGACAGCACTACTCACTAAAATTTTGTGATCTATTTCTCTCCTATCTGCAAACATAAGCTGCGGGCAATCAAAAGACTGAAAACAGTCAAAATGTCCACCAACGGACTGACGGTCTCGAAGGTACTCGAGCAGATCCAACTTGTGCAGGGTATGATTGACATAAACGCCTCCAGCTTAAACAGTCTTCGAACACAGTTTTCCACCAACAGCGACTTGATCCAGCAGGAAATTCGCACGTTAGAGGTAAACTTATTAACTTTTACGATTATGTTCAGGGTGTTTGGAGATCTTTTGGAGGAGGTTCATTTTACGGCAGTCGATCGCCAGAGTGAGGATAACAAAATTGGCGTGCGTCGAACGTTTTAAGCTCAAGATCTATATTATATTGATGCCAGACATTCCGCCTACGTAAAACCGAAAACTAGTTTCTCAAGAATTAATTTATACTTTAAATTTCAAGTGTATTCTATTATGTAAGACTGTAAAAGTGTTTATCGTTCTCGACGTACCGGTGTTCAGATCTTCGACATGTTTGCTGTTTGATTCTGTTTCCTACGTGACTTTAAGAGTAGCTGTTTTTATTGATGTTTACGTTATAGCGAATCTTGACACGAAATCTTGGGCACTCATTCGCGGTTGCCTGAGCAAACGTTTGACAATCGCCTACGCAGCATATTAAACACAGAAATGACCCTTTTCTTGTCGCGCTGGATTATAAGTGATCCGTGCATCAGTATTAAATACTCGTTCGCGCCTCGATCATGTCTTCGGAGACACAAGTTCCATTAACTACTTTAAAGATTTGAAGATATTGGCTGCAAGATTAAATTAAGTTTTTCTTGCGGCAACCGTTTCTGTAAAAACAACTATTCTGCCACCGGAAAAATTTTTTTTCGTAACTATGTCTGTAGAGAACTGGCGTCAAATTGGATCATGAAAATTCTTAATCTTAGATTGTACATATTATAATAATTCCCGTGGAAATCAATTGAATGAGCGAAGAATTTAAATTTAACACCTGTATCAGCGATAAAAGACTTTAATGCTATTTTCACTATATGTTACCACCGTTACATTTTTAAATTTTATTCATTTTTTTTTTAAGGGAAAGCTTGTTAAACTGTTTTCGAGGCAGTTAGTTGCAAAGCAGAAGTGCAATGAAGATTGGAATGACTGTGAAAAACTCCGTTATTATCCTAAACTAGAACAATGGCTGCAGGTGGTAGGAATCAACGAAGAAGCAATTAAGGTATATTTGTTTTGTCTTGTCATTCCCTCACATGTAAAATCAAAAGCCTCACTGTCATTGTGTGCACAATGTTTTTATCACCCCACCCCTACTTGAACTTTTTTTTGCCATCTGATTCTGTGAAAGATAATATTGAAATTGTAAGGAATTGCTTTAAATTTTGTGTTTGTGGCCAAAAATATTTTTAAGAATGTAACATGGAAGTTGGTATTATCATAACATACATTTGCAAAAGGAAAGGTATCTTATTTTAGAACAAGGCCAAGAGTTTTAAATATTTATCTATGTTGGCTGGATTGTGTGTTTACATTTTGTAAGCACCAGTGTCCTGTGCTATTTTGTAGGTGTGTTGGGAAAAAATAGCATCTTGAGAAGATGTACCTCTTTGCCCAATGATTATATGGGAGTGTTGATCAAAGAATCTGATTTTAAGGACTTTTTCCATGTTTACACAGCTTCATATTAACATAAAAGATGGGAGAATTCAAGATGTGTTTAGATAAGGCAATGTGAAAATGGGAAAAGAGTCCTCTTTGGATTTTATCAAACTATTTCTCAAAACTTTCGCCTTGTATTAACTAATTTCTTACAGTAACTAAAATGAAAGAAAATGGAAATTTACAAATTTAGCATGAAAACATCATTTGAAAGAAATATACATATATATATATATAAATATTATGAGAGGAAAAAAGGACGTAACTACATTTCCCGACAAGCCTGTTTCGTGAATTGCTTCACTCTTCAGGGGTTTAATGGACTTATAAACAGGCTTGTCGGGAAATGTAGTTACATCCTTTTTTCCTCTCATAATATTTATTCTGCTCTGCTTCAACGTATTGAGCACTGTTCCACGCGAAAATCAACTTGCAGACTTCCTATATATATATATATATTTTTGTCACTTACTTATATTCACCTTATTTGTATTCACATGTTACCTATAGTTCTTTATTTGCCTTTAACTCCTTTAACCCTTCTCAGTTTACAATTTAGACCTTTGTTGTATTACGTAACCTCAATCTTAAAATTTATATTTTGTATATAAGTTGCAATCATTGTAAATAGTGTTTTAGTTTTTAATTACTGAAAAAGGCCGAATGGCTGAAACGTCATGCATTAAACTTGTCCAGAACAGTCAAGAGTTGGCCTCTTCCTTAGGTTCTTATAGTATACTTAAATTGCATTAATATTTTTACCTTTATTGTAGTGTTTCTGTTACATGTAGTATGTGTGTAGTGATTAGTTGATTTAGAGGGCTAAATTACTCTGTATAGCTTGCTAAATTCAAAAGTTTGTATGAACTGAAATCTTCTCCTTTGATTTAAATCCAGGGATATATTGTATGATAAATATCTATCACTCTGACAAAGGGCTAACACTTGAAATGTCAGGTTTTTTGCTCTTTACGATGGCCAATTTATGTTTTCAACTCAGTTGTTAACACTAAATTACCAAATATCTTACTTGTTTCATTTTCTCAGTCCGTACTGTAAGTTGTGGGATTAGGGTTTTTCCTTGTAGATGCACTAGCAGACTACACTATGTGTTTGTGGTTAATAGTTGTTGTCATGAGGTGAACAAAATCTAAGAGGGTAGTGAATAAAGCTCTGAAAATGGCTTATCTAAATTATGTCTGTGTCATGCAGGCTGTTTCAACAATACAATGCAGCAACTTTCTATAGCAACCCACCACAGTTCAAAAACTAAACCAAGCACTGATTGGTAAATTTGAAACGGTCTGCATACTTGGAATTCCTTTGATGGCTGAGTTTGGCATCAATCGTATTTAGAAAGCTATATTCTTCATTTCAGCATCAATTTTCTCGGAAAATGTGGAGCAATGAAGCTCAAATTTGGAAAAGAGATAGAACAACATCTCATCCATCAACAAGCCAGTTAGGAGAGATTTTCAGTAGTTTGGCATTAATTCCAATTTGAAGTGGAGGAGGTCGCAGCTGGCAGCCAAAAGTGGCTAGCCTTGTCTCCTTTCCTTTCTTAACTGCCTCCAGCCAAAAGTAATTTATAGAAAGAAGCTTCAAACGGCCCATGAAGGCAACAAAAAACCATAAATGAGTTGATTAACATTTTATTTAACTTTATTAAGATATTCAGACAGAGGTTTAATTTAAATATGCAATTTTCAGAGCTTTGCTCAACAATTGTTAACCTCAAACACATAGTGGGGTCTGCCTGTAGTAGACGTATGGCTCATGTGCTTTGTGCCAGGGCTATAAATCCGAGTGGATAAAGCTTGGTCTATAACTTACGACATGAACCTCAAACTCAGGGAATAAGAGGTTGTATTTTCTTTCAAATTGACAGAATTTGGAGGAGAAGTGCAGCACAGTGGAAGGTCTTTTGTCTTTGTCTGATGAGAAAGTAAAAGCAATGCTGGAGAATTATGCTGAAGGACAAGAAGAAAGTAGAAGGTTAATTGCAGCTCTAAAACATCTTCAGGCATATACAGGTAACAGTCATATATGTACTTCAATCCAAGCAGTTGAAGAAATGCTGAATTTTGCTAAATTCCATTCAAGAAAACTGAAGTTCCAGTTTGACTTCTTGAGATTTTTGCCACCCTCATAGAGCAAATCTCAGAACCTAGAAATCAAAGTTAACCCTTTAACTCTCAGAAGTTATTAACATGAAACTTCTCCTCCATACTTTAATCAGCAAACAGGTAATGTGAATCTTCAAAGTTGTCAGGCAGAAGCTGCTACCTAGATCTAGCATTAGGTTCTCATAACTAATTTAAAAGGAGATGTGTAGCAGCTAGAGGGGAGAATTAACAATCAGATCTTGGGAGTGAAAGGGTTTAGAGGTCATCAGATTCCTTGGGAGGATTGTGTCCATATGTTGATAATGACCATTAAGAAACATTATTTCAGAACTTTTGTTCTGATTAATGAAAAGAAATAATTGATCATCAAACTCACCTCTTCCCCTTCCCTTGTTCAAGGGATGTGTCTAATTTGTTTGAGGAAAAGCTACAATTAATAACACTTTATTACTTACTGCCATTTGAGCCAATTTGCACTGCCAGAAAATCAATTGTAAATGGAACAAAATATCTGGAATTTCGAAATTTCTGGATTCAAAGACAAGCTCTGAACATTATCCTCAATTTTCTGAATTGTCTTGATTCCTAATTTTCTTATCTGTGGGTTTTCTTATCCCTTAATTCACAAGATCTGATTGTTGATTCTCCTCTCCAGCTGCAACACGTTTCCATGTAAATTAGTTGAGAATTTGGCATAAGATCAAGGTAACAACTGCGACCTGATACAGTACCACTCAAAAGAAAGTTGAAAGTCTCTTGAAACTTGATCTTTGATACTTAATTCTCAAAAACTTTGAGGATCAAGAGTCGAGTGAGGTTTGATCATTTGATCAAATTCCATTTTTCGTATCAGGAAAGCTAGAAAGTGGCTTGTTGTGAGCTTGAGTCTTGTTGCATACATGCAAGCAGCTTCTGTGTTACAAAGCCACATGTCGTGTTTTGTCATAAGATGTTGTTTTGCAAGCAGGAATGGAATCATGTCCTCGGAACTGCAATGGAGATCCTCGAAAAGTTATTTGAACACGTCAATCCTTGATTTTTCTCAATAGTTTCTCACTAGTTTTGAGGATCGAGGATCAAGTTTTGAGTCATGACTGAGTGGTACTGTAAGTCTGGGTATCCTCATTACCTGGTCTAAACAATCTTCTGCGAGTCAAACAAGCACTTTTCACTCAACTAATTTATTCTTGTTTTCTCGTCACCATATTCCCACTGATAGCATTGCACCATTTTCTGCATGTAAACCCACACACATTACCCACAATTCCTCCAATCACTCTAACAAAGGGCTAATGCTCAAAACATCAGCTTTTAAACTCTTAACAGTGGCCAATTCATGTTATCAACTCAGTTGATAATACTAAATTACCCTGTTATATTTGAACTCAGAGGTTGCTTGCACATAATTATATCATGCAGCAGTCCTGTGCTATAAGGGACCTAAAATCATGTAAAATTTTGTTTTTGTCCCACTTTAGAGCGACAGAAACAGGGTCACAAAGACAGCACTTCAGATATATATTGGGATTCCTGGGATACAGGAAAGACAAGGGAAAAGAGCCTCTCTATCAGCCCCTCTGAGCGTTCGTCACGTTCCTCTGTCACTTTGGACAGTGATGTACCCCTGTCATCACCAAGCTCAGATGCTGACACTGAAGGTTCCCGACTGTCAACACTATCTGCAAGTGATACCGATAGTACTATGAGTCCTAAGCACATCGGTAATTCACAACCAGCTTATTTCAATATGATCAAGAGAAGTGTATCTGATGATGCAAATTTAGGTAAGGATAATTAAAAGAAGCAACCTTTTAACTCCCATGAGTGACCAAGACAGAATTTCTCCTTACAATATCAATTCAGTATCAAAACAGACAAGTGATGAGAACAACTAAGAATATAAATTAGAGAAATGCAAGTTGATCCAATACCAAATTCTCAAATGTTACATCATAAGAATTAAATGGCGGTCAGTAAGGAGAATTGCTGATGAGATCATGGTTGGGAAAGGGTGAATATGGTACATGTGTGTGTGATGGTGATGAAATTTTGGGTCCTAATGGCTGGTTTTCAAAAGTGCCTGAGTTGGGAATCCAAGTTGGAGTCATACGATCCCTTCACCCTTTAACTCCCAAGATCTCATTAGTAATTCTCCTTACTGTCTGCAAAACAGTTCTTGTGATATTAGTTTTGAGAATTTGGTATTGGATCAACTATTAATCCTCTAACTGATATTTTTCTTTATTCTCATCACTTGCCTGCTTGATATTGTATTGATATTGTAAGAAGAAATTCCGTCTTGGTCACTAATTATTTAGTTATAAACTTCTTGGCAGTCTGGTTTTCATAATTAACCCTTTTTGACCCCCAGAGTGACCAATGTCTAAGTTCTCCTTACAACATCACCCCTAAATCAAACATTACGGTCGCAAGAATAAAGGAAATGACCACCTTCCAGATAAGCCCATGATTGTTAAACAAATTCTCCTTGTCAGCACCTTAGGAAAGGTACAGAGAAAAGTATGGAGAATATGCATACTGATGTTGAGGTGTAAAGGGTTAACCATCTACAAATTTTGAAGATGAATGGCTAGTTACAATAATCAGAGAAAGTTAAACTAGGGAAGAACTAGGCTTTTACCTTGATATTAAGCTGGCTTATTATTCATATCCTTCAATAACCTTTGTTACTGTCAGTTCTTCGGAGAGCTTTAGCTAACTTGACCTGAAATCCACCAAGCATAAAAAAGCAATCCCTGGTTTTATTTCAGTTTAGGGGGATTCCCATTTGTTTAAAATGCTTGTCAGGACCTTAAAAAAAAGTGGAGAGAGTGCACAATGCATAATCACATGTATCACTGTCTAGAATAATTTTTACTTAGGAACTTGTCATTTTTTGTCTTCAGAAGGGGGAGGGGGCAGAGTGAGGGGGGGGGGTCCAAGACGATTTTGGTTGTATGAGGATAAAATTTACTTGATCCCTCCACAAGGCTCTGTAGTTTCCTAATGATTCCCTCATTGGCAATCAATTTTTAATAGCCTTTCACTTTGCTAGAGACAAGTTATCCCCACCACTGTTTCTTCTAGTCTCTAATACATGATAGACTCTTAGGACTGAAATAATACTTCCCTCTTAATGGTAATTTTATTTAATTTTATTTCACAGGGAACAGAATATTTGTGAACAATAATGAGAATCCATATTTGAATTATGGTAAAAAACGAGGAGGAAAGCTGGAACCTGTCACTCCTCTCACAATTAATATTCCTAAAAGTAGAAGTGGAGACATCTCACTACATTCCCAGTCTGATTCTGAGTCGGATCATAATCTAAGTAAGTTCATCAGCATAGGTAATTATCGTGGTATTTAAATGTAGTTGTACTCACCAGTGGAGAGGTTTTGTTTGAATGCTTGTTTGATTATCAATAGCAAAGCCTCTACACTATGTCAAAGTCTTATTGAGCATAAGACTTGGGCAAACAAATTCAATCTCGGGCTCTTACACTGAAACTATATTTCTTAGGCATATACATTGAAAGTTCCTAATTTTAACTGTTGATTTTGAGATAGCAAACTGCTGCTTTAGTTAAGTTCCTTTAAACTTACTGTTACTCTTCTTAAGATATTTTACTCCTTGTTTCCTTTGTAGTTGCTTTTAAAACTTTCCAACAGTGAAAATTTGTGCTACAAATGAATGTACATCTTAGTAACTTCATTTTCTCTCACTTTCTGAGGATATGTACCCTTCCACCCTCCCCTTCCCTAATAGAAAAACAAATTGTAAGAGTCTTAGGAAATGCATAAAGAATAGTATGGAAAATATGCATTCTTATGTTAGGGTGTAAAGTCTTCATGCACCAAACATACAGTCTTGTACTACATGTAACTGTGTAACCTGTTAACCAATCTATGGCCATTAACAAGGTGCCTTCATGTTGATGTTGTACAGTGTTAGTTAATCTTTGATATTCATCATCCACCAGGTTCCCATGCAATAAATAATTCTCCATCAAGGATTACTCACTATGGGATGGGACATACAATCAGTCACAGGTAAACAAAATATCTATTATCCTTTTGAACCCAAAGAGAGACTAGCATCTAACTTTTCCTTACAATATCAGCCCTGAATCAAAGATTAGGGTCAAGAGATTAAAAGAAAATGATTACCATCTAAAACAACTCTTGATTATGAAACAAATTCTCCTTGTCAGCACCTTAGGAAATGTATAGAAAATAGTATGAAGAATATGCATACTGATGTTAGAATGTTGAGGATTAACCAGATACATATTTGTATGCACTCAGGCAGCCATGATGGTAAAATCCAGACATATTCTTCATACAATTCTGAAAGGTGCAGGAAGTATTTCACTTCAAAATTTTGTACCCAGTTGAAAGGCATCTGGAAAGCATTTGACAAGGAAATGAAAAATGCTATGCCTCTTTTACAAGGTTTTTGCATGCTTTTCAATTAGTCCTTAAAAGCAGAATATGCAAAGAGTACATTTAAGCAAGCACTGAGAGCTGTAAACCAACAATACTCAACAGCTTAAAGTCATGTCTCCTACTGAGTGCCTAAGGTATGAGTCCTTCAATTAACCTTTTGACTCTTAAAAGAGTGACTCCCTACAATATCAGCCCTGAATCACGCATTAAGGTTAAAAGAATAAAATTAATGATTGCCAACCAAGGAAGCTCTGGATTGTTAAACAAATTCTCCTTGTCAGCACCTTTGTAAATGTAGATAGAGCAATAGGGAGAACATGCATACTGATATCAGGGTGTGATACAACTGATACATGTATTTTCACCAATGTTCTCAGTGTGACAGATTATACCATATTTTCTTCCTTTCTAATCAGGTTTTCACAAAAGGCATTTATGGTTAGTCTGGCTTGTGATCACTGCCATAAACTTCTTTTGGTTGGTGTAAAATGCAAATACTGCAAGTGAGTATGAAAAATGTTTTTTCTTTTTGTTTTCTTTTTCAGGTAATTTATTTATTTGTTTATTTATCATTTTCCATTCAAGTAATTGTGTGTATAATTATTATCCCAGTCAAAAGTAAAATGTGAAATAGTTCACTTTGTTAAGCTGTTACTTCTTTCTCACTTTGAAGGCTCAAATTTCACAAGAAATGTGCAAAAAAGGCCACTGCTTCCTGTGGGCTCCCTAAAGGGTGTAGTGACTTTTTCACTGCTCAAGTGCGACGAGGTGAGTTCTCCTTGTCAGGCCACGACCTATATGTTGTTTTCTATTCATGGCAAGAAATATTAAGAAAACAAGATGTGCTGTAAGTAAGTTGGGTGCTGAATGTCTTTTCGAAGCCGCTTGGTACATTGTTGAATATGGAATGTAAAATTTCGTAGCGCGGTTAAGGTGATTCCTCAAAAAAAGAAGTTGTCGAACAATTTTTTAAAACTTTTCTTACATGTTTCCTACCACTGACTGTTTCGAAAAATACAATAAGAAAAGACAGGTCTCCGTGCTAGTTTAAGAGATATGACAGGACAAACTTACCCCGTTATGCCTTTACTGGCGTTAATCAGCGCGTCATTTAATGGGTTCCTGGTACATTTTGCGGTAGCTGGAAGCTCGTATTTAGGGTAACAATTACAAAAAACTTGATAGGCAGCAATTCTCGAGCGTATGGAACAATTTGTTATACAATTTGTGGAAAAATTACGCAGTTTCAAACGACATCGACTCAAAACGTTCCTTGAGTCGATGTTTTTAAGGTTATGATTTGCATCATCGAATGACGGGCTTCGTGAATGCTTTTAACCAATGATATCCTTTTTTCCCTTCGATAATTTTTTTTTCTTTCTCCAATTTGAAGGGGATAATTTGTACACCAAAATTATGCAATGAAAAACGTAGATCAACTTGCTCGTTCACGAGCCAAAGACCATCGTACCTCTTTGCTTGGTCCATTTATTGAAACACAACACCGTGTTCTCGGGATGCGCGCGCGCTCATTCCCCAGATTACTTGATTTTTATGTGCAGTACAGGATGCGCAGTGCAATACTGAGAAACCACCTTAAGTAAATTATGAGACCGGAATATACAGTTTGTTTCATTGCAGAGGATCGGGACTGTTCATGTATTTAGACGGTGAAGTTTTTCACCAAAAACAAAACACATTTCTTGGTCTGTTCTTAGCCCTTTCCTAATTTAGAATGGTATTGGTCAAATAGAAATCTAACAAAATTGATATTATTTTTTTGGTGCAAACAGCTTTAAATTACCGTTCTTTACCCATGACGCGGTCTCATGTGAAGAGAACAAACTCTGAACCATCGAGCATCGCCCTTCAAGTAGATCTACCCGAGCAGAGATTCAACCAGAATCGTAGCCATGGTGATCTGCATACAGTAGACCCGAAATCTTGGACACCTGTTCCAAACGAAACACCAAAAGGAGTTGACTCCTGTTCCACGTCATCATCAACCTCATCACCACCTTCTTCGCCTCTTCCGGCGGCATCAGCTAATGTTAGTCTGTCTGCACAAGAAGAACTTGACCAGTTTCCAGAGTCACACTTCTCTTTCACTGGTAAATAAAACAATTCTATTCACTGGTATCAAAAGCATCCAGGAATATTGCAGCTCTGCTTTGATGCGATGACAACCCACTGCAGGTTGCTGCCCACTCAGTACTTTATTGTCTAAACTCTTGAGTGGAGAGAGGCACTGTAAGCTTAAAGAAAGCAGTGCAATTTCCTAGCCAGGGTGTTCGAGATTGCACGTGTATTAAACTGAAGACTGAGGAAAAGTCTTTTTGTAAACAGGATACTTGGTTGAAATTGTTTCTAAATTTATATAATTCTTGTGAATTTGTGTTCCCTTACCCCAGAGAAGTGCCTTAATGTAGAGAATGAACAAAGCTTTTTCTCAAGCATTGGGTTGCTATCAAGACTAGTCTGAAATTGTTTGCTGTGTAATGGTTAATGACACTGTATGGTGTATATTGCAGCTGCATTGTCTGAGACCTAAAAACTTTTTCGTTTTGAAATCCATAAAATTGTCTTTAGTTTGAGTTTTCTCTTAATAACTTACTCATGTGATAGTGTGCAACACCTTATTTGCCCTTCGTTTAGTCAGATTATGGTAAACTTTTGCTACAACGTAGTGGCAACATTGATTTTTTTTCTTAATTTTTAGATGTTTCAAGAATGACAGCTTCCTTGCACAGGTACTGCGCATTTAGTGTTACATTGTTGTGGGGTTCGTTTGTTTGATTCATTGTTTTTTTTTTAATTCCCTCAATAATTGAATTTTCCAAGTAAGAAAAAATTGATTTGCACTATTTCAGTAACGAGATGATTGAGTCAACCAGCACCTTGGTTAGGACTGAAAGTGTTAAGTCACGGCAGAGCAACAACACCACAACTAGTAATGACTCGGTAAGTTATTTATCACAATACTCTAACAAGAAGGTATTTAGAAGCCTGTCTTGAGTTACTTGTAATGGGCCGTATGACAGTTTATATGCCGTTTTACGTTTACATGTACACTTCTACACTGTATATTCAACCTAATTATGATATCCAGAGTGTACGGTACCGCTTCAGTAGTTCTTCGGATGAACAGTTCTTGAACTTCCTGGTCGTCATCTGATCACTGAATTAACTAGGAGGGACTTCACTTTCATCAACTTTGTTGATATGCAATGAAAGTGTTTGCAAATGAGGTTTTCGCTTTTTGTTTTGGTTTTGTTTTTTTTTTGGCAAAGAGAATTTCCCGACGAAAGCGCCTCAAAACTTGTGTCAGAGATTCAAACGCCGTGGTTGCAGTAGAATTTAGGCGGCTATTTTGTGGCCACATGCTGAAAGGTTTCTTTTCTTATTCTCTGACAGAGGTCTTCACGTAGGAAAATTTTTTGTCCCCTGAATGAATGTCCTCCTTTTTTTTTAATGCACGTTAACATATACATTTTACGACGTATATTGTATATTTCGAGCTGCTTAATAAAGGCAATGCTTCATAGAAGAAGGAAGACGGTAAATTTTGAGCTCGGTTGTCAGACAAAGAAAGATTGTGCTACATATTGTTTTTTTTTCTGTTTTTTTGTTATAAACAAACCAAAACGATGCTGTGTGTTACTTTTTAACAGACTTTGTCTGGAGAGGATGTCCCGGGCATTGACTCGTTGGACAGTCAGATCTCTGATGTGGACCCTGAGAGCAAGACTTGGAATCGTAGCCGAGTGGTAATGTTAATTTGAATTTCTCATAAAAGTTTCGACATGTGTGAAAATTATTCTGTGACTCTCAAAAACTGGTATATCTGATACGATGAAATAATCTTACATCTGAAGTATTAATAAAACGTTCACTATAATGCATTTGTAAGCCGTCATAAGCGTTGTGAAGGATTGTTTGGAAGTGCTTTGCCATTCCTTCCCAAAAGTACGGCCTGTGCAACATTATTAACAGCATTAATGCATGTACCTAAATTGCATTTGTTTCTCATTTTCTTAATCGCTTTCATGTAACAATCTAAATTCACATCTCAATCGATCAGTCTAAACATAACTTAATTGTCAGTCATATCTTTCTTGCGCTGTTTAGGTTTAAAATTTGCGATTGTGTTGTTGAGGGTGTTTTCAAAAAATGCCGTTGTTGGTGACAGGGAACGATATTTCAACAGCTTGAAAGAATCGTAACAGGTGCAACTGTTACGATCGTCATCAGGGTCAAAATAGATCATAATACTGTACGATCAACTGTTTCTCCTGGGTTCAAATTAACAAATATATCCCATGTTGCCGAGCGTCTGTTCAGTAATAGATCACAGATGACGTTAAAATGTGGTAAGAACAAACCAGTGGTACACAAGGCACGGCTGAGTGTGTCACTGATGTTCTTACCACATTTAGACGTCTTAAATGACAAACTCTACAGACTCAGCAATATGAAACATATTGCTTTTATATGTTTAAAAGTAAAAATTTTCTTAATGGTGACGTCAACTATGCGTTTTTCCTCCAATACATCATCAGTAAGAACCAATCAAACTACGTGTACAATTTAGAAAATGTACGACATTTTTCAAAAAAAATGTTTCTGGTTTATACAAAATACTAAGTTGAATTTCAAGTGTATAACAAAATACTCATGTGACAAAACAAACAATAGAAACAAAACAATGTATGCAATTACAAGGAAAGTTTTAAATTAACACGATGAAGTTGATGATTAAGTGTAGGTTACTCCCATTGAAAGTGAATAGTTTTTTTGATTTTAAGTTAGAGAGTTGTGGAAGGGAGATTTAAGATGCAGAAACACTCATCAAAACATAGAGTGCGACATTGTGGAGAATTTTGTAAATGTCTGAAAATGTGAGAGGTCCTATCACTGACCAAGCGCTCACGTTTTTAAAAAATGTAAATGTTCTTAAATTCGAGACATCTTTGCTGCTATCTAGACCTTTTGGCGTGTAAAATTCATATAACCATAATTACAATATATAGTGTATACACATGAAAAGATAACATTCGTCTTCATAATGAGCCATTAATTGCATGGTCACCCTCTTCTGATTGAATAACTCTAGCGATACTGACATTCAACATCAGCTGACATGAGTTAATCTTTGCATGTACGTGCATCACTGAAGCTGTTAAAAGAATGAAGCTAAATGTAAGGTCTTGCATGTTTCACTGACTGATAATTTATATGCGTTTTTAACGAAAGGTTAATAAAAAGGACATGCTCCTGGACTTACATGTGAGTAAATGATTCTTGAGTAATTGAAATTCATAAAAATCTGACTTCTCCTTTTTTTTCAAACTCAGAAAGTAAATAAATCAAACAAAAAGTACTTTTAATTATTGTTAATATTGATATTATTATTGTTATTTTTATTATCATTATTATTTTAAGTTTAAATTATTTCTAGAGGGTAAGATTAGAAACAGATTGACTTAAAATCCACTCTGATGTGGTGGAAAGAGAGTGGTTGAATTAAACATCTGTAGGGACAGGTTGTTCAAAGCTAGGTTAAGATAATCCAAGATTAGTGTAAAATCTGATTTCAGATCTGAAAGCTTTAAAAGAAAATTCAGTCGAATTTTTTGTCTAGAATATGATTATTTGATGCTCTAAAAAGAACACGGGAAACTATCCCAAAAAGGCATTTGAATAAAGGAATAAAGGAACCCAGATTAAAATTTAACTTTGGGTTTGCACTAATCAACCTTCTAACAACTGGGCCCTGAGATCCAAACTTTGCTGCAGTTAAAATTAAGCTGGAATTGTTTCTATACTTAAGAAGTTTTGAAAATTTTCAAAGTTTTCAGATTATGTCAGCTTAAACCCCATCCCCCCCCTCCCCCAACTCTGTCAGCAGTTCTCCTTACAATGTACTACTGATTTCCTTGGAAATAAGTCAAGATGAAGAAAAACACCCGAAGCTGAAACATTTATATATTGTCATCACCTCAATATGGGTAATGTGGGAATATTGTAAGAAAAAGTTCCGTACACCTATAGGAGGGAAAGGCTCCAACAGATATGGGCCCCTAGTATCGTTTCCGACTTTGAAAACGGAGTGTTATGTTGGTTTCGAATCGGTTCCGAGTAGTTTCCGAGAGATCACGAGGAATTTATTGTGCGAACTGGCCTATCCACAAGGTCTGAGATGACTCAATGAATGATAAAAGCATTCAACTTGGATTGTTTTCATTGCAGCAACGAGGTAGCCTAATGTCAGAGTGGGTGATACCGTTTGAAGAATTGAATATCACCGGGAGTCCACTGGGCAGTGGTAGATTTGGTAAAGTTTACAGGTTAGTCGGAGATCCTTGGCTAAGATTATAAAATAGGGAGTTGAAAAAAACAACGACGGCGACGGCAACGGGAACGTCACTAAACAAAAGGTTTAATGAGGAGAACAATGGCTCCGCACGTGAATTATAAATCTTTGAACATTTCTTTGCATTCCCTGCAAAACAACGTGAAATGACCAAACTTTGCGTAGTCTGGAGAACGTGAACGGCAACGACTAATTTTGTAAATTTCTATTTTCTAATTTAACGCTGTGTTCCATACTCGGTTTCGAAATAGTTTTGACAGTAGGTAACAAACTAAATTACTTTAGAGTATCGCGAGATTCGTAAGTTAAATATAAGTTCATTTCGTAACTGACGTTGTCCACCGCGTCGCAGTCGTCGTTTCTTAAACTCCCTAAAAACTGAGACCCTACAAGAGCCTTAGTTGGTCAAAAATCTATCGTTTATTGCACCTGTAAACCCAAATAAAATTGAACTTTATGTTATCAAAGAAATAGACCGCGCTTTCTATTGGTTATTTCTAATAAACTACTTGAGATCTCAATTTGGAGAAGACTCGAAAAGTCAAACATCTCACGTGGGTTATGACGCCGGTAAACCGTTAGAAGGTGCGGTCTATTACTTAAATAAACTTGTCTTTGGTCGTCCGGTTAATAGAAATCATGGAAAGGACTCTGTCAGTTGCATCAACAAACACGTCGACAACCTGAGTGGTAGTCACCATCGTGGAAAAGGATTAGTTAATTTGGCCTTGAAATTACCAGCTGTAAGACTCAAAAAGTGTGAGTTAGTTTAGATCCCTCAGTTAAGTTAGGTTGTTTTCTTCGATTTGTTGGTTGTGTTAATGTCGTTTGTACGACGCCAGTAGTTTGTTGACTTTTGTTAAGAGTAGACTGTTCAAAGTTAGAGAAGCAGCCTTCTAGCGAACGTCAGTTGTGTAAAGTAGTTCGTAGTTTCGGTCAAATACTGAGAATAATCCCTGTCGGTAGTCCCACGCTATTGCTGGACATTTTCACAGTCTTGCAGTCAATAAGATCAATTTTCACAAACCTGACTTAGTAGTGAAAATAAGGCCTGAAAAAATTCAGACTCGTGCGGGATTTGAACCTATGACTTCTGCGATACCGGTGGAGCGCTCTACCAACTGTGCTAACAAGCCAACTGGGAGGTGGTCATTATGTTGGTTCTAAATAAACCCTCCAAGTGGTGAATAAACGACTGTGAATATATGAAAATCATATATATGGGAACTGCGGTTGAAGAAACGAATGAAAGCGATCCTCGTAGTTATGAATTCTAGTTGAGTAGTGGTGAAAATAAGGCCTGAAAAAGTTGTTCACAGTCATCGATGACAGTCCTTTTCAAGACTTCTCTTACTCGAACGGTTAGACCGTATGATCAATATTTTCCAAAATCCCACAACAGTAGTGTGATTTTCACTACCTTTGTTTTACTTCAGGGGTCACTGGCACGGTGAAGTGGCTGTGAAGATGATCGAGATTGAGAATCCCACAGAGGAGCAGCTCAATGCCTTTAAGTTTCAAGTTGGAACTTTTAGAAAGACTCGTCATGAGAATGTGGTGTTGTTCATGGGCGCATGCATGGATCCTCCGAAACTTGCTATCATAACCAGGTAGGCAGAGAGTGACATTTTCAATTGCAACTAGCTATAATTTCCCTTGTAAAAGTTTGCTACGGAAGGTTACTCAGTGCTATCTGCAGTACTCTACCGACACATTGTTCACCAGTGGACAGAGAGGCGGAAAGAGGAAGCTTTTATCGTGACTTGATCTCTTTGATACAGTTCTTCTGTTTCTTTTGATGGATTTAAACTGTTTTGACTGCGTAAGAATGAATTAGGCTACACAACCGCCGAGTTACAGCGGAGCTAGAGGCTGTGTATTACAGCGATTGTTCCTCTCGATTATTTTTATTTTTTTAGTTGGCTTTTTTGTTTTGTTTTGTTTTTCATTCTGTTATTAAACGTTGCGTCTCGTTATCTGATTGCAGCATGTGTCGTGGGTTTTCCCTATACACACATATACACGTTCGAAAGGACAGCTTTCCTCTGGATAAAATTTTACAGATTTGTACTCAGATTTCTCAGGTAAGGAAATACGCAGAAAGATTGAATAAGACACTGAATCCTTGTGTGACGTGCTGTCTGTTAATCTTAAGTTATGATTGGATGAGGTTGATAATAATATCATAGGAAAACTGAATTCAATAATTGTTTTATTAGACATCTTTTAAACAATCTGCGAAAGAAGACATGTCTGAGTTTGCAATAGTTTGATAACTCGTACATGGACAAGGGGCTTAAAAACTAGGCATACTTTGAATTTGACACGATAAATGCAATATTCATTGCAGATATAACTTTTAACGCGTCAACTTCACACGCTATTGTATATTGTACGTCGACTGTAAACGTGGAAAAAAATTTACAAATCAGCAAGTAACACAAAGCGCACGAACTTGAAATGATTATCCTCAGAAATCATGCATCGCGGTCATACATGACATGATTGTCCGTGACCTTGAGTGTCCTTGACATGATTATTGTATAATCTGCAGCGAGATGACGTCCTAGGCGCTGATTTCGAAAATTCATCGTACATTTTCGGCCAATCAGAAAAGAGATAGTGAGTTGAATGTGTAATAATACTACTAATTATTTACTAACAGGGTATGGGTTATCTTCACGCGCGAGGTATTGTTCACACTGACCTTCGTTCCAAGAATGTATTTCTGGAGTCATACAATCGCGTGGTGATCACAGATTTCGGGTTGTTTAGCGTGGCTGGGTTGACAACCAAATCTGTCAGGCCAGGTTTGTTGATGATTCCACAAGGATGGCTTCCATATTTAGCTCCCGAAATCCTTCGTTCGCTTACCACTCAACAAGATGCGCCGGACTCATCACAGTTCACCATGGCAACAGACATGTACGCCTTCGGGTAAGTTATTAACTGTTAACAGTGCTTCACAAGCACACTTCGCTGGTGTGTTCCTCTTATTTCTTTCTTACCTTTTTCCTCTTCTGCCGTTAATGTAGTTTGTTGACTTTCCGACCAGTATATGTGCAAAAGCCAAGCTGGAAACGGGAAATGTATGCATAATACCTGCAAAGGGTCCGGTCCGGTCATTATTTTTTTGCCAGGGCGGGCGGGGAGGGGGGGGGTGCGGCGGCAGTAGGAGGGTTTTGTCTGCCTTCCCCCCCTCATGAGGCTCTGTAATATTCGTACTTAGGCAAGCACTTTTCTGGTACTATGTTGGCGACTAAAACGCCCTCTATTCCCCCGAAAACTATGTGATCCCTCTAAACTCCTACCCCACCCTCCACTAGGCAGGAAATAATGACAAGGAGAAAGTGTAAGGCGCTCAGAGTTCGCCAAGCTGCTGTTTTATTTTTCAAATGTGATCGCCAGGTATATGTTCTCACCATTACAGAAATGCAAGGCAGGAAACTTGATGCTGTTCTAGCATCTGGGTCAGGAAATATTTCTATTCGGTTTCGAAACTGTTAAACGGAACTGATGTTTGGTTTTTGTTGGTAGGACTGTGTGGTATGAGATGTGTTCTCGCTCCTGGCCATTTGAGAAAAATATACCTGAATCCATAATCTGGCAAGTGGGAAAAGGAGTAAAACAGTCGTTAGCAAATATAGATATTCCGAGGGAAGTTAAGGTATGCAAAATTACCACATTTGCATGGTGAATGGCTAATTCATAATGAAAATAGGACTGAATGGAATCTCATTTGGTCTCCTCTCCGTGTAATCTTATGATTGATTAACAAACTCGCACGACCGTGAAAGGAGAGTCCGATTTGTTGAGAAACAATACTGTAACTGATCGATCTACGCGAAAGCGTCAAAGCAACACGCGATGTACATAATACATAAATCCCTTGAGCCAAGATACTTTGAGCCTAAAAAAACTAACGTGAGAGGGATTGCCTTAAGACTAGAGCCTTTTTGGGGTATTCAGTCTCCAAGATTGCTCCTCTCTCGTCTTCACTTCATGCTCTCTGTTCGTCGTAAATGCCATAGTATAGTGGAAGTGCAGTGAGTACTCTAACTAGCTTGATGTCACTTCTCTCCAGTACCCCTGCAAACAAATTAGACAGATCAAACGGAAGATGATTTAAAAACCCTAGTTGTCAAGAAGCATACAAGAGTTTGGGAAAGTTTAGATGAGGGGCTACCATAGAAACAAATCCTTTTGGTGAGCAAAGTCGGACGTGGGTTTATTTCGACGCACTCACCGTTCGACTTCGCTACCTCACGTTGAGATCATTTTCTTCTTTTTTTAGGATACTTTAACAGTTTGTTGGGCATTCGAGCCAGATAGACGACCAACTTTCGGAAATTTACTGAGAACTTTAGAAAGACTTCCAAAAATAAGACATACGCAACGGCTACACAGAAGTCCATCTCAGCCGTGCACTGTGGGGAGAGGGGCTGAGAATCTGATATGAAGCTATCATGTCAATTGAGCGAATCAAGGCTGTGGTAAAAAAGGCAATAATCTTTGCTGTCTTCGACGCTACTAGTATGAGCGTGTTTCTCCCAGTGTAAGCAATCAGGGACCTTAAGCAGTCAGGACAGCAACGCCAAGGAAAACTTCGATTAAAAAATGAATTTCTGCCTTAAATTAGAATTTCAAAAATGGCTGCATTTGTTTACCGTCTCATACAGCGCCACACCTCAACTTCAGCATACCGTATAAAAGAAGCGTTGAGTTCCAAATGGAAATTAAAATAATTTGTCGTCGCGGTCTCGGTTCGTAGACGACGCAAATTGTGGTGATTTCACGTTGTTGCTTTGCATAGGACGGCTAAGAAATTTACAAAGTTTTAAAACGCACGTGCTGAGCTATTGTTCTGCCAATTAGATCTTTTGTTTTTCCACGTCCACGTTGCAGTCGCCGTCGTGGTTTGCTTAAGGTCCCTATTACCTACTGAATAGAGGTGTAGTTGTCATTTGGGATGTTTGCCATTTCACTAGTGCAGCAGTGGGTCTGTTTTTTTCCCTCTTGTCTATGCACATTCTTCCTTATGGTTCTCTGGGAAATTTCTTTTGTATGAACTTTTTCCTTTTAAATAATCCACTGTCAATATCTATGAATGATAATTGATGACCGGCAGATAAATAAGGTTGTTACAAATTTCTAGATCGGAGGACTTTCGCTACCAAGTTACCAAGACTACTGAGGTTTTTTTTTAACCAAGACTAGATTTTTTTTTAAAATTTTATTTTCAAAGAGCATTCTCCCCTGCATTTTAGAAGTATTCGTCCTTTTTTTTACTGGTTTTTTTTTTATCTTTTTTATTTTTTAATCATTTTGTTATTGCTCTAGAAAACGTTTTACTTTTACCCAGGTATGGCGCGGTACTGCAATTGTTCCTGGAAGGTTTTTCATATTTTTTTTAACCTGATTTTTCTTCTTGTTATTATGCGCTAAATGTGGCATCAGAGGGGCCCAGAAACCTTCAGAAGCCTTCTGTTTATGAAAAACAATGTCGCGTCATTTTAGATTGTTGTACACGATGAATAGATTCAATATTAGGAGGGCTTCAAATTTTTAGTTTGACATCAAAAAGGTGTTAAATAGGGAGGGGTTGGTGTAGGACGGAAAAGATTGACAAAATTACTCACAAATTATTGTTTAGGCTCCTTAAAAAAGCCCATTCTGGTATACTAGTTGTGCTTCAACCATCTCTCTTCCCCAAGTTATGATAAGAGAAACACTTCAGTAACTTGACAGTCAGTATATCTTAAAGAAATCTTTCCAGCCTCTTTCCTTGTATGTTCACAGAGTTTTTTTTTACTAAGTTTTACTTTGGTATAAGTTGGGCGCAACAAATTTGGTAATAAACATTTATATAGTTTTAGAGTAAACAAGTCTTACGGCCTTATCAGGCCTTCGGCTTAAGTTATGTCTTATGCTTCTCCTTTGTCTAAATATTACGGCAGATGAGACAAAGACATGTTGTGCTGCGATTTCTTACCCAGCAATAGGTAGTAACAGCAATTTGCAAGGCGTTCAAGCGAAAAGAGTTTTCGATTACCTCAAAATTTTAAGATGAAGGAAACAAAATAAATTGTAAGTGTATTGTCCACGCCTCTGGGCACATAACAGAGGCAACTGACACTCTGTTTGGACTCTTTCACCCTCGAGGTCTCCAGAGTAATTCTCCTTGTCTTTCCTTAATGTTCCAATGAGTGGCAAAAGAAGAAGACACGTCTCCGTTTAGTAGGTAGTCGGCTCTCCTTCTCCACTCAACATAATAAACAGAAACCTCTTAATTTATGTCTAAAAAGCTTATTGAAAGTCCCACCCCCCCCCCAAATAATGTTGCCTGGTGGTGACCATTATTTTACACCAACACTGGCATAAAGGAACTTTGAAATTGGAAGAGGGAGAGACAAATGAGAATTCTCGTTAAAAAAAAGCTAAATAGTAGTCGAGCGTATTGAGGCTTTTGCTACTCATTGTTTTTCTAAGAATTAAATGGTTAGTAATTCCCCTCGTGGATCTTTTTGTTCATTTCACCACTAGTCTTCTTGATGGTGTATTAATATTTTATTGATAAATTACTTCTTGGTAATCGTTGAGAGTGAAAGGGTTTAGGTGGCCAAATAAAAGTGCTGTTGGTGAACTTACGGACTGTAAGTGAACATAAGTAGTGAACGAACATGAATTTTAGGTACGATTTCAGTTCATATGAATTGTAAATAATTATTTCGAGTTGTTTTTTACTTACAAAGGCCCCTCAATCCAGGGATGTAAATACGTTTCTTTGAGTCCATTTACTCCAGATGAGGGTAACTTGTACAGTTTTCAGGGAAGTATTTCATGATTGTTATAATTGTAATATTTTCAATTTTTTAGAGACTGTTTGTAAGTCTCGTAAATTATGAATTGCTGTATTCAGTCAGTTGGAAGACCTTCTACTCACATCTCTGAGTTTAAAATAAATTCTCCGTATTGCATTCTTTGTGTGAAAAATTTCATTGATTTTCTGGAGCTAAAATTTCCGTGGGCCCAATCACGAACCTTCGTTCTGGAAATGAGCTTACGCTCCATTTTCCGTTTATCCCCCACTCCCCCAACCAAATTTCCTTCTCGGTACGATCGAAGAACGAATCCGAGGAAACGGCCGAAGAGAGTCCACAGGTTATTTAGGTCCCTTGTACGCAATACGTTCAGTTGTCCTTAGCAACATGCAGTCTTTCATCGGTCTCAATGAATGCGTTCATCTCGGATCTCTTCAGTTTTTTTACTCAAAGTTCGTTTCCTTGTGAGTTCTCTGTAAATTTCATCATATGTGAAAAGGGAGTTTTCTTGTACTATCTCTTTTCTGATTCCTGGCACAAAAAGGTTCCGTTTATTAGGTTAATTTTCGGTCAACAAGCCCAACATTCGATCCTTATGTAGTGTTTAGGATCTTTGTCAATATAACCAATTGTTAAATGATAAAATTACAATTATAGTTAATCTACAATATCGTAAGGGTTTCCTTGTATTGGTGTCGGAAAAAGGAATGGAAATATTATATTATTTTAAGTCATTTAATGCAAATTGTAAAAAGGGCAGGTTGATTACTTCGTACTCCTTCTTGGTGGTCTTATCTTGAAGGTTGAGTTTGGTCACGTTCTTCTTGTGAGTTTGGTCACGTTCTCCTAGTGAGCTTAATCACGTTTTCCTCGTTGTGATCGTGAGGATGACATGAACTCGTGATAAGCCATGTTCTTAATTAAGTTAATTTGTTAGTCCGGGAAGAGTAAATCTCCCTGGTAATAGGTCACGTTCGACACCTTCTTGTCCCCAGGGGTATTTTAAGGTGTAAACAGGTGATACCCCTCATGTTTCGCAACCAAAAGCAATTTGGGGGCGGTACTTGTGAGCGCCTTTCTTCTTTAACTCTTGTGACCAAGATGTTTTTATGTAACAATCTTTAAAGGTGATTTTCTCTTAAGATACCCTTTCAGGTATAAATAATACTCTGAACCAAGGTTATTTGTAATTTTTATATTATCGATCTCGTTTCTGTTCTAGCCGATCTCAACCGTAAAGATATGAAAATTAAGGAGAAATTGATTTTGTAACTGCGTAAACAACTCTAAGGTGCATACTCAGTATGAGGGAACTGTAATACGTAGTCAAGCGTGATTCGCTAGTTGAGATGGTGCAACGACGACATAAGAAGATCTGCAGTGTCACCTTTATAATCGAAGACTCTAGTTTTCCCTGTCAGATAGAAGCTAGTCCCCGTTGTATCAATTTGTGAAGAAAGAGAATAAAGAAGAATTAACCCATCAAACGACGAGTGTTAGAAAATTAATTTCTGATACAATATAACGTATTGAGTCAAATTCAAATACTGCCAATGGTCTCCAGTAACATAGACGCATCGTGGGCGAGAGTAGAATCTACTCCTCCACATCTCGTGATTCGTTCTTCCCCAGTCGACGCCACACATGACTTTAAAACCACAGTGAGCCTATAGACAATTGCCTTTCAGTTGACGTAGGAGGGAACTGTTCCAAGGACGGCCGTCGTTTCAATTCAATTTCCTAAAAATGAAGTAACTGACGTTGAATTTGAAATTGTCTGGGCGTACTCTATGGGGTGGTAAAATGGACAAAGTGCCTTTTGGTAATTTTCCTTCCCTATCCAAGCATAACTATGCCCTAAATTCAAGACTTTACTCCTCGATCTACACATATGACTCTAACTAAGTAAAATAATTGATCCATTAGAAGTTGTGCGTATTGTGATTAAAAGAGAAGGTTCTACTGAATGGGCAAATTTTTCTCATTTAAAAATTATATTTCGATTGAATAATTATGTTGTACTTAGTAAGTAAGTAATATATTTATAGTCTCTAATAACATATCTAGTAAATGCGTGTAAGTTTATATGCAATTGCTTGAGAGTGCCTCAAATGTTTCATTGAGCACGCTGGCGGAGATTCTATGTGATTGTACTAAGGCGTGACATGCGTACATAGGAAATATCTTATGATAAAACGTTAAACTACCGCTATCAAAATGGTATAAAAAAGCTGGCTCGAGTATTAACTATGCTTTCTGTCAAGATGTAAAGCACTTAAAAAGTTTGACGAGCTTTCAAGAGGTTTAAGTGAGTTCCTTCCGGTTGCGACCTGAGCAACTCTTACTCATCTCTGGTGCTCTACTAACCTCTAAACACTTTCTTTCTCAATGAACTTGGGCCAGTATAGAAATCAATAACTAATCGATAACCAAACACACCTGCCGATAACGCAATTTTCGGAAATATTTCACTCGGTCCCTGTCCTTTGTCCGCGCGTCTCTGTGTTATCCACTGAGGTTTGTTTGTTCCAGCGTATCCAGCGAAAGCAAAAGATCCCCTGTGGTCCGGCGCTATAGGGTCAGTAGCGCCCAGTCTCTTAAGCGCATCAATCGCTGGCGACATGTGTTGTGAGCCATCATCTTGAATAGCAACTAACACTATTTTACTGTGAGGGAAGAGAAGTAGTATTTATACTAATTTTGTGAGAGCTAAGAAAAGCCGACAAATTATTTAACAAGAAATACAAGCGTAAAATTAAAATCTCTTGTGGTTACGTGGATTTTAAAATCATTTTCTTCGGGGAAAAAAATTGCATACTAACAAACTGATGTTTGAAATCAAGCATTGAGTTGACAGAAGTTCAAACAAAAGTTACAATGTATTGGAAGGCCATATAACATACCAATCATGGAAAAAAATGTCCTAAATACATTTAATTAAAGACACTAACACTACAGACCCTTACTCTCAATATCGTCTGTGCTACGTTGTGAAATTCAAAGTGGTTCGGGAGTAATTACGAGTAATTCGAGCTTTTTTTTAAATTCTTGAAATTTGTCAATAAGCGAAGTTATGATGTCGATAACTCGAAAGATATTGATTTCAAAATACATAGATAAACTATATCTCAAGTAATTTGTTTCAGAAATGTTTGATTCCTTTTTGTAGGACTTTAGGTTTGCCCCACACTATCAGTTTGATATCGATTACAATTCAACTAAAAACTGCAAGTTGAAGGTGTTTCTCAGGAACCTTGAGCGTTGCTCTGGTAGCCTTAGATTTTACAAAAGAGACTCAACGTGTTCAGACTCGATCTGACATTTTCCTGAATGAAAGCATTTTCAAGGATATGCACTTATGCTAGTACCAGTCTCTTCGAAAACTGCCATTAAAGAATGAAACTATTTTATGGCGCATTAAACATAACTTACTGGCCATGAAGACCGTTAAGGTAATCTTTGAGTCCATTACCCGCCGAGCTATTTTTATGAGTATCAAATCCTCTTGTATCGAGAACTTCACCTGTAGGAATGGAAAACTAGTAAAGACAACCGCATAAACATGACCTAATGAGATTTTATTTGAAATTGTGAAAGATACCCTTTTTTCTGTCAAGCCATTTTTTTTCCAGATTAAGTAAGCAGGAGGAAAGTGATTACGTAAGAACGAATGAGTGAAGGGGGTAAAGAAACTGTGATGCTGCGTCGGTGGGAAAGTATAACAGAGTAATTAAGTATTATCAATTAATTTTCCCTTTATAATGAAACTTTGTGGGGTCTTACTTTTCCACTAATTTCGAGGAAGGCAGATTGTCAACCTAACTCATACCCCCACTACGCGAGCGCGTGAACAGATGTCAATCGTTACGTACGACAAGTTAATAGAGTCAAGCGAAACGACTCAACTGACTGGGTACGAAACGAGCGTGGGTACGAAACGACCAGTAACCAATACAAACATTCTGCGACGGTTTTTAGGGTAAAACTGGGTGATTAGGACTAACCCAACTATTTAATTTTCATGTCTTTTGCGCAACCAGAAGTAGAGCATGTAAGAGGCTTAATTCCAAGGACTTATCACAATAGTCCTCCTTTTTTGCCAGCTTTGAAAGCGCTAGACAGAGACCAGAGTTAAACAGGGGAGATTTACTCAAGCGGCATAGTTCGTAGTACCTGTTGCTCCGTCCACAACAACAACGTTATATCCTCTGCTGTGAGGAGAGTGATCTGTTCCATCCACCTTGATGTAAGCTTTGCCGCAGACGCCTGCTCTTCCTGCATCCTCACAACCCTCGCTTCGAACGTGAATATCCAAGACACGAACTGAAACGAGAAAAAGAGAAGACTGATTATTGCAACTCTTCCTTTTTCTTAAAATGAAAAGAAAAAATGAAGAAAAAAAAAGAAAAAATGCAAACAAAAAAAACCAAAAACAAACGAAAAACGAGAAGACTGATTATTGTAACCCTTCTTTTTATAGAAACAAAAGGGGAAAAAGACAAAACGAAAACAAAACAAAAGAAACAATCAGAAAAACAACCCAAAAAGCACCTATAATTTTGGAGAAAAAAAAAAATCTGTTTGTATGTCAGGAAGAAAATTCTGCACGCCTTTTGGTTATGAGCACGTTAATTGATCCCAATCAGAAAAAAAAAATTTAAATTAGCAGTAACATTTGAAATAGGTGAAGAAAGTTGAAATTAAATATATATGATATATATGTTTTAAGTAAACAACCAGGTTGCGAAGCAAATCTTCAAATTGCGCTGTCTCTCATTGGAGACAATTTTTTAGGGGGGGTTACTTTATCAAATCTTAAAAAGCGCTCAGTGTCGTAATCTGATTTACAATTTTCAATGACGGAGATAAGAGTTATACGATATCAGGAGCATGCTTTTCCTTTAGTCTTACCGGTTTCACAATTCCGGCTGGTAAAACCTGGTTTGCAAACACATTCATAATCGTCTTGACTGTATAATGGTCGACAGAATAAAGCTCCTTGCTGACAAGGGTTGCTCATGCAGGGGCTCTGTTGAAAGAAAAAATCGTAAAAAGAAAAAAGTTAACATTTAATCAAGACTCGAGAGGTGCACCGCACGCCCAAACCTACAAGCGGAGGGATAAAGAAAGGGGCTAAATCTCGAAGGAAACAGTTGGGCGTGTGCGTGTAGTGTGCACGTGGGGGCGAGGGGGGTTTGACAAGATATTTGGTTTTTATCAACTGAGTTTAAAAAGCTGAGCGTTAGTCCAAAGTCATTCGCTTTGACGAAGGACTGACGCTCGAAATCAGCTTTAAAACTCTTTACGGTGACCAATTTACAATACTAACCAAGAGAATCTCTTGTATGAACTCAATCGGAGGGATAGTTTTTTGTACAATAACAAGGTCGTGTATGTCAAAATTTAATAATTTAATCCAAATGAGCCAAATCGAACGAGAAACATCTCAGTCTGTAAGGTACAGTGTAGGTCACGGCCATTAATCCCCCCAGTAGTGCATGAAATCAAAGAATGGACGAAGTGCTTTACAGCTTCGGCTAACGCTAGCAGTGTCTTATTTTTTTTCTATGCTTTTGGTTGTTAGGAAGCAACATTTATTATGCCGAAAAACACAGCTTAGTTCAATTACCAAAACAAATAGCCTGACACCTGCCTTGATATTATAATGGTCGAAGGTCTCGTTGAGAGCCAAGTCATTCGGTTTTTGGAACTTGTCCGCGTTTAGTAACTCGCACTTGTGAGTTCCGTCAAGTGAAGCTGCAGCAAAATTGACTGAGTAACATTCCAGATGACTAACACAGCGATGAAGACACTCTTGGACTTTGTATACTCTTATAATGATTAGAACTGCGACATCAAGTCTTTGCAAAGGATTTTTCACAAAACTAGCGTAGTTTACACCGTATTGGCCTTCTCGTCTGAAGGTCTGAGCGGATATGAGCGTGTATATACCAATGGACAGCACGAGTTTTATGTACGATTTGATCCTCTCCATTTGTTAGTAGCATTTAAAAACTGAGTCAGTGAAAGCTGTGGGTGAAGTGAAGATGAAGGTTTGTTTGTTAAACCTACCGCAGAAAAATTAATTAAAATGTGTTTTTTTTCGCTTAACAAGAAAGTTCCAATGAGGTTGCGTAGTGTTCAATCAACAATTAATGATCAAGTGTTATATACGAAGGTTGACCTAATTACAATTTCCTAATTTACTTTCGACGGTGCCTGATGCGTCATTTGAAAAATGAAGCACTTTTGATTAGTTGCTTTCATCCATAGCGTGGGTGATAAAATTTTAATTTCGTTTACTGCTGCGGAGAAGGCTACAATATGGCCAAAATTAGAGTATGAGCGCGTTTCTCTCAGAGTAAACAAATAGGGACCTTAAGAGAGTGTCTCTGTAAGAGCGGTCCGGTCGATTTTGCTTGAGACAAGGATTTCGCTCGTTTCTTGTGTGTTGTAAGACATTCATGTACCTATACTAAAACCACAATCAGTTTGATCGGATCTCTTTATTTTTCAGAGTTTTACGGAAATTAAATTTCACTCGAGCGAAGGCTTGTCGTGACACTTTTCAAGACTTTAATTTCATACAACTTTGGAGGACAATTTACAAAAAACTACGGGACTCAGCAAAAAACAAATATTACAGCCATGTATATTAACTCTATCTTATCTATCGAGGCGACTTTCGTAAACATCACGTGTCAATCAAGGAAACAGGAAGACTTGAATGACACCTTATCGGTTCGCCTAAATCAAACACGCCAAAACCGATCAAATTCAAGGTAAATTTTTGAAAAAGTGAGGCGTTCTTAACTGATCCAACTAACATAGCTAGCAAGTAGGTGCCATAGAAAAGATAACTACAGAAAAAAACTTTGCGGCCCGACCTTTACGAGAACTTTATAACTCCGTGAACTTACCTAATTTTCGGCAATCTCCAAGTTTGGCCGCCATTTTGAGGGACTCGAATGTGAAGTACGAATCAAATAACATAACTGCTTCATCTTCGCGGCAATATCACGCTGGTATTTCGATTTTCCGATCGACGAGAACGGTGATCAGGAATCGATCGGTTTGTTTACCTCATAAACGTGACCGCTGACCAGCCGCTAAGTGAAAACAGCATAGCGCGGGGTGGGGTGGGTGGCTGGCTTATCGTCATAAGATATTCGAATACATGCTCAAAAAGCTCTAGGACTATCAGTCTAAACAGTGAAGGCATGCTTTGTGGTACAGACAACTTTTATTTTATTTTCATAACTTTCTCCTTTAAATTAGAACTGGTATTAATTAGAATTATTAAATAGAGTTATCAATGTATTTTTAACCGGGTACCTATATAACCTTTTTGCTTATCATCAGTGGTATAAAATAAGGTGTCTTTTCCACCAGAACTTTTATTTATGCCCCATTGCACGGAATGAACACTATACTTAGAATGTTTGCTCTAAGTAATTTTTTCTGTTCCCAAGAATGTATGCAAAGTGATAGAGATTTGATTCATTCCGCTGACACGTTCTTTTAAGTTATGACGCGTGCAGGTTTTTTCTATCAAAAGTCGCACGTGCAACATACCAGAATTGAAAATTCGTCGTAAAATCGCACGAACCTTAGAATGAGTGTAGGCAACTTTGACTTCTGGCGAGATTAATTGGATGGTTCAAAGGACCCCCTGAGATTTTTTTCAGGACTATAACTGAGATTTGTTAATAACTATGATAATCGTCATCATTAGCGGACGGTGCTTTTTGCCCATTGTGATCATTATCGTTATCACGCCGGAAGAAGTATAAAGCCGGCATGTCGCCATACCTAGCTACACAGAAAATTGTTGACTCTTTTGCTCCCCTTGGATCTGGAAACTGTTACTATTAAGACGATCAACAAGAAAGCCTTTATAGTTATTGAAACTTTTGATCAACAGAATGTAAGAAAAAATCGGTGGGGAGAGTTTTTCGCGTATCTTATAATCTTAACGATAGTTTTAAATAAAACAAATAACAATTAATTCAATTTACCTTAGTTGTCTCGTGTTTAAAAGTGGCGTTTCTGGGGACCATAGATTCTTCTCTGATTCTTCTTGTCTCAGCTAAGACTCACTATCATCAACTTTTTTCTTGTGCTTCTTACGGCATGGGACACAGAGAGCTGAGGTAAGCGATTGCAAATTTCTCAGTTAAAGTAAAGCCCAGTAGCATCCATCAGGAATTAAAAACCGACATGCACTGTTTACTTTTATTATTCTTAATCAAATAAGGGGTGTTTTAGTCTGCAAATTTAATCATATTGGTTAATGAGAATCATACAAACTGAGGAAAACTGACCGCAAATAATTGTGAACCGTACGCATGAGTAAGTATATTGCGTTGTCAGGTGATTTGATCTTCTACAAAAACATTATTGATTATCAACCGAGAAACATTGTACATATTTCCATCTGTAATAAAAAGCACTTACACATAGATCTATTTTTTTCAACGTGATGCGTACTTAAGTACCCTTCATCTGATAAAGAATTTCTTCTCTTTTCGAGCAGATATGTCACATGACAAAAATAGATAACAGAAAATGTTACTGAAGACTATCTGATTCAACTGGAATAATAACTCCAAACAGCTTTTTAATGTCCTGAGACATGTGCAAGGGAATTATATCTCTGCCTTGGATACGCTTCCTGACACCATCATGATCAGGATACTGACATGTTACCTTTGCACTTCTCCAAAACTTCCCCAAAGTGTGGCGATGCCTATAGCAAATCCACATTTTTTTATTTATCCTCCTGAGCGAGGTGAAATACGCCAATCCTTGCCAAGATTAGCTCATTTTCACTTAAAAACCTCTTTAGACAGGTGGCAGCTTATCAAATGATGTTTTACTTCGTCATCGCATTCAGACAGTCGTACCAAACCACTTCAGCCACACGATGAACCAAAGTTTTTCCATGTTTGCTATTCAAAAAGCAGTCCTGAGACATAATGAACGTCTCGCTAATGAACGACTTCTTCCTGTACTTGTAATTGTTTCCAACGCGATACAAGTGCGGGAGATCTAAAGGAACTCACTATAACTTTGTGTATTCGATACGATTTCAATTTCCGCTTCAAAAGAGAAGCCTACTGTAATTCGAGAGTGGTCAGTGGTTACGCTCGTGAGGTAAAGAATGGGTTTGTGACTTTCTCATTCAATTGAAAGACTCGCGTCACTCTTATGAAATGGTTGAACGGAATACAGACTTCGAGCGGTCTCTTATTTTTCTTAAAGATAGTGAGGTCACGCGTATCCTGTGAGCATGGTGAAGCCGCGAGACGCGAGACTCGTATCTCGTGTCTTCGCCGCTCCACGCTCTCAGAGTTGGGCAAAGACAAGACACGTTATTTCCGGTGCAATACAAGAGGTTCAATGGTTATCTCGATTATCTAAACACATTTATTTAGGTGATAAAGATTTGTTTTTAAATCTATGAACTGATGCTAGTCCTATTTGGAAGTTTGAAATAAAAAATAATACTAAGTAAAACAAAAGTTGTCTGCAACACGAAGCATGCCTTCGCTTTAAGACTGAGAATCCTAATGTTTATCATGATACTTTAATGCATATGTTCGAATGTTCCCGAAAATCTTCTGATAATCTGCCCGCACCCACCCCTCACCCCGCCCCTCGCCACTGAACCGTACTGTTTTCACTCAGCAGCTGGTCAGCGATCACGTTTATGAGGTAAACGAACCGATCGATTCTTGATCACCGTTCTTGTCGATCGGAAAATCAAAATACCAGCGTGATATTGCCGCGAAGATGAAGCAGTTATGTTATTTGATTCGTACTTCACATTCGAGTCGAAGCTTGGGTGGCACAGGTTATTTCTTGCGGTGGAATCGACGAGGGGAATTCAGAAACTTGTAGTGGTTGAATTGTTGGAATAAATGGTCGCATGGGGATGGTAAGTTTAACGAACAATTTCAAATTTTGCCGCTTGAATTGAAAGTAGAGTTCATTTGAGTTGCTTTCGTATATATTTCTGACGGTTTTAGATTAACCTGCTTGATTTATATCGGTTACGCTTCATGTTGAGAAGTCCCTCAAAATGGCGGCCAAACTTGGAGATTGCCGAAAATTAGGTAAGTTCACGGAGTTATAAAGTTCTCGTAAAGGTCGGGCCGCAAAGTTTTTTTCTGTGGCTATCTTTTCTATGGCACCTACTTGCTAGCTATGTTAGTTGGATCAGTTAAGAACGCCTCACTTTTTCAAAACTTCACCATGAATTTGATCGGTTTTGGCGTGTTTGATTTAGGCGAACCGATAAGGTGTCATTCAAGTCTCCCTGTTTCCTTGATTGACACGTGATGTTTACGAAAGTCGCCTCGATAGATAAGATAGAGTTAATACACATGGCTGTGGTATTTGTTTTTTGCTGAGTTCCGTAGTTTTTTGTAAATTGTCCTCCAAAGTTGTATGAAATTAAAGTCTTGAAAAGTGTCACGACAAGCCTTCGCTCGAGTGAAATTTAATTTCCGTAAAACTCTGAAAAATAAAGAGATCCGATCAAACTGATTGTGGTTTTAGTATAGGTACATGAATTCTTACAACACACAAGAAACAAGCGAAATCCGTGTCTCAAGCAAAATCGACCGGACCGCTCTTACAGAGACACTCTCTTAAGCAGTCAGGACGACAACGCCAAGGAAAACTTCGATTAAAAAATGAATTTCTGCCTTAAATTAGAATTTCAAAAATAGCTGCATTTGTTTATCGTCTCATACGGTGCCACACCTCAACTTCAGCATAACGTATAAAAGAAGCGTTGAGTTCCAAATGGAAATTAATATAATTTGCCGTCGCGGTTTCGGTTTCGTAGAAATGTACAAAGTTTTAAAACGCACGGCTGAGCTATTGTTCTGCCAATTAGATCTTTTGTTTTTCCACGTCCTCGTTACCGTCGCCGTCGTGGTTTGCTTAAGGTCCCTATTTCCTTCTGAATGGAGGTGTAGTTGTCATTTGCGATGTTTGCCATTTCACTAGTGCAGCAGTGGGTCTGTTTTCTCCCTCTTGTCTATGTACATTCTTCCTTATGGTTCTCTGCGAAATTTCTTTTGCATGAACTTTTTCCTTTTAAACAATTCGCTGTCAATATCTATGAATGATAATTTATGACCGGCAGATAAATAGGTTGTTACACATTGCTAAATCGGAGGACTGTCGTTACCAAGTTACCAAGACTACTGAGTTTTTTTTTTTTTTTTTAACCAAGAGTAGATGTCTTTTTTTTAATTTTTTTTTCGAAGAGCATTTTCCCCTGTATTGTAGAAGTATTCGCCATTTTTTTTCTAGTTTTTTTTTTTTTTTTTAAATTTTTTTAAAGTTTTTTTTTATTGCTCTGGAAAACGTTTTACTTTTACCCTGGTACAGCGCGGTACTGCAAATGTCCTGGAAGGTTTTTCATATTTTTCGTAACCCAATTTTTCCGCTTGTTATTATGCGCTAAATGTGGCATCAGAGGGGCCCAGAAACCTCCAGAAGCCTTCTGTTTATGAAAAACAATGTCGCGACATTTTAGATTGTTGTACACGATGAATAGATTCAATATTAGGAGAGCTTAAAATTTTTAGTTTGGCATCAAAAAGGTATTAATAGGGAAGGGTTGGTGTAGGACGGAAAAGATTGACAAGATTACTCACAAGTTATTGTTTAGGCACCATTCTGGTATACTGGTTATGCTTCAACCATCTCTCTTCCCCAAGTTTTGATATGGGAAACACTTCAGTAACCTGAAAGTCAGTATATCTTAAAGAAATCTTTCCAGCCTCTTTCCTTGTAATTTCACATTGTTTAGTCATTGAGTTTTTTTACTAAGTTTTACTTTTGTATGAGTTGGGCGCAACAAATTTGGTAATAAACATTTATTTAAGAAAAGAAGTGTAGGGAGAAACACGAGACGTAGTCGAGTGTTTCTCCCCACTTCTTTCGTGCTCTAGCCGCTTCCTAAGTGCTTTATAACAGAACAAAGCACAGTCAAGGCTTCTCTATTTGTTTTATAATAAAGAATCCATTAAATTCTCCAAGCATTACTTTCAATTTTCAAAACAAACTTTATTTCCAAAGCGAACAACAGTGTCGTCAGCATGCTCTATACTCTCATAAAGCACGCTACAATAAGCCAATCAGAATCCCTGTTAGAATGGTTCAAATAATCTGATTGGCTGTACAAGACTAGAGCTGTCAAAAGTGTCAAACCATCAAAGTTCAAAATACCAAAGTTCACATTCTGCGATAGTTTACAAACTGAAATAGTTCGGCAGGTTGAGTTTAACACTTTTGCCTGAAGTTTTTAAGTCTATAATACAGAATCTTGAAGTGAAATGTGCAGTGAAATTCAGCCGAATTATGGCTCATGAAAACACGCGAGTGTTTTCACATGACAAGGTAGAAAACAAACTGTTCAAGGCGAGTGTTTTTTTTTAATGAACGACTGCCGAATTCACTGGAACATGAAAATCGCTCGGAATGACAGCGCCGCAAAACTCGGCTGCAGTGACTGATGTAACTTTCCACTCAATGCATCGGAAAGGATATCAGAGCAAGCTCTTATTTTTTCACTCGAAGGGCGGCCTATGTGTTAGCTGTGTTTGATTTTTATTACCGTACGTAAGCTTGCAATCTAACTGAGCGTGAAAATCTTTAAAACTCGGAATGTCTATTTTGTTTTTCCTTTGAGGATTTTCGTATCTGCTCACGTTTTAATAACGTAGATCACGGCGCCTGGTATGTTTACAAACGTTTGTTTGGTTCCTTTGTTGCTCCTTGCCGGCTCGCTTGTTCCGAAATTTCACTTTCAATCATTGGGAAAAAGCTAAAAAGAAGTCCCGGAAAAGGTAGAACATAGTACAATTTGGCAGATGGCGCGACAGCTTTAGCTCAGCTCTATGCTCTATACTCTCACAGTGCATGCTCTTTCAGCCAATGACAGCGCGCGTAATATCCGAACTTTATAATAAATAGTTTTAGAGTAAGCAAGTCTTATGGCCTTATCAGGCCTTCGGCTTAAGTTATATGTCTTATGCTTCTCCTTTGTCTAAATATTACGGCAGATGAGACAAAGACATGTTCTGCTGCGATTTCTTACTCAGTAATAGGTAGTAACAGCAATTTGCAAGGCGTTCAAGCGAAAAGAGTGTTTGATTACCTCAAAATTTTAAGATGAAGGAAACAAAATAAACTGTAAGTGTATTGTCTACGCCTCTGGGCACATAACAGAGGCAACTGACACTCTCTTTTGACTCTTTCACCCGCGAGGTCCTGAGTAATTCTCCTTGCCTCTCCGGTAACGTTCCAATGAGTGGCAAAAAAAGATGACACGTCTCCCTTCAGTAGGTAGTCGGCAACTCTCCACTCAAGATAATAAACAGAAACCTCTTAATTTATGTCTAAAAAGTTTATTGAAAATCCCGCCCCCCTTCTCCCCCCAAACAATGTTGCCTGGTGGTGACCATTATTTAACACCAGCACTAGCATTAAGGAACTTTGAAATTGGGAGAAAGAGAGACAAATGGGAATTGTCGTTAAAAAAAAAAAAGCTAAATAGTAGTTGAGCGTAATAAGGCTTTGTCTACTCATTGTTGTTCTAAGAATTAAATGTTAAGTAATTCCCCTCGTGGATCTTTTTGTTCGTTTCACCACAAGTCTTATTGATAAATTACTTCTGGGTAATCGTTGAGAGTGAAAGGGTTTAGGTGGCCAACTAAAAAGTGCTGTTGGTGAACTTACGGGCTGTAAGTGAACATAAGTAGTGAACGAGCATGAATTTTAGGCACGATATCAGTTCAAACGAATTGTAAATAATTATTTCGAGTTGTTTTTTACTTACAAAGGCCCCTCAATCCAGGGATGTAAATACGTTTGTTTGAGTCCATTTACTCCAGCTGAGGGTAACTTGTACAGTTTTCAGGGAAGTATTTCATGATTGTTATAATTGTAATATTTTCAATTTTTTAGAGACTGTTTGAAGTCTCGTAAATTATGAATTGCTGTATTCAGTCAGTTGGAAGACCTTCTACTCACATCTCTGAGTTTAAAATAAATTCTCCGTATTGCATTCTTTGTGTGAAAAATTTCATTGATTTTCTCGAGCTAAAATTTCTGAGGACCCGATCATGAACTGTCGTTCTGGAAATGAGCTTACGCTCCATTTTACGTTTATTCCATCCTTCCTCAACCAAATTTCCTTCTCGGTACGATCGAAGAACGAATCCGAGGAAACGGCCGAAGATAGTCCACAGGTTATTTAGGTCACTTATACGCAATACGTTCAGTTGTCCTTGGCAGCATGCAGTCTTTCATCGGTCTCAATGAATGCGTTCATCTCGGATCTCTTCAGTTTTTTACTCAAAGTTCGTTGCCTTGTGAGTTCTCTGTAAATTTCATCATATGTGAAAAAGGAGTTTTCTTGTACTATCTCTTCTGATTCCTGGCACAAAAAGATTTCTGTTTATTAGGTTAATTTTCGGCCAACAAGCCCAACATTCGATCCTTATATAGTGTACAGGATCTTCGTTAATATAACCAATATAACGTATTGAGTGAAATTCAAATACTGCCAATGGTCTCCAGTAACATAGACGCATAGTGGGCGAGGGTAGAACCTACTCCTCCACGTCTCGTGATTCGTTCTTCGCCAGTAGACGCCACACATGACTTTTAAACCACAGTGAGCGTGTAGACAATTGCCTTTCAGTTAACGTGGGAGGGAACTGTTCCAGGGACGGCCGTCGTTTCAATTCAGTTTCCTAAAAATGAAGTAACTGACGTTGAATTTGAAATTGTCTGGGCGTACTCTATGGAGTGGTAAAATAGGCAAAATGCCTTTTAGAAATTTTCCTTCCCTATCCAAGCATAACTATGCCCTGAATTCAAGATTTTACTCCTGGATCTACACGTATGACTCTAACTAAGTAAAATAATTGATCCATTAGAAGTTGTGCGTATTGTGATTAAAAGGGAAGGTTCTACTGAATGAGCAAATTTTTCTCATTTAAACATTATATTTCGATTGAATAATTATGTTGTACTTAGTAAGTAACTAAGTAAGTAATATATTTATATACATATCCGGTAAATGCATGTACGTTTATATGCATTTGCTCGAGAGTGCCTCAAATGTTTCATTTAGCACGCTGGTGGAGATTCTTTGTGGTTGTACGAAGGCGTGACATGCGTACATATGGTATAAAAAAGCTGGCTCGAGTATTAACTGTGCTTTCGTCAAGATGTTAAGCACTAAAACGTTTGACGAGCTTTCAAGAGGTTTAAGTGGGTTCCTTTCGGTTGCGACCAGAGCAACACTTACTCATCTCTCGTGCTCTACAAACAAACAATGGGCCAGTATATAAATCAATAACTAATTGATAACCAAACACACCTCCCGATAACGCAATTTTCGGAAATATTTCACTCGGTCCCTGTCCTTTGTCCGCACGTCTCTGTGTTATCCACTGAGGTTTGTTTGCTCCAGCGTATCCAGCGAAAGCAAAAGATCCCCTATCGTCCGGCTGTACAGGGTCAGTAGCGCCCAGTCTCTTGAGCGCATCAATCGCTGGCGACATGTGAATTGAGCCCTCATCTTGAATAGCAACTAACACTATTTTACTGGGAGGGAAGAGAAGTGATATTTATATTAATTTTGTGAGAGCTAAGAAGGGCCGACATGTTATTAAACAGGAAATACAGAGCGTAAAATTAAAATCTCTTGTAGTTACGTGGATTTTAAAATCAATTTTTGAGGGAAAAAAAATTGCGCACTAACAAACTGATGTGTATGAAATCAAGCATTGAGTTGACAGAAGTCCAAACAAAAGTTACAATGTATTGGAAATATAAGGCCGCATAATATACAAATCATGGAAAAAAATGTCCTAAATCATTTAATTAAAAACACTGACACTACAGGCCCCTTACTATCAATATCGTCTGTGCTACGTTGTCAAATTCAAAGCGGTTCGGGAGTAATTACGAGTAATTCGAGGTGTTTTTAAAATTCTTGAAATTTATCAATAAGCGAAGTTATGACGTCGTTAACACAAAAAATATTGATCTCAAAACACGTAGATAAACTATATCTCAAGTAATTTGATTCAGAAATGTTTGATTCCTTTTTGTAGGACTTTAGGTTTGCTCCACACTATCAGGTTGATATCGATTACAATTCAACTAAGAACTGAAAGTTGAAGGTGTTTCTTAGGAACCTGGAGCGTTGCTCTGGTAGCCTTAGATTTTACAAAAGAGACTCAACATGTTCAGACTCGATCTGACATTTTCCTGAATGAAAGCATTTTCAAGGATATGCGCTTATGCTAGTACCAGTCTCTTCGAAAATTGCCATTTAAGAATGAAACTATTATATGGCGCATGAAACATAACTTACTGGCCATGAAGACCGTTAAGGTAATCTCTGAGTCTATTACCCGCCGAGCTATCTTCATGAGTATCAAATCCCCTTGTACCGAGAACTGCACCTGTAGGAATGTAAAGCTATTAAAGACAACCGCATAAACATGACCTAATGAGATTTTATTTAAAATTGTGAAAGATACCCTTTTTTCTGTCAAGCCATTTATTTTCCGGATTGAGTAAACAGGGGGAAAGTGATTACGTAAGAACGAATGAGTGAAGGAAGTAAAGAAACTGTGGTGCTGCGTCGGTAGAAAAGTATAACAGGGTAATTAAGTATTATCAACTGAGTTGATAACGTAAATTAGCCACCGTAAAGAGTTTCGACGTTTCGTGCGTTAGCCCTTCGTCAGAGCGGTTTGAGGAATTGTGGGTTGTGTGTGGGTTTATATGCAGAAAATGGAGCTACGCTATTGGTAGGAATATAATTACAAAAAAACAAGAATAAATTAGCATATGGCAGTTTCTAATAACGCTAGAAACGTCAGCCTTAAAACTCTTTACGGTGGCCAATTTACGTTATAAACTCATTCAATAACACTATATTACGACGTAAGGAAGAGCTCGAAGTGTGAGTGCCACCCCCTTTGCGTTCGTTGAATAGCTCGCGGCCATTATTTCGTTCGAGCCCTGGACAGTGATCTAAGGATAAAAAGAAGGCGTATGCAGAGAATTAATTTTCCCTTAATAATTAAACCTTCTGTGGTCTTACTTTTCCACTAGTTTCGAGGAAGGCAGAGTGTCAACCTAATTCATACCCCCACTTAAGAACAAATGAATGGAGCCCCGCTCCCATTCCTCTTGTTGGGTGTGCGGTGCGCTATTCTAAAGGTATCCTGTCATTTCGTGCCCACGGTCATTTTGGACCCAAATGCGGTCGATTCGTACCTTAGTTTGAGTCGGTTCGTAACCAAACCGCTGGTCTAATTATTCATATATTTGAAAATATATGAGAATTAAAGTCAGAGTTAAACAGGGGAGGTTTACTCAAGCGGCATAGTTCGTTGTACCTGTTGCTCCGTCCACAACAACAACGTTATATCCTCTGCTGTGAGGAGAGTGATCTGTTCCATCCACCTTGATGTAAGCTTTGCCGCAGACGTCTGCTCTTCCTGCATCCTCACAACCCTCGCTTCGCACGTGAATATCCAAGACACGAACTGAAACGAGAAAAAAGAGAAGACTGATTATTGCAACTCTTCCTTTATCTTAAAGTGAAAAGAAAAAAATGAAGAAAAAAAAACCAAAAACAAACGAAAAACGAGAAGACTGATTATTGCAACCCTTCTTTTTATAGAAACAAAAGGGCAAAAAGACAAAACGAAAACAAAAGAAAAGAAAAAATCAGAAAAACAAACCAAAAAGGCATCTATAATTTTGGAGAAAAAAAATCTGTTACGATGTCAGGAAGAAAATTCTGCACACTTATTGGTTATGAGCACGTTAATTGATCCCAAACAAAAAAAAATTTAAATGAGGAGTAACATTTGAAATAGGTGAAAAAAGTTGAACTTTAATGTATATGATAAATTTGTAATTAAATGGCTTTGAATGCAATTTAAATCAACGAAAAAGCTCGTGTAATCTTTTTAAAAAAAGAACAAGCTCGTACACAAATTGAGAAGGGATGAATCCACTGTACTTCAAATCTAACCCTAAGCCTGACTTAGATGAAAATGCAATATGATGGACTATGTATTTCATTTCCAATCCTAAACTTCTCATCTCCTGTAGCCTTAAGGGATAAAGCATCATTATAATTAGCGCGGGTACTAAGTACTTACCAGTCTCACAGCTTACTCCTTCAGTCCAAACGGGACATGCGCAGATGTATCTATTAATCTGATCAGTGCAAGTACCTCCGTTTAAACAGGGATTACTGGAGCACTCGTTGATGTCTGGGTAAAAATGCATGTTTAGAGATCATTAGAAACACGGTTCAGGATCCTTTCTTTAGGATCTAATAATGAACAAGGAGAAGTGGACATCACAAATGACATATTTCTTATCTATTGACTTCTCCGCCATTCGAATAGTCTATTAACTTCGTGCCATGTTATGGGATTCTAAAGAATAAATTGAACCTAATGTTCAAGTGCTACCCACAACAGCTCCTGCTCTGGTAATCACATTGTTTGAGTCTGGGATGCTTCAAGTAAGCAACCAGATTGCAAAGCAAATTTTAAAATTGCGCTGTCTCTCATTGAAGACAATTTTGAAGAGTGGATTACTCTATCAAATCTTAAAAAGCGCTCAGCGTCGTAATCTGATTTACAATTTTCAATGACGGAGATAAGAGTTATACGTCATCAGGAGCATGCTTTTCCTTTAGACTTACCGGTTTCACAATTCCGGCTGGTAAAACCTGGTTTGCAAACACATTCATAATCGTCTTGACTGTATAATGGTCGACAGAATAAAGCTCCTTGCTGACAAGGGTTGCTCATGCAGGAGCTCTGTTGAAAAAAAAAATCGTAAAAGAAAAAATTAACATTTAATCAAGACTCGAGAGGTGCACCGCACGACCAAACCTACAAGCGGAGGGATAAAGAAAGGGGGTAAATCTCGAAGGAAACAGTTGGGTGTGTGCGTGTGGTGTGTACGTATGGGGGGGAGGGGGTTTGACAAGATATTTGGTTTTATTAACTGAGTTTAAAAAGCTGAGCGTTAGTCCAAAGTCATTCGCTTTGACGAAGGACTGACGCTCGAAATCAGCTTTAAAACTCTTTACGGTGGCCAATTTGCAATACTAACCAAGAGAATCTCTTGTATGAACTCAATCGGAGGGATAGTTCTTTGTACAATAACAAGGTCGTGTATGGCAAAATTTAATAATTTAATCCAAATGAACCAAATCGAACGAGAAACATCTCAGTCTGTAAGGTACAGTGTATGTCACAGCCATTAATCCCCCCAGTAGTGCATGAAATCAAAGAATGGACGAAGTGCTTTACAACTTCGGCTAACGCTGGCAGTGTCTTATTTTTTTCTATGCTTTTGGTTGTTAGGAAGCAACATTTATTATGCCGAAAAAACACAGCTTAGTTCAATTACCAAAACAAATAGCCTGACACCTGCCTTGATATTATAATGGTCGAAGGTCTCGTTGAGAGCCAAGTCATTCTGGAACTTGTCCGCGTTTAGTAACTCGCACTTGTGAGTTCCGTCAAGTGAAGCTACAGCAAAATTGACTGAGTAACATTCCAGATGACTAACACAGCGATGAAGACACTCTTGGACTTTGTATACCCTTATAATGATTAGAACTGCGACATCAAGTCTTTGCAAAGGATTCTTCACAAAACTAGCGTAGTTTACACCGTATTGGCCTTCTCGTCTGAAGGTCTGAGCGGATATTAGCGTGTATATACCAATGGACAGCACGAATGTTATGTACGATTTGATCCTCTCCATTTGTGAGTAGCAGTTAAAAAAACTGAGTCAATGAAAGCTTTTGGTGAAGTGAAGATGAAGGTTTGTTTGTTAAACCTACCACAGAAAAATTAATTAATTAATTAAAATGTGTTTTTATTTGCTTACCAGGAAAGCTCCAATGAGATTGCGTAGTGGTCAATCAACAATTAATAATCAAGCATCATTATACGCAGTTGACCTTAATTAAAATTTCCGAATTCACTTTCGACGGTACCTGATGCGTCATTTGAAAAATGAAGCACTTTTGATAGGTTGCTTTCTTGCGCACTGTGGGTGATAAAATTTTAATTTCGTTCACTGCTGCGGAGAAGGCTACAATATGGCAACAATTTGTCGGTCGCTTCTTTAATTAATCTTATTGGGAAGACATCAATCTTTTCTCATCACTAAATAGAATCAATAGAATGTTATTGGACCATAATTTTCGATTTATGGAATGTACACGAAAATTACACGCGTCTTGCTGTCACCGATGAGCTGCTTCTTGCAATTTCTCAATCCGTGATGTCGCGTGCTTAATTTCAACTTGTCCATGATTACAATTTAAGATTGACGACAACGATTAACATAACCCCACTGGTCACTGGAGAGAAAGTAAATAAACGGCTAGAGACAATGCGGCTCTGTAATAGAAGTAAGGCTCCGTATTTTATATCTTTCTTGATTATGTCACTCTTTGAGGATGTTCAGCACATTACTGCGGTGGAAAGTTCGTGACAGTAACCTCCTGGACCTACTAGTGAAGTAGCAGTTTTTTTTACAGAACTAATTACTGCTTGATTATTGCTAGTGTGCGTTTCAACTTTAGGATAATCCTGCACAGAACGCATGAGAATTAAAGTGAGTCGTTCCTTCGGCGAGTGTAGTGTTTTGATTTACTAACAATAATTACCAGAATGGATACATTTATAGATGAACACTGACGTTGGCAATTTAGCTCTTCAGTTCATAGCTGTGATTTCTAATTCCTTTTCACAGGTTCATTTTGGAACATTTCACTAAAAGTTCTGTTTGACTGTTTGTACAGTGCAGTTGCACAACTTTCAACCATGTCAGCCCACACGATATTGAATAAGCTTCAAGTTGGCGAGCATAAAAAAAATTCAAGATGACAGAGTACACTCAAGGTATAAAATAATTCGTAGTTGCTTATTTGATCCTGGTGACGGAAGAGTACCTGAGCGCTTAGCACCACAAAAAGTTAAGACGGATGTCAAAGATTACCGTGAGTTTGAAAACTAATGGAACTATTCCCCACCTTGTATTCATTAAATAGCCAAGAGTAACTACAAATGGAGCACATTCGTAGGGTCTCTTGCCTCCTGTACTCTTCTTACTCGGGATGACACTCGAGACGTTTGTCTTTGACAATGCATGCATGACCTCGGTAAGAGAAAGTGGTAGATTGAGAACCTGTGAATTATTACTGTGTAAAACGCCATATAAACGCAGAAAATATCGTCGAGCAGCGGATATCTACAAACATTAGGCTATCGACATTGCTGATCCTGGCAGTATGCAAGACGTGTGTCATGTGAACTTCGTTACAGACCTCGCTCACCGAAGAGTCTCTATGGCTCAGTGGTTAGAGCATCGGAGCGCGAAATCCGAGGGTCTGAGGCTGTCTTTGTCCCACGCTCGTGACAAGACGAAAAAAAAAATCTTTTCTCTATATATCTGTTGAACTTTAAATGAGTCACAGCAGATTTATTCCCGTTCGAAGAATATCAACGAATACAATTTTACCCTTTATAAAAAATCCAACCAGGTTCTTACGTTGTGATCGAACTACTTTCATAAGTAATTCATGTGATTTTCAACTTTTTAATAAACAAACACCTCAATCCCTTGTTTTGGCCTAATTTCTAGAATCTCTTGAAATAACGCTGAAATTCTTTCGTCTGGGGAGATCTTCAAGAGACTAAAAATAACCAAAATAACCCTTAAAAAATAACTTAACCTTGAAATTAACCTCAAAACAACTCTTGAGAACAAGAACTTCTAAAAGTCGAGCCATTTTTGTCAGTTCATATTAAGTAAATTAATTAAAATTATTTCGAGCACTTATGAGACACAACAATCTTTTTTCCCTTGCAAATTTATTGAGACAAGTTAACCTTCTCATTAAGTTAATCTAGCTTCCCTGCTATATATACTTATAGTATAAGTAAACTTTCGAGTTTGATTATTAGAAAAAGAGTCACAGAAGCTATTGATTTCATGCCTGCTTCACCCTGCTGTACTTTTTGTCTTAATGGTGAGATATCGTTTCATGAGTTTGATGGTAAATAACGCTCATTTTATTTTACTGTGAATGTGATGCCTTGAATGGATATCTTAGTCACTATTTTGCTTAAAATGAACTTTATTTTTATATTATTAGCAGATGGAGGGCAGTAAATTATTTGTCATCTTTCTACTGAGTACCGATGCTGAAAACTTCAAACGAGATGACAAACGAGGAGAACGACACGCATATTTGGTGAGGAATTCTGCAAAGCGACTAAGTTCTGCGATTCTGGACGGAAGGTATATGTGTGAGCTATTGAACGCGGATAAGTTTCAAAACTCCAGCAATTTTCTTCATAGCGGCTTGACCATTTTCGATGATATTAGTCAGAAATAATATGCCGTTTTAACAAGTGGTTGTAAAGTTTTGCTGAGAAAATTTTTCACATGACCGGAAGGTAGCTCTCATTATCAAGCTTCTAGCTTAGGGTTTTTACTCTCGACACAATAAAATCGTTTTGGTTGCCATTCAAGACGAAGGCTCCTATCGCATGTCATCTGCAATTGATGCGCTCAAGAGACTGGGTGCCACTGACCCAGTACAGCTGAATGATAGGGAATCTTTTGCTCTCGCTGGATACGCGGGAGTAAACAAACCGCAATGGAATACACAAAAGAGAGCAAACGGTGGACAGGGACCTAGTGAGATATTTCCGCAGATAGCCCCGTCAGTCAGTCAGTCAATAAACTTTTCAGATGGAAACAAGGAAACACAATATGGCTAAACAATCCAAGCTATACCGTGATCATTTTGCTACAAGCTGCGATCGTTTTTGATGCCGTGCCAATCTGCAGTAACAGTCGCAATTTTTTATTTGTATTAGGTAATTTTTATGGTATGAAGCCAGATTGAAGTGCAAGAAATGCTGCGACATTTCCCCCTATAAATATTCCCTCCCTGTCAGAATATTTTTAGCAGCCTTGAAATGTTGCATGTAACCCGAAAACAATAACTGCCATTGTCCTTCATATTTCCGAAACTTTTCATTCAAGCGATGATATTATGATTTAAGGTTGTCAAGAGTTGACTTTGAAAACACTTTAGCCCGGAGCGATGACATTGTCTTTGCGGTAGTCTCAGACAATCCAAGTTTTTCTCGACATAACCCAGAAAGGTTCACCTCTCTCGATTTTTTAACTGAATGTACCCTGATTAAATCTAATATTCTTTTATTCCAGTACTATTGTCCACAGAGAGCTCACAAAAATTTGAGAACATAAAAAAAACTAGGTTGAATTAGACTACACCTTTTTCAGAACGTTCTCGTGATATAAATAAATCTGTAAGGACTAAAAACTTTAAATTAATCACAGCAGGTTAGTTCCGACTTAAAGAAATGTCAAAGAATTCAATTTTATTCTTGACAGAGAACTTAGCCTGATTGTTATGACGGAACACTTTCATTGGTAATTTACATGGTTTTTAAGTTTTCAACAGACAAACACTTCAATCCCTTGTTTTGGCCCTATTTTTAAGAACTATTGAAAAACTTTTTAAGTCTCTCGTTTTGCAGGATCTCCGGGGGACTTAAAAATAAGCAACGATTATTTTGATTCGACATTTAACCCATAAGAGGAACTCCGATAAGTCTAACCATTCTGGTTGGGCCTTTAAGTTATTAAGAATCTACTCAAGGGATTCTTTCAAGAATATTTTCGACACAACATTTTCGTTTTCCTTGCAATTCTCTTTATGGGTTAGATTGCTATGTAAGTTAATTTAGCTTCTCTGCGGTCGTTATCATAAATAAACTTTCATTTAAGAGTAACTAATTAACCATAACTGATGAGTTCTTACTCATTTGTGTGTGCGGTACGTTATTGATTTTATGCCTGTTTTTGCACGCGGTTCGTTTTATGCTTAATGATAAAGAATTATTTCAGGGGTGTGATGGTAAATTGCAAACTTGAAATGATACAGCGGATGTAATACATTGAAAGTGTGTTCCTATCGATGTTTTGTTTGAAATAAGCGATTTTCTTTCTGCCGTTGGAAGATGGAGAGCAGCAAATTACTTGTTACCTTTCTACTGTCATTACCACTGAGTACTAACGCTTTGTTCGGCGCTAAACACTTCAATCGAGATGACAAACGAGGAGAACGACATGCATATTTTGTGAGAGATCCTGCAAAGCGACTAAATTCTTCTATTCTGGATAGTTTTATGGTTTCCGAACCTATGGGGTGTGTTTTTCGATGTATTGGTCACCAAGAATGTTATTCGGTAAATTTTGCTGCGGTTTCACATTACGGAAGGCATACGTGTGAGCTGTTGAACGCGGACAAGTTTCAAAACTCCAGCAATTTTCTTCATAGTGTAAACTTTGACCATTACAACATTAAGGTAAGTGAGAACGTATTTCGTTTAACTACATTCTATGAGGCATAAGTGTTGTGTATTCATTTTAATGTCATGTACTACAAAAAGGGAAATTCGTGTTCACTCATATCAATTTTGATATAATCTCCGTGAAGAATTGATTATCATTTTCCTTCTGGATATTGATGGCGACAGGGGGTCGAAAAAATGGAAATTTAGGGAAAGAGAGTGCTGGCTTTGTTTCTTTTCGTGCGTTTGGCCAGGCCTTGACAGAGTGAGTTTGGGAAGATTACGTCATCTACTTTGTTCTTATTAGTGCTGTGTTATTTTAAGAAATATTTTTTGTCTTGTGGAATAGAGCCCCTGCATGAGCAATCCCTGTCTAGACGGAGCCTTATTCTGTCGACCAATTTACCAGCAAGACGATTATCAGTGTGTCTGCAAACCAGGTTTTACTGGACACTACTGCGAAACGGGTGAGTTATTAAACTGAGCTGTATTTTTCATGTATCATTTTTTAATGTTCTAATCTCTCCCCTCTCTACCCAGACATCTCATAGACCTCTCTCATGAAAGGATAAACAAGCCAGCATAGATTCTTTAAGATTTACAGACTGCAACAAAACACGGTTGATTGACTGTTTTGATATTTACTAATAACGTATTTATAATTAAATTTTCTCTCGCAGATATTAACGAATGTTCCAGTAATCCTTGTTTAAACGGAGGAGTTTGCAATGACCAAGTGAATGGATATGTATGTGCCTGTCTTGCTGGATACACTGGCCTTCAATGTGGAACAAGTGAGTAAGGGAACCAGATTGAATTTTTTACACTTCGATGGATGGATTTTAAGTAGGATATCAACATTACTTTTTAACTTGTTGAAAAGTGTGCCAAATAAATCATCATTAATTGTTCTACCTTCACAAAGATATCAACGAGTGCTCCAGTAATCCCTGCTTGAATGGAGGTACTTGTACTGACCAGGTTAATGGATATATTTGTTCCTGCATCGCTATGTACACAGGACCACGATGTGGGACTGGTATGTAAACAACATTTTGTATTTGATCTGATTTGATTTGATTTGATTTCATGACTACTGCGTAAAAGTATGGGCCTCGTTATTTTTGCTGCGAGAAGAGTCATTGAACGAGTTACATCACATTCAAAGGACGAATTTCAAAATATTTGAAGTTTCTGAAACGTTTTGACATTGAGCAGGTTCATAGGCGAGCCACCTGATGGATTTTGAGTTTAAAGCCTCGCCAGATGCCGTGTTGAGACAGATTGCTTGCATTGAATATATTGCCCCTCGTTTACGATAGAGATATCATGGATCATGTTTTCTTTTATAAGACCGGTTACGGCTATATTGATATTGACGCTCGTGACGTAAAGGATTGAGTCGGTCAAAGGTAACATGCTCGCCGCGGCCAGTCCGCTGGTTGCTTATTGTCAAGTAATTTTTTAATTTACTGTCAAGTAATTTTTTAATTTACTGTCAAGTAATTTTTTAATTTACTGTCAAGTAATTTTTTAATTTACTGTCAAGTAATTTTTTAATTTACTGTCAAGTACTGTAAAATTGTGGAATACTATGTGCAATGTTGCATAATTCCTTAGTAATTTTATCTCCGTGGGAAAAATCTTTTAACTTTAGTTTCTGATTTGGACGGGATCTATTCTTGGTTTATCTCAACGGATTTTTAATGTCACCATCTTAATGTCACCGCCTCTTGAAGGCGAAACTTTTCCTAATGAAAGGCATTTGTAACAGTTGCGAAATTTTTTATCAACGTCTCTCAATAAACGGTTCCTTTAGAAACCACCAAATGCTATAAAAGTGAACCGGCCCTCGGAAGTTAACAAAGAAGAAAAATAAAAGTTATAAAGTTATAATAATTCAATACCTATTTTGGCTTTCACATACTACTACAGACGTCCAATTTTCATAGGCCAGTCAAGATACTAAACCAAAAGAAAGTATGAAATTAGGAGATCCTCGCAGCTAAGAACACTACTGAAACGAGTAGTTGTAAATAGGAACTGAAAAAAATTTCAGGCCCGTACGGGATTTGAACCCTTGACCTCTGCGATACCGGTGCAGCGCTCTACCAATTGAGCTAACAAGCCAACTGGGAGCTGGTCAATGAATTGGGTCCAAATAAACATCCAAGTGAATGAAGATTTTAGATATATGAAAATTCACATATTTGCACTGCGGTGGAAAGATGAAATTAGGAGATCCTCGCAGCTAAGAACACTATTTACAACTACTCGTTTCAGTAGTGTTCTTAGCTGCGAGGATCTCCTAATTTCATCTTTCCACCGCAGTGCAAATATGTGAATTTTCATATATCTAAAATCTTCAAAAGAAAGTAGTTTGAAGCGAATTCGAAGCGCACTTTGAGCAATTTGAGCACTTGTTAACTCATCGATGGTCGCCAAAGAATTGAGAAAATTTAGCAGCGAAAATTTTGTTTACGTTTCGGGAACTACCTTAAGGGTGTGCTCCTTAATAAAAAAGTCAGTTTTTAGAAATCTGGGGAAAGAGCCTTTAACAATTATGCTTCTTTCTGCAACGACATTAGTCGAAAAATTCGAATGCGGCCGTCGGAGGGAACAAAATAGAACAAAGGACGCCAAGTCGCTTTCAGCAAAATTTCGCGCGCATTCTAAATTTCGCATCATCAAAACTGGAAAATGAGTAGAAGTTCAAATTCTAGGCTATTATATGATATAAGTTTCATTAGTTTTGATTACAAATTGTGTTTGTTAGGAAAAATCTCGTGTTAAAGGTCACGTCGACATTCTTTGTGCTCTAAACAAAGAAAGGACGCCGAGTCTGTTTCTATAAACTTCGCTGTTTTTATGCGTGCTCTTTGTAGCAGTATTTCTCAGCCTTTATTTGATATAAGTTTCATACCATTTCATAAACATCGGCGAAAATCACTTGGCGAATATCACTCGGCGAAAGTCACTCTGATTTGGCTTTACGCAAACTGATCATAATCTTCGGGATATCAAAAAGTTTTATTACATTTAACGATTAACGTTTAATTAATTGAGAGGCTGCACAGAACTTCTGAGTCCCTTTTCTTTTCGCAATATACTGCTACATCTTTCTTTTAATTTGATTTGAGTTTCACACGACAGGTTTCACGTAAAGAGAAAGTCAAATCGCCACCAGTGGCGATTGAACTTAAGGCGTGTTTTGTGGTGACGAGTTTGTTGTAATGGCGATTTGACCATAAACCTGATGAAAATCCCACATTTATGACTGCTAAGTCACCCTAACTAGAAAGTAATCCTTTTCCTTTACTTGCAGTTCGTGTTTTGGACATTTATATTCGAAGCGAAGGTTGCGACGATCCGGGAAAAGCACCCATTTGCGGCAAAGCTTACATTAAGGTGGATGGGACGGATTATTCTCTTCAAGAAAGAGGATTTAACGTTGTTGTTGTGAATGGTGAAACAGGTGATTGACAGACTGTGGAACTGGAGTTGTTAATTTATAATCTTTATTTTTTTTTCCGCGTTTTTCATTCGAGCGCAGGCAAGCCCTAGGTGTGCCGAGAATGAGTCACATGTATTGGAGAGGTTTGTTTCGCGGCGGAAGAGAACGAACGTATAATATCGTTCGTTATTAAGAGGACATTTTAATTTGCCTTTGTGTTCACTCGCCTCAGAAAGGGAACAAAAACGACAGATGTTCTCCAAGTTTCGTGACAGTCAGAAAACGTTGACAATTTTCTTTCGTCTCGTCCCTTACAAACGCCATTCGAAACTTGTGCGAATGGATTGCGAGCGTAAAATAAAACAGACAACATGGACAGGTGTCGTCCCTGTAAAATGCCGAATTGAGCATTATGCCGAAAAGAGTAAGACACATATATTATGACTGATTATGTAATTGGAACCATGTTATCACTCAATATTTGTCACGAAATTGCGGATACGATACGGATAAGATACGGCTTCGTCGAACTGCCTTATTTTGGTGACGATAAAACTTTAAGAATGCCAGGTTGTGAAAATGATAAGAGTAAATGGAAGATAAATTGAATGCGTAATACCCATCACTACCTCGTTGTAATCACACAGTGATGGTGGTGGGTGATTTCAAACAAAATTTACGAAAACCTCGGTTTTGGTGAAGATGATCTGCGATTGCTGATAATCAGAAGCGCTTAAAAAAAAATATCAAAATCACTAGACAGAAACATTTGTAACTTGTTGCTCAAGTTGCAAAATCCTTCACGATGTCCTTGTATTAAGATATCAAAACTTCTCTCTAAAAAAAAATAAAAGACGATGTAAGAGCTAAACTATTTGAATTTTAACCTCAAAACGTGTAACTTCATGTCAGGCAAGCCTCATTATTCGCAACTGTCAGATAGGCCGAGGAACAACGATAACAGTATCACAACAGTAACAGAAAATAGCTATATCCCAATGTTGAATCCAGTGCTAGACTAGAATTCACTCTTCTCAGAGAGAGAGAGTTCTTAAATAGGATCGAAAATCCACAGATCTTCTGTCTGTATCGAGCCCTAATAGAGTACGTGACTTGAGGTCAATCTTAATTAGCATGTGCACTTTCTGTGAGTGCCTAACAGAGTTCGAGGCTTGAGGCAATTTTTCTTGACATGTGCGTTTTCTGTACGTGCCGAATAGAGAATGAGACTTGTAGTCAACCTTAATTGACACGTGCGTTTTCTGAGCGCGCTGAATAGAGTGCGAGAAGTCATTCCCACTCGACATGTGAGATTTCTGAGCGTGCCGAATAGAGTGCGAGACTTGAAGTCAATCTTACTTAACACGTGCGTGTTAATTAGAGTTAGCGACTCACGAAGTCATTTTCATTTGACATGCGAGATTTCTGACCATGCCAAATTAGTAGACTTGAGGTCAGTCTTAATTAAGTCGGTTAGTCAATTCACCTCAACAATTGCGTTTTCTGAGCGTGCCGAATAGAGTGCGGGACTTAAGGCAATATAACTTGACATGTACGTTTTCTGTGCCTGCTGAATATGTGCGAAACTTGAGGCAATCTTGCTTGACATGTGCGTTTTTTGTGTGCCGAATAGAGTACGAGACTTGACGTCAGCCTTACTAAACATGTGCGTTTTTTGCGTGCCGAATAGAGTAAGAGTTTGTAGACAATCTCATCGACATGCGCGTTTTTTGTGCGGGCCGAATAGAGTGCGAGACTTGAGGCAATCTTGCTTGACATATGCAATTCTGTGCGTGCCGAGCAGAGTACGATTGTTGCAGTCAATCTCACTTGACGCGTGCGTATCTGTGCGTGCCGAACAGAGTACGAGTTTGATAATAATCTCACCGACATGTGCGTTTTTTGTGCGTGCCGAATAAAATGCGAGACTTGAGGCAATCTTTGAAACGTGCGTTTCTGTGGGTATCGAATAGAGTGCGAGACGCATTCAATCTTTCTTGACATATGCAATTCTGTGCGTGCAGAATATATACGATTGTTGTAATCAATCTCACTCGACATGTGCGTATCTGTGCGTGCCGAACAGAGTACGAGAATTGAAGTCCGCCTTACTTAATATGTGCGTTTTGTGTGCGTGCCAAATAGAGCTCGAGACTTGTAGTCAATCTCATTTAACATGTGCGTTTCGTGCGTGCCGAATAGAGTGCGAGTGTTGTAGACAATCTCACTCGACATGTGCGTTTTCCGTAAGTGCCGAATAGATTGCGAGACTCGATCAATCATAGATGACATATGCGTCTTCTGAGCTTGTCGAATAGAAAGCAAGACTTGAAATCAATCTTGCTCGACATGGGTGTTTTCTGTGCGTGCTGAATAGAGTGAAAATTTTGAGGCAATCGTACTTGAAATATGCGTTTTTCTGAGTGCTAAATAGAGTGCGAGACTTGAAGTCAATCTTATTTGACATATTCATTTTCTGAGCGTGCCGAATAGAGTGCGAGACCTTAAGTCAACTTACTTGACATATGAATTTTCTGTGCGTGCCAAATAGTGTGCGAGACTTGCTGCAATCTCACTAAACATGTTTGTTTCCTGAGCGTGCCGACTAGAATGCAAGATTTTTAAACCAATCTTACTTGACATGTACGTTTTCTGTGCGTGTTGAATAGAGTGAGATCAGTAGTTAATTCTAATGACTGGAAGGTGTGGTGCGAGTTTTTCTTCAAACACCGAAACCAACTGTTTTGGAAGAGCAACTCTGATAAACTCAGATAAAGGGCAAACCAAGATTCTGAAGAATGGTTTCTATGTTACTTGGAATACAAAACAAAGATTTGGTGTTAATTGCAAATAGGACCCGAACTTAGTGTTCATTAAGTATTGTTAACGTGCGAAGAATTTAGTGTGATCACCTTTCTTTACGCAACGTTATGTAATTAGCATTAAAAAAATATGTTCAATTGTCCATGTTTCTTAGGTTAGGTTAAGTTAAGTTAGTTAGTAGTTGTGTATCTAGCGAAAAGTTTTTTCACGTTCTTTTTAAAATGTTGTTCTTTGCTTAAACACAACAAAAGTAGGGTAGGGATATGTGTGCGCCACATCGAGAGAAATCGAACTTTCGGTTCAACCGACAATTTTCCTTTTACAGAGATATATATATATATAGAGGAGGTACTCGCCGAGGAAGGAAGCAATAAAGTTCCTATTCACGGAACGGGAAAGCTGTGACTATGATATAGTTATGGGTAAATCGCTACGTGAGGACTAGGCGTTAAACACCTTTTACTTCGAAAACATGGAACGAGCTGCTTCCAAGATTCAAACATCCGTCTGTGGCAGTTAAAAAAGTTAGAGGTAGATTCGAATATCATATCAAATGAAGAGATCTGTGGAGAAACCTCTTCGAACAATAAGATATGATGACGTAGCTTGCCTAGCGATTGTACTTCTGAACATATGGTCGCGGTGATACTCGCAATAAAGCAGAAAATTAATATCAGGAGTGCATGCACTATTTTGCCATCCTGACAAATTCTTAACCCGTTTTGATAAAAAAATATGCGGAGAGGATCGCCCGCAAATAACTGACGGGATTCTTTTTATATCTAAGCAGCTCGAGTCAGTACCATTAAAGAGAAAGATATGATATATGCTGTTGCGAAAACGAAATCGTCGAATTCTTTTAGGTTCACTAGTAGTCTCTTCATCGGCTATCACATTCTTCACCTATTCAAACATTTCACCAACTTTGGTGAATATTAATATGTTATCTTTTCTTAGTATTTGTATTATCTCTCCCTTGAAAGCTTATTTCGATTATGTTGCAAAGCCATTTGTTACCATTGTAGGACCTTGTTGTTGTCCTTGTTCTGTTGGGAAAATTGTCGCTACTTAAATTTAATAACGCTTGTTGAGTTTTGGTTAAACAAGGTAAGAATTAGGAGACTCAATTTACGTAAAGTTACGCTTGGGGATGTAAGCGCGTCTTGTGAGCTGTTCTGACTTTTGTTAAAATGAGACAAGAATCCAGAGCCAAACAAGCTATGTCACCGAAAGGACAGCATTCACAGCGAGAGCAATTCGATGAAGCCGTATCTTGCGTGACCAATACTAAGTAACCACATGGCTTTTACTGCATAATCAGTCATATTTATGCGTCGTGCTCTTTTCGGCACGGTGCTCTATTCAGCATCTTACAGTCCCCCAGTCCAGCTTCAAGATGATGTCCACATTGTCATACAAAAAAAGGAAATTCGCAGAACTTCATATTATCCTTACTCGGATTTAAAGAAAAACCTGAAAGATAGAAGATAATGCACTAAATATTTTCACGTACAGGTGTCTTCTTGCGGCAAGAGCATTTGATACTCATGCAGATTATTGTTTTCATAACCATCACTACTTATTATTTTCTTGTGTTCACCTGTCGAGCGGAGACAAGCACGAGGCGGGCCGTGGGTGAATTCACTCTTGAAGAACGGGGAACACAAAGACGTTGCCCGTTCTCCAAGCTATGTCATTGACAACGCTAGAATCATTTCGTCTTCCCTCATGTTCACTATTCGGTGGTAAAAGCAAGCGGAACAAGCAAATTGTACTCGGATTGTCGACGTAAAGAAAAAAAAAAGCCAAAGGGAAACTTTTTCGCCGCTCCCACTTAAAGGTGTTGTCAATAGACGCCGCGTTGAAACAAACGAAGACCATTACGTTATAGATTTGCATGTTTAAAGCAAAAGAAAAACCGAAAATATATATGACGATTTGATTTGTTTTTTTATGTCAGGTGTCTTCCTTGAGGCAAGATCATTTGATACTTACGAATATAGTTCGAGCGGCTATCATTTGAGAGACTACCTGAACAGCCTGAGTGGCAAGTATGTTATAACTAATTAGTAACTGTTGTTGTACGTGCAACAATTTAAGTACTTTTGGTAGACAATAAATACTCCCGACCTGATGATAATGCTTCCTTCACCCTCCATTTCGATTATCCTGCTTGAGTAGAAAGACGCTCTTTTCTACATTGTTTTTTACACGCCACTCCTTTCTCGCCTTTGAAGCAAAGAAAGAGAAAGAAGCGGCTGCTCTCGGAGGCTACCTTACCAATTTACTATTTATTATCATATGTCTTTCAGGAACCCGTCAACGGGAGCCGCTATCTTCACTGATTCTTTGAGTCAACACTTTCCCTGAGTGAAAATATTTTTAGAACCACAGCTTTTCCCCGCAAAAAGGACTATATTCCGTCGGAACAACCGCGAATCGCAAAATATGGATTCACCGCCCAATGCAAATGAGCAGATGATTTGGTCGCAGAACGCAAAAATTGCACTAGGAACCTTTCTGTCAGTAAATATACTCGGGAAAGGGTTGACTCCAAAGCTTATCATAAGAGATAGTTAGGTAGAGAGATGGAAGGCTTAATATGAGACTCCTACTGTGGGAGAAGGGTTTAGTTTTAATATGATATACACATGCATAACTTTTCTCTGATGGCTGAATGTTATGATATACACGCATCTTTTCTAGTTTTTTAGTGTGTGTGTTGGCAACAGATAAGGGTTTTTTTACTCCCATTTTCAACTGATCTCACCCTTTTGCATTTGGTGTCTTTGCTCTCGACACAGTAAAATCGTTTTGGTTGCTACTCAAGATTCAGCCTCCGAGCACATGTCACCTGCAATTGACGCTCTCAAGAGACTGGGTGCTACCGATCCTCTTCAAGGAAACCACCGAGATTCCTTTGCTTTCGCTGGATACGCAGGAGTTAACAAACCCCAATGGATCACACAAAAAAGAGCAGCTAGATACCTGGGACCCAGTGAAATATTTCCGCAAATATCGCTGTCAATTAATCAATAGATCGGAACTACTCTAAGATGAGCGAGGAAACATATAGATTCGAGACTATATGAATCATTGTAATCCTCCCAAAAAAATCTGGTGATATTTTAGATACCATAGAAAATCTGCAGTTACAGTCGCCAGAATGGCGACCTGTGTTTGGATGTTCTGAAGCATTTAAGGATATACAGTACACAATCGAGCTTTTTTTTTTTTTTTTTTCACTTCCAATGAAGTATTACTATTTTAACTATAGTTTTTCAAAAACAAATTGCTAAATATTGAAATTCACTTAATAAGTTAAAAAAGTGTGATTAGCCAATTTTAACATGTCACCTCAAATGATTCCCTAAGTGTTTTATGTGGCAAAAAGTCCTGGTCTTTGAATTTCAGTCGCGTAAAAATCTCCTGTTTTCGATTGCACGTGGAGATCTTTGCTGTCTGTCCGCGTTTAAAACCAGACTGTAAAGAGAGAATAAAAGAGAACAAAAGGGGTAGAGTCCTTAGGTGAAAATCATGCTGTTAAAGTTGCGACTTTTTCTGCAATAAATATTCCCTTTCTCTCCTCGGTTGTCGTAACATTAAACCTTGAAATATTGCGTGCAGTTCAATGACAATTGATACCTTTTGCCTTTTGTCAGAAATTTTCATTCAAGAGAAAATTTTATATATACTCTTTAGGTCGCCAAACAGCTGTGACGTTGTGGAAACCTAAGCCTAGAGCCTTGACATTGTCTTGGTTGCAGAGGTTGTACAGGTAGTGCGGGCAGCCCGTCTGTTATCTCCCGCTCCACTGTTCTAAAAGCTTTAAAAATAAATGAGGACATAGATACATTTCCTCTCATTTATATCTTATCGTCGCAAAATCTGGAAAATCAAAATAGTCACGTGTCTTTAAATTGAAACTTTATTCCAAAGGAAATAAAGAATCGTTGTTTTATCATCGCTAATTATTTTGATACAATTGGAAGTTAACATGATCAAGATCTAAATTCTTTCTCAAACGTAACCTCACTGGAAAAAAATGTATCCACGCTTTGACACTTAAAAATGTCTTATCTTAATCATCTGAATAGTAGAAGTAGTGGTTGGAGTAGTAGAAGTAGTCTTAATTTTTTCACGGGATAAAAACATCATATCTTATATTACATAGTTAAAAACTAGTTAAAAGATGAAAAATAGTAAAAAGTGTTAAGTTAAAAATTTGATTTTTAAAAACAGTCTGTTATAAATACGAGGCAATGACTTGATTTGTTTCTAAAATTTTATTTCGTCTCCTTCTTCTCTAGGATTAAATTTCTGAGGATGGAAATCCATTTCTGCACTTAATTGAAAAACTTTTCTTTCTGTTTTTTCTTTCTGTTTTTTCTTTCTGTTTTTTTTTAGTATTTAATTACAATCCCCGGAAATGTCAGGAGAACCATACAAACACGCGTAACGTTCCCAATATTAAAAATGGTTCAGTTACGGTGGACAATTATTTTTTCAAATTGAGAAATTGACTTAAGGTTACTGAGAAATAATATTCCTCTTCTTATATTCTTATTCTTCTTCCACTTTCTCATATCGCAGGTAAACAAGTTCAATGATGTTTGAAAGAAAAAAAACATCTCTACCTTTCTTATCACTAGATTAATGATTTTTATCATGAAAATATACATAAAATACGATTAGGCTTGCGCCATGCCACACATAGTTTACTATCATGAACTGGATTAAACTCTCATACAAATATTTTTGTTATCTTCTGCAGCTGTCGGCTTCGAGCCTACTGAAACACAGGATCTTACGCTTTGGACGTAACTTGCCCCGCCAAAAATTAAAACTTTTATTGCTAAAAGCTTTAGGGAGGGAGTGAAACGGATGTTGTTGTCTTTCACGACTAAAAATTTATGTACAGCAGATTCAATGTCATTGTCCCAAAAATATAGCAAACAAAATCTATCTCACAGAGAAACCAACCTGGAGCCTGCTGTTGCTATCAAATTCAGTTCATTACTTATTGATATGGTCTTTCAAAGCAGAAAAAAATAGATTATTTCTTCGTTGCCTGATATGTGGAGTTAAAAATTTTCTTTATGAACTTTGATTTTAAACCCTAACTGTACATATAAAGTCTAGCTGATACAGTCGAACCCCTTTTTAGCAGTAACCCACTTCACATTATCAGCTTTGACCATTATAACAAGAAGGTAAGTGCGAATGTATCCCGTTTAACTAAGTTGATTGTGGCATAAGTGTTGTGTATGGGTGTGCGTGAGTGTGTGGTCCCAAAAGGTTCCAATGTTCCTTTCTTTATATATTACCACGAAATTCACTCTTACGATTTGAATTCATACCCTCAAAATATCAAAACACATTATTTTGATTCCTTGACAGTTCATTGTACCAAAGGATACCAGATAGAATGTTGTTTATAAGCTTTCGCTAGACGATTTTAAAGTTACTCTTCTGAATTGTGCAAATTATTACGTTGCCCTCGTCGTATTTCAACAGAGGCACCTTACGAAAGTCTTGAAAAGTGAAAAATTGGTTGAAAATCATCCTTAAACGGCTAATAATATCATTTTCAAAAACATGAATAAGTTTCTAAGAATGTTATTGTTTGATTTAAATGTCGCCCTGTCATGCTAGTTACAGCATTTAAGTTAATCAACATGGTGTTTTTCTCCTTGTACTAAGGTTTTGTGTTAATAATTGATGAAAAAGAGCTAAAACCCTCAAGATCACTATAATTGGCAACATTTCTCACGAAAACATGTTCGCAACGCTCCTTCTAACTTCCTTAGTGATTACTTTAACAAACGGAGAAAGTCGATTAACAACATCCAACTACAAAGCCGTTAACTTTGCCAGAGAAATAAGAGGACGACGGCTTAACGGAAGTGTTATCAAGGAAATTGAAGTAGATTCTGAAAGTTCTTGTCGACTGCAGTGTGTGGAGGAAACTTCGTGTCTGTCATACAACTTTGGACCCGGTGAAGAAAAAAAGATGTTTAAATGTCAGCTGAGCAACTCTGATCGGTTTACTGAACTGAACAATTTCATTGAAGATCCTCAAGTTCTTTATAGAGGCATAAAGGTAGGTAATTTACCTCAATTTGCAATTTTTTTTTCCATTCCAAAGAGGACATAATATTTGAATGAAGAAACGACGCAGATGTTTATATAGGGCGTTTGGTAATGGTAAAGAAATGCAATTTGAGAATAACTGTAGAAAATTTCTCATCATCGTCTGATTTTGAAAGACGAAGATTTAAACTTTAACTATTCAGTGGGCCTCTGATTTGATGGCTCAGAAACGAGATCTTGTGCAAGCACTTCCTTCGTCTTCGACATTAAATAAACTATCCTATTCTATTCTATTCTGAAACAAAAAGAAAATCTTTGAATCCACTAAAAAATATCCGTTAGACTAACAAACACATCGTTTTTTTCCTTTGTCGGTTCTTTAAATTTTCGGTAAACACGAAGAATGTACATGTTCTAATTCAAGAGAATTAAAACTGCAATTTAGATTCTCTCGTCTCATTGTGATAACAATGAATGGACAATCCACCTTTTTTTCGACATTAGCTAGAAAGGTTTGCTTCTCTGAATTCTTTTACTGGATATACCCCGATTCCATTATTCCTGTATTTTTGTCCACAGAGAGCTCCCGAAAATTTGAGAACATATAAGAACTAGGTTCAATTAGATTGCACCTTGTTCAGAACGTTCTCGTGATTTATATACGTCGGTAGGGTCTGAAAACTTTAATTTAGTCACAGCAGGCTAGTTTGGACTTAAAGAAATGTCAAAGAAAATATAATAAAGTTCACACGGCAACCAGGTGGACAATCAGACATAGTTTGATGCTACTCTGGTATGCAGATTTAATGAATGTAACCGAAGAAATTACAATTCATAGACCCAACGTTTCGACACTCCCATCTAGTGCCTTCATCAGGGGTGATCTAAACTCTGCAACAAGAGGTCCTTTTATATGATCACTAATTAGCGGCCTTTTTTTTTCTGACAAGGTGTAAATAGGCGTCAGGAAGCAAGCCGCCATCGTCACGATTTAAAGGAGCGTGGGCGGAGTTAATATGCCAAGCCTCCAAACAAAGGCGCTGATGGTAACGCCGATTAGTGGTGATAATTTTAGAATTATCCCACCCAATTGTATGGCTAATTAGGCACGTATGCTCCGATAAAGCTGAATTTTCCTTTTTTGCAAAGGAAAACCGCTGTTTGGTGCTCTTCTAACCGTGTACCAAACTGACGTTTGGTCTGTCCGATGTATTCGTTGTCACAGTCATTGCAAGGAATAGAATAAATGGCGTCGGTTCGTTTTTCTTTCGTGACAGAATCCTTAGGTTTGGCGAAAATATGCCCCAAAGTCTGAAAAGGTTTTTGAGCAACTTTAACGTTGTGGCTATTCAAAATTCTCTTGATGAGTTCATCCTCTCCTCAGCCTTTGAATCGAGTGAAGATGGTAGACAGTCAGCCCTCCTAAGTAAAGTTTCAGCTACAGCCTTTTTATGGCAAATAGGGTGGTGAGAATCGAAGGCGAGGTATTTGTCGGTGTGGGTAGGTTTACGGTAAACACTTGTCTCTAAATTACCCTGAACCCCTCTGGACACATACAATTGGGTGGGATAATTCTAAAATTATCACCACTAATCGGCGTTACCACCAGCGCCTTTGTTTGGAAGCTTGGCATATTAACTCCACCCACCCCTCTTTAAATCGTGACGATGGCGGCTTGCCTCCTGACGCCTATTTACACCTCGTCAGAAAAAACAAAAATGTCGCTAATTAGTGATCATATAAAAGGACCTCTTGTTGCAGCGTTTAGATCACTCCTGATGAAGGCACTTAACAGGAGTGTCGAAACGTTGGGTCTATGAATTGTAATTTCTTCGGTTACATTCATTAAATCTGCAAACCAGAGTAGCATCAAACTATGTCTAAATGTCAGAGTTCAGTTTTATCCTCAACAAAGACCTTATGTAATTTAATATAGTTTCTCATAAATAAACCGTTTAAATAAAATTTAAGTTTCATTCAAGAGCAACTAATTAACAATAACTAATGCTTTCGTACCTGTTTTGGTGTGCGGTGCGTTATGGATTTGATGCCTGTTTTTGCGTGCGGTACTTTTTATGTCTTAACGGTAAAGAATTATTTCAGTGGTTTGATGGTAAATTGCAAATTTGAAATGGTACAGCGGATGCAACACATTGAAAGTGTGTTCCTGTGATTGTTTCGTTTAAAATAAGCAATTTTCTTTCTGCCGCTAGAAGATGGAGAGTAGTAAATTACTTGTTACCTTTCTACTGTCATTACCACTGAGTACTGACGCTTTCCTCGGCGCTAAACACTTCAATCGAGATGACAAACGAGGAGAACGACATGCATATTTTGTCAAAGATCCTGCAAAGCGACTAAATTCTTCTATTCTGGACTGTTTTATGGTCTCCGAGCCTATGGGGTGTTTTTTTCGATGTATTAGTTACCAAGAATGTTATTCAGTAAATTTCGCTTCGGTTTCATAAGGCAGAAGGCATATGTGTGAGCTGTTGAACGCGGAAAAGTTTCAGAACTCCAGCAATTTTCTTCATAGTATCGGCTTTGACCATTATAATAAGAAGCTTAACTAAGTCTATTGTGGCATCTATGTTGTGTATATATGTTTTTGCACGCGCGAAAACATTCTTTCTTCTTAATCTAAGGTAATACAAAAGTAGAAATTCATGTTCCCTCATATCAATTTTGAAATAACTTCCTTGAAAAGTTGATTATCATTTTTAATAATTGGTTATTTTTTCTGGATACTAACGGCAGAGGCAGGGCGTCGAAAAAATGAAAAGTTAGGGAAAGAGGGCGCTGGCTTTTTTTTTTTACGACGGAAGTATGTAGAGGAAAATATTGACGTAGACGGGGGTTATTGTCTGCAAACTATCCACTGATTTTGCACCACGTAAGGTAGCCTATGTACCCCCCCCCCCGAAGGTGAAACGGAAGCGAGGGAACGTCCACGCAAACCTGACACTAATCGTGTTCCGTGACGTCACTCTTTTGCAAGAAAATATACCATGACTTTTTATTGGTTAACCCCTTTTGCCTATTCCTTCGTTAATTCTGATTGGCTAGAGTTGGTAATTTATTTTCACACTAACGAACATGATGGTGAACAAAATGCTTTCACGGTCAGGTTATCAGACAACAGCGACAAGTTTTGGGATAGAGACAATTCAAGAAGAACCGAAGAAAGCCATAGATATATTTTTCGACGTTAACGATGTCTCCGTTTCGTTACCAACTGGCTATGGAAAATCTTCAATATATCAAGCAGCGCTGGTGGTCGATCGCTTCTCTTCTCCAGAAGAACCGTTTGCTATAAATTTACTACCTAAATGTACTTTGGCCAAGAGGATTCTGCGCCTCAGCTTTAACTTTAAATTAAAGCTACTTGTTTCTTGCAGTGATTGTTTAGACCGAGAAAAGAGTCGCTCTTTCTTCACGCTCGCGGCTTAACTATCTTTTAAAGAAAACTGTAAAAACCTTGAGATTCTGCAGCAAATGATCCAAATTCTTCGATGATCGTGGTACTGTTTACAAATGCAGGCAGAAACCGTGTGGACGTTGAAATCTAGTTTCGTAAACGCGATACTAATCGAACATCGACCTCTTCTTGCTCTTACTCGAACGCACGCAACATTTCACAGCAAAATATGACAACATTGTTGGATTGTTTTGTGAGGTGATGTGAAGGAGCTGGCCAAACGCGTGCAACATCCTGCAACATCCAAAAATGCTGCAAACAAAATTTTACCATTTCCGAAATTTGTCAAAAACCATGCAACACGTTAAAACATTTTGCTACAGGGTGGCCAAACGCGTGAAATACGTTGCACGCCACTATGTCCCAAGGTGTTGCAAGAGTTTGGGCAGATCACGTCATCTACTTTGTTCTTCTGGTGCTGTGTTATTTTAAGAAATGTTTTTTTGTCTTGTGGAATAGAGCCCCTGCATGAGCAATCCCTGTCTAGATGGAGCCCTATTCTGTCGACCAATTTACCAGCAAGACGATTATCAGTGTGTCTGCAAACCAGGTTTTACTGGACACTACTGTGAAACGGGTGAGTTATTACGCTGAGCTACATTTTTCATGTATCATTTTTTAGTATTCTAATCTCTCCCCTCAAGACCTCTCACATGAAAGGATGAACAAACCAGCATAGATTCTTTAAGATCTACAAACCGCATCAAAACACGGTTGATTCACTGTTTTGATATTTACAACATTCATTGAAATACATGTAATTTACCCAAGAACTGATGACGTGCTTATAATTAAATTTTCTCTCTTAGATATGGAATGCTCTAAGCAAGGTGGCTGAATAGCTCAGTAATTTTATCTTTTCTGGCTCTTTAAATCAGTTTAAAAAAAAAAAAAATAAGTAGAAGAAAATCTTTTAACTTCAGTTTTTGACGTGGACGGATCTTTTCTTGATTTATCTCAAGGGATTTTTCATGTCATCATCACTAATTTAATTCTTAGTTCCTTTAGATTTATACATCTTTTAAAATTTTTATTCCCTTGGCTGGGAGTCTCGCATGGGTCTGAGTCTGCGCCTTTCTCTTTTGAGCTTTTACTCGCTTTAGTTGCCCTTCTCATTCTTCATCATCCGGTAACTACTATAATTTCTCCATTAATTGCCCATCAAGTGCTCTCCAATCTTCCCGCGTGCATCCATAACTCGTTGAACACATACTAAGTACGAATCAATTCTTCAGTGAAAAGAGTTGATAGATAGAGAGGACAGCTGCCCGAGATTTCCAATTGAAACCATCAATAATCTTTGATAAAACGAAAAAACTCTGAAAGATTAATGGTGCAGATGCGTCCACTTTCAGTTTATGACATGGTGATCATTATTTTTAGTGAGAAGTTTCCATCTCTGCCCTGACCGAACAAAACCCGTCGATACTCTTTTAACGCCCCTTGAAAGTGAAACTTTTACTAATAAAAGCATTTGCAGCATTTGCAACTGTAATGGGTATCCGGTCAATTCGCCACCACAACAAACACGCCACCACAAAACTCGCCACCACTGAAAGTCACCAGTGACGATTTGACTTTTTCGTTTTGTGTAGCCTGTCTTATGAAACTTACGTTAAATGAAAGCTAAGATGTATTCGCATATTGTGAAAAAGGAAAGGGACTCAGAAGTTATGTGTAGCCTCTCAATTATGGAACGTTAACCGTTCAATGAAATGAAAATTGTTTATATCACGAAGATTATGATAAGTTTGCGTAAAGTGAAACCAGAGTGACTTTCGCCGAGTGCTATTCGCTAAGTGATTTCCGCCGATGTTTGTGAAATCGTATGAAACTGTGATTTAATCCTATATTTATGACCGCTAGATCACCCTAACCAGAAATTCATTCTTTTCCTATTCTAGCAGATTGTGTTTTGGACATTCATATTCGAAGCGAAGGTTACAACGATCCGGGAAAAGCATACCCTCGCAGCAAAGCCTACATTAAGGTGGATGGGATAGATTATTCTCTTCAAAAACGAGGATTTAACGTTGTTGTTGTGGATGGTGAAACAGGTAATTGATAGACTGTAGAACCGGAGTTACCTATTTATCATCATTGTTATTTTTTTCGACTTTTTCATTCGAGCCGAGGCAAGCCCAGGCATGCCGAAAATGAGTCACATGTATTGGAGAGGTTTGAGGTTTATTTCGAGACTTACAATATCGTTCGTTGAGAAGAAATTTGCATTTGCCTTCGCGTTCAATCACCTTAGAAATAGGAGAAAAAGACAACATGTGCTCTCCAAGTTTCGTGCTAGCCAGAAAAGGTTGAAATTTTCCTTTTGTCTCGTCCCTTTCAACCGCCATTCGAAACTAGCGCGAGCAGATTGCGAGTGTAAAAATAAAACAGGCAACATGGACAAGTGTCCCCTCACATCCACTCTAAGCTTGCGTCCACTTTATCATATAAAAAAAACAGTAAAGTCGCAGAATTTTACAATATAGTTTTTCGGAGTTAAGGAAAAACCTAAAAGATAGATGATAATATGGTGCACTAAATATTTTCATGTACAGGTGTCTTCCTCGAGGCAAGATCATTTGATACTTATGCAGATAACTCGAGCGGCAATCATTTGAGGGACTTCCTCAACAACCTGAGTGGCAAGTATGTTACAACTAATCAGTAACTATTTTTGTAGTAGAAGGACATTCTTTTACACCCTACTCTTTTCTCACCATTGAAGCAAAGAAAAATTTGTGTGTGTGTGATGCAACAGATAATAGGGTTTTACTCTAATTTTCAACTGACATCATCCCTTTGCATTTTTTGTCTTTGCTCTCAAAACAGTAAAATCGTTTTGGTTGCTACTCAAGATTCAGCCTCCAAGTACATGTCACCTGCGATTGACGCTCTCAAGAGACTGGGTGCTACCGATCCTCTTCAGGTAAACTACCGAGATTCCTTTGCTTTCGCTGGATACGCAGGAGTAAACAAACCACAATGGATTACACAAGAAAGAGCAAATAGATACCTAGGACCCAGTGAGATATTTCCGCAAATACCGCTGCCAGTTAATCAATAGATCGGAACTACTCTTAGATGAGCAAGCAAACATGACGATTCAAGACTGTACGAATACTGTCATCCTCTCAAAAAAATCTGTGATATTTTGGGTACCATAGCAAATTTGCACTAACAGTTGCCATTCTAGCGACCTGCGTTTAGATGTAATGAAGCATTTAAGGGTACAGGAGACAGTCGAGGTCCCTTTTCTTCCTTTCACTTCCAATTAAGCATTACTATTTTAACAACAGTTCTCCAAAAACAGAATTGTCAAATATTGAAATGCACCTAAGTTAAAAGAGTGTGATTGGCTAATTACAACATGTCACTATAAATGACTCCCGAAGTGTTTTATGCGGCAAAACATCCTGGTCCTTGAATTTCAATGGCGTAAACATCTTCTGATTCCGGTTGCACGTGGAGATCTTTGCTATCTGTCTGCGTTTAAAACTAGACTGTGAATAGAGAAAGAATAAAAGGGGTAGAGTCCTCAGGTGAAAATCAAAGATAAACCTGGTCGTTAGCACAATTGCAATTGCAAGAAATGCTGTTAAAGACTGGCTGCCTCTCCGCTGTGGAGTGCCACAAGGGAGCCTTTTAGGTCCGCTTTTTTATAATGCCTTTGTGAATGATATCAATTACTCAAGTGGATCTCCCCTACGTTTATATGCTGATGACACAATGCAATATATAGCCCACGAAAGCCCCTGCACTCTTGAATCTACATTGAATCAAGCAAAGGTAGATTAACGCTCTGGTTTACTGCGAACCACCTGAAAGTAAACGCTGCCAAAACTCAGGCAATGACACTGGGGAAATCTCAGTACCCATACAATATTTGGATTGGTGACAGGTCCATCGAAAATGAACCAACTCTCAAGATTCTTGGCGTTACATTGGATCGGGATTTGTCTTTCAAGCCCCACGTTGCAATCATGCGGAGGAGTAAGCGCTTAGTTACTTCAGACGTTATGATCATTATGCGATCAAGACATTACTAAATCTAGTTAATTCGGCTACCTATGACTTTTGCCTAGTAATGGCTGCTATGAACACGCTTGAGCAGACTTACCCTGCAATCGCTTATTCTATTTTGTAACGTTTTAAAGTAGATGGCCCTAATAATATCTCCCAATTTTTTCACCTTGGTTAACAAAATAAAATTTACGAGGCAGGGGCTTAAATGTTGAGCAGCCTTCGTATAACAGCCTTGTCATGCACAACTCCTATTTGTACATGATTGCCCACATGTGGAATCAGTTACCAGCTGTAACCAACTCCTCGACCACTTTAGCACAATTTCGTGTTCGCCTGAATAATGCTAATTTCACAGCGTGTCAATGTATGAAATGTATATAATTTTATCTATTTTTACATACTCTTGGGCTAGTTGATATTTAAAGATACTTTTTTATAATATTTATATAACTCGCATTTGATCTTGTTTTGTATTTTTAGTTCGTCGAGCATTTTTAACATGAGCCTCTGGCTCGGAAGATTGTGTAAGCACTTCCTACGTCTTCGACATTAAATAAACTATCCTATTCTATTCTATTCTAAAGAAAAAAGAAAATATTCTATTCTATTCTAAAGCAAAAAGAAAGTCTTTGAATCCACCGAAAAATGTCCGTTAGGCTCAACAAACACATCATTTTTTTTTTGTGGGTTTTTTTTTTTAAATTTTCGGTAAACACGAAGAATGTACATGCTCCAATTCAAAAGAATTAAAACTGCAATTTAAATTCTCTCGCCTTATTGTAATAACAATGAAAAGACAATCCACCTTTTTTTTCGACATTAGCTAGAAAGGTTTACTTCTCTGGATTCTTGTACTGAATGTACCCTGATTAAACCTAATTATAGAATAGTACTCTGTCATTCCTGAATTTGGTTGTCAACAGAAAGCTCACGAAAATTTGAGAACGTATAAGAACTAGGTTGAATTAGACTGCACCTTGTTCAGAACTTCCTCATGATTTACATACGTCTGTATGGTCTAAAAACTTTAATTTAGTCACAGCTGGTTGGTTTCGACTTAAAGAAATGTCAAAGAATTCAGTTTTATCCTTGACAAAGAACTTAGCATGATCGTTATGACGCGATCGGAACACTCTCATCAGTAATTACACCTCAAAACACCTCGCTCCCTTGTTTTGGTCCTATTTTAGGAACTCTTGTGAAAGTTTTTAAGTCTTTCGTTTTGGGAAATCTCCGGGGACTTAAAAATAAGAAATGATTATTTTGACTCCACATTTAACCCATAAGAAAAGGATCTCCGATATTTTAGACATAACATTCTCGTTTTCTTTGCAATTATCTTCATGGGTTGGATTGTTATGTAAATTAATATAGCTTCTCATAAATAAACCGTTTAAATAAAACTTAAGTTTCATTCAAGAGTAACCAATTAACAATAACTAATGCTTTCTAACCTGTTTTGGTGTGAGGTGCGTTATTGATTTGATGCCCGTTTTTGCGTGCGGTACTTTTTATGTTTTAAAGGTAAAGAATTATTTCAGTGGTTTGATGGTAAATTGCAAATTTGAAATGGAACAGCGGATGCAATACATTGAAAGTGTGTTCCTGTGATTGGTTCATTTAAGCGATTTTCTTTCTGTCGCTGGAAGATGGAGGGCAGTAAACTACTTGCTTCCTATCTACTGTCATTACTACTATGTACTGACGTTTCGTTTGGCGCTAAATACTTTAATCATGATGACAAACGAAGAGAACGACACGCATATTTTGTAAGGAATCCTTCAAAGCGACTAAATTCATCTATTCTGGATAGTTTTATGGTCTCCGAGCCTATGAGGTGTTTTTTTCGATGTGTTAGTCACCAAGAATGTTATTCAGTAAATTTCGCTTCGGTTTCACATGACGGAAGACATATGTGTGAGCTGTTGAACGCGGACAAGTTTCAAAACTCCAGCAATTTTCTTCATAGTATCAGCTTTGACCATTATAATAAGAAGGTAAGTGCGAACGTATCCCGTTTTACAAATTTGATTGTGGCATCTGTGTTGTGTGTGTATGTTTTGCACGCTTGAAAACATTCTTTCATCTTAATCTAAGGCAGTACAAAAGCAGAAGTTCATGTTCACTCATATCAATTTTGATATAACTTCCGTGAAGAGTAGATTATCATTTTTAATATTTGATTATTTTTTTTTTGATACTAACGGCAGCAGAAGGGCGTCGAAAAAACGGAAATTTAGTGAGAGAGGGCTCTGGCTTTGTTTCTTCACAACTGAGGAAGTATTTAGAGAAAAATATTGTCGTAGACGGGGGTTATTGCGTGCTAACTATCCGGTGATTTTGCACCACGTAATTTAGCTTACGTTTAGCCGTTACCTCTTCCCGAAGGTGAAACAGAAGTGAGGGAACGTCTTCCCAAATCTGACACTAATCATGTTCCGTGACGTCACTCTTTTGCAAGCAAATATACAATGGCCTTTTATTTACAGAGACATTTCAAGAAGAATGGAAGAAAGCCATATATATGTTTTTCGAAGTTAACGGTCTCCATTTCGTCACCGACTGGCTATGGAAAATCTTCAATATATCAAGCTGCGCCAGTGATCGATGGACTCCCTTCTCCAGAAGAGCCGTTAACTATATTTATTGTGCCGCCCGTTAAAGCTCTCACAGAAGATAAGGTGCAATCTCTTAATGTACTTGGGCCAAGAGGATTGTGCGCCTCAGCTTTAACTTTAAATTAAAGCAGTTGTTTCTTGCAGCTATTCTTTCGATTGAGAAAAGAGTGGCTCTTTCTTCACGCTTGCAGCGTAACTATCTTTTAAAGAAATCTAAAAAAACCTTGAGAATTTGCAGCAAGTGATCCAAATTTTTTGACGACCGTGGCACTGTTTACAAATACAAGCAGAAACCGCGTGGACGTTGAAATCTAGTTTCGTAAGCGCGATGCTAATCGAACATCGTCCTCCTCTTACTCTATACCAAAAATCGCTCATAACCTTTTCCTATATTCTTAGAGCAAAGTATATATTTGAACTCGGACGCTGAATTGCAAATTTGCCCGAAAAATGGAAAATGAATTCACTTCAATGTTGTTGTTTATCTGGGTAACTTTCACGCTAACACGTGCCACTTCAAAAAAAAAGTGACATTATTTTGCATAAGTTAAAGTGATGTCACGGGACACGATCAGTGTCAGGTTCAAGGCGTAAACGTTCCCTCGCTTCCGTTTCACCATGGGGGAAGGGTACGGCTACAAGTAAGTTACTCGTAATGTAAAGCAGCCAATCATAATCGCGCGAGAATTGATGGGTGGGTTATAGCTTGAAATGCCCCCACGCCGACCCAGCACTACAGTTTATTTAGGAAATAATTAATTTAAGGCTCGGCCAAAGTAGATGACATGATCTGCTCAAACTCACGCGTAAAGGCCTGGCCAAACGCACGCAACATTTCAACGCAAAATTTGGCAACATCGTTGGATTGTGTTGTGAGGTGATGTGAAGGAGCTCTCCAAACGTGCGCAGCATCTTGAAACATTCAAAAATGCGGCAACCAAAATTTGACCATTTTCAAAATTTATCCAAAACCATCCAACACGCTGCAACATTTTGCTTCAAGGTGTAGATGTACATGTCCCAAGATGTTGCGTTGAAATGTTGCGTGCGTTTGGCCACGCCTTGACAGAGCGAGTTTGGGCAGATCACGTCATCTACTGTGTTCTTATTGGGGCTGTGTTATTTTAAGAAATTTTTTTTTGTCTTGTGGAATAGAGCCCCTGCATGAGCAGTCCCTGCCTAGATGGAGCCTTATTCTGTCGACCAATTTACCAGCAGGACGATTATCAGTGTGTCTGCAAACCAGGATTTACTGGACACTACTGTGAAACGGGTGAGTTATTATACTGAGCTGTATTTTTTCATGTATCAGCTTTTACTCGCTTCTAGTTATCCTTCTCATTAATTGCTCAATAAAGATTAAATATTATTACAACATATCGCGGGCGCAGTCCCACCTAATCCTTAGGGAGCTACTCTGGCACGCTTCTTTCGTTCTCTCCATTACTCGTTACACTTGAGTATGAATCAATTCGGTCAGTTAACAGAGTTGATAGACGGCCGCCCGAGATTTGCACTTGAAACCGTCAATGACCTTTGATGAAACAAAAACTAGGAGAGATTATTGGTGCAGATGCGTCCACTTTCTGTTTATGACATAGTGATTGTGATCCTTATTTTTTGGTAAGGAGTTAATAATCGACCCTCTCTGCCCTGACCGTAAAAAAACCGTTATTACTCTTTTATCGCCCCTTGAAAGTGAAACTATTTATTAAAGAAAAGCATTTGGGTATCCATTCAATTTGACACCACAAATTTCGCCACCACTGAGAGTCAAATCGCCAAGGGTGGCGATTTGACTTTTTCGTTATGAGTAGCCTGTCGTATGAAACTTATATTAAATGAAAGCTAAGATGTAGTAGAATATTGCAAAAAAGGAAAAGGACTCAGAACTTATGTGCAGCCTCTCAATTATGGCTCGTTAACCGTTTAATGAAATGAAAATTTTCTATATCACGAAGATTATATGATAAGTTTGCATAAAGTGAAACCAGAGTTATTTTCGCCGAGTGCTTTTCGCTGAGTAATTTCCGCCGAGTGCTATTCGCCAATTGATTTCCGCCGATGTTTGTGAACTCGTATGAAATTGTATTGTAATCCTATATTTTGACTGCTAGATCACCCTAACTAGAAATTCATGCTTTTTCTATTCTTGCAGCTCGTGTTTTGGACATTCGTATTCGAAGCGAAGGTTGCGATGATCCAGGAAGAGCATCCCCCTGCGGCAAAGCTTACATTGAGGTGGATGGGACAGATTATTCTCCTCAAGGAAGAGGATATAACGTTGTTGTTGTCGATGGTGAAACAGGTAATTGATAGACTGCAGAACTGGACTTGCCTATTTGTCATCATAGGTTTTTTTCGGCGTTTGTCCGTCGAGCAGAGGCAAGCCCTAGGCATGTCGAGAATGGGCTCACATGACATGGAGAGGTTTGTCTAGAGGCAGGAGAGAACAAACGTACAATATTCGCTAGGAGGACATTTGCATTTGCCTCTGTTTTTACTCACCTTAGAAACGGGAAAAAAAGAGCACGTGTGTTCTCCAAGTTTCGTGCTAGCCAGAAAATGCTAAGAAAAAATTTTGGTCTCGTCCCTTACAAACGCCATTCGAAACTAGCGCGAGCGGATTACGAGCGTAAACATAAAACAGACAACATGGACAAGTGTCGTCCCCCACTCCAACTTCAAGCTGATGTCCACTTTGTCATAAAACATGTAAATTCGCAGAACTTTTCATAATACTTCCTCGGTTTAAAGAAAAACCTGAAAGGTAGATCATAAGATGATGCTCTAAATATTTTCATGTACAGGTGTCTTCCTTGAGGCAAGATCATTTGATACTTATGCAGAAAGTTCGAGCGGCTATCATTTGAGAGACTTCCTCAACAACCTAAGCGGCAAGTATGTCACAACTTAGTAGTACCTATTGTTGTACGTACAACACTTTAAGTACTTTTGGTAGACAATAAATACTCCTGATGATAATGCTTCCTTCACCGTCCATCTCGATTTTCCTGCTTGACGCTCTTTTCTACATTGTCTTTTACACGCCACTCCTTTCTCGCCATTGAAGCAAAGAAAGAGAAAGAAGCGTCTGCTCTCGGAGGCTACCTTACCAATTTACTTTCAGGAACCCGTCAACGGGAGCCGCTATCTCCACTGATTCTTTGAGTCAACACTTTCCCTGAGTGAAAATATTTTTAGAACCACAGCTTTTTCCCGCAAAAAGGATCATATTCCGTCAGAACAACCGCGAATCGCAAAATATGGTTTCACAGCCCAATGCAAATGAGCAGATGATTTTGTCGCAGAACGCAAAAATTGCGTTAGGAGCCTTTCTTTCAGTAGCTAGATATACTCGGGAAAGGGTTGACTCCAAGGCTTAGTATGAGAGATAACTAGGTAGAGAGATGGAAGGCTTAGTATGAGAGATAATTAGGTAGAGAGATAGAAGGCTTAGTATGAGACTCCTACTGTGGGAGAAGGGTTTTGTTGTAAAAAGACATACACATGCATAAATTTTCCCAGATGGCTGAATGTTATGATATACAGGCATGTTTGCTAGTTTTTTGTTTGTGTGTTGGCAACAGATAAGGGGGCTTTCTACTCTAATTTTTAACTGATCTCACCCCTTTGCATTTTGTGTCTTTGCTCTCGACACAGTAAAATCGTTTTGGTTGCTACTCAAGATTCAGCCTCCAAGCACATATCACCTGCAATTGAAGCTCTCAAGAGACTGGGTGCTACCGATCCTCTTCAGGGAAACTACCGAGATTCCTTTGCTTTCGCTGGATACGCAGGAGTTAACAAACCACAATGGATCACACAAAAAAGAGCAGATAGATACCTAGGACCCAGTGAGATATTTCCGCAAATACCGCTGTCGGGACTAATCTAAGATGAGCAAGCAAACATAACGATTCAAGACTTTATGAATATTGTAATCCTCTCAACAAAATCTGGTGATATTTTGGATACCATAGCAAATCTGCAGTTACAGTCGCCAGAATGATGACCTGTGTTTGGATGTAATGAAGCTTTTAAGGATATACAGTACACAATCGAGCTTACCCTTTTTTTTTCTTTTTTTTTTCACTTCCAATGAAGCATCATTATTTCAACCACAGTTTTCCAAAAACAAAATTGCTAAATATTGAAATACGCTTAATAAGTTTTAAAAAGTGTGATGAGCCAATTTTAGCATGTCACCTCAAATGATTCCCTAAGTGTCTTATGCGGCGAAAAATCCTAGTCTTTGAATTTCAGTCACGTAAACATCTCCTGTTTTCGATTGCACGTGGAGATCTTTGCTGTCTGTCTGCGTTTAAAACTAGACTATAAAGAGAGAATAAAAGAGAACAAAAGGGGTAGAGTCTTTAGGTGAAAATCAAAAAGAAGCCCGGCTGTAAGCACAATTGCAATTGCAAGGAATGCTGTTAAAGTTGCGACTTTATCTGCAATAAAATATTTCCTTTCTTTGCTCGGTTGTCGTAATATTAAACTTTGAAATGTTGCGTGCAGTTCAGTGACAATTGATACCTTATTGCCTTTTGTCAGAAATTTTCATTCGAGAGAAAATTTTATATATACTCTTCAGGTCACCAAACAGCTGTGACGTTGTAGAAACTTAAGCCTAATTAAAAAAAGATGAAAAATAGTAAAAAGTGTTAAGTTAAAAATTTTATTTTTAAAAACAATCTGTAATAAATATGAGGCAATGACTTGATTTGTCTCTAAAATTTTATTTCGTCTCCTTCTTCTCTAGGATTAAATTTCTGAGGATGGAAATCCAGTTTTGCACTTAACTGAAACACTTTTCTTTCTGTTTTTTTGCAATCCCTGGAAATATCAGGAGAACCGTAGAAACACGCGCAACGATCCCAATATCAAAAATGGTTCAGTTACGGTGGACAATTATTTTTCCAAATTGAGAAATTGACTCAAGGTTACTGAGAAATAATACTTCTCTTCTTATATTCTTATTCTTCTTCCACTTTCTCATATGGCAGGTAAACAAGTTCAATGATGTTTGAAAGAAAAAAAACATCTCTACCTTTCTTATCACTCGATTAATGATTGTTATTATGAAAATATACATAAAATACGATTAGGCTTGCGCCATGCCACACATAGTTACTGACTATCATGAACTGGATTAAACTCTCATACAAAAATTTTTGTCATCTGCTGCAGCTGTCGGCTTCGAGCCCACTGAAACACAAGACCTTGTACAACTTGTGGAAGAAAAAACACTCTCAAGCGAACAAAAATTTCAAAACGTGTACGATCTTCACACCTAGCTTCAAATTACAAATTTACGTTAACTCAACATCTTTCCAGTATATTTTGACATGGTTCCTCCTTTGTTCAAGGATTCAAGCTCGTCTGATAGTTTTAAAAACTTTAGTTAGCTGGAAGATGAATGATGTAGGTTTGAAAATAAAATCCGTAGAGCTTTAAGACATCAACAGCAGATTTGTTACGCTTTGGACTTAACTTGCCTCGAAAAAAACTTTATTGATAAAAGCTTCGGGGAGTGAATCGATTGTTGTTGTCTTTCGCAACTAAAAATTTATGTCCAGCAGATTCGATGTCGTGATCCCGAAAATTAACAAAGTTTAACTAACAGAGAAACAACCTTGGAGCCTGCTGTTGCTATCAAATTAAATTCATTACTTATTGATATGGTCTCTTAAAGGCGAAAAAAATAGATTATATCTTCCATGCCTAATATGTGGAGTTAAAAATTTCGTTCGTGAACTTTGATTTTAAACCCCAACTTTAAAAAAAAAGGAAAATGCTATGATACAGTCGAACGTGTCCTTAGCGGCGGTCACCCACGGTGAATGGCTAAATACAGGTACCTCAGATTAAAGGTATTATGATAAACGATACAACAAATTCTACTTCCTTTAATTTTGGGAGAGAAACATGGATTGAAAATTACTAGAAATATTATTCTTAGTCTCAATTGAGTGATTCGGCTTTTAGTGACCGTTCAGTACAGGTAGAAGAGAACACAAACAGGCCTTCGAGACTTAGTAAAGCCTGACTGCTACCGCTTAATAGAGGTGACTGCTTAATAAAGCAGAAATTATAGTGATTAAGGAGGAAAAAACTAATGACTTTGGCAACCGACCGCTTAACTCAGGTTGATCGCATAATACGGTGCCGCGTAATACAGGTTCCACCGTAATTAGGGACTTTAAGTAGACCACGACAACGAGGACTTGATAAAAAAAAATTCTAACGGAGAGATCAATAGCTCAGCACGTGCGTTTTAAAAGTATGTACATTTCTCAGCCGTGCTCTGCAAAACAACGACGTGAAATCACCAAAATTTGCGTGGTCTGAGAACAGAGACCTTAACAGCAAATTTTTTAAATTTCTAGCACTGCTCACATACGTTATGCTGAAGCTGAGGTGTTTCGCCACGAGAGACGTTGAACACATCCAGCTATTGCGAAATTCTTACCATGAATATAAAGTCATTTTTGACCGACTTCTTTCCCGGCGTTGCCTTCCTGACTGCTTAAAGTCCTTAAATGCATGCCTTCCTACTAATTTACGGGCCTTACTAAAAAGGTATCACGGCGTGTATCATGAATAAATTAAATTTTGACTGCCAACACTGCATAATTAGAAGCGATGTTTGGTTTAACTCGATGTTGGCTTCTTTAAGTTCTGACGACAATTAGTTGTTCGTTACAGCAGCACAGTTGTTGAAGAAGGCCTGGAATTCTGTCAAGGAATCCTATAAAATAATAATTAGCAATTTGTTATCAAGAAGTGCGCCCAATTTCGATTCACTAGCTTTTTGGTGCAGATGGAGAGAGGAAAACTGTATCCAACCCTATTTTTTACATGTGCATCACTCATGTGCGTACCTCATTCTAGCAGCGCCAAGGGCTTCAGACGGGATGGAAAATACGTTAATCATCCAGAATGTTTCTCGTTTAATTTTGTCTCAGCTTCATTAACACCCGAGCTGCTAAATGCTAACAAAATTCAAAATTGGAGTGATGTAATTCATAGTGAAACCTGTGACCACTACAACATTGAGGTGAGTCTCAGTTTGTTTCGGTGAGTGGCAGAAATTTGTTTTTATTTCCACAAATTACGTAATGAAGGTGTTTGTGCACCGGCGAATGGAAGCAAACTCATAGCTTTGATTTTGTTTTGGAAATAATGAGTGCGACGAACTTTAACTAAATAACATTCCTCTATAAAACAAGCGATTCATGGTTTCGTCCCTAAAGTAATGGTTTAAGAATACTTATTATACTTTGACACTAAACCTGTTACATAGCATGATGAAAAATAGGCGTTTTAAAGAAGACTACACTTTCTTCGAGTATTTATATAACTATTATTTTTGTTGCTGTTGTTGTTTTCTTCCTTTTGGCAGAGCCCGTGCACGAGCAATCCTTTTTGCCGGCCGAATTATAATCAAGACGATTATCAATGTGTTTGCAAACCAGGTTACAGTGGGGTATTCTGCGAAACAGGTCGGTTTTTATCACTGTCTTTCGATTTTCTCCTGGTAGCGGTATACTCTTGGCCTACTCTACTGATATAAATTCTTTCCAGATGTGTGTGTATATATATATATATATATATATCTGAAAGCAAATAACCGAGGAGAGATGCTTAGTACTTTAATTTGATCTCGCTATATCTTCTTGATGAACGTAAATTGATAGGTTTGATGGATTTGAGCTTTATATGTATGGAAATAATGAATGATAAATGAGGTCTTGTTCCGATCTATGGACTTAACACTGTTTGAAGAGCACGACTCAGCCTGCTGAATTCTGTCCGTCTTAATCGGCTCCCCAGCAAATTGAAGCATACTGACCGTAGTCTATATCAAGCTGCACAAGTCAGGGACGAAAGCCTTCCTAGTTATTCTATTCAGCTCTTAAATCTATTCATTGGAGTTAAAATTAAGTACAATTTTAGTTAGATCCTCAAACTTTCGTCGACAGTAGGTTCACCTTTTGGCAGGCCTAAGAGTTTCAATGACGGCGGCCGAGATCTTAGCGTAGTCTCCGACTTGAAAACAGCGCGTACGCTTTGTTGTTGTAGGAAACGGCGAAGCTGTTCGGACAGACCTTTGACATAAGGTAAAACCGCAGTACCTTTGAACTCGTTGGCGGGCTCGGCACCGTTGTTTGGTTTTTCGGTCTTGGTAACTTTCTGCAAGAAAGAAGAAGGATAACCATTATTTTCTCCTCGAAGATGACGGAGGGTTTTGTTACGAGACGTTTGGCGCACTCGTAAAGGCACTTAACAATACCGCGTTTTACTGATTGAGGGTGATGTGAATCATACGCTAAGTTTTGATCGGTGTGCGTGGGCTTCCTGTATACGCTGGTGGTGAGGCGGCCGTCAGGTTCTCTTAAAACTGCGGTGTTTAGGAAGGACAGTTTGTTGTCTTTCTCTGTCTCCATGGTGAAGCGGATGGAAGGCTGCTGGTTGTTTAGATGCGGTAGATCTCAGTTAGTACGACCAAAAGACGCTGTCGACCCGGCTAAACAAGATGGCGTAGTTTACAGGATTCCCTGTGAATGCGGAAAGGTGGACATCGGAGAGACTGGAAGACCTATGCAAGACAGAATTAAGGAGCACGATCGAGATATTCGACTCGCCCGTACCGAGACCTCCGCCGTTTCAGAGCATGCCCACAACACCGGACACAAGCCACTCCGGAACGAAGTAAAGTGAAGTAAAGTTTACTGATCGTGACCCTTATTACTACGCACGCAGGGTCAGAGGGGCAATTCACATAAGACTTCACCCTAACAACATCAACAGGGATAGTGGAATAGAAATCCCAGAGGCGTGGATGCCCACAATCAAAAAACACAACAACAGGAGAGCCGTGCGACAGCTGACCGCCGAGGGAGCAAATCACTGAATGAACAGCAAGGATCGAAATGCACCAATCCGAGCTGTCGAAAAAAAACAACTAATCACAGCAGAGCATCATGCTTTATAAGATCACGCATGACCAGTCGACCTCATCGCCTGAAGAAGACTAGCAGTATGCGTTCGAAACGTCGCGATTTACATCACACGTGACTACATCGTGAGACAAACGAAAATACCTAGCTTTTATGGTTATTCACCACGATGAATAACCACAGCCGTTTTCTAAAAAAGAATTACTGGAACACTCACTGGCATCTGTGTATGTTTATACTGGGTTTATTTCTAAGATGTTGTATGGCGGAAGGGAGATTGTGACACAAAGAAAACCGTAAAAAGACGAATTTAAGAGAAATTTGAAAAACTCATGAACGTGGCTTCCTCCTATAGCCTCTTCGTTCTACTCACTTGTTTCACAGCGCGCCCCTGTGTATCCAACGGAACAAGCACAAACATATGCATCAATCTGGTCATTGCATTCCGTCGTTTAGATATAGTATAGGATTACTGGAACATTCATTGATGTCTGTGTAAACACAATGAATTTAAGGTCAGTAAATTTGGTAATTTTTTACTTAGAGATGCGAAGAGAAACAGAATTTCATTTAAGATGATTAACACTTGAAAGTTAATCAGTCCAGTGACGACGTTGTTTAGGGTTTCAAACAACCCGTGGAAAACTTTGGGTGAGACTCCAGAAAATGTGGCAACAGAGACTGATATAACTGAAAATAAATGAATAGCATTGAAGTTAGGGGCAAGAAACCTAAGGTAACAGCGTCTGACGACCATACCTGTGTCACATCGCACGCCTACGAATCCATGTAAGCTTACGGTAGCAAAATTGTTTTGGTCGCCGTTCAAGATCAAGGCTCCCACCACATGTCGTCAGCAATTGACGCCCTTAAGAGACTGGGCGCCAAAAATGCTGTGCAGGTGCAGTTACGTAAACCATCGTGGATAACACAAAAACACGCCAGCAGGGGAAAAGGCCCTAGTGAATTTACATTAATGATTTCTTTGCCAGCAGGTAAGTTGAGACAGTTATTGCCCTTCATGCCACCTCACTGAGTCGGAGAGGCAGAGAGAGCATCTTCCATTAAATGCCTTGTTCTGCTTTAAATTTCTGTCATCTTTCATAAGAAATAAACAAAGTGCGAGCGATGTTCTCAATTTACATAACAAAATAGTGAAATAAATGAATAAAAAAAAGGGAAATGTTTGCTACAAAAACAAATTACGAAAAGGTAAATACACCTGCGCAGAATGTGCACAAGATTTTAGTGAAACCAGAGCGTCCTGGGACCCGTGCACGCCACTGAACGCAAGTTTGAGAGATCTCTTCCAGAACCGTTCACAGAACTGCGCTTTAGATTATTTTGCATATTTTAGCCATTTCAGCATTCTAATTGGAACGCGACTTAAACATTATGCGAATATGGCGAACGGTCTAATCAGGAGACAGTTAAATTAAAACTAAGGTTTAGTTTTCACATTAAGGCGCAGTAATTGGTAGGCCGAATTTTTGCCAGTAACAAAATGGAAATTGGGTGACAAACAGAATAACACTTTTTGATCATAAAAGTACTGAGCAAAAATGCATTGGAATCTCAACGTTATCTAAAATAATCAAGTCTTCTTTGATGTTTCTTTTGCCTGGCAAGTGGTTGTGAATGGTAAAAAGTCTCGCTACGTTGCTTTTCAATGAAATTTTTGGAGACCCTTCTTCAGCTGCTGCAATATCATTTCTGAAATCTTCCTTAGGTAACACTGCATACAAAGGGCTCCCCAATTTTGATAAACAGGGCATGTAGATCATGTTTTGTCCTGTTGTCTTACGATTAAAAACGTAGATTTTTTACCATTTTGGTATTTTTGGGAGTGATCTCCTCGTTTGCTGATAGGTCCCGAATCATGATCTGCAGAAACCGGGGCGAAATGAGAACCTGATTTGTTTCACGAAACTGTAAAAACCACTTGATTTACTAGCTCCAAGCTGGCCAATGGGTACGTACCGAAAGTACCCTTCACTTATTTTAAATTAACTTATCTTCCCTATGAAATGAATTTTAGCGAAAACTCTTTCTTTCACACCAGGATGTCTGTGAAAATAAAGTTATCACTAATACCTTGTACGATGTAATTTTAGGAGGCTGAATTACGATCGATGACTACGAATTCATGAACGGTTAACGTACGACCTTTGGTAAAGGCTATGAGGAAGCATCATCATGATTGAGATAAACAGGGACGCAAATGATCTGGATGCACTTGATAAGTTACCAATAAAGCAAAAAAAATGGTCCACTCTAAATTCCTGGTCAGCCAATGTTGGTTTACAGCGATTGACGTGACACCATGACATTGCATTATCGATACCGTCTCTGAGTCGATCTATTCAATTCTATGAATAAACTTTCATAAACAAGTAGTTATAACTAGAACTCTGATCAGAAACTGGCACATGACATGAAAATATGACAGTACGATATTTTTTTAAGCGAGGAAGGGCTAAACTATTCGGTAACTCTGGAGAAAGCTGATCTACCATGAAACGGAAACTTGATATCGTGCGTATAGTGATATGATATTCGAAAAATGACCTGGTTATTAAATGTTGGCAATGTTCGGCTGAATTAGGAAACAGCACTAACGAACCAATCAAAATGCTTTCATGTCTCTTATTAACCGAGCTTGAGGTCCGTACTGTAAGTTACGGACCGATTTTTCTTTTTTAAACGCAGGCAATAAATATTCGCGGAAAAAGCGAGGTTCCGTAACGTACAGTGTAGACCGAGAAAGCGAGATGGGTAAAATTTTTATTATATCTCTGGGTTCAAATGGTGTGAGAAAAATTCAATCCGAACAAACTTTTAAGTATAGCGGGGCTACAATGAAAACGGTCCACTAAATTGACCAATCATAACGCATGTACCAACCGTGTTTCCTGTGTGATAAAGGAACTAAATCTGATGACACGCTGAAGTTACAGACTCATATTTTATATAGCTAAATAAAAAGAGAAATTTCAATTTTTGATACAATGCACTACAATGCAGATCAAGTTGAAGTGTCAATATGCAGCAACATCATAATTTGAATCAAGACCTGAATCTGAAAAGAAATGAGACTATATGCTTTAAGAATAAGAAACCAGGTCGTGCACCCAACTGTCGAGTGAAAAACGAAATGTGGCGGGGAAATTGGATATTAAAAATCCTGAGAGACGTAACCGACCTTGGCACAACACACAAGAGGCCAGACCTTCACTGTCCACCGTCTGATATTTTCGATGATATCGCAACAGTTTTTTAAATATTTGGTTAAACCCCTCAGTGGGTCAAATCAATGGTGCAAATGCTTTTCAGTGCTTTTCAAAATATGGAAAATTTAATTCCAAAACACAGGAGTTTAGACCTTACATGTATACAGTCCGATCCCATGTTTCGAAGCCATCAACAAGTCTTCCGATATTTTCAATTATGTCGATTTGTGAATCTACGCGAAAATGTCAATTCGACTGTGCAAATGCTCTTCAGTTTGATTTCTTTTCAAAGTTTTAACTTAAGGACTCGCAGTAGCGGTCGAACTAAGTCTGAAGTTCGCTTCTTAAATCCTCATTCTGACGGGACTACTATTTTTACGAGAGTAATTTGAAGATCCAGTAGTTAAAACAGTTATTTGCAATTGGAAATAAGCTATTTATTGGCGGCACGCTATTCCGCTCAGAAATAACTAAATTTCGCTAAGTCGTTTTGTGAAAGAAGATCCATTGCTTAAATTCTTGAAAGTTACATCAAACACGCTAAGGAAAATATAATTATATGAGGCAACAAATGATTTTAATAATCGTATTCCTTAAATAAAAATTACTAAATCGATCCTATTAATCAAAAAGCATTTAAAGCTTTTTCTACAGTGAATAATTTACAATTTTACCGCGTTTCTTTTTTTTTACCTTTTGTATCTCTTAACTCTCGGGGTTCATTTTTAAGCCAATGTGCTACTTTACCTTTTTCTATTGCATATTTTTCTTGATGGAGCCGTTCCACCCCTTCTGCGAAAAAAATACTTAGACTAGTCACTTCATAAATCTCCTTTATAGCAATGATTCTGCCGTCAGTTTAACTAGTCCTCTTGAGAATCAGATTTTGCATGCGGTTAACAAATAACCTCCCTTGATCAGGAACATGAATGTTTTATCAAACAATAACTTAGGAATTAAGTTTATCGGATGATTAGAAAATGCGTTAGCAAAAAGTGCATGACTCATCATCAAGTTTCCAGTCTTTCTGCCATATTCTTCTCCTTGACTAGCCGGCTGGATGTACGACCTGCGTTCTAATTTTAAACATCACGTTTCTCATTTCTTTCTGCCTCCAGCAGTAGATCAGCGGATTAACAAGCGAATTTAACATGGCAAATGTTTGCATCAACGGTATGTTGATTGGGCATGTATTAAAAAGGCGAGTGACTGTATTGACGAGACAGAAACCAAGTGGAAGGAGGTAACCGACAACTGCACCAACTATAAACAATGTTGTCTTAAGCGCCTTGCTCTCTTTAATAAATCTTTCCACTTCTTCTTGAGGCAGTTGCTGTGCTTTTATCTTCCTTTGGTGGCGACGTATTTCATGATACAAAATCACATAAGTGAGGGCAACGAAAAAAATACATGAACTTGTGATAAGGCTTCCGATAAACTGGAGTAATAAGTTCATTTTTAACACCGTGAAAACCCCACACATGAAAGCAGAGGACCAAATTGCTGATACTGCCATCTTCAGGTTGTCGTTAGTTATAAAGCTTTGATAGTGCATCGTAAATTTGATCGCTGCGAGCCTTTCAAAAGTAACCAACATTAAATGAAGGTGTGAAGCCATCAACAGTACAGTCGTAGAGGTCAAATAAAAAGTCATGACTGTTTGACTGCCACTAAGACGGAATAATAGGAATACCCTCCACAGGATATACGATGGCTGGCAAAAAAGACCAGTCAATGCGTCAGTCACCGCTAAACAGGCAAGCAAGATGTTGCTGTTGGTTCGGAGTCGTGGTCTTGTTTTCACGGCCTTTATCACCAGCACGTTAAGCAAGAGGGTGAGGGGACAAGCGATGCCGTTAACGATGATGGTGATGATATAACTAACCTCCAGAGGGGCATTTACCGTACTAGTCATCTTTATAGAGCTGGTAAATTGAGCCCGAAAAAGTCTGATACATATAGGTTGAATTCGATACCTAAAGTAGATTTGATGAACCCCCCGATCAACGCGTTGGATCTTACTCGTATCTTTTTTTTTCAGAGGCTTTTACGGACACGCTTACACTGGTGTGCATGTGTTTCCACTTGACTTTTTCTCGCGCATGATTTACAGAACTTTTCAATTATATACTTTATTTGGCTATTTATTTTGTTAACCATACTAAGTTCAAAGCCTAATCAAGATCAAGATTTTAATCGATGGCCACTTTCATGTTGAAATGCTTTCAACTGAGTCTCATATTTCGATTCATTCAAATTTAAATCTATTTCATATGAAATGATCGACCGCCACCTGCACGCTTATGTGCTTTCAGTTAACTTTTTCTCGCGGTTTAATGTGGTTGGTATTAAGAAAATATGTGTTTGGGTAGATTAGAAGGAGGTAAAATTAGCAATTAAACCAAAAGGATCTGGAATAGGCAAATATGAAGAAGATTGTCAACTAAGATGAGTTTCATGAATGGACACGCTCTACTCGAATGTGCATGCGTTTCCACTTGACTTTTTCTCACGCATTACAGAACTTTCCAACTATATACCTAATATTGTTGTTTATTTTGTTCACTATGCTGAGTTCAAAGCCTAATCAAGACCAAATCAAGATCTTATCGACGACAAATTTCATGTTCAAGAATTTTTACTCAACTTTTTATCGTGGTTGTATGAATTATTTATTAAAATTTGTTCTTAATTTGGTCGGAAATCACAAGATATAAGTTTGGGTAAATTGGAGGGATATAAAGGAGAAATGAATCTAAAAGAATTTGTATGGGCAAGTTTAGAGAAGATTTTTAACCGAGATGAATTGCATGAATATTTAGGAAGACTCAACTCGATTCAGTTGTGCATTTTTTCGAGCTTTCCCTTGTCACAATTTAACAACTTCCATCATCTGAGAAATAGGTATGGCTTACGGTTGACACCGCTAATGGAGCTTAATGGTCGGTCAACTGCAACTACAACTACAACTGCCAAGAAGGTCTTTTAAAATAACCAGAGGAAAGGAAATATTCTGACGAGCATTTCCGTCGCCCTCACAGTCATGGAGAATAGAAGTAAACATTGTCAACATGCACCTTATTTTCAACGAAAAAAAGAGGCGGGAGGGACTTCACTGATAACAAGCTTTTACGTGCCCAAGCCTAAGATAACTGTACCGGTACTAATAAAGGGAGGCGTGATGTCCTACTTTCTCCGTCTGAAAAAAACGATGTTCGAAGACATCGTTAATAAGTCAACTTATATGAATTGCATGAATGAACACGCTCTTCTCTGGGTGCATGCGTTTCCACTTGACTTTTTCTCACACATGAATCATAACAGTTTCCAATTGTAAGAAAATATATGTTTGAGAAGATTATAACAAAGATAAAAATAGCATATCAAACCGAAAGGATCTGGAATGGTCGAATGTACTGGTCAGCAGGCATCGGTCAAGAAGGCCACAAGTTTTGAAGCTCTCAGTAAAAGAGGCTAAAACTCGCATTTTTTCATCTTTAGTTAACCTTTGAACTTCTTTAATTATTACATGTCAGTATTTAAGTGTTAATATGTCTAACAAGAGAGGGAAACAAAAAAATTCTACCTACACAGACGACTTCGAAGCATTTGTCAGAGAATCGCTCGTAAAATTGAGTGAAGGCCAAGACAGGATTCTCCACGATGTAGCCACCTTAAAAGGAAAAGTCCAACTTAACGAGTCGTCCTTGAACGACATCTCAGCAAGACTCACAAAAATTAACCATAACTACGAAGAAGTCAAGGGCGAACTCCATGATGCCAACTGCAAAATCGAAGAAATTGAAAGTACCATGCAAAATCAAGCCCAACAAATTGGAGCGATGCACGAGCGATTCCTGTCTATCGAGCGCTATTCGCGTGAATACAACCTGAGGTTCCACAACATCCCGGAGTCTCCCGGGGAGGATTGCCGTCAGAAAATCGGAGATATTTTAACTGAGCAACTTAAAATGGAGCCGAAGATAGAAATCAGGGTCGGCCAGGGTTTTTGGGTATTCGGTATTCAGGGGCGTTTTAAATCGGGTATACGGTATACTGCAGCTTAAATATGGGTATTCAGTATATCACTTTCTTTGAATTTCAGGTATAGAGTATTCAAAGCTTCGATTATTTTTGGGTATATTTGGAGGAATTTGGGGTATTTTGGGGTATTTTGTCGATTTTTTTTCGGGTATATTGGTATTCCACTACCCCCCCTGGCCGACCCTGAGAAATGCGCATCGCATAGGCCCAAGCATCGCCGACAAGCCGAGGGCGATAATTTGTAAGTTTGTTTACTGTCCTGAGCGATTTAAAGTGCTTCAGAAGAAACGTGACCTTCAGAACATCGTCTGAAGATCGGGAGAAAAAGAAGAAGTTAAAAGATGTCATGAAAGAGGCATACTAAAGTGGAAAGAAGCCACGTTTTCATCGTGGGCAATTGTATATAGGCAGAGCTTTGTTCAAAAATTCATATATGTCTTGATCATTGTCAGGTTAGTTAGTAACTATAGAGCAATACGCGAGATTGGGAAATGTTATAAATCTCCTGAATGATTAATAACTCAAATGATCCAGACCTAGATCTTCAATGTACCCCGCTTACTCAAGCCAATATTTCTTTCATTGTTTGCTCGGTGACCTCCGGGGAGTGATTTGGATTTCTACACCTTGTTGTATAGGAAGCACCCATGTATTCCATTTTTGGAAATTTACAGCTTCAAGCACTGGTAGGAGGCCAATTAATGAGTTCAGGAGTTTTATGTTCATCTGTAGTATTATTGTAATCAAAATAGTTCTCATGATTGGAAATGATTACGGAATCTTATCGAGGCAAACACCCAGCCATTAATTATGCCATCATTGATCAATTTACAGCTTGAAGCCCTGGCGGGAGGCTGATTAATGAGTTCAAGAGTTGTGTTTTCATCCGTATTATTATTATTATTATTATTATTATTATTATTATTATTATTATCATTATAATCAAAATAGTAATCATAATTGAAGATGATCAAGGAATCTTATCGAGGCAAACACCCAGCCGTTAGTTCTGACATCATTGATAGCTATACAGCTTCAAGCACCGATAGGGGGCCAATTTAAATACATGGAAAATACTTTATAGATGAGACCTATGGTTTAAAATGAGCTTGTAGTTCGGATGTGAAGCAACAACATTAAGACAAAGTTAAAAAATAATTTCCGGTGTTTAAACTTGTCAACCTGTTAACAGACTGAAACTGCGTATTTTACAGATGGAGACTAACAAAATTCCCGTCGCATTATTAATGCAACTAACTCTAATTGTATTTACAACGAAATGCGCCAAAAACTTCAGAAGGGATGGCGAAAAAGGGGTAAATTACGCTCATTTTGTGAAGAACCCCTTTCAAGGACTAAATGCCACTGCTGTAGCCAGTTTGATGGTCATCCAACTCCGAGATTGTACATATCATTGTATCAATCATAAAGAATGTTACTCGATAAATTTCGCTCGAGTTTCTTTCGACAGAAGGCACAGATGTGAGCTGCTGAACACAGACAAGTTTCGAAGCTCGGATAAGTTAGTGTACACTGACAGCTTCGACCATTATCACATTCCGGTAAGTGCTAATGTAAGCTGTAGCCACACTGAATTGCATTTGCTTGAGTCAGACTGAGTTGACATTGAATTTCAAGGTCAAATTTTGAGCTTAAGTGAAGGACTCTACACATGTCCTTTTTCAAGGACATTCAAATCAATCAGAAAAAAGAACACATGAATTACTTTTCTTAGTCCTCTTATCGTGATAACCACAGAACAGTTGCAAAAGAGCTTAGACCTTTCTTAGATGCTCTATAAAGAAAGCCGCATATATTTGCTATGTAGAAAATTAATAATTTTTTTGTGGTTGTTTCTTTTTTGCTCAAGTTCAACTTTATTTCACAGAGCCCCTGCATGAGCAATCCTTGTCAAAATGGAGATCATTTGTGTCGCCCGATTTACAGTCAGGATGATTATCAGTGTATTTGCAAACCAGGTTTTACTGGAGAGAACTGTGATGAAGGTTTGTATTAATATTACTTTACAAGTCATCAAGATTCGATTCAATCATTTAAGATTTTCAGAAACTAATCATTTCTTTCATAGTTTAGTTAGCGCAAGGTATAAAAAATGTTCTCACAACAAGTGCATATAACTAGTGTGCGAAGGCAACATGCCTTCTTCCTCGTATAAATATCACGATAGCAATGAGAAAAAAGTCGATCCAAATAATAAGAAAACCTTTAAAATTATAATACAGGAGACTCCTCTTATCTCCGCCTAGCATGATAGCGATTGGGAAAGCACTGTGAAACTGGTGTTTGCAATAACTTACCAGGCTCTGAAAAGAAGTAATAACGACTCTTCACAGTTTTATGTCCTTTCCAAGAAGGTTCGAATCAAGAGGAAAATTGTATTTCTCTTCTTTTGTTGTATTTTTGGTACCAATAATCAAACCATTTGACATATTTTCAATTTACCCAGACATAGACGAGTGCACCAGTAATCCTTGTTTACATGGAGGAACATGTATTGATCAGGTCAATAAATATGTATGTAACTGCCCGGCTGGAACCGAAGGAGACCGCTGTGAAACTAGTAAGTATTCAAATTTTAATCAATTCGATATCTCCAGACTTTTTTACCTCAGCCTCTTATTATCTTACCCAAAAAGCATGTCTCTGATACTAAATTAATTCTACAACAGATGTCAACGAGTGCTGGAGCAACCCCTGTTTAAACGGGGCGACCTGTGTGGACCGAATCAATGGATACGTTTGCAACTGTAAGGAAGGATACACTAGTGCACACTGTGAAAGTGGCAAGTACACTTTTTCCTCATAAAAGACATTGATTTTGCTGAGGCTATAGTTAGTTTTCAAAGGAACTGCTCATATTATTTAAAAAAAAAAAGATTATGTTGACTCATCCTCATGTAAGATTATTTATAACAACCTCGCCCTACGTAGCAGGTGACGCCTCCATCCGATTGCCGCCGCAACTGGCTTTGTATGATTTTGGAATAATTGCTACTCAGGCTTTGAATGCGGCTGCACGTCTTGAATTACTGTTTTCACTTTTTCGAAGTAATTTTCTAGTTTTTGCTCTCGTTGAAGGAGGCTGTTTATTCGCAGTGTCTAGGGCACTTTTCACATATGAGCGTAGTGCATGACCAAACTCATCATCGACTTGTCTGTAGTTCCGAAGTGAAGCAGCACACCGCAAAATCCGAAAGTCTTTAGAGATTCGTTTCCTCTTGTGAACTCATTTTTCCCCATCTTTCTTTGTGCCAAGCTCTTAACAAAACAAATCACTATCTTTAATACCATCGTATCAATTAACAATAATATATACATACCGATATCAAACTATTAATCATAGAGGTCTTCCAATGTTCGAAATAAACCCATTTAGGTACCCTCGTGTTTTAACATATTGTATTCACGCGAATAGCGCTCGATAGACAGGAATCGCTCGTGCATCGCTCCAATTGTTGGGCTTGATTTTGCATGGTACTTTCAATTTCTTCGATTTTGCAGTTGGCATCATGGAGTTCGCCCTTGACTTCTTCGTAGTTATGGTTAATTTTTGTGAGTCTTGCTGAGATGTCGTTCAAGGACGACTCGTTAAGTTGGACTTTTTCCTTTTATTTGGCTACATCGTGGAGAATCCTGTCTTGGCCTTCACTCAATTTTACGAGCGATTCTCTGACAAATGCTTCGAAGTCGTCTGTGTAGGTAGAATTTTTTTGTTTCCCTCTCTTGTTAGACATATTAACACTTACATACTCACATGTAATAATTAAAGAAGTTCAAAGGTTAACTAAAGATGAAAAAATGCGAGTTTTAGCCTCTTTTACTGAGAGCTTCAAAACTTGTGGCCATCTTGACCGATGCTAAATTTTCCTACTCCAATGCCAGTGTCAGCAAACCAGGAATATCAAATATGGTTTGCAGAGGACTTGACGGGCTGCAATGAGTCGGATAACGGTTTTGAAGAAACATGTGCTGAGGTGCACGGATTGTACGTTTGATTCAATCGGATCTTGAATCTTTATCAAACCTTACTAAAGAACCCTGGTATGAGACAATTTGTACAGTTATTATATTTTTACTTCTTTTTTTGACTTTTCAAAGAAAACGTCACAGCTCAAAATGCCTTTTGCTCTCTGAACATTTACCTCCGGCCTAAGAAATCTGTCACATGACATCGCATGTTATTAGGCCTAGGCATAGAGGTTTATAAAAAGCTACAATCACTGTTTCCATGGATACGTTTTATTACCATGGATTGTTTTAGGGTTATGGAGACGGGGCTGTCATGAGTATTTTATCATCAGTTACGTATGACGTCTTATATAGGGCGGTTTTGAAACTTGTTTGGTTCATTTTCAGTAGGAGATATCATATTTATTCAACGAGATATGATGGTGAACCTGAGGCTGTCTTCGAAACATTATTAAACGTGGCATGACCACACGTGCATTTTATTCTGACCTGTGCTTCATTAAGTACCAACACCATCAGACGCCCATTATTTTATCAATTTGATTCAAATCAGTAGTACTGGAAGAGGTTAGTAACGACAATAGCCACCATTAGTATCATTTTTGTTGTAAAAAAAACTACCATTTTCAGTGTTTATCACATAATGCATGATGATAATGTACATATATGTATGAAAACCTCTTTTGAATATCATTCACTAACTATGACATATGTGAAAAAATTAGTTGGTAGTAAGACGGAGAGAGAACTACGTCCAGAGTCATAATGATCCACCACTTTGTTAAAATATAAATTTTGTGTACAGCAGGTACTTTCTCGATTATTCCACTTAGTATATACCAGTCATGTAAATAGTGCTAGTTCGGAAGGCAATAGCAAATTTTCGGTGTTCAAATTTTTTTACTACCCAAAGGTTAATATTTGGTTAGATGTTTTTTGCCCGTTTTACGGCTAATGGCTAACCCATTGGGACCCTCAACCTTTGTATAGTGTTTACTGGTCATTTTCAACAGAAAACATGTCAAGTTGTTATGGAACCTGATTTAGTAGACTGATCTTTAATCATGTACCCTTTTTCATTGATTAGTTCCACTAAAACCAAGAGAACCTTAGGTAACAAACATCCAGAAGTCCGAGGCTAATATCCAAACAAAAGTTGCTAGTTATTACTGCTTGATTGGGCATAATCAAAACCAGTAGCACGTACGGACAATTTTACTGATACTAAAAGGTACATATGGTATTGTCAGATCGTAGTGACATTTCACGCAGTTCGTAATTTAGTTGATATATCACGTCGACGTCTGTGAGGAACTGTAACAATAAAAAACAGGTTGTTAAGAGAGAAAAGTGCCGTCTTCTTCGTCAAAAGTAAAGAGAATCGATACATTTTGTCTCACGTTTGTGCTATCGATATTGTTTGGCGTGGACGCATCCACTTGCGCTAAAAGCTTCAAACGAGCTGGCCAGCCCAAACTGAAACACGCCAATTTTAGGAATTTTCCCTCGTATAAACTAAATACCACTGTTCTGGCGGAATTAAAGGTTATCTGGCCCTAGGAGTGTACTTATCATGGCATATAATACACCAAGTACGTTACTCGGTAAACTTTACGATAGTTTCACATACAGTGAAGAATTGAATGAGTGTGAGATGCTGAAATCGGACAAACAGAGTCACGTTACACCCAACTTACACGATTTCTTTGCCCTCATCTTTACGAGGAAACACCAATCTGTAAGAGGGAACAGTATAGCAGTCTTTACAAAGATAAAATCGACCCAGGTCTTTACATTTAATCATGGGACGCTTCAAGAAGAAAAAAAGTTTTGATCGCCCAAGAGGCGGTATTTTCTTATTAAGCTTATTTTCTTTGTGGAAACAATACATGTCTTAAAGAAGACAACAGTAATTCGTGAACACAAGGTCCACAAATAGTCCTGGCCAAATGTCACAGCAAAACATAACAGGAACAACTTAAAATACGTAAAACGAAGAAACTCAAAAATAACCCAGAAAGCAAAAAGCGGCATCGGTAAAGCTGATTTCACCTCCTCGATCGATGGCCTATTTAAGGCTAACTCCGATAAACCCTTCTTTATGCAGGTCATGGCTTTGAAATTTTAAATTCCAGAAACTGTGTTGATTAGATAATCCAGAGAATACACATTGTTTTCAACTGACTATCTTCCCGTTCCGTCTACAAGCTTCGGCGCAGTGCAACTATTCTTACAATGGCCTTTTAAACGGTTAAATGCGTAGGTTTTTGGAACGGCATTTTTAGCTTTTACGAATGCAACACTCTGCCACAATCAGTCGACCATAACAGGGTAAAGAGGCTGGTTTTCACGTTTCTCTAAAAAAAAGCTATTGACTTTTTTAGGTCAATGTGAGAAAATTCACACTTGTGAATATGGTCTGACGCGATTGCCGTGTCAGGAGGGTAAAGAAGAGCTTAAAAATAACCCTGTCGAGGGGACATGCGCTGAGCTACGCTGATTGTACGTATAATTCAATCGGATGATGACTCGTTACCAAGACCTTGTATGCAACCTTTTGAACAATTTTCCTATTTTTCCGGGAATACGTCATAGCGCGCATAATGACTTTTACTCTGAACATTTATTTCCAGCTCAAGAGGGCATGTAAATCTGTCATATCTTTAATTTATGTAACTTACAGGTTATCTCGGGTAATTGGTACATTCTCTCCTCAGCCCATTATGGAACGGAAGAAGGTCTGCAAACAAACATAACTTATTTATACAGAGATTCAACTTGTACGAACGAATTGGAAATAAAAGGTTTTCGATATAGTGTTGTAACTTTGGGAATGTCTACTGTCATTTTCTCAAATATCCACACAGATTTATTATCTCCTCGGCCCACCATGGATAGAAAAAAGGGTTGATAACATGCAACTTAAAAAGAATTTACAAAGCTTTTTTAATTCTGCATCTCTCACAACAGCAACAAACATTGAGGCCGCGCGTAGCTACATGCTCTTTGAGGGACCTGGTACTGGGTTAGACAACCCAGCATTCATTTGGACGCGGTATTAGCAAAGTCGTGTATAACGAATACCTTAAATTTTTTCCTTCTTTCACAAATTCTGCACTCTTCCTTCGACCACTTTGTTTTTAGCTCAATAACTGTATCTTTAACAAGACTTCTTGTTCTCCTCCTAAGTGGGAGGAATTCCTCTTCTATGCTTGGAGCCTTTGATGGAGGACCGGAGAGGGATTGGAGCAAATTGTGGCCCGTATGTTAATAATCTGCGCGCACAGGTCAATCTTTCCGGGTGCCACTTGGCAACTGATATTGTGTTCATTCGAGGTTCTCTACTTTTGTGGGTTTGATTCAATCAAATCACCGGCTCATGTTGTAATAAACACGTCTTGCTTAAATGTATCGCGGAGTTTACAAGCATTTGTAGCTTCCAGGTACAACTTCGAACGCCTGTCAATTAGAGGTCGACCGAAACCAAAACACGTTCATGTAACTACGGAAGTTTCTGATCGTTGCATCACAGGCTGTGTCACGGAACAAGGGAATACTTTCACATCTCCGTGGCCGTTAACATGAGTATGAGTACGGCTGAGAAGGATCGTGTAATAAATGAACTTCCTAAGGTAAGTAGGATGGTAAATTTTTATTCGCAGGTTTTAAACATGACTAAGTTTAAACGTATTTGAAATATTCTTTCTCAATGCAGAGGCATGACAATATCTCAGGTTACAGTAGGAACTTATGGGTAATCAGGAAGATTTTTGCTGCTTTTAAGAGTGTTGGAAGCTCTGCAGTGTAGCGTGTTAGGTTGGAAAAATGTGCAATTGCCAAATTATCGGAGATGACTGTGCAAAAATGGGGGGAGGTGGTCGGCTGTATCATTGATAGAGCTACACCGGGTTATGGGTTTATGTGTTCATTGGAAATTTCGAATATATTGGCGCATGGCTTTCTCATTTCTGCTTCTTTTCTATCATCCTTGGTAATTTAATTACCAGTGCTGCAGTTCAACAATAGAAATTTCACTGTTATCGATACACGGCTAAGGGCTGAAAAACCTACATTCGAGGGGAAGCATCAATTCTTTTTTTATCCACCTGACTTTATTTTTCATTCCATATAACCTGTCAAATAGTTAGGTGCAGGCTTTATAGTGTTATAAGGACTTTATAGTGTTATGAGGACTCTATAGTGTTATGAGGACTTTAAAGTGTTATGAGGACCCTATTGTGTTATGAGGGTATGGTAACTCTTCATGATTGAGCTGCATGTGAAACATCTTGTATCAATATTTTTACAAACTATAGATCTAACTATCTATATAGTGAAGGTTTTGCTAGGGTTGTGCTGCAGAAACCTTCATGCACAGTAAACTGGCAATAAATTATCCTGACAAGATCTGAAGAAAAGATGATGAGAGCAATTTGTTCTAGATTATGGCAGGAGAACCTTTCAGACTGGCCCATGTAGGATATTCAAGCAATAGTTGAAATCTTCAAATCTATTCAGTAATTAGTATAATTGCTCTGGTGATTATTGAGAGTGCATGCTCTAATTGTTAGTGTAGATTGCATCATATCTATCTATTAACACCTCACACAAGGTGATTATAGCAGAAGCACCATATTTCAAAATGGCTACCTGGAGTTTTTGTCAATATTTTGCAGGAAGTGGTAAATGCAAAAGAAAAAAAATGCAATTCTGAAGAGCACCAAATATGCTGCTAAGTTTGGCATAACACTTTTCAAACGAAAGATATGAAGTTTTTGCAGATTGAATTAAATGAATCTGCTAAATTCTAGGGAAACTGGCTGCTCACATTAATATGAGTTATCAAAACAATTTTAGCAAAACATTTTCAACAAAAAATAAATTGACAACAGACTTTGGAAGCACCTGGCAGTTATGCTTTAAAAAATCATTCACCTCAGACTCAGTGAATATTGTTGAATAATTATTCACAGTATTTATTTCGCCTTTGGCCAATACTGTTTTACTTAGTAAGGTGATAACAATCAATTCAATTTGATTAATGTCTCAGTTTTTTTTCATGAGTTTCTTTTTTTTTCCATATCCATAGTTTTATACAGCTGATGCAGCCCCAAGACAGGCTTCTAATTTTCACCTTAAAACCAAGGATGCATGTTCTTCAGGAAATACTGGCAACATATCGTAAGCATTCACAGATGAGAAATCAATGTTGACGCAAAATCATCTAACTTAGGTTGAAGCACAAAATGATGTATTATTTGTAAATTATAGATGAAGTCTGCTGACCCCTTAATGCTATTATGATAAGTATCAGTATATTATGTAGCATCCTTTCCTCCAGAGAAGGAAGAAATAAGTGAATAAATAGATCACACAAAAGAAAGAACAAGAAAAAAAAGACAAAATGTTATGAGTTCTTCCTCATTCTAGAAGTTCCTAATAATGTCCTCTCATTGTTAGACTTTCATAAGAGCCGCAAAGTCTGTAAATAAAGTGGTTAGTCACAGGAATCTCATATCTTGACAGACTTGGCTTTCACTTTGCAACTCTTGATTTGTAAAGGAATGAACATTAATTGAACAATCATGTTCTGAATAAAATAAATGTACATTAGTTGTGGATAAGAGCTGATCTTTAATCTACAGTGTGTACTTGTGACTCAAGTTTTCAAGGATTTATTCATCCTGTCAAGAAAGTAATCTAATAATTATTATGTAATTATGGATACTTTACATTTTGGGTAAGAGTCTGCTGTCTGCTGACCACTCTAATTGATCTAGTAAGTATGCACAACAATTACACCTGTAGGAATAAAGCATACTCACTTACAAACAACTAATTATAGTGCCATACTTTAATAGATCATAGCCTCTTTTGGTTATCATTAATTATTTTTTTTGGTTTATTGTGCTCTTTATCCCTGAAGTATTTGGTTTCATATTAGTTTGCACAACTGTACATGATTGGAAATAAAATTTTCTGCTCAAGATCTACCATAACTGCCAATTGGAAAAGGACCACATTAAAAATCTAAATACCACTACAGTACTGAACTTGAAGTAGACTAATGAAAGCAAAAATTTTTTCTTTTCGTCTTCAGTTTAAAAGTGGCCAAATCTATAGTTGTGGGTGACACTGCTGTTGGGAAAACATGTCTAGTTAACAGGTGTGTAAAACATTTAAGTATTTATCATGTGTACATGAAAGGTTCATCTATTCAGGGGTTTAGTCAGTATTAGAGCTTAGTGGCCCACCCAGCAACAACTTGCCCCACTTGTACCCTGAAGTGACTTGGAGTATTATTACCCTCTCCCCCCTTCCTAGAAGGGATGTTAGTCCATCACAAGGTTACCCCAGAGCATTTCATCAGGCTTCCCCGGCAATCCACCAGTAGTCATTTATACTCCTGGGTGGAGAGAGGCTCTGTGAGAATTGAGTGTTTTGCCTGCAAGCACAACTCGCTGATCCAGCCAGGAGTCAAATCCAGACCTCCTGATCCAGAGTCCAGCACACTGCAGTTTAGTTTTCCACATCTTCCTCAATTTAAAATTTAATATTTTGAGTTGACCTTTATCATGACTGGCATCAACATGCTATAGCAACTTTCTACATCTAGGCTCCACAGTACTGAATTTGGTATTTTATTGCAGATACTGTCAAAACCTATATGACAGAGATTACAAAGCAACCATTGGTGTAGACTTTGAAGTGGAGCGATTTAGGATTCTTGATCAAGAGTTCAACATGCAAATGTAAGAAAAACATGTATGACATCCCATCACTTGTAAGAAAATCACAAATGCTGATCAAAGCAAGCTTTTATTTAAGTTATCCCTTACTTAAAACAAAGTTTCATAGCATTGCAGCTATGTAGTGTCTAGGAAAGTTGAGATTCACCTAAAGACAACATTTAACCCTTTCACTCTGATGAGTGACCAAGACAGAATTTCTCCTTACAATATTAATACAATATCAAGCAGCTAAGTGATGAGAATAAAGAAAAATATCAACTTGGGGATAATTAGTTGATCCAATACTAAATTCTCTGAACTAACATTATAAGAATTGTATGGTTGACAGTAAGGAGAATTACAAATTTGATGTGTGAGTTAACCCTTAAGATCTGATTGTTAATTCTCTCCTCTTGCTGCTACAAAATTCCTTGTAAATTAGTTATGAGAATTTGGTGTGAGATCAAGATAAAAACTTCATCCTGATAAGTTTTAGTATTCTCAGTAACTGTTTTCTAGAAAGCATATAGATATTATTGGGAGAAGTTACATGTTAGTCACTTCTGGAAGTTAAAGGGTTAAGTGCATCATTGTCCCCTCCTTGTCCACTTTTCATTCCTTGTTTGGTTTCAAGTGACTTGTAATGGTCAAATTATTGTACCAACAGCACAGCAAGAATCAGAACATATTTAATTTTGTAAATAGAATAAGGAAGATGGTAGGTACTAGGCTGGGTAAAGAAATAGAGAAAAATGTTTTCCTGCCTAATGTCACAAGCGTGGGACAAAGAAAAAATTGTGAGTTCCCATGAGGCATTGAACCTCAGACCTTAGAATTCTGCTTTCTGATGCTCTACCACTGAGCCATAGAGACTTTATGTTGAGCAAGGCCATTACAAAGTTCACAGAAGATATGTGTCCTGCTTATTACTAGGATCAGCAATGTCAATGGCATCGTGTTCTGTAAATAGAATACGAAAATTGCAGTGTGTCATATATGAACTTCATATTGGGCCTTTCTCACCTCAGAGTCTCAGTGGCTCTGTGGTAGAGTATCGGGGTGCGGAATCTGAAGTTCTAAAGTTCAATTCCTCATAGGGAGTCAGAATTTTTTCCTTGTCCCATGCTTGTGACAAGATGAAGAACATCTTTCCCTTTTTCTATATTTAATTTTGTATAATAGATATTTTACTTTTAAATGATGTCTAGTTGGGATACAGCTGGCCAAGAGAGATTCAAATGTATGGCTCAGTCCTACTACAGGGGAGCACATGGTAAGTTTTTAATGACCTCCTACCTGAAGCATGAATTATTTTGTAAAACCCAACTTGATTTGATGTGAGCAAAATTACATCTGTACACCATATCAATAATAGAGACTTACCTTAGATGATCATTGACACCTTTAGTCCATAGACAATTTTCATGTATGTCAGTTTATCAGCATGTTTGTTTGTATTTTTGTTTGCTGCACACACTGTAGATGGATGGTGACAATTATATTATTTTGTCTTATTTCTGCAGTGATCATCTTAGTGTTTGACCTCACAAGCATCAAGACTCTTAACAATACAAAGTGAGCTAGCCCTTTTTACATTATTGGTTGATTATCATTATCACTGGCATTTTTATTAATAAGAATAATAAATATTATTTTTATTAATAAAAATAACTATTATTTTTATTAATAATAATAAATATTATTTTATTAATAATAATAAATATTATTATTATTATTGTTATTATTATTATCATTAGTACTATTATTATTATTAACCCTTGAAACCCTAGGAGTGACTGGCACCTTAGTTCTCCATACTACATGTATATCACCCCTGAATAACAGATAACAGTCGCAAGATCAAAGGAAATGATCACTAACTAAAGAAGTTATTGATTGTTAAACAAATTCTCCTCATCAGCACCCAAGGAAATATATAGAGGACAGTATGGAGAATATGCATTCTGATGTTTGGATGTAAAGGGTTAAAACCACCTGTATGAAGTAATAATGTAACTGAAAACATTCCACTTAGTGAAGCATCTTTCACTGCAACTTGAAGAAGAATTTCATGTTTACTAAATTAAATATAATAATTGTATAGTATTAGATCAATTTATGCAATTTTGTAGACCTTGAAATTTACTTTTTTATGTTAAGCAATGTTCAGTGGCTTTTCATTAATATTGAACAACCTGAACTGTAGGCCTCCCATGACTGTGTTGGATAAAAGTGTTCTATTCTTTTCTGCTGAATTAGACAATGGCTGGAGGAAGCTTTAGAACAAAACACAACTACTTGTCCAGAAATTTTCCTTGTAGGATCCAAAAAGGACCTCTGTGTGAGTATAGGGTTTTTTTTTTATCATGTTGTCGTCGTTATTAGTTGCCTGTTGACAGCTTGAAATGGTATTACGTGTACTTTCACATTTGAGGCATTTTGAAAAACTGAAAGCACACATGAGTGGCAGTTTGAAAATATACTATTACTGATTACTTTTGAGATGAGATTAATAAGTCCACACGGCGTACATAATACATTGCACTTATGCTTGGAACCGGAGTAGAAAAATTACCCTATTGATTATTATCTTGAAGATGTTAAGATGCCCTAATTTCCACAGCCAATCAAATTTAATACTGGTTCTGATATTTGATTTCAATGGCAGTATCAACAGTAAGTCGATAATCAGTTTTACGTTGTCAATGTAAATACTTTCACATTAAGAAAAAAATTCCCTAGAATATTTCACTGATTGAAAAAAGACGTTTAGATCTTAGCTATTCGGCTATAAGGAAAGAAACACCGATACGAAAGAATACCGTTAAGTGTTGTAATAAATTGTCTTCTTGTGCAGAAAAGCAATGAATTTTCACAAATGGAGATGAGTGCTTTGAAAGTTGCAGAAGAAATTAACGCAGAATACTGGAGTGTATCATCTAAATCAGGTAAACCTTCACTGGAAAATTTAGTTGTGAGACTTCATGCAGAGTAATAACCATTTCGCGGAAACGTAACAAGGTAGTTCAGTCTCTTGGTCGCAAAAAAACAGCACAGCGATATCAGAAGTGATGAAATTTTGTCTGGGGAAGCATACATGAATGTCCCTGTCAGCTTGATTTTCCTTGTTCCCGCTAATTTCCGTCTCCTAACATCTTTCTTTAACCCTTTACTTCCTAACGTCAGGATGCATAATCTCCATACTGTTCACCATGCGTTGCTTAAGGTGTTGACAAGGAGAATTTATTCAACAATCAGGAGACTCTTAAGTGTTTTATCATTTTCTTAACTCTCGTATCTTAAATGTGTGATCCAGGAGTGATACTGTAAGAAGAATTTGGATTCTAGTCACTCTTAGGGGTTAAAGGGTTAAGAGGTAGAAAGAGGTTTTTCTTCGTTTAGTTTTCCTTCTTCACCAGAGATTTTTTAAGTACCAAACAAAATGAGGAACTGATTTGGGCTTGCTTATGACTTAAGCGAACAGATCACTCATTACAGGGTTAGTGGTAAGATGTCATGACTTCATCGCAAGTCACCACAAAAATTAAACCGCCCATTTAGTTGACCATCGTGTTTCGATTGTACTCAGGAGAGAACGTCAAAGGCCTTTTCCGTCGACTAGCAGCCATAACGTTTGAGCAAGCAATTCTACGTGAGCTAGAGACTCAGGGAAAAAGAGTTGGAGTGCAACAGATAGGAAGTGGGGGTGGCCTGGGTAAGTACTCCTAAGACCTTGCCTTTTTCTTAGTTCATAAGAAAAAGGCAAGTTCGCGCGTACACTTGCCAACTCACACTAGTATGTTATGTTAAGTAAATTATCAGAAACAGAATTTGTATTATCCCTTCTGACATATTAAATAAGTCGTGACAGCCTACTACGAAATTACCATAGAAGATAAACTTATCCATTGTAGGAGAAAGTTATGTTTGATGTTTTACAAACAGAGCTGAGTTTTCAAAAGACTGGTTAGTGTCATCGAAGAGGCTTTGGCAGATCAGTAATTGTGTGTCCTTAAACTTCTGACTGAAATAGTCATCTGAAATCCGAAAAGATCATCTCGTTTAGCTCTTTACACCTTAGCATTAGTCTTTATTTTGTCCACACTGTTCTCTTTACAATTCCTGTAGTGCTGATAAGGGGAAATTTTTGTGTCAACGAGGAGCGCCTTAAATTGGTGATCATTTCCTTTAGTCTCAAAACCTTTACATTTAATTCAAGTGTGATTTTGTGAGGAGAAATTAGAAGTCAGTCACACTCGGGGTCCACAGGGTTAAGGGTTTTGTGCTAGGCTGAATTATGCACGCGATTTGATTGGTTCTTACTTGGGATCTATTTGAGGACGGACGTATAAATGACGTTGCCATTAACAACCTTTTGCTTTTTAAAACAAACAGATTCCATGTCCCCGCGGGTCTTTATAGTAACAGAGCACAGAAGGCGTCAAGATGGGTTAAGAACATCAGTGATACATTTTTGTTCTTACCACATTTGGGCGGTAGCTGTGATCTATTACTTAACAGACGCACGGCAACATGGAATTTTTTTTTAATTAGATATCTGAAAACCACGAGAAACACACACACAAAAATTAGACAGAGGTACAGCGCATTGAGTAATAATTGAAGTATTCCAAGTATTTTTAACTTTTATGCTTTGAAAATATTTTAAAATCAGCTGTTGTATATGCGTCGGGTGTTCCTCGACTGACTCAAGTGAATTGGAAAGTAGAATGCTCTATTAACTTTGGTGATGCAAATGTTTTATTCCAAATTTAATTTCAGTGCTGGAAAAGAGGAGAAAAGAAGATGACGAAAAAGATAGGCGTCGAAAACCAAAGTGTTGCTCCGGGGGTCGTGGCCTATAGGAATTCAAAGCATGCGCGACAGATTTTCGCAACTGGTCTGTTATTAAAAGGGCTCTTGTACTTCCATGCTCGAATCTAATTTGTCAATTAAGTGGAAAGTAATCCTACGTCTTCAAAGTTTGGACAATTGACATGGTTAACATGAACGTGGAATTTGTGATATGTAGATGTGGCGATAGCCAGGGGCGCGGATTATGCCTCCTTTTCGCTTCTTTCATGTATATTTCGCTTTTTTTCCACAGCAACTCAATCCAAAAAGTGTACATTTGTCAGTTATTTTTATTACAAAGAATTCTAATATTGAAATCAGTGATTCAAGTAATGAATACGAAATGTAATGAAAACTTGCTTTTTGGTTCCTCCTTCTCTGATCCTAGGGGGAAAAGTATTACTTAACTTTGGTGACTCTTTTAACGCTCTCGGCTTGAATAAGCTCTCGCAAAAGTCGTATCTCGACAAATGCGCAATTTCTGACGGTCTCAAATCGGTACAGGGCTGCGAAATGTTTCCTTCGTTTTAAAAAACAACTATTGTTAGCGATGTGTTTTCGTAAAACCAGCGACAAACGTTACAATGTAAGTTCTTGTGGGAATCTACAGTAAGGCTCTTTCCAAGACCCTGGCGGTCGTGATGTAATCTCACAGTAACATCTTCAGTTCTTGCCGTTCGAGTTCCACGCCATTCTCTTCCAAAAATACTGTAAATGACCCAGTCTCTCCCCCCCCTTCCCTCTCTCCCCGGGCTCTCTCGTTTTCTCATAAAATCTTCGTTACCATGACTTTAGCTGTTCATCGAGAGAGGCAACGCAACAGGCCATTTACAAGATGTCACAAGCCTCTTTTCAAATCGAGGCTAATTGCAAATTCTTTTTACAAAAACGAGGTCTTTTCCTGGTGCAATTTAAATTCATTTTTACTTTGAATTTTTGGCACTAAGCCTCATGCGAGCGTTCGTGGAACAAGGACATGACCTATTTCCCTTGCAAGGGCTTCGGAACCCGGACGTCTCGATCCAGAGTTCATCATCCTCACAGTAGAGCCAGCTGCTTCGAATTTTCCACACGAACACTGATAAATAACTTCTAATTGCACTATACTATCTTGTTCAATATGTCTCGAATATTTTACGGCTTATCTAAGATGACCAAAGTCTTCATCTATCGTCTAACTATCTTTCGTTCCCATCCTTGAAGGGTAAACGGCATTTCATGTCCGTTCTAGGAACCAAATATTATTTCTTGCAAGCGAGGTGCTCGCATGAAAATGGCTAGGAATGTTACAATTCCAGTAATTATGCAAATCCATAGTAAAGCTCGATCCAGGACCCTAGCGGCCATGATCCACTCCCATTTACGTAAATTAAGTTCGTATTCGTCGAGTTCTTCGCCATTTTCATCAAGTACTCCTGTACATGCCAAGCTAGTCTCGTTCCAGACTTCGTAAGGTTCAGGGCTGTAGGGATTTTCGTCTGTAAATCCATTCGAGTGGGTGCTCTTGACCGAGTTGGCGTACCGTAAGCCACCACAATCAAGACTTTTGGAAATCATGAACATGCTTTTGAGCTCAGCCACAAGGCGGTCATCCTTTCGCTCGGATTGATCGGGTGACGATCCGTGCATCATTTGCTCATGAACAACAGCTCCATTTTCCCTGGCTTCTTTATGGTCCTTGTATTCCGTCTCCGGCCTTCTTCGCGGGGTGGATCTTTTGAATTTTGGTTTTGGACAACTTTTTTCCACAGTTTTCCCCAGGAGGACCACACGCGCCATCCACTGCAGCATCAACTTCCGCATCCAGCGTGGCATTTTTTTGTTTTTGCGCGCTGTGAAATTAAGAATCACCGTTGTCGCCAAAATTGAAATACTTATTTCTACGCTGGTTGCAAAATAATACTGACCAAGGAGCGGGAAGTAAAATGAAGGGAAAATGTCCGAAGTTAACTGTTGGAAGACCGTCATAGCGAGGAGAACGGTAATACTTAACCCAATCCTCTCTCCGCATTCTGGAGGAAGAATAAAACCTAGAAATATCATTGACGAAATAAGAAAGCACGGAATTATTAAGTTCACACAGAAGATGAAGTACTCGCGACCTATCACGATGGTAACTGTCACGTCATCAAAAGTTCCCGTTCTGTATTGCACAACGTTCCTTTTAGCTTCTATTTTGAGGATATCCCATTCGCCATTGTCCACATACTGATTTGTTTTCCCACTCATCTGTTCCGAGCTCATAGCTAACTGTTGACTGCTTGAGGCCCAAGAACCGAACTTAAGAGAACATTTTTGTATGTCGAAGGGGAAGTAGGTTACATCTATGGAACACAGAGTTTGGAAAATGGCAGGACTTGTCCAGTCGTTTTGTCCGTTCGCTTGGACGACAACTTTGGTTTTGTATGTTGTAGGTCCACCACCAATACGGTCTTGGAGGTCAACGCTAGAAAAAGGTAAAATGTAATTCTCAGATTAGTCACTGTCTTGGCAAAGATCGAACTGACCATCCTTGTGTCTAAATGCGTAGGTTAGTGCGACTACTTTTCGATGGTGGTGGAACATTCTTGTAAATTCTTACTAAAAATAAGAATTCAATTTTTTATTTTTGATTCACTTCCTCCACGGCGTTGCCGTCCTGACTGCTCAAGGTCCCTAGTTATTCTAAGAGCGCGCGTTGGATAAGAGATACGTGCCTCGTTGGCTATAACCAAGATTTTATTACTACACCCAATCTCGTATCCAACAGGCACGAATGGAATACTTGCTCTATTAAATTTCATTAAATCCTGAACGTTTGGATATTTGGAGCTCTTTTCAGCTCCGCAACAGTTGTTGCAGTGCATTTCCACATACAGCGATTCGGAATATGAGCTGATTACTGGAGTTGAATGAACCAATCAGGATACTAGAAAAGCAACATTCGGAGTTAAAAATGTAATAATGTTTAATACGGTTTCCCTTTTATTCAGTTAATTTGACACGTTAGTGTTAGCTTCCTCTTACTTGTTGTACATGAGTATGTCTGGTACCCAGATCTTCTCGGCGCTTGCCTGAAGGTTTTTAATGCCACCATATTCGGAAGAATTCCACTGAAGAAACGGATTGTGCCAAACCTGAGTGGATCGGAACAAAATCTCATAGTCACCCCAATTCAGTGAAAGGACCGAAAGTGCTAGGGAAGGGGAGGGGAGGGGGTCACTTAATTTTCAAGGGATGAGGAGGAGAAACAGTCGTCGTCAACAGAGTTTAAAGAGGGTACCGTTGAAAATTGACTCCCAGTTGCAATTAACTGCCAACGAGAGGGGATCCAAACCCCTCCCCCAGCCGCTCCAGGAGGAAAATAATAACCGTTCTGAATATGGAAGCGATCTTTGCAGCAATGAACGCTTCTTAAGCAGTAGTGAAAATAGGGCCGGCAAAAATATTTCCTTATCGTAGAGAAAATAAGGCCAAGAAAAAGATTTTTTCAGGCGTTATTTTCACTATTGCCTAAGTAGTGCTAAGTAGTGTTCATTATTATGAAAATCGCTTCTGTATTAATTTCTTTGTCCGCAGTTGTAATGTATGTGCTTTCATATATATGTACAGTCATTTAATAACCGTTCACTTTAAAAGATGAAGATGAAATATTTACCTGTCGTACCCAGCCATACACTGTCATAGTCTGGTCCTTGGCGTTCTGAAATTACAGTGAGGGTTCCTTAGTAAGGATGTAACAAGTTTGAAAGGTATGTTATCATACCTTTTCAATAAAAGTTGTGTAACTGCATCCGTTTCATGTACAACAATTTTAGGTGGCAACGATTAGAATTGTTACTGATACACCCTGTTTCTCCGCCCTCCTATTGAAAAACTTTCTAATAGGTATGCAGAAACTGGAATTGTTATGCAATAAACATTCATTTGATATCACTGGAGTTAACTTCAGAGACTCACCACGTCTTTGATGGTGATTATTTCAAAATCGAACTCCACCTTAACCGGCACTGATTCATTGAGACGCGGTAAGAAGTCCTTCCTGTAGCCATCAAACAGTTTCTCGGAAAGTCTTTGTATTGTCGTGCGCTTACCGTCTTCTGCAAACAGAAGTCAAATGCTTAACATCCAGTTATTTTTACACTGTTCTAGCTAAGGCTCGTTTATCCGAGAACTTTAATTTTCAATACCTCATTATTTTTTTATTATTTTTCTGAAATACTATCTTCATAAATTATTTATTTGCGGGAACCTTCAAATTACTGTGTTGTTTGCGTCATGGGTGCATGTCGGCATTAGGAGATCGAATGATTTGTGTGCTCCTCAGTTGCATTTTAGAACTCTCATCTGGAATAAGAATCCAAAAGGTTTTACAGATGAAGTAAAAAACTTAAGGTCGGTTATTTAAACGCTGACCAATATAAGCTGCGGTCTTTGATGCATCAGTGATCAATGGACTTCGAAAGTTTCTCGTCTGAAGGTTTTTTAGAGTAATTAGATCTTCATTTTAGTGCCGAATATGACATTTCGCCAAATGTTAAGATGAAGGTGATATTTTCTGCTTGATGTAAGATTGTTAAGATGGCGGTTTAGATAAACAAGGACCTAACCAAACCATACCTGTGAATATGAGCAGTACCTATTAGCAACATGTTAACAGCAGCGAAGTTCAAAACAAATTTCGTTGTCAACAAGTAATCAAGTCGTAACAAGAGTCGTTTTTAAAATTAATGAAGCAATTTTCCGTTTTGGTTATGTAAGAAAACAGATTCCAAGAAATATGATAGATGAATACCTCACAATTTTTTTAACTTTTCCGGTGTGGTTCTTCTCTGTCCGGCTTAATAACACCGTGTTAGGGGCCCTAGTTCAACTAGTTCAAGCCGAAAAGTTAGAAATACATTACTTTCCTCTGAGAAGCACTTATTATCATCTCGAATATGATTTATTAATTATATTACTTGCAGGAAACAGTACTTATCGAGAAACCGTAAGATTTTTGGGTAAAGATTCAATTATAATTTCTTTTAAATAAGCTTTTTTAGAACCAGTGAAAAAGCAAAGAAAGAAAGAAAAAAAGAACGGAATGAAGAAAGATCCCATCAAGCGTTTAAAGTGATTATTTACTTCTCCGACATAACAAACGAGGTTATTAAAAATAAAAAGAATGTCTTTCGAATTTGTCAATGCAGGTTGAGGTTGACGGTAGATAAGATATGACTGCTTAATAAATTTCCAACTTCAGTGTTTCCGTGTTGTTACTGAGAAAAAGCGCAAAGTTTTTAAATTAGATAAGTTCAGTTGAACTACTTATGGGTTCCCTATGAAGAAAAGCATACGAAACCACGATCTAATTTGAATGCATATAGGTTGCCAAACAGCGGTGAATTTCGGAGCGTTTCTTATAAAGAAAAGCATACGAAGACACGATCTAATTTGAATGAATATAGATCACCAAGAAGCGGTGAATTTCGTGAGATGAACCTCTTCGCATAACATTAGCGATGGAGATGACGCCTAAAATTATTTAAAAGTTCTAAACCATTTTTCTTTGCTTTCGAGTCGGTTTTTCTATAAAAGTTATGTGCCGACGAAATGTGAATTGAAAAATTAGTTGAGCATGGTATAAAGACTGCGGCTCTGTCAATCTTTAAGGGACAAGGTGGTTTAAGTTACGCCACAGCGGGATGTTGCATGATTAAAACTCGTGGTAACGAAAAGCGAACCGACAAAAATGCTCAGTGTTGGTACAGCTTAACACCTGTAGTCAGCTAGGATTTAATAATTCTTTGGATCTGGTCTGTCATTAGAAAAACTTTACCACATGGAAGATTAACACAGTGCGTTGGTTTAGGTGTAATTTTCAGACCAACTCTTATATATATATGTATAAATGATCATCACCAATGATGTAAGAATAACGCACCAATAGTTGGCCTAAGTGTTAAGGTAACTTAACAAATAAACTTTAATCAACGCAAATGATTACATAACGCTTCGACTGGATCCTAAGGCTCCGGTTTTTGTACTTACATGAGTTTATTTCAGTTAACCTATGATGTGAGCTGAGTTTATTTTCCCTTGGTAAATAATTCCTTTCACCTACATTTGACGCCGTTATAAACATCATAGTTTATCATGACTAATTTAAGATCCTAGCAGATTTCTAATCCTTGTGTTTCATTGCGTAAAATAATTTTTCTGTATTTAAAGTTCAGATGGAATTGTGAGTCAGAGAAGGCAAATGATTTTCAGAAAATAACCTCGATCAATACGGTTCCCAAAGTAAATTCATAGTGTTAAAGCTACAGGCTACAGATTTAAAAATAAGACATGCTGTGGTGAGCGTCACTATCGCATGCTTATAGGGAATATTCACGGCCAGTTATTATCATCAGCGATGCGTTGTTTAAGAACTATGTATAATTTACGTTTCAACTTACGTCGTTCGTCGCAGAATATCTCGACAGCAAGAACAGCAACGCACATAACCAGGAACGCTGGCAACGTCAAAAAAGGCGAGGAACACATTGGAGTATTTCCAAAAAACCACACCGTTTGGTGAACTAATCAGGCTTTCCTGTGTACTTAAATGCAATGCCGCCTTGCGATTTGATTGCAATCAGGGAACTGAGTTCCAATTAGATATAATCAATTCTATCGGTTGGAGCTCATTAAAATAAGTCTGTTTCATAAAGGCGAGCACAATAGCACACTGCACTGGTACCCGTACCCGTAACGTGTTATGTTACAATGCAACCCGTGAGAGTAGTACGGTTTTCCCCGTAAGCGCAATTAATCTTTAATTTGTAACAAACCATGAAGGTTTTTCTTAGGCCTCGCACGAAATATTGGATCGAGACACGCACACAGAGACACCGCATTAAATCTTGTTTCAAAATTGTCCGGCACTGCGGGAGTGAAATGTTCAAAAGTGCCATTTTCAAATATATCTATACTACAGACCGCACGTAGACGAACACACATGCGCACCAAGAACGACGTGAGCAAATACCATAATAAAATGCATGGTATGTAAGCCGTCGGCTGATTCACAGCCACTGGGCTTATGAGCAAAATTTAAAAAGGCTGTGCAACGAACTGACGATGAAACGTATTTCATTTCCCCACAAAGAAGAATTCCATCTCATTTCTTCAAAAGGAAGTGAATATTTGCGGTAGACAGCAGACTGAATTATTAATGCTATGTCTTGGACCCTTTTCAGTTTTTTGTTTTTGTTTTTTTCATCCCGGAAGGTATAAGGAGCTCGTGGACGTTATCATTTAAGTCTTGTCCTCTAACTCTCCCCCTCTCGCCCCATTTTAGGGTTGGTGGATACTAAAATAATACCTTTAAGGGGGTTTTAGGATATGGACAGGCATGATTTTGGTTTTTTCAACTGAGTTGATGATGTAAATTGGCCACCGTAAAGAATTTCGAGCGTTTGCCCTTCATCAGAGCGAATGGAGGAATTGTGGGTTGTATGTGGGTTTCTATGCAGAAAATGGCGCTATGCTATTGGTGGGAACATAGTAATTAGAAAAATAAGAATGAAAAGCGTTCGTTGATACCGTGAGGACTAAGGGTGCCGATTACAGAGACAAATTTTTGTTCAAGTGTTTTGCGGCTTTCTGAACTGTTTAGATGGAAAAGGCCGCAAACTGCCATATGCTGTCGATCTAGCGACTGGTTTGGATGCGTCATTGTCATTTTCTTCTACGTCGCGAAGGAGTTTTCTCGGAATCGACCACCAAGTCGTTTTCCTGTTTCACCAATGTATATCGTTTTGCAATAAATCCAAAATAATCAGGTTATACTACCCAACCGACGCAACATCACAGTCTCATCAGAAACGTACCCTCTTTATAGAAAGGCATACACCGAGGAAGCTTGGTAACGGGAGAACCTACCATCGAGATGGTCTTATTACTTCTCTTCATAAAGGCCTCTTCTGTTTCTGCTGCGGAGATTTGAGTTGCAAACATTGCTTCTCGTTCAACATGCATACTGTTTATTTTCCCTTGGTAAAACAAAAGACGAAAAATGCAAGTCTGTCGCGTAGTTTCGTATGAAAAATATAAAATGCGAAGTGCCTGACATATTTCAGTTTAAGGTAATTTTGGCCCGAATGTTTCATCTGTTTGTCTCTCGGCTAAGTACATTCGTTTGGCAAGGAATCAAAACCTCCATGTGGAACTTTTATGTCATTATATCGTCATGCTCCTTACACAGTGGACGAGTGTTGTTTAAGATATGTGGATATCAGTATTTAATTAAATATCGTACAAACAGGTTCTATATTGTAAATTTTATTTCATAGGAGCCGCCTGAGACCTTTGGAGAGCAGAACATCAAATTTCCAGGAACTTGCGAATCAGCTTTTACAAACAATATACATTTAGCAATAGCATCAGTTTCGTCTCCGCCGGAGTTGACTGAAACTATACTTTTGTATTTTTATTTTTTATTTCCTCCAATTCAACAAACACAACCTTTTGGATAATTACCACAAGAGATTTGCCAACCGATCAACACACTCGTCATTGTCAGATGTGGCATGGAGCAAAATTGACCGAAATTTAAATCCTGCCTGAGTGTAGGATACTACACAATACACTGATTGATTTCATGTCCATCCCGACCTCTGAATCACCATAAACTAAAACTCTTCAGTCTTTCATTAAGACCAATTTTCCAGTTTAAAGATGTATTGTAGGTTGATTGTCAGATACATGAGATATTTTACTTCTCTGCAACGTTTGGTCTCTGTCTTGTGTTCTTCGTACTAATTCCCTTGCTAAAGTGTTGTTTGAAAGACTGCTAAATCTCTCGCCACGTAGCCGAAGTTCATCAAAGTTATCTCGTCGACAAGTGAAGAATATCACAAGTCTCCAAAGATGAGTTCTTAGGGCATCGCCGGACAGTACCCTCAATGTAGCGCTAATATTTTCCAGTTAACGGTATAGAAATCTAAACTCAACCACGGAGAAGGTTGTGATGAGCGGAATTAGCCAGCTTTCTACTTGTTACTTAAAGTTTTGTGAGTTCTAAGGCAATGTCTGACTGACTGAGCACTAAGTACGTATTAATCTCAGCAGTTCTTCAGCGATCATTTCCTTGAATACCTATATTACTACTGTTTTCTTGTCTTTGTCAATTTTTTACTATTACGACCAGTGGGAATTAACAAATGGCAAGACTTCACAAGAATCCGGGAGAGCTTTGCTGTTTTATCCCAATGGTTCCCCTGTTTCCAGTCTAGACAGTGCTCGAGAGATGACCTCTTTCCATGATTACTCAAGAGCCAAACAATAAAGTCTGCAAGCGAGGGGCTCTCATGAAAATGGCGAAAAAAGTTACAATGCCGGCAATTATTGACACCCATAGCAAGGCTCGATCCAGGACCCTTGCGGCCATGATCCACTCCCACTGACGTAACTGAAGCTCGTTTTCTTCGAGTTCTTCACCATTCTCATCTAGAACTCCAGTGAATGACATGTTACTATCGTCCCAGACTCCCTCGGAAGTGGGGCCACTTAATATGAGGCTGTCGTCACCATTATTGAGTCCATTCAAGTTTGTGCTCTTGACAGAGTGTGCATATCGCAAGCCGCCATAGTCCAGATTTTTTGATATCATGAACATGCTTTTGAGTTCAGCGACAAGGTGGTCGTCTTGTCTCTCGGGATCATCGGGAAAGGTTTCTCTTGTAATCATTTGGTCATGACCGGCTGTTCCTCTCTGCCTGGCTTCTTGGTTGTCCCTGAATTCCCTCATGCTCGAGAAACGCCGCGTGGACCGTTTATGTTTGGGTTTTGGGCAGCTTTTTTCTACAGCTTTCCTCAGAAAGACGACGCGCGCAGTCCACTCTAGTAACAACTTACGCATCCATCGTGGCATTTTCTTGTTTTTTCGATTTGTAAAATTGAGAACCACAGTTGTCGCTAAGAGTGAAATACTAATTTCAACACTTGTTGCAAAATAATATTGACCAAGGAGCGGGAAATCAAATGAAGGGAAAATGTTTGCTGTTAACTGTTGGAAGACCGTCATAGCAAGCAGTACAGTAATACTCAATCCAATTCTCTCTCCGCACTCTGGAGGAAGAATGAATCCCAGAAATATCATGGTCGAGATGAGAAAGCACGGAATGATCAAATTCACGCAGTACACGAAAAAAACACGACCTATAACTATAGTAATTGTGACGTCGTCAAACGCACCCGTACTGTAATGCACAACGTTTCTTCTAGGTATTATGTCTATGATATCCCATTCGCCATTGTCCACGTACTGATTCGATTGTCCAGTCATGTTCTGTGGACACAAGGTTATTTGCTGACTGTTAGAAGCCCACGAACCAAACTTGAGTAAACATGTCTGCATGTCAAAAGGGAAGAAGGTGACATCAATGGCACAGACGGTCTTGAAGATGGCAGGACTCATCCAAGAGTTTTGGCCGTTTGCCTGCATAAGAACACTGGTTTGGTATGTCGTTCGCCCACCACCAATGCGGTCATGGAGATCAATGCTAGAAAAAGAAAATCATTGAAATAGTCTCGTTTACACCGAGAAAAAGATTTGTCCCTGGGTGAGTGTGACATGCAGAATATTTGTCATTGGCTCTAAATTTAGCATGGGCATTTCATTAGTAAGAAATCTTATCGTCATAGTAAGATCAAGTGAAATGAGTCAGACGACGTTGTCTTGATTTCAAGTTTACCATACTTAAAGGGCAGTTAAGTCATTTTAGGTAATGGATCAATTTTTCAATGACATAAAAAGTTAACACTGCCAAGATAGCTAGCGAACTTAGAGGGCTATTTTACAATATTTTATCATTTTCTTTCACGAATATCAATTTCTCGTGTATCAAGATTTCAAAACTACTCCTTAGTCTCGCTAACTTCGACATTTTAGGTTGCATGCATATCATATGATTTTCAATCTTGTAGAGTAAATAACTCATTTTCTGCATTGTCCTCCCTAGATTCACCACCGACCCCAATTTAGGTCATAATTAAACTGCGAATGATTCGGAGGGTCCCCTGCAGCTCTCGCCATGCGCAGATGCAAGCCTTACTTGTTATAGACCAGAACATCTGGTACCCAGATCTTCTCCGCGTTCGTCTGAATGGATTGAATACCGCCAAACTCAGAAGAATTCCATTCAAGAAACGGGTTGTGCCATTTCTGGAGTGAGTAGAACATAAGATCTTTAGACAGTTGAAGAGTATCAAACGGGAGACTGGGAACATTCGCCTAAATTATGGTTTTTTAGCCCTAAGAGAGACTGGGTTCTAACTTCTCCCTGCAACATTACCCTGGAATAAAATATAGAGAAGGAAATAAAGAGAATGATCAATTATTCAAGAAGCTCCTGCCTGTTAAACAAATTTTCTTTTCAGCACCATTGGAAATGTAAAGTGAACAGTGAGAAGAAGGTGAATGCTTATCTTAGGGTGCAAAGAGTACACAAATCATTCGCAAGAGCGTAGTAATCACCACGTGGTTTTTATCAACGTTTTGCAGCCTCGATCAGCGCCAATACTAGCTGGCATCAATCCAAGCTTCTCATTAAATTGGTTAATTTTGGTTTTATCGACTGAGTTGATAATCCATTCGCTCTGACGAAGGGCTGACGCTCGAAACGTCAGCTTTGAAACTTTTTACGGTGGCTTATTTACGCTACCAACTCGGTTGATAATTCTGAAATTATCTTGTCTTACTTTCCCACCGACGTAGCACCACAGTTTCTTTAGAAATTTACCCCCTTTAGTATTAAACATTTTAGTACGTAACACCCCCGTTTGAAAAGACTCTTCAACATTATTGTTTGCCAGGAAAAGTGGTAGAAAGGAAAAACATTCTTCTAACTACATATTTTTACTCCTCAGTAGATTGAAATAGAAAATTTTGGAAAAATTCAGCGTGATGAACCATTTGTTGACAAAGCTAAAAATTACCTGTCGCACCCACCCATAGACTGTGAATGTTTGTTCCTTTGCATTCTGAAATAACACACAAAAATATGGTTTAAAGAAAAAATACAACTGACAAATAAGAACATACTTTTCTCGTGGTTTTTTTTTTTTAACGAAGATTTAAATCCCTAAGTTTTGCGTGTTCAATTTTACTATTCTGAAATAGGAATTTGAATAATTACTATAAAGGCCAAGACTTGGACTTACATGTTCGACACACAAATTTGTTCTGTCGAACTACATTTTAAAACTCGCTTACTAAGTGGAGAAATTTTCTCTTGAGTGTGAAAAATTAATCTTAGATTACGTTGGCTGTGTTCCATTACAGTTCTCGTGCCTCTCTATCAACCAATCAGATTCAGAACTGAATCTTATCTCTACTTGGTCAGCCACGTTCTATCGCCGATGTTACCTTAGCTTATATTCGGTGGCAGTTCTACAGGGGTCTCCTTAGTATTTTCCTTGTAATTCTGATTGGTTATTCTTATGCAGTGGTCAATAGAATAGTCCATTTTACAGTTACATGCTTGGTTGCAAAGCCTTTGGACAGGAGTGAGGCTAAGGGTGGCCTTCTTATGATACAAACGTTGCTCCTCTGTAAATGTAAATTACTTCGATATCATGCTAACTAGTCTATCACAACAAGGTCACATTCAGCCTTACTCCAAATCAGAGGCTTGGCAACTAAGTACACAACTGTAAAATACCTATTGCAGTCTTAAATGAACTTGATAAAGTAAAAATTATCTTTAATAATTATATCTTTTTCATATTTATTGTCAGTGAGCTTCAAAACTTCGACTTGGCAGATTGCTTGGACGACATCTATCAAAGGTAAGCCAGACCTTTCCGGGTGTCCAACACCAAGGATTAGGGGGAATGGGTGGGGATGTGGGGTCAACATGCATTCAAGCCCTCCCGATCCATCAGTTGAATCGTCGTCTATCGACTTCCTTTAAAGGTGCGCAAAAATTGTTTGAAAAAAGTAATCTTCAGGAAATGAATGTTTATTTTAGTAGATCACTTACCACATCTTTGATTGTAATGAGTTCAAAATCAAATTGGACCTTAACCGGAACTGATTCATTCAGTCGCGGTAAGAAATCCTTTTTGTACCCATTAAACAACTTCTCAGAAAGTGTCCTCCTCAAAACGCGTTCCTCATTTTCTAGAAATAAACGGTAATCGTATTCAACATAAATGCTTCGTCTACACTACATACTGTTCTCGTGCATAAAAGATTAATGATAGAGAGAAAATTCAACAATAGACCGTCAGAGGAGGCAGGGCGATCGAATGGTTAAATTGATCTTCAAAGGGACTCAGAATCTTTTCTTCGGCTCAGGATCGTAATATGAGGGGGGGGGGGGAAGCTTCTTATAAGTTCAACTCATGTTTTCTTGGTTTCTAGGAATTCCTCTAAAGAGAGTTATACATTAGACATTCGGTTTCAAAGTTGTTAATTATTCCTCCTTGTTTTAAAATCGTAATTCGTAATGGTTAGATCATTAGTAGAAGTGGCACCCAAAACTAAGAATAGCAGGTTACTGTTTGGCTTCTTGCCACCAAAGCGCCGGCTTCCCTCGATTTGCAATAGCGCAAAGTGCAAAGAGTCGTAATGTTTTTTCTGCAAAATGGTGCAGGCGAGAGCATTCATTTGTCAGAGTTTTAATTTTTCAAGTTCTCTGTAAAACTGTACTTGAGGCAATTATTGCCTACATCTATAGAGATTAGATTGAACATATTTTGGATTAAACGACTAGTTTAAAAAAAAATGTCGCCTTTAGACTGGAAGATATGTTAAAAGACGTCGGCGAATTATTAAAACATCAATAGTCAATTTGTTTTGAAACGCATTGAAAACGTATCTCACGAAAGTTCTAGTTCTCGGAAATTGAATAGCTTGTCTTGAATAAACATCGTTTTATGAACAACAACATTTTTCCACAGGAGATTGGGTTTCTGATAGCAACACACTTGATCATCAGTGAACAAATGGTTGGAAGATTCATCTCACCCGGTTACCAGTGGTGTACCGCCACTTATGAGACATCTCCTGCCTGGTCTGTTTTGCTTGCGAGCAAGCCCTCGTGTTTGGATTTCTCCTTACGGCAAAGCCACCCAGACGGACACCATCGACAGCCACTCATGGAAACGTTATTGAAAGCCCTGCATCCCGTAGGAGTTTGATGTACAGGAAACTGCCAATGGCAGTGTATATGGCTTTGATGAATTTGTCATTTCTTTTGTTTTCTTTTTGCCCCTTTGTGAGCGCCTTACTAATTCTAATTATAGTCGACCGTTCTAGCACAAATATATTATTTCCAATAATCAGTACTTGTGGATTTTGTTGAATTTACACGACAATTCCTCTCTCCTTAAAATTAAAATTGTTCAGATTCACATTGTTTTACAAGTGGCATAAAGGGTACCGACATTTAGAAATATAATTCTACTGTGGAAACAAGTAGTTGCCATGGTTTATAACTAAAATTTGTTCCATTCAATCAACAGTATCGAAACCGTAGAGAAAATGACAAACTGTCTGGTTTGAATTATTTTAGTTTACTGCCACTGAAAAAATAGACAATGATGACTAAAATTTCGAAGATACGGGTCCGCGAAATTGCATTTCATGTATTTGGAACTGAGCTCTTTCAAAGCTTCGAAAATAAATGAACCATTTCCGCGTTCAGCTGGCTCTGTTGTTTAATCTAGCTTAGTCTTATTTTTCATGGTAATGCCCGTCAGCGGATTATATGTCTCTTAAAATTACTTGTTGTTAATTTTAAAGTGAATCATCAATTTTAATGTACATATTTGTATTTAAACTAGCGTACGTTTGCATTATATTCTAGGACGCTGACTCATGATAAACCCTTTAGGTCTAGAGTTACACCTGAATAACTTGTTAATTCCCGACTGTACGACGAAATGAAAGCGAACAGTGCAAAACGTTTGTACAGAAAAATCCTTTGCCGGCCATAAATTCACCGCCGAGTTGTTATTAAAAGGAAAAACGTTGCGGTTTTAGCATTCATTACTTTACTTAATTATAAAACATGAAATTACAGGAAGCTTGAAAATACGCGAAAAAGATTCTGTTACAATGTTTTTTTCTTGTTGCTTTTGTTTCCAATCTAACCTTTTCAACATTTTATTCAAACTTGCAACTAGCTGAACAACTTTTCCAGAAATGGAATCCGCTGGTTAACATTTCTGACATTATGGCAAAGAACCCATAGAAACTAATGATTCTTTATTAGTTTCAGAATGAGGACATATTTGCATTTTTCGTAAATTTTGGTTTGCTTGAAAGGTACTTTAAAAGGATCGTAAATATTTGACCCTGTCAAATTTTCATGACACATCCATCTTTTAATTTCATAATGGTTCCATTTTTCCCTTCATAATTTTTTTTAGCAATGACCAAAAAGAATACCGTTTCAAACAAAGTGTAATATTCCTCAAGGGTCTCCTACAAAAAGTGGACATTAATCGAATGTCAACTGTATATTCATTTTCCTCAAACTTCGATTTGAATTCGTATGCAGACTACTTCCTTGAATACTTTATCGTTTACCAAGCCAAATCATGAAGATTCATTCGTGGCAAGATATAGTTTAAACATGAACAAACCCAGTAATGATGCCCAAAGAAATGTATATCTGATATATTTAACAATAGGTCAACATGACAAAAATTAGCAATGTTCGTCGTTATTATTTTTCCATGAGTTGTGCAGGTAAAGTTCTTTCAATGTTAATATCATATGGATAAAACTTCACGTCCAATTGTTGGAATCGTTAAGTTGCTTTGCAAACATTAAAAAGTCGTATTTGAGTGAGTTATATGTACACTCACCTTGGTCTTCGCATAGTACTTCGAAAGGAAGAACCGCCACGCACAGCGTGAACACCACAAAGGCCAAGGAACACATGGAAGTGTCTTTTCTAAACTGCTGTTTGAATTTGTATTTCTGTACTCACTGGAAAACTGCCACCTGAGTTTGCAAATTTCTGAACGGGATTGTCTGACGTTTAATGAATTCCATGTACTCCTATTGTGACAAAGTTGACCGCGGGGTTAACACAATGTCTGGTTACTAATTTTAAAAGCCTTGTGCCGGAAAATAGGTACTTAATATTCACAGAAGATATATGATCCTACAAAAGAATCATTTAGAACATACTGGGCGGAATGGAAGGCATAATGAACTTTAGTGATATCAGGGCAATTTTTTTTCCGTCGAAATAGTCATTAATTGTTCATAGGGCGAAAATGTGAATTTTGTTTATGCTTGATAAGAATTACAATGCGCTTAATTTTATCAGGACTGTTTCAAGACACGAAATGATAAAAATTCATTTAGATGCTACCTCTCTTCATTTTTTTTATCATTCCAAAGTCTTGGTTTTCATGAATACAAAAAAAACATTTCTCTTACTTTTACAATGGGCTCTTCATGCCCTCGCCAAGGCTTCTCGAAATACTAATCACATGACGTCGATTTTAATTTTCACCTCTATGAAGAGGCACTTTACCTTCACCTGCGAGTGCTTAGATATCTTTTAGGACTGAGTGTGTCATCTTTTTTTTTTTTTTTTTTTAAAGAAATTGAAATTGAAATGTTTTAAATTAGCAAATTTCTTTTTGGTTCAGTCTGGCTCAGTGGGATGACATGCACGAATCATCTGCTGTCATAAAATGAGTTCCACAGCGGTTTTTTTGTTTCCTCTGTTATCAATACATCAATGCTGTCGAACTAGTCACAAAAATTACACCATTACGCAATTTATATGAACTCTAACGGCGGAAGAAGCTGTTCTACTGCTAAAGTAAACTAAATCACTCAAAAGCGTGACATATGGCCATTTTTGACTGAAATTGTATAGTAGTTAAAAACTTTTTGAAGAAACTCTTTCACTTCCCAGCTTTGTGGCAGATCAGATGACATAACTGTCAATGCTAGATATCTTATACGCTTCTTAAAAGCCCTTCGTCGCTTCTCTCTTTTTCGGTGCATAAATTACACAATGTACCCTACAGAGTCTTTCTTCATGTTTTTAATAACAGTTTCGTGAAGAATTGAAGATTCAACTAACTTTATGGCAAGTTTATTACCTTCATATAATAATTCACCGTTGCGAAGTTACTAGAAGGGATTATGGAATGATTTAGTTTACTCTGGCAACATGACGCACGTCAGTAAAGACTAGTTTAAAGTACTTTCGAACAGAGAAACTTGAATGATTTCAAAGAGCTAAATGAAAATAAAATATCTAGCAATGGTTTTCCTCGTTAATCTGTTTGGATGGATAATCTTAATCCGATGCAATGGTGTGGTGGTTTTGAAGTCATTTGAATTTTCGCTTTTTACAATCAACTAACCAAGGTTTATCATTAATACTTTATCACCTCTGTAGGTTTAATTACTTACATTTGGTGCGGTTTAATCGAGACAATATCCCGCTGAGTTATAATGAAGCAAGCGGACCTTCAGCTCGGATAATCTTAAAACAAATCAAGTGTTTTTCTTGCCATCCTTTCGTTTTTCTCGAGTCGTTTGCTTTTGTCCGATTACATAAACAGACAATGTTTTATAGCGACGTTTATTTGTGCATGCGCGTATACCTACTCCCCTTTGGTAAATAAAATATCGTCTGCACGCGAATGTCTGGTGGCTGTTTTTCATCCAACAAGACAATGCATATTCAATGCTTTTTGATAACATTAAGAGCGTTTGGTGTGATGCAAAATTCCGGAAAGATTCTCCAGTAGCACATGAAAAACACGGCGGACAACTTGGAAAAGCAAGAATGAAGCCTCACCGCTTCGTGACTTTTGCCGGAGCTGTAGGTAACGAAGGCGTGCGTCATTACAAGACTTTTAAGTCATCCTCCATTACTTTAAAGCACATTTGCACAAGTAAACTACTAACACTTGGAGGTGATAAATCATGAACAGTGACACACGACGTGATAATGTGAGACTGAGATAGCAAAACGTTTCACATCTTGAATAATGCGGCCCCAATCAAAGTATGCTGAATTTAAAAGAAAAGATGTACCGAAGAAAGAGACCAGCCGAGCGTGGAGTGACAAAACTAAGCTACGTTCACGTCGCCTGAAGCAAGATCACTAATGGCAAAAAGGGCTCAAGTAATTGATTAAATAAAGTCGGCATTAAGAAAACTTTTAACTGGCTCTTTTTTTTAAAGTTTCACGGTGGACAAACACAAAGAAAAAAGTTTTCCCGAAATTATTGATGTGATGTATCGGATATTTTAAAGTCACGGAATGCATACAAAGGCGACAACAGCATCAACATCAATTCTTCATTATTAAAAAAGAGAAAAGGAAAGCAACCACTAACTTAGCAGTCATAGACAGCACTTTCAGCCCGATTAAACCTCCGTTATTAGCCCCCTTTTCTATGCAGGAGCCCGAAGTCATCGAGTTGCAAAATGTGCAAAATAAAAGCACACGAAGCAGAGCTACGTGTTTCGCTGATGTACTTCACATATGACGCCTTCTGTGATATATTACTGAACGAATGTAACACAATATGAGAATTTTTTGTGATATAAAAGGATCAGCTGAGCAACTATGTCGTTCTAGGGGAAGTAGGGATGATCTAACAAAAACTATCCCATCGGCACAATCGCGCCTGTTCAGCAAAGGATTGCCGCAGCGGCAAAATGAGTGCACATGCTTGTAACTCGCGAGAAATTTATGCGAGCAAAGGAATGGGAACTGCCATATTTTCAAGCACCATCGAGGCAAAATGGCTGCATTTTTTTAAAATTCGTATTGCATGTTCTCATTTCGCGGGGATAAGTCCAAATCAAAAGAGATAAGGTTACATTTTTCAGGGAAGTTTTTGTCAAACCTCCTCCGTCACATATCTCACTCAACAAAAAAAGGACTGAGTTAACAGGTGTGAATTTAGTGACTGAAGTTGAGCAGCCGTAACATATATCGTAGCACTTGTTATCGCTTTAGTGCGTCTTGTCATCGCCTCCTCAGTAGGCAAAATTCCCTGGAGAAGAGTTTTTTTTGTCTCGGCGGAAAACCCGCTTCAGCTCATGTTTGCAGAAAAAAAACTCGTAACCCTGAAGGCTAAAACGGCTTGAGTAGCGCTCCGGCATTTTGTCGTGTCCTAATGGGTCACAGATGATGTCAACATGTAGTAAGACCGAAAAAATGGCACACAAGGAACGGTAGAGTACGTCACTGATATTCTTACAACATTTGACGTCTGCTGTAATCTATTCCTTAAAAGACACACGGAAACATAGGATCTATTTGTTTTTTGTATTATTGCGGGCAAATTATTGTCCATGGTGACGCTATCTATGCGTCTGTCTTCCTCTAGATCATAAGTACGAACCAAAAAAAATTCCTGTATAATTCAGCTCATTGTATAAAAGCAACTATTGTTGCTCTCAGTAGATCATATCAGGAGATTGAAAGCATTACAGGCATTATGCAATTATTACATTCAGTATGATATTTTGATAGATGTTTGTAAATCTTGTTGGATACTACCATATAACTAAAAATGTTGCTTAAATTTTCATCAACGCTTTTTTACCTATTTGCCATTCTTCTTGATGGTCTCGCCTAGTCAAATCTTTATAGCATTGTGCTTGCGCTGTTTTTCCACACTTTAAGGCTTCATTGTGCAAGTACAGTCTTAACAAAGTAAAGTCACTATTTAGTTCGCTTATTGGCCAAAATTTGGGTCAAGTTCGCCACAGCAGCCCAAATTCGATACAAACTGATTAAGTAAGACTATGTAAAGTACCGGGGTGGGAGATGGTCTCATGGGGTGAGGCTTTTACGGCTAACGGCTAAACCTTTGGCCAATTTACGGCTAACGGTTAATATCTTTCCAAAGAAGTCATCAGATAAATTTTTTACGGTTATAATTTTTTTACGACGAACGGTTAAACTTTGTCAATTCTTATGGTTAATGGCTGAATTATTTGGCCGGTTTACGGCTGACGGTTAACCGTATTGATACCCTCCTACAGGGGGTGCGCAAAAAGACTCGCTTTGTCGAAATGTTGACGCTTGCCGTATCTACCACGCCTTGTTTGGTAACCTTTCCCAAAAACTCGCTACCAAGCATTTACTTAACTAATTGTCCCGACGCCAACAGTCCGTGAGAATAGTCTTTCAGGGTGATCAGTATACAGCTATTCTATTTCCATAAGATTTGAACGTATTGCCCATATTATTAGGGCTAGCAGTCATGATACTAGGATTCTTTGCCTTAATTTGGGCAGGTAACACATCCACCTGGCCGCGAGACCACTTTTACTCTATGCCTAAGTCAAAACAGATCTAATGTTTATTTTAATCGTACTGGCTAAAGCGCATGTCATTTACGAAGCAGTTGAATGAGTTCTATTCGTCGACCAACGGTTCAGGGTTATCGATTGATAGCATCTTAAAATCAGACCATAACTTCGGTGCGCGCAAAAATATCGCAGCAACTGTTACTATACCACAAATTACTGCTATCACAAGGAAGAACCGATCCAGAATCCTTGCGACAAGAGTCCACTCCCAGTGACGTATGGCCAACTCGTCTTCGCTTAAGGCTTCATTGTCATCCATGTAAGGACGTGCTTCCTCTTTTTTCTTGAGCTGATCGTCCAGCGTTTCATTAGAGCTCTTGAAAGGATATGTGTTTACACCATAATTGAGCTGGATTCCGAGATTTTCCATTTCTGCACCTAAGGACTCGGTATTGGACGGACCACAATAAATGGTGTCACCAAATGTTACGTTAAATCCCTGGTTGTGCTGGTCTTTCATTTCCTCTTGTTTCTTTTTGAAGGATCTTTTGCAAACGTCGTTAATAATGCTTTGCTGTTTTCGTCTTCGGCTTCTTCTGCTGGATTTTCGCCGCTGGATTTTTCTTTTCTCCGGAGTATCCCTCAGGAACACTATGGTTGCCATCCACTCTATGACAAGTGTTCTCATCCATCTTGGCATCCTACGATTCGTCCGGTGATAAAAGTTCAAAATCGTCGTGGTCACCACAACCGAGGCACCGATCTCCAAGATAATAGCAAAGTAATACTGACCCAGGATGGGAAAGTCATAAGATGGCATGATCTCTGAGGTAAGTTGCTGGAACACAGTCATTGCCAACAACACGGTAATGCTTAAACCGATCCGTTCTCCCGATTCAGGTGGCAAAATAAAACCAAGAAAAATCATGGAGGAAATTAGACAGCAGGGAACAATGTAATTAATGAAATAGTCCATGCTCTCCCTTCCCATTTCGATCGTCACCGTAATGTCAACGAAGGGCTCTTTACAACATTGGTAGTGCTCTATGTTTCGCTTCATCTTCACCTTATAAATTTCCCATTCTCCATTTTCTTGGTAATGCTTGGTTGGAAATGTCAAATTTTTTATGGGGGTTATGTCAAAGGTAGTGGCGTCGTGCATCCAGGAACCGAACTTGAGTTTACATGTTTGATTATCAAATGGAAAATACGTTACTTTTACTCTGCAAAGGACGTTGAATATCATTGGGTTGAACCACACGTTGGTGCCATTGAAGAAGAGAGTGATACCGCTCCGATAGCTAGTCCTTCCACCGCCAAAGTGATCTTGCTCGTCTTTGCTACAAGGAAATAAACAGAAAAGTTGTTAAGACAGCGTAGGAAAACAGCTTGCGTTATCATCATTTCTATTAATCTTAAGGTTCCTTTCATGTTCCCTTCCAATGTCTTTTTCCAAAAACTGCAGTAAAAAAAAGAAAAAATAGATCATCGTGCTTGTCCAAGAAATATGGTGGGGCCAATATTAATCTTATCCAATTTACGCCTGTACTGGCACTAATCACGTGCGTCATTTCATCGATTCACAATACATTTTGCGGTAGTTGAAGGCAAGTGTTCTTAAAAGCAAAACTTGGAAAAATAATGGATGGGTAGAGAGTCTTTTGAGAATAGAACAATGTAATATATGATGTGTAGAATCGAGTCGTTGCTTTCGAGGTCACAATTCGCATCCTCGTGCGACGGCCTTCGTGCACGCTTGTAGCTATGTTTTTTCTCCTTGCGATAAATTTTTCTAATTTCTCCAAATGAAAGGGGATGATTTGTACACCAAACATAAAAATCATAGATCACCTCGTTCGTTCAACAACAAAATACCACTGTACCTGTTTATCTCGTCATTGATCGAAAAACAATACCGTGCTCTTGGAAAAGGCGCACGCGTGCGCCTGATTATGTGATTTGTTATGCGCAGTACGGATGCGAATGAGGAATCACTTGAAGAACTATTCTGTTCAGTTGATGACAAAATAATCAGAATTTTTATATCAATTCCACGTCCAGTCATCTACAAAATATATTATACTTTGGCTAAATATGCTAAAAGCTCAAAAACGAGCCCAATAACTCGAATATCCTTAGAAAAAAAATAGGGATCAAACTTTAATTCTCAGAAGGTTTTATTATGGATAGATCCATCATCTTAGGGCCAGTCATTTTTTTACCGCCTGAAGGGGGAGGAGGGTGGAGGATTTTTTTTTGGAGGGGGTCACATGGTTTTCAGGGGAAACGGAGGGGTGTCAGTCTATGTCAAATCATCCACTGAATACATGGGGGGGGGGGGAATATAAAATAGACAGATAGGGGGATCAAGTAAATTTTATCGTGACTTAACCCCACCTTCCTCAGGCGACAAATGGTAACCGATCCTTAAATAAGAGATGACTATTATAGCGGCCACTGTCCTGTTACCAGGTCCTGCATCTTACAAATTGAGCAAACCTGATCTCACCACATGATTAACAACTTACTTGTTATAAAGAAGAATATCCGGGACCCAGACCCTCTTTGGCTCCACAAAAATTCTGTCTATTCCGTCAAATTCAGACTTGTTCCACCGCAAGGAAGGGTTCTCCCATTTCTTAAGAACACAAAAAAGCCACATTTTGTTCATCATTTATGAGTTCATTAAATTCACCTTGAAACTCATAACTTAATTTCCGAAATGGAACCACGCTCATGTGATTTCATACATACATCTCAAAAATGACGAACAGCATTTTATTTTTAATAATAAAAAGAAAAACCGCCCGTCTACTGAAATTTTTACTTCTTTACCAAAACTAGATCCTTTTGAAAAGTGTCTTGCTTTTTCAGCAATGCAGTCGGTATCTTTATGCGTCTCTATCTGAATTATTTTCAAGTCAGTATAGACAGTATTTCTATTCGTTTACTAAGTCAATCAGATGCAAACTTAAAATCACTCTCAGTTTAGTGAGGAATTTCAGTTTTTACGTGCTTAAATCCGTTAATATTAAAGCTAACAGCGAATGCGAATAGGGCGTTTTACAATAGGGTGTCGTAAAACCAATAGAAACGGCCAAACAGAAGAAAGGAAATACCTTTCAAAGTAAAAACAACCAAACTGCCCAAAGCGCGGGAAAACGCGGAAAACCAAGTCACGATTGGTTTCATTTATGCATCTGATTGGTCTAGATGGCGGTGCGAGTTTTCTAGACCAATCACACACTGACGTAAAGCGAAACCAACGCCATCTCGAATTATTTTTGACACTCAATTGAAAATAGCTCTGTTAGCCGATTCAAAATTACTCGAGGCTTTAAATAAAACTGACCTGTCTAACCCAACCATACACTGTCATTGATTGCTCTTTAGCGTTCTGTAGAGGAACAAGAAAATATCAGAGAGATATGTCACAAAGTTTTATCAATAGCGGCAGCAGTTTTAAGCACAAGCATAAAAGAGAGGAACGTCTTTTTGTCGAAGGCAGAGGGGGCGAGGTCACTCAGCGAGAGGTTACGTGACTACGTGCGACTTTATGACTTGCACTCCCACCACAATTTTTCATAATTTAAGATTTTCCAACCTTAGTCCCTTCTCCTCTTTGGATTGTTTTTTATCTAAGCAAACCAAAATTTTTAACTTAACTCACTTAGAAGGAAGCTATGAAGGTCCCAGAAAAATGGTTTGTGTCTAAGCCTCAGTTATTTCCTTTATCATGTAAATTCTTTCATTCCCGCGATCTAAGTATCAATAGGTCATTTCCAAAAGATCTTAAGGCTAGCGCTCTTTTTTAAAACGAGGCCTGGTCTTCGGCCATTCGTATGAAAATGATTGCAAATTGCACTTAAATGATCATATGAAATGATAAGCTCCAGGACTCGCTTTGAAAACGAGGCTAAGGGAAATTCGGAAATGGCCTTTTCTCCCAGCAGACAGCAATATGTTTCCCTAGAATTTGATATCAAAGTAGGCTTTATCTCCTGGTTGATATTTTCCTTTTTTTAATTACTTTTCAGCTTTAAATCAGGCATGGATATTAAAAGGAGAAACTACTTATTGATTGCTCCTAGGAGTGAAAGGTCAAAAGGAACCCCTTGTAAAATTAACCCCTTAAACCCTTGAAGTGATTAGCAGCTAATTTCTCCTTACCATATCACCCCTGAGTTACGCATTAAGGTCACGAGAATGAACGAAACGATCACCAAGTAAAGAAGCTTTTGATTATTAAACAAATTCTCACTGTCAGCATCAAAGGAGGTTTGTAGAGAACAGTATGGAGAATAGGCATAATGATGTTAAGGGTTCACCGAAATTAATGGTCCTCTTGTTGTCCTTGATCATAACCCTATTCACACAAATAAAAGATGCACTTACCACTTCAACAATTTTGATGAGCTCGAGTGCAAACTGGACGTTAATGGTAGTAGAGAGGTTATGCCGCGGCAAAAGGTCGACGCTGTAATAGCTCTCATTAAAAAGCCGTTTGTGAAGTCTCTTTTCGGCACTGAGTTTTGCATCACTTGCCGCAATACCTAAGATAAATAGATTAAAGACCACGTTAAGCCCAAAAGTTGTAGTAGAAACTTATGCCGGCCGACATTCATCAGAAGCTACTTATCTGTTCAACTTTAACTGAACATTCCAGTAGTTTTATGATGGAAAAGCTTGGCAACCTGCGATGGATTACTTCCAAAATCAAGTTATCCCAAAGCTTTTAAACAAAACTATTACAAAAATGTTACCCATAATTCATAAGGCGCTTTTAAGTTCGTCAGACTTTCGCCAATACAGACTTTACCCAATTATGTGTAAAATTTATTACATATTTTTGGAAAAAAACCACGATTTTCGTGGTTGTGTTGTTATTAAAGCAAGATGTGGGGCCCCACTCAGTTTTATCAACGTTGTCACATGCCCACACTCCTGGCCGCTGAGTTAGCAGCTGAAGCTACTACATGGATCGTTTTAACGATGGAGCGATGAAATTATGAAATTGAAGATGGTTTACATAGACCTCTATCATGAGGGTAAATCTTTTTTTATAACCTTTTAATGGGCCCTCTTAGCTTTAATTACTAATCAGCTTCTTAGATTCCTTAACAACAAGCTTCCCAAAACACTTCCTTGAAAACAAAGAAATTTTAAAGGCATGTAGCTAATTTGCATACACACGATACAACAACAACCATATCCATAATTTTTGAAAGAGGTCTATTGCTGAGGAAAAACAGCCCTGCGTGTGTGGGATTCAAAAAGAGCCCGCTGTTCGCATCAACCCCTGCATCTCTGTATTTCCGCCTTGAAGATAGAGCCCACTTTTTATGCAATAAATGATTAAAAGAGGTGGACACCGAAGACGCCATTTATGGAAATCGTCAGTGTTACATTCTAGTTGAAAAAAATATACATTCTATCCCATATCCTGGAGGTACAGTTTGAAATTTAACGCAAAAGAAGTTTCTATTGTTAATGCCTTGTCAGAGGAGGCAGTATCTGCAGTATTACCTTGAGTTTTCATGTACCATGCCATAAACGTGTGCACGAAATGATACAGCTTGCATACTCTTTATGTTCTCTTATGGCAGGATGTAACTAACAGAAAACCTTCAGTATGCAGCACAGTTGGTCGAAGCGCGAAATATAGGTATCTGAACTTATTATCTCTTTTTTAAGTAACAGTAGAAATATACGGACCCAAGGAAACGGTTGTATCATGAAAAATAATTGAAAAACTGGAAAAGAGATTTGTCCTTGCTTTATCGTATGGTTCTTTGAATGGTTTTGATATCGAATTTTACCGTTCCAGTTTTATTTTGGGTTTCTCTGCCTTAAGACTTCCTTAAAACGATATGATGAGAATTAATGAAAAAAACAGGAAATAAACACCCACCATATCATTCTAAACTGACAAAAAAACCCACACAAAGGAAGACACGACACAGGCGGGGTCAGCTGCAGAAGTTTATGTACTGAAATTTTTGACATTTTTCCTTGGTTAAATTATGCCATTTCCTAATATTTCGTTTGTTCTCATCATATTTTAGTTATTCGTTTATTGAGTTCGGACAACCTGTGCTTCTCGCATTGGTAATTGTTGACACGTCTTCAATCAGATTTCAAGCCTCTTTGTAACTTAAGCCTGCACCGTGCTCTCATTTAGTAAGTGAGAGTCTGGCGATAGTTACTGAGATTTGTTATGGCGTTTCCTTACCTTTTGATAAAGTAAATCCCAGCAATACGTCAACCAGGAATATAAGCTTTCTCTTCCTTGAAGGAGACATCTTTGTCCATTATTTACAGTCCATCTGTCAAGATTTGCACAATTATTTCTTGGAATCTGCTTATATTTATGGAAAACTTACGCTTTTTTCAAATTAAGGGAATGTTTAATTATTGATAAGCCAAAGTTGAATAATTTATTTTTTATTCCGAAAGTTACCTCATTTAAATTCTTGGATAAATATTTTTTCCTTAACTTCATTCGTCAGCTTCAGCGAAAAAAGGAACAGAATTAACCAGACAATTGAATGGCGATATAAAGTCAATTTTTAAAAAGTGTCGTGTGGTTTCGTTACATTTATCATCTTGAAACACGAATAGCATATCTTTTAAATAGAATCCTAAGTTTTAAGTATGCTTGAATTGTTATCCAATTTTTTGGTACTTATAAACAAAGCATGTCACAGTTTATTCCAAAAATTCAATATTCTACCATACGCGGCGTTTCTTGATTATATCTTCCAGTCTCCTTCAGTGAAATAAGCGTTACCTGGAAATAAGACCGCCCATGTATCTTGATCAGATGCTCTGTACACTATCTATAAAAGATTTCCTCTTACCCAAAGTAGTCAGTCGTGGAAATCAGTTTTAAACATATCCCGAAAAAGACATTATTGCCTCATTTAGACATATCTTCCCAAAACGCTTAAAATTTTCGCGTATTTTGAGCTCGGGCTTCTTATGCTAAAGCCAGCTGTTTTGAGAACATCTCTAATTCGAAATTCATGAATAACTAAAGCTCTCCTGGATAGAACGCCGATGCCTTTGATTGGCTCATCTGTAAAACATTCGCCGATTAACGACTCAGCGCTTGGATGATATCTACTGGGCGGATTTTTATTTGTTGTCACTTTGAGAGGGCATTGTTTAGTTTTCGCGAAAACTTAAGAAAAAAATTTTTGAAGTTATTTAGTGTTAATTTAACTTTCCTATTCAAAAGAAATTCAAAAGGCTGCCATGGTTCAGGTGAAGTTTGATCTTTCACAAGGCGATCTGCTTTCAAATAAAAGCACTCGTATTGAAATATGAATACGTCAAATTAATATTTGACGTATTCATATTCATTTCATGTTGATGAAGCGAGTTACATGAATTGATGAGTTTTCGCTTATTCTGCATCTGTTTATCTACATTTGTTGCAAAACAAACACAGCGATCTCGGTCTCCTTTAATTTATTTACCGCGTTTACTTAAGAGCTGTTTTGGATTTATTCGACATAAAAGCTCACCACTCCTCTGCAAACAACTGTATCTTACGTAACGGTTGCCAAGCAACGACTCCCAAAATGTGGCTATCTTAAATTCAACTCAACTCAGCTTATGTTACAAAAATATTCAAAAGTTGGGGAGTCGCGTAATTATAAAAAATTGTAACTATAAGCAGAGTAAAGAAAACAACAAAGAAATTCGTTTTGTGTATCAGGCAGCCTACTGAGATCTTACAAATTGTACTTTTACAGCAGGCATTGTTACGTCACATGTTGGGCAAAATAGCAATAAAAATTAAAGCTGTTTTTTTAGGCAAAGTCGTTTGAGATACGAGATCGTTAAAAAAGTTCTGATTTCTTAACAGTAGCTGCACTAAGCTGTTCGCTCTTGATTCATTTTAGAAACGAAATATTGTTATTTGCAGAATTTTAACTCAACGAGGCAGATGCTCGATTTAAATTTTTCATCGTTGGAGTTAAGATGGCGAACTTATTCCTGTTCGGCAGTGGGTATATCCTCACTACAATATCGCGTGAGAACATTTCCAAGTTCAAAAATCTTCATTTTGTCGCCATTTACAAGTAATTTCTAACGAGACAAAGTGGATATTAGATAACAAGTTTGGCCATCTGTTTAGTCGAGAATTTTGTAATATTCGCGCTTTAAAAACAAAACAAAAATCTTAAAAACACTCTTAAAAATTACACTTTTGTATTCCCGTCGTTTCAGGCTTTCGAAAAGTTACTGGTCTATTTAGAGCAGGTCCTTAGAATCATGCTGAACACTTGAGTGATAACACACAAACTTTTTGTCAAATTGTGTGTAAAATTAATACTACTCGGGTAAGTCGAGATGTGTACACTGCATCTGTATGAAAAAAGTATTATAAAACGCTACCACAAGCAAGGCATTGAAAGAAGGAACCAATTCTGAATTTTTTAAACGAACGGGTGTTTTCCGAAAAGCTTTTCCCGCGATCAAAGAGCGCATATGATAGAATCGTAATCGTACATCTAAACGTTTTAAGGGGAAGATGTTTCAAGACACCCTAAAGTAAAAGGAACTAATTAGAAAAAAAAGAGGCGTACTTAGTAGTTCGTGGAAGCATTCTATGGAAAGTCAACGTTCACAGAGTCATCGCATCAGATCAATAAAATCATTTGACAGTACTTGCGAATGTTAAAACGAAAGAGTTATTGTTCTTTCAGAATATATCACCAAACGATGCTTATGTACGTGACAAAAGGATTAGGTTAACAGCTAACTTTTCACAGAGAAAAACTTACCTAAAGCGTATTACGAAAATACCATCATTCCTTTGAGATAAAGAATTGTTTCAGTTGTTTTTTTTCCTGACACGGAGATTCAGAAGTGGCTTGTTCAAACATGAATTGAGTCGAGTTACCCTCCGGCTTTGTGTGATCAAAATCAAATTATTCAAACTGATCTTTGTGTTTTAGAGCTCTACGTAAATACAAATATTCGTCAAGGCGTAGACAGCTGGAACTTGCGTGGAAAACGGTCTGGAGGAGGTTTTCTGATCAATGGAAAAGACGCTTTAGTTAATGGCCGTCTGCAGATGGCAAATAGCACGTCTTTAAAATGAACATATCATGAAGGCGTTTTACATTTGACAGCTTCTTATTCATTATGTCGCAGCCTCTCACAGCGAGAAGCCAAGTGGTCGAAATTTGCTTTTATTCTGTGCAACCCGAACTCAATATTACTTTCCATTTTTCATCACGACTGTCTGCCGTCGATTGCAATACCTACTTTCCACAATTTACTCTATAAGTCACTACTTTAAACAAAGAAAAATCAGGTTTTAAAGCTAAATTTAGTATCACGCAAAGCCACTAGACAATATCTGTCAGAGATAGAGAGGCAAATGACAAATTCGAACAATAATGCATTATTTGTTATCTTTCAATGACAAGAGGAAGATGTGAATAAATGAATGTTTTTCCGCCCCGCGATTCATTTTGATTCGTAAGATATTCAAGGCAGACTTATCTTACCGATCGCTCATATCGATATCGAAAAAAAGCTACGCATTGCATTGAATTTAAGTGCATTAAGCTTCGACACCTGCACTTATTGAGACAACTTACTCAAAACTACGAACAGTTCAGTGTCAAATCTAGCCCATTTTAGTTAATAAATATCAGATTATTAAAAGACGTCATTTGAATTTTCTTTCAAGGAATTGGATAATTGCAACGAGAGTTTTAGCATTGAAGGGTACTAGACGGTTCATTGACCAATAAGATTTAACAGTCTGATTTTAAAAGGCTTCCTTTTATATGTCTCCAACCAAGAAAGAACATTTATAAATCTACTGCTCCAACTAATTTGCTGGTTTTGGTTAACAAAACAGGAAAACTTTAATGAAGTTCGTACAATGAATAGCAGGGCCCAGGCCAAGACGACGACGTAAACAAGGACCGAAAAATAGCGCAGCACGTGCATTTCAAAACTTTTTCGATTTCTAAGCCGTCCTCTGCTAAACCACAACGTGAAATCACCAAAATTTGCATGGTATACGAACGGAAACCCCAACGGTAAATTTTTTAAGTTTCCATTTTGAACTTAACGCTGCTCACATGCGTTAAGCTGGTGTTGAGGTGAGGCAACTTAAGAGATGGTAAACACGTCCAGCCATTTGTGAAATTCTAACTAAAAATAAGAATTCATTTTTTTCGATCGATGTCTTGGATGGCGCTGTCGTCCTGACTGCTTAAGGTCCCTAATGTCAGAACTGACTGTTGCATGTTGTCGTAATGGAGAACAGAAAAGCCTGGGATATTCCCAGTATTTCACAAGGTTGATATCATATCATTTAGGGAATTTAAGTCAAGTTAACAAAGAGATTGCGTGTTGCCGCGCGTCCGTTCAGTGATAGATCACAAATGACGTCAAAATGTGGTCGGAACAAGAGTGGCACTCAAGGCGCCGGCGCGCAAATGTGTTCCTACCACGTTTTTCAGTGATCTGTTTCTGTACATGCCCATAGCGGCATGTACAATCAATCGAAATGCGTGTAGGATTCAGCTTATCATATCATACATCACGGTCTTTTAGTCATTCTCTCACTCACAAAGTTATGTCACATAATGTTTTTTTTTTTTCAAATAATATTTATATCGCTTAATCTAAAGTAAAAATACGACATAGTCTTCGATCGACCGATAGGTATGTTTAGATGGCATGATATAAACACAGGTAAGACGTTTAAGATTTGCGTGCATAACGCTCTCTAGTCTTTCCATCTCCCTTGTGCTTAGCGAAGGCTATGTTAACTCTTTACCTCCTAAAAAGTTGCAAGCATCTAATTTCTCTATAAATTATCACTCCTGAATCACGCATCCCGGGAATGCAGTAGTTTTGCGTCGACACGTTCTGTGACTAGTCAATAAATTCGCGTCACTCTCTCAACCAATCAAATGTAAAACTTAAACCACAATTTCTTTTAGTTGCCTTGCAACAGCGGTAGCATGAAATTTTCATCAACAATACAGTTTTGGTATAACCGTGAAGTCATTCAGTTATTATCTACATTACTACAAGAAAACTGTAAAGAAAGAAAAATCTAGGACTAAATCCGCAGTTAAGATCTCTACGGTTGCTCCAACTAGACAATAACTTAATGTCGAACGTTGGTCGATTCCACTTTTAATTGGTTGATACCGTGTTCTGTGTGTCAATACAAGTCTTGGGAATTGCAAATAGTTTTAATTGCCGCTTCTAGTTATTTCGAAGCAGACATACCGAAAAATTATCTTCTTTCTAAAGTGCTGGCGCTATTCATTTAGTTTTTCATCCGCCTCTGATGAAGGAGTCTAAACAAACTCCGCACCCTGAGGTGATTTTAGCTGTTATTGATATGTTTTGGATGGTTGCTGGTTTCAATTGACAGGTCAAATTATTTGCTGGAAGGTACGGCTCATAATGGCATATCGAAAAAAAATATATAGACCTTCGGTTATGACAAAAGGGAATTAACACATATACTTGAAATGAGTAAAAAAAATTGTGGTCTTGTGTCCAAACTGGTACCACCGCTGTTTTTCTCTTCCTTTCTTGTTCAATTTTGATGCATGTTTTCCAAAAAAACTCCCGCACTTCTTACAAAAATTTTTTTTTATTGCGGCAAAGGCACTAATATAAACATAAATGCTTTAATATACGTTTGTGCTTCGTTGTAAATTTTTTCGTCCATCAAAGCTTCTCGCTTAAAATTATCTTCCCATGGAAATAAAGATTCTCCGCTAGATTGTAAAAGTTAACTCAGGAGGAATTCGGGATCCAACAGGACATTCATTTTTATTCGTCACACTTGAAATTGATGATCAAAAAAAAAAAAAAAAACATTTTTCTCTTTTCTAGATAGCCTAAATACTGCACCCTTTGAAATTGTAAGCTTGGCGATGCAAGAAATAGAAAAGCTAAGTCCCCTTTATGTAATCCATTTACCCACGATACACGTAGTTTACGCAGGCACGAATCATTCGCTGTGTCACAAGTTTCCTTGACACAAAACAAAAACAGACAACAAACGAATCTCTCGTTCGATATTACCCTTTCTCTATTTTAAATGTATATTTTATGAATATATTTTGTGTCCTCTTGTATGACCAACATATTACATAAAGAATGTAAGTTGTGTTATATCATTTTTTTTTATTTTGATAAGCATAAAGTACAGGTCCGTCGACAACCCTTAAATAAGCTCTTCTAGTTAATGATTCAATACGTACCTTATAAATGAAGTTTTAAGATCCTAGCGAGACAGAAACCAACAGATCCCTAAGCAGATTCAGTATTCAGCATTCACCTTCGGTTAACTTTGCAAATTTTGAATGATAACCGTGCCTACATTTGCCAATTTTCGATTAAAAGTACGAAAAGAAATGGAATGGCTAGAAAAAAAACAGACTACTTTTAATTACCAATACCTTAAATTAGGAGTTATTTTTTTGTACTTTTAATATCAGCCATGACTAATTAAAATAACTCTTAAGATTATTGACTTAATAGAAGTCCATTTGGGTTAACCTACGGAAATTAAAAAAGGTGACTCTTTCTGACTTCGATTGGCGCGCTAGGGTTTGCAAAATTCATGCGATAAATATGTCATTTTGAAACCACAAAGCGAAATGTATTCAACGTATAATTCATGTCGTAGGCCTCAAAAACATTTCGTTTTAAAGCCGCTTGTTTTTATGTTATGAATCGAGTGAATTAATCATTTTTGTTTCAAGCTGCGCTGTCTCTTGCTGTCAAGCAACCATTATAACTCAAACCAAGCTAAAGAATGTTTTCCGACAAATTCAATATGTATGTCTTCCCAATGCATAGTAATTAATTTTTTAAAATTTGCTGCTTTCTGATTATTTTTTGTTATTCAGATGATGTAGTGGGAGTGGTATGCTGTTACTGTTACTACTGTACTCTACAAATTGTGTAATACAAAGATTAACTGTCTAACAGAGAAAATGGTGAAACTAGTTATTATCATTATCTTTCACCTAAAAAAAAGCACTTAGAATGAATTTACAAGGCCCTATATTAGAGAAAGGTAAAGTATTTTGAATACCAACAGCGTTTCAACCACAAATTTTTCAAGCTGCTTTCGTTCAAGAATTAATATTTTTATGGTTTAATTATGTGTGCGAACGCCGTTAGTGGTCTGTTCCCCTGGTTAGAATTTAGCCCCTATAATGCACTGACACCGATCCTTATTGTTTACAAAGTGAAGGAAGCAAAAATTTAGACAAATTATATTTTATCTAATGACCACTTCCTCCATTCACTCTTTTACCTCTACGAGTGGCGTATCATCAAGCAATTTGCAGTTTTGATCAGTACGAGGCAAGACGTGATGACGGTCGGTTGTTTCTTTAGTGGAGTGGCACCCGATAGCAGAGCCTTGGATGCAGCGCTAAATTTTCCTTTCAGCCTGTAACACGTCCTTCGTTTAAAATCAGCTGAGCAAATTGAGGATCAACAAGGTGACAGGATTGGACAACATCAGTGCTCAAGGATTCAGCAAATCGTTTTCTCTTTTCATCAATCTGTCCTAAGAGAGTGAGTGGTCGATTTCCATCATCATGGAAATGTGCTAAAGTAACATATCTTTTTAAGCAAGGTGATAGAATTGAACTTATACAGATAAATACTGTCCGAGATGCCCGCAGGGAGGGAAAGCGGGGGGGGGGTTGCCTAGAAGAAGACTGATAAAGGTATGGATGCGTCGCTGGATGGAGCCGCATTTTCATTTCTGGATTGACTGTAATAGGATTGCACTTTTTATGCAGCTTCTAAAATGGGGTCGTAAAATGTGATACATTCGCTCAAAAGAGACTAAGATGGGGTCTATAATTGGTCAATGATTACAGTGTTACGGAGTGGACGTCCTGAGAGACCAGTGGCACATATCCAGCAAAAATTGACCCAAGTGATTCCCCCCCCCCCCCCCCCCACATCTTTACCTTCCTTTGGCAAAGGTTACAGAAGCCCGTGAAGGGATAGACGGAATTTGCCACATTTTTGTCAAAGGTTTATAACACCTGTATCTTGGATCAAAGTTTGAAGTCAAAGCAACGCGAAGCCGGCCACCTTTTTCAAATATCTGTCAGTTCAAGGCACATCTTTGAATTTCTTAAGAAATTTATGCTCGGCTATATTACTGCTTGACACAGAGCAATATCGAGTCAGATTTCAACTGCATAATTGATTTTACTATAAATAGATCTGATGAAGATTGTCATGCTATGCTGGGTGAAAGTGGTTTATAGTTCAGCTGTGCGTGTTATGAGAACTTTTCAGTCTATATCAGCCAATGAAATCCCCTTTTTTTAAGCTAATTGTCAATTTTTTTCCGGGACACTGGTAAATTAAACGGTAAGTATAACTTGATGTATGTGGTGAATAAAAGGCGCAAGTGCAATTAATTTGAATCGTAGGTTAATCCTTAACTTGAAGGTACCTGGTGCCTCCTAGCTCCTAGCAACCATCTCCTTGAACACTTCTCCTCTCAAAGTATTTTGAATCAGCTGCTCCATCTTTAACATCTTGCTAAGCAAACCAATCCAATTTCTAAACCAGATCAGTGGTTTATTAAAAACTAATTGACAGCTTCTACAACCTAATAGAAATTCTAATTTTCTACCTTGCTCTCGTCCTCGCCCTTTAATTTTTGGAAATTAATCGTCGCTTTGAATTCCAAAACTACTCGGTTTTGTTCACGCTTTTATGCGTTAGAAAATGAAAGAAATAAATAGATTATCTAGCCGAGTGGACACAAGGGAAAATAATATATCACGAGCAGTCTCCCTTTTTGACGAAGTCCGTCGCATGAATCCGAAAAAAGTCGGTAAAAAAGGGATGTTAGTGCGGTGCTGGAAACTCTGGGAGAGAGTCGCACAGATTACGTAATTTTCTTACTAATCGTGCGAAGAACATCGCCGAAAAGCAGGGTCTGCTCGTAGTCTGGAACATATCTGCTAAAGCTAAGGTAAAAATATGAATACCGCTAATTATTGTGGCATTATGGTCCATAAATGGAATACAGCATGCTTCAGCGGGGCATATCGATCCCAGACAACAAGGCTACACACGTGATCTAGGTTCTCGTTAGATTTGGATTGCCTCCCATCAGACTTCTGTGCCAAATTAAATAAGGATAAAATGTGCACACAAGAAAACATATCAACGATCGCTCTTGTAAAGCTATGGAAAGTAAACAGATTGAGAATTTTTCATGGTGAGCGTAGTTAAATTTCTTAAAATCTAACAGCATCAGAGCACAATTTTAATAGTTAGGATTACAGGCAAGTTTAATTTAAATGCCAATTTCTATTCATCTGCATGATTTTACTATGTTGTAAACAGAGCATAAAACTTGTCTTATACTAAAACCTAGCTGAATTTCAACCTGTGCAGATAACGCAAATATTTCTACTTGTGCAGTTCAAAAAAATCGTTCTTCCGTTCGGTCCAAATGATCAGCAAAATTTTGGATCAACGACTCTCCAGCATTCAAGTGAATTCGATTCAGTGAACAGACATCATGTGAGAACATTCTACAGTTTATGCTAATAAATATTTAATTAAAATTTGCATATTTTCTCACCTAATCGCCATTGCATAGTGACATTAAAAAAGAAACTTTTTTAAAAAATGCATAAATAACCATCTTGGCTTGAGTAACTCATTTGGGTGTTATTAAAGGTGTCATAAACTATTTGAATTTAAATAAACATGAATAACATTTCATTTTTAACAGCCACACATTGAGCAACATTGTGTCGGAAATGTTCAGCTAATACCAGCACTTTCAATGAAAACCGAAAATTTCCAAAGTTTGGTTACAAATTTCCGATTTAACGTCGTGGACAACCTGAAAACTTGTTTTATTTATGAAGAGAAAGGCTCTTGATATAACTTATCTGGTAACGCTTTCAAACAAAAGGCTTTGTTAAAACTACGGATCTGTTATGAATAAACACCACTAATCTGAATATATCTATGAAAAACCTTTAGAAGTACGGTACAGATACAAGTTGGTATTTATGTTGGTGGGCTATCTCTAATCTCTTGTTACTATGTAAGGCCACTTTTATTATTTGAAAACGGTTCGTGGTCTTTTGCAACTATGCAACTATGTATGCAGCTTTTGGAGAGTCTTTTTATTTTTTCGCTTACACTAATTAAGGAGAACTCATCCTTTAATTTGTTTGTCAGTTTTCAAGTGACGTTTGCAACACAGTCAAAATGGCCTGAAAGTGCGCCAGCTTTTATCCATTAATCATCATTTTAAAACAAACTCTTGCATATAAAGTTTGAATAGATATACTGATTTGCGCAAAATGCACTACAAGTGACGAACACAAGGTGCAGCTGATTAAAATATTTTGGGAGGAATAATAGTCTGTACATATTGGCCATGGATTGAACCCAAAGCTATGGATGTAAGGTAAAATCTCTCCTTGTACCTAACTCAGGATGTTTTGACGATTAACATAAACGTGATCCGTTCAGCTAGTATCTATACGTGACGGTTACCAACAGACAGCAGACTATTCTACTGCCCTTTGGCTTAGTTCCCTTTTGGGCGTGCGTTCTCCCAAACAAGAGGAGCGCGCAATGACTACAAGTGTGCGATGTGGTATATTTCCAACAAAAAATCTCGACTCTTAAAGCAAAAAAAAGGCACCAGGTGAGGTTTACACATCACTCACCGACTGTGGCATCTTTTGCGTTCTTAAATGTGTGCTAATGAAAATTGTATCTTAATGTGTTGTTATCTCACCTACAAATATCTCATGCAGTATTCTATTACAGCTGCATGACACAATCACGGAATCAAGAAGCTATCATTCATTTGTAACCCAAAGGAAAAACCGTCCCACTTAGAGCCATCTCAGGTTACTGAAGGGGAGCAAAATTTGTTGATTACAAAACATATAGCTTTGAGAGTGCCTTTCAATAAGTTTAATGGCTATTCGAAGTTCTGGTTTTTTGCAGTCTCAGACCGAGTCAATCTCTGATTTCATATGATCCTCAAGTCGCAAAGAAATTATTGCCTTCAAAAGTAAACTTTATCTCAAGGTTTATTTGATATATCGGTACAGTACTTTATCGGTGGAGGATTACTGGTGGAATCATTTCATTTGCTACTCTTTATCTACCCGCTTCCGTGGACCTTTGAGTGCAGACAGTTAAAGATATAAAATGTCCTTCATAATGACCTATTGTCTCTGGAAGAACTGAGATTTTGAAGCAGTTATTACGCTAAAAAAGGTGACTTAAAAGCTATTTACTAGACTCTGGCGGCGGTCAAAATATGATATTAGTCTTACATCAAAGAACAATGCCTTCTTCCCTTTAAGGCTATCTTGAATACAACAACATTGTAATGAAGTCTTTGAAATTTGAACAATACGTGATCTAACTGCTCATCTGCTCTTCCTTGCATAGTCAGTAAGCACTAAGTTACGGTTTCTACACCAAAAAACGTGGACATGATTGACTAAATTGTTCCCTGAGATGTTTGTTTTTGCTTGATATGTTTCTTTGTATCCAACACTTCTGCAGTGATGGGTGTCATTTACATTTAAATGAGTTTAGCGATCTATAAAATGAATACAGCGTCGCCCACTCTGGTGCCTTCATTAGAGCAGCTGGAGGCCATGGTAATTATGTATGGATGACATTTTAATAGGAAATTAATGTTATTCTGTTTAGCATTGGAGCCAGATAGTACCAACAGCGAGTGATAATGCATACAATCGTTGCATGAAAATGATATTTAACATCGTGATTCACCTAATGATGCAAGATCCTTGGTAAAATATATTGGACCAGAGCAGAGCACAGAAAATAAAAGGTACGCAATCTATTATGGGAATTATTTAGTGCGCTTTACGTTTTGTCTCTAAACATTAAATGAAAATTAAAACATTTTTTTTGACACAGTAAAAGAAACTTTTTCAAGGAACAATCTTGTTGGCATGGCTCAACGTTTTAGCTATTATATGAAAATAATATGATTGTTTGTCATGACGTTTGTGAAAGTTACACCGCTGCGCCATTAAGGTTGCTAGTTATACTTTCATTAGAAGACAAGTATTATTTTAGCATAAGGAGGTTAAAAAGTTCTCTATAATAATATATGAATTCAGAATTGATTGGATTGGAATACTTCAACTCCTCTGTTCACGGCTCCTACGACTATCTCGAGTAGTAGCATTGGGCAAATGTAATTGAGTTTGATGGCATAACACGAACCAAGGAGGTGTGAAAAAGGCAAAACAAACGCCAGCAGCTATTTCATTTGTTCTTGCGAAACTCGAAAAAAAGGCCTTCGTAAGCAAGTGACACGTCCTACAACCCATATTTTGAGAGAAATATTTACAATTTATGAAGAAAATATACTGAAAAGCAGACTTTCTTCGCTCTCCAATTTTTGAAAATTACAATTAATGCAAGAGGCATGTTGAAGTGTTAAAACGTGTTCAAAAAGGAAGATCGCATAATCAAAGACTTTTCAAGGTGCCAATGAGTGAGTCCTTTGAAAACACTTTGGTAACGACTTCACTTATTTCTTATTTATTTAAGTAACTTTCCAGTGGGGTACATTGGCTTTTCCTCAGCCCGATATAATAATTTTTTCCTCTAGCCGTTATCATGGAGATAACATGGGGGCTTGCTAATTTTTGCCCTCGGCAAGGCAACTGAGAATACATACACCGGCGTCATCTGTTATTGGTATCAGGCAGTTCGAATTCGTTTTAATTTCATTCTCCGGAAATATGGCTGGCTTTGGCGCGGATAAAACGGGTTGTTCATTTTATAGGAGGGGCTAGTCCCGAGACATCAAACATAGAGTTTTAATAGCACCCTTCTGCTCATCTATCCATGGTGACTTACACGTTAAGTTTGTTTTCCATGACCCCTAGGTCATACTGATTTGTGTTGTATTTGTGGTGTCACAAAAAGTGTCACTATACTTGAAAACGTTTATTAGCATTATAACGGCCGACTTATTCATGGGACAGATTACATCGCTGAACCGAATACTCTCTAATAGCACCAGTATTACAACTGAGGGCCGAATATCAACAGGCATATAGCATTCAACTGTTTTAAGCGGCGACATGATTGTAACGTTGCTGGCATGCGTTTCTTTTCAAATTGGTTTGGCTTGGTTTGTTGTTTATCTTGAACATCAAGTAACCTAGACCGTAGGGGGTCTTCCTATAGACGTATTTCTATTTTTTGTCTCAGTAGTTCCCTTCAAGCTAAAAAATGGGGATAATCTAAGGCCAGATGAGCCGTCAGGCTCTTTTGCTGACTTAACCTGTGTAAATAATGTTGCCGCAGGAATTAATACGTGTATGAAAAACGTTTTTATTGAAATAAAACTTGTACCAATCTTAGACGTAATAATGATTCTCATTAGGACAAGATTACAGAAAGAAACTATATCCTTCAAATTTGTCTCTAAATTTTAAGTCTTTTTTATCATGGTTCTTCTAGGTCTAAAAAGGCCTGCACGGAAGACTCTGTATGTCACGTTAAAATATATTTAAAAAAAAGATATCGCCAGGTAGAATTCGGCCTATGGTGCAAGATCTGGAAGTAGAGGTAGCTAAGAGATACCATCCAATTGATTGTACATTTTGCATTTTTTTCCAACAGATCTGACCCGGGACGATTGACTTCCAGATGCTTACAGTCTCAACTGGCAGTCTACGCAATGCTCACAGGCTACCCAATGATTTCAATGGGTAAATTTGTTCCCCTATTGGTATTCATCTTTCATGTCACAGGTATGTCACCATAGACGCGGTGGCCTCATTGTTAGTGCGCTGGACTCCGAGTCGAGAGATTCGAATTCGAGACCTGGCCGAGTCAGTGTGTTCTTGGACAAAACACTTTATTCTCACAGTGCCCCTCTCCACCCCTGCTCTGGTTTTTCGAAGGTTAGATAACGCCATCCACTGGATAAATCTCTATCCATTGGATAACGCTGTACGTATTGCCATCACTTTATCCGTTGGATAGCGTTATCCTGGATACAACTGGGCACAGGAGTATAAATGAGTACCGGCGAATTGTCAGTGAGGCCTTGTAAAATGTTGGGGGGGTAATCTTGTGATGGACTAGCAGGAGGGGGGAATAGTGATACTCCTTGTCGCTTCATTCTAAGGAAGTTGGGGTAAGTTTCGACTGGGTGGGCCACATAGCTTGCGTACAGAGTTCACCTTTACCTTTATCTATCATATTAGTGCCCACTGCCAATCATCATCATCAGTTTTCCATTTTTGTTCCAGAGGGCGCCGTCAAATCTAACGAGACACAACTGTACAAGGACCTATTTAAAAATTACAACAAATATAACCATCCAACAGTCAAAGGGGCTGATGCTGTCAAGGTCGTGTTTGATTTCCAACTCATTCGTATAATTGATGTGGTAGGTCATTTTTTCTCTTCTTTTAAGGTAAATGAGGACTGGCTGTTGGCATGGGTTGATGAACTCGAATACAACAATGAATAGGTTGTACACTTTTATCAATTAAAATCTCTAAATCAATGATTTTTTCAGAGTGCCAAAGACCAGTTCATCAAGACTTATGCCTGGGTTAACCAGGTGAGAGAAGTTAGTCCCTTAGATTAATGCAATTTTTTTCTTAAATTAAATATCAAAAGTTATTCGGGATTCTCCCAGAAAACCGGATCATTATTATAAAAACAAATTGATCACGAATTAGCTTCTCACTTTTTGCTGCGCATCTATAACATTTTGATATTATGTGTTGAATTTCCATGAAGTCCTTGTCATATTTCCTTTCATCTGTTTGGTAGTTTTAATTGATTTAGCTTTGATTTAATGACCAACTCAAGCGAATTATTTTTATGAATCTTGTCTTAAGTTGCCCTACCTTTCTTTTCCATTTTTTTCCTTTCGTGTTTGTCCACATTCCTTTGTACCGCCAGTCCAGCATTTCAATTTCAATTTTTTTTTTGGTTGATATTTTCACCATGATGGCCTCTCGCATGCGACCGATTTCTTTCTCTCCCTGCATGCTAAAAAAACATTTCAGTCATTTAGGAGGTTGACTACTAAACGTGTGTGAGAAGTTTTCAATCTCCCCTTCGTGTTTTTTTTAGTACTGGAATAATCCTCAGCTTAGATGGGATCCCAATAAGTACAATGGAATCAAAGAAATTCATATACAGCCATCCGATGTATGGGTCCCTGATATCCTCTTATACAACAAGTAAGTGGAATTGTCTAAATAACTGAAAAGTGCGCAATTTATCTCGTCGTTAACAGAAGAATATTCCCTAACATCTGATGGAGGGTAAAATTAATAGAGCATCACCATTTTTTGAGTCAGATACCATTGCCTTTAAAATATTGTGGAAACTTGAGTCAGTCGCTAACTAGTGCAGCAAAAGATCAGACTGCAGAGATATAAAAAAGAATCGATGAAAGACGTTTTAGGATCAAAAGGAAGTGACACAGAATGCAAACGGTGATCTTAAAAACTTTAAGCAGTATTGTTCAAGATGCAATTTTCAAGTGATTGAAAGCAAGGAACAGGACAACCAGGATAGACTCTTCACCTGTCTGAGAGCCACGTTAACGTATAGCACCTTACTTCAAATTAACAAACAGGAAAACCAAGGTTACAGACCCAACCAGAACCGTCTGAAAACCAGTTTTATTTATTTTTCTTAATAATAAAATTAACACAACTTCATTTTCAAAGAGTCGTTCCTTTCCCTCTTACCAGTGTTGATGAAGAAGACCGTTTTGCTGGTGGAAAGTTTACTTACAAAACCAACGTTGCCATGACACACGATGGAAACAGCACATGGCTTAACCCCGCTATTTTCAAAAGTATTTGTAAAGTGGACGTAACGTATTTCCCGTTCGATGAGCAGGATTGCTCCCTGAAGTTTGGTTCATGGTCCTTCGACAGCTCAAAAGTAGATCTTCACGCACACGGTGGAAGTATGATGAACGACAACTACGTCAAGAACGGAGAATGGAGGTTGACACTATTGAAATCTCAAAGAAATAAACAAAAATATCAATGCTGCCCGCACGAATTCATTGATGTTACGATACAGATGCAGCTACAGCGAGAATCGCTGGACTATATTTTGAAGTTAATCATTCCATGCTCGCTGATTTCTTCCATGATATTTTTGGGTTTTGTTCTTCCGCCTGAATCTGGTGAACGAATAGGGCTGAGTATCACAGTTCTGTTGGCAATGACTGTGTTTCAACAACTCAGCTCCGAGCTAATGCCTTCGTATGGATTTCCACTGCTTGGGCAATACTACTTCGCCTGTATGATCGAGATAGGCGCTTCCCTGGTTGTCACTACTCTCATACTAAACTTTTATCACCGTAACAGTCGACGAATGCCAAAATTTTTGAGGGTTGTGATATTAAAATGGCTGGCTCGAGTGGTATTCCCAAAAAGTAGCGCCAAAGACTGGGAAGTGATTTCAACAAATGTGGAAGCGCCCAATTGCAAGTCAACTGCGAATGATAATGGAGAACAGGGCGACTCTGATAGCGAAAAAGGTTCGTTTTTCCTTGTGCAATCGCTTTTGGAGCACGACAAATCAAAGATTTCTCCCACATATTCCGATCCGTGGATCCCATTGGAAAGGAAGAATGAGTTTGGCAATTCGGCAAACGGCACATCACACTACAAGAACACAAATGGCCAAGCTTACGACATGCTATCGGGAAACAGGTCCAGGCATACTGGAAACCAAAGAAAAACAAGATTTTCAAACTACCAAAATAACACCCGGAGAGAGACCTCAAGGAATGATTGTTGCACTCATCGCCAAAGCCCCGAGAAAAGAGGCTCATCCATTGGTGCTACATCTATTCTTTTGGACCTTTTCCAGAGTACGAACGACTCGGAGCTTTCGCCACAAATGTTAAAGAATCAAAAGGAGTGGATTAAGGCGGCACGTGTGTTGGATAGACTCTTCCTGATTATCTCCGTGCTGATTGGTGTAACTACTCTCTTTGCCTTGTTTCTAAAGGCTCCAAGGTTTCGTTGAGATAACTTGAACAGAGGCTTTAAGTTAAGTGTATGCGCAATATTCACAGAAAGTGCGCCCAAAAAGTTGCTTTAAATGGCAAATATAACATGCTTTCTTTGCACTCAAAGAAAGAGAAAAACGACTTCATCGAAGCTTTTTCCTCCGTCAGGAAAATACCTTTTCATTTTGAAAGAAGGAGAAAGGCATTAACTCATTTGAAATTACATTTTATGCAAGTTGAATTTCAGACTTACACAAAACAAAACAGAGGCATCCATTCTTTTTGAAGAGGCAGATTTGGGTAAGGGAAGCCCTCTTTCTTTTTTTTTTTTTTTTTGGCATCTGTTATGTTGTCTTCCTTGAAGTGCCTTTAATCATTCATGAAAAGCATTTGAAATTAAATTCTTTCGCGATTCAGTCATGGATCAGTTTTAGGCTGCTACAAGTTCGCGTCCTGTCTTTCAAGAAGTTAACTTTTCGATTCCGTCGAGCGAGCGAAGGAAAATACCATGTAAAAGGAAAAGTAAATGAGCCAAGGAGTTACAACCTTCTGGAAAAATGAAAGTGAGCTTGAATCATTCAGAGTCTTAGTTATAACGAAACGATAAAAAACGAAGACAAAATATGCTGTCTTCTGACCGAGAAAGGGAAACCGATTCAGTATAGTACGAATAGTATGGACTTCCGAGTGACCGATACTTTTAAAAGAAGGAAGTGAACTCTCTATTAGCTCCCTTCAATTTGAGTATAGGTCAGGTCGCCCCGTTGCAATGTCGCCTCAAGCCACGACGCGCCAGAGCTAATACACCGCGCGTCACCCTGCACAATATTGACTGAAGTTGTTTCAAGACCAGTTAACGGTATGGTTATATCATTTGGTCCAGAAATACCTAGTTCCGATCGTTGAGGTCAAATTTATATTTTTCCTTTCTTTTGAGATTTTATTTATACATGTTTCTAACTGAGCCACGGATCAGCTATGAGTGAAGATCTTAAATTTAACCATTTCACTTAAGGATCCATGGAAATTTCCGTACACGTGTCTGAGTCAATTAAGACCAAACACTTTACAATTTACCATGCTGTGCAACCTTTGGAGTTGTGGCATAACAGCCCTCAAGGAAAGTCATAAGCTTTGCAAATTAGTGTGAGAAAGCATATAGAGATAACTAACGTATCAATCCATTATGAAAAGTTGGAACATACCAGTAACTATGATCATATTAAATAATTATGCACACCAATTCAACTACATTAATTTTCTTTTCTTTTTTCGGACTGGATACATCAACCTACATGTTATAACCATGGAAGGGAAGAGATGTAAGTGATTAATTAAGAATAAGATGTGAGAGAGTAAGTAAGGGTAAGAGAGATGTAAGTGATGTGATGTAATATCCATGTCAATTAGAAATTAATAACAATTATTTTCCAAAGTAAAAGTTTGTTTCAATGGTAATAATTTTTATGGTACCTTTTAAGGTTCTTGTGTCCTTCTTCACCAGAAAAATTCAGAAAGCTTGCGGAACATGATTTAATATGGCTATCATTTGGACAATAACAGAGGTACAGAATTAGACCTTTGAAGCTGACCGTAGTATCATCCTAGCAATGCAATTATATTGGGGAGCAGGGATTCAATTCCAGGAGTATTATATTTATGATGAGTTTAGCATTATGGGGAAATTGCAGCAAGTCGAAATAGCCTTAGATTCAGACTGCTTTCAAAGGTTTAACACACCTTTTAAGGTAGTGCGCAGTCTTCTTGCATTAGCAAATGTAGATGCACTACTCTGGGGACCAAGCCATGGCAAATACGCACGAAGACGCCCAAAGAGAATACATATCGACCAACTGATTGATAGATGAAGCAGGAGTGAAGAAATCCTAAATATTTTGAATGACAGATTACAATTGAAGAAACGTGTCATGGAAAGCCGAGCAAGCTCATCCTGATGGATATGATGACCAAATGCATGTGCAATAACTACTAATAATGGAAGAAAAAGCTCTGAAGTTTTAACCAATGTAGGGCTTTTCTGTATGTGAATCAAACATTTTTTATTAATACTAACCGGTAACTTTCAGTTTCTTATACCCATTGTTGGAAAGAAGCTGTTTAAAAAGCACATGAAAATAATATGGGCCTACCCAGTATACTTTGTTCATGATCAATGAAATGACCTTGGCAACCAATACGTGTGAATACGCTTCTATAGTGAGATCATCAATCATCAAACAGTTACAATATTAACACTGACATGGTAATAATGATGGTTCCCATTCCTGCATTGCTTCCACACGTTAATATAACGAATGGTGCATGACTAAAATTGACACACGCCTGTAGAGAAGTAGAGAAGGGTGAAACTAAGGGACCACTCTGGTGTCTGCAGAATTTTGGGAGGATCACACGGTTTTCAGGGGGATCGGAATGGGGATCAGTAGTGTCTAACAGAGTATCAAGGCTAAAGTGGGAGGCTCCAGAAAATTGATTATCAATGAGGGCGGATCATTAAAATAACACAGAGCCTAAGAGGAGGATATTTCACGGTAACAACCAAAATCCACTGAGAAATTTGGGAGAAAGTTTTCTGTCAATTTAAGACGCTCAATCATAAGCCTTTTCAGAGCTCATCTAACCACCTTTTCCAGAGAGAACAACTCTCATAGTTATCTGACTCATTAATTCGAATTTAAAAGCCTTTCCTTTTCTCTGTTTGATTCATGAAAAAAAAAAAAAAAAAAAAAAAAAGGAAAGAAAATGCTTGTTACTATCTCATTTGGCGACCATACCGCTGACAAGGAGCCAAAATGACCCTGGGCTCGAGATTAATACAAAACTTAATGTCAGCGGTCTAAATTCTTTTTGGCACGCGTATGTTATATGGCGCGAAATCGGCGGGAAATCAAACATGGCGAACTGAGCAGACTGTGTGACTCTTTATACTGACGGGTTATCATCTACTCGCCTTCATTTACCTCTCTTCAAGTGGTCAGCATCTTCGTGAAAGACATAAATATCATACGAACCGTATATCGTAAACAGTTTGCCTCCAGAATTTAATTTCGTGCACACTAGGCTCACAAGAAACCACAAAACTTGGATTTGGATAAAATGGTCGTTCCTGAACAAAAACGAAATCTCCCCTGGTAAGTTGAGATATGAAGTAGATCGTCGTATGTCTGTAGGTCCAGCATGTCTCACTTATTTGCATTCCCCCTGATTGACAGTGCTGATAATACATCGTGAATTATGAGCGACGCTAACACATGCCAAAAGGACATTTTGAGTCTGTGTACTCCCAAAGAAATATTTTTGTTTGAGTCAAGGACACTGTTTTTAACTTAGACGTCATATTTAACGGGGAATGGAGTTTATTACTCCTGCATCACGTTGTGACAGTCTATGAAGTCAACAAGAGACTTTGAATATATGTATTCAATACAACATTTCCTAACAGGGTTGAGAAGTACAGACCCAACAGTTTGGAAGATCTAATCTCCCACAGGGATATCATCACAACAAGTAAGCTTATCTCCCTTGCTTTGTCAGTAGAAGCACATGGAAGGCTTTACTGCAGTGTTAGCTTTGTGAATAGCGATTATCTCAGACTGTTTCTTACAATTATTTGTTATTCCAGTTATTACATAATAGGAATAGTCCATTTCAGTCTGTAATCATACATGTACGAGTGACTAGGAAAATCGGACAATTGCGAAGTAGGAGTTTGATATGTTAATCATGGGTATGAATACCATCAGAATTGGAGGACATTAAGTCCTGTTACCAATTAAACCCAGTTATGACAAATTTGAGAAAGAAACTAGGAATCAGTTATATGTTTTCATCAACAAAACAGTTAATTTGGCAAAATGCAAGATAACAGTGTGACTGAGCAAGCAGATATGTCAGCCTTTTGCCATTTTCTGTTCATTTAAAGACTATTGTGTAACTAGGTAATTTAGTGTTAACAACTGAGCTGAAAATGTAAATTGGCCAGCATAGAGAGTGAAAAGTTAGCCCTTCAACAGAGTGAAGGGCTAACACTCAAAACGTCAGCTTTTTCACTCTTTACAGTGGCTAATTTACGTTTTCAACTCAGTTGTTAATACTTATTTACCTGCTATACTCTCCCAACAATGCAGCACCACAGTTTCTTTAGATACTTACCCCCTTTATTGTGCAATTAACATGCATCTTATGACCATTATTAAGGCGTAAGATGTATGATTCAGTCTATGCTTGGATACAAGTGTTGTCAATAAAATCATTCTATTATAACTGTCAATAGTCAAAAGATTTATCGAGGAAGATCGATTGCCCCATCTGTTATTTTATGGTCCACCTGGAACTGGGAAGACATCAACCATATTAGCTGTTGCTAAACAGATCTACTCTCCAAGAGAATTCAACTCCATGGTTCTTGAGGTAAGAAAAGTGTTAAAGGGAAATGCTGTATACAAATAGTGGCTACAGGAGATCATTTGTTTCTTCTAATTTTATATTCTCAGATTTGATTTTGAGAACATTTTTTTCCAAGACAGTAAAATTGTCAATTATTGAATAATGGGTAGTTAAGATTTGTTATGCAGTACTTCAAATCAAAAATGTTCTCTCAAAGTTAATTCAGGTAAAAGGTGTGAATTGACATTTATATCACAATGAAACAGGGAGGGTTTATAGTGCTTTCTGTTATTAAATCTCAGCAACTTGAAATCTATAATGTTCTATTTTCAGTTGAATGCTTCAGATGATAGAGGTATTGGTATTGTTCGAGGAGCCGTTTTAAACTTTGCAAGTACAAGAACAATTTTTAAGTAAGTCAAGTATATTTAGAGCATACAGTGTAAATTACCAACAACTGTCTGCCGATGAGTTGTATAAATAGTATTAGAAGTTCAGTACTCATGATTAAATACTTCAGCAATACGATTTCTTGTACACTGCAGATCTGGTTTTAAAATTGTAATTTTGGATGAAGCAGATGCCATGACTCAGGATGCACAGAATGCCCTACGAAGAGGTACATGTACTACCTACTGAACATTATCATTGGTTTGGTCAGTTGTTGCCTTGTTTTCTTATCTCAGGAAGGTTGCCTCCTTAATTTATTAAGTTTATTGCATTGTGGTCACCAGTAATATTATATTGTGTTGTATTGTAGTTTCATTGTCAGTGGTTTGTGCTTTAGTTTGTTTGAAGAAGAACTGACTGCTTGTACATTCCATCTGTTGCCTACAGTTCACAATGTGCACCTTTTGCCATTCTCTTCCCTAACTTTGTTGTGTTCTACTTAATTCATTTTCTTTTAAAGCCTCAGTATTTTTCTTTCCCCATAAAGAATTTACAATTTTCCTGGTCAAAGCTCACCTTTTAAAAGTTGTGAAAAAATTTCCTTTGATTAGATACAAAAACAGAACTTGTATTCTCAGTCTCTTTAATCCTCTACACCCTGACATCATTATGCATACCCTCCATACTGTTCTCTACACATTTCTTTGGGTCTAACAAGGTGAATTTGAAAACCATGAAGAACTTCATCAGTTGCTGATCATTTCCTCTATTCTCACGACTTAAAACATTTGATTCAAGGGATAGATTGTCAAGAGAAATTAGAACCTTGTCACTCTAAGGAATTAAAGGGTTAATCACTGTTAGTTACTTGCTAAATTGTAGTTTGGTCTCTTTCCATCTTTCTTTGCAGTCATGGAGAAATTTACAGAGAACACCAGATTCTGTTTGATCTGTAATTATTTGACAAAGATTATTCCAGCTCTCCAGTCTCGTTGTACAAGGTTTAGATTTGGACCTCTTGATAATGAACAGATGAAGAGTAGATTGGAACATGTCATCAAAACTGAAGGGTAAGGTTCTTACAGCATTGATTGACAATAGATTAATTCTGATATTTTAAAATTCAGTGTGAAACAAAGACATCACTGTAATTCTGAGGAAGATTATCTTTCATCTCTATAGCTGATTTCTCAGAGCCTCACTTAGATGTCAAATTACTGATGTTGAATTTTAAAATATTAACGTTAATTTTCAGATGAATATAAAGGCAAATGGGGTTGTAGCCTAATTTAACTAGGGTTAATGCGCTCTCTTATTGAGTGTATACTCAGTGTGTGATTTGTTTTCAGAGTACAAGTTTCTGATGATGGAATGAAAAGTTTGGTCAGGCTGGCAAATGGTGACATGAGAAAAGCTCTGAATATTCTTCAGGTTAGTGCAAAGCTCTTGTTAAGTCTTAATTGTCTCTCCAGTCTCTTTTCATTTAAGTTAACAAAACTGTTCAATGCTGGTAACCTGTTTTAGTTGTCTCTTTTCAGAGCACTTCCATGGCTTTTAGCATTGTTGATGAGGTGAACGTATACACCTGTACAGGGCAACCTCTGAGATCAGACATTGCAAACATAGTAGAGTGGATGCTTAATGAAGACTTCAATACTGCCTATAGTAGTATCTTTTTGAACTGAACTAATTTCATTGTCTGGTGTTCAGTAAGGGGTGTTCTATGGAGCAAATAGTGCTGCCTTAAGAGAATTATTCCTTTTATGATAATTTCTGTGAGGCTGAGGTTAATATATCACATTGCCGCTGGCCTCAATAACCATTTAATACTTAACATGAAACTGTATGATTTTTCTCATGTGATGCTGCATGAAAACCTACATTTCATACAATCCGTAACCATTATACAGATATAACAAAACTAAAGACTCTGAAAGGACTTGCCCTACAAGACATTCTCACAGAAGTACACCTGTATGTACATAGAGGTTAGTAGCTTTAAACCTAGCTTAAACTTATCTTCATATCTGTTCTAAACTACCAACACCACGAAGCTTTTCCTTTTTCTTTTTTTTATCATTTTCATTTCTTTGTCACATTATCTTCCCCAAGATCACACTCTCATTCTATTTGTGTTGCTTCTTTTTATTGGACTTTCATAACTTAAAGGTTTTACCTTTTCCCTTTCTAGTTAACTTTCCTCAGAAAATCAGAATTCACTTGTTGGAAAAGATGGCAGATGTTGAGTAAGTAGAATTTCTATGCAGAAACTTGTACGAAATTTTGACAGGGAATTCATGTTTGCTCATTTGAAGCTGAGTGAATATGTTTGCTGAGAGCTCTCTCTGGCTCTATATGATATAAACATTATGTTGTTTTGATTGGCAGTTTTGATTGGGTTTTGTATATGAAAAAGTTTTCTTATTTACAAGTAAGATAGAAATCATGGATAGCTTGTCACATTTTTTTCTAATGAGATATGCTAATTGTTTTCAGGTACCGTCTAGCAGCTGGAACCTCGGAGAAGATTCAGCTTAGTTCACTGATAGCAGCCTTCCAAGTAGCTAGGGATATGGTTACACCTGACTCATAGAAATAGGGGGTTTTTTGTGCCTGAGGTTCTTTCATGCCATGAAAAAGACTTTATGGACAGAAAATATTGTACAAAGACTTTGTTGTGGAATTTTATAGGTGTGAGGGGAGAGAAATATATGGAAAAAGCATTGGGCGCTATTCAGTCAAGACAAATGAGGATGAATAAACAACTTCACAAGCTAATTTAACACGAATTGTAGTGTTTTTTGGTGGCCTAATACCATTTTTGTCAATCTGAAGTTATATATAACGTTACCTTCAACCAGTGTGTCCATGCTACCACTAAGGAGGTTGGGTTGTGTGATGGAACAGTTACTGCACTACTAAAATGTTCTAAGGGCATGTGATCCTTCCTTTTTTCATTATCATTAAACAATATGTCATGCCCCACAAGGAGAACATAAGTGTAAGGGCCCCACTTTATTCAAAACTCTTTCCATACCTTGTGGGGCTATCAAGATGGAAAAATGATGTCCAGTACTGTTGATGGGCAGAAAATAAAGCACTATGAAGTCTGTAGAGAAGGCCTTGCTTAATGTAAAGTATCGCAAAATTATTGAACACGTATACTGTAGCAATTAAAATATTACTTAAGTCATGTGCCTTTCTTCAAATATGTTTGTTTACTTGTGCAAATGAAATTCATTTGTAAGCTTCTTTGGTTAAGATAGGATTAAAGTTGTCAGTTATTCAGGATTACATCGATGTTCTTTAGCAAAGAGAAGGGAGTGCTCTCTTTCAAACTGGCTCAACTTGACTTGATCACACCGCGCCACTTTCTGAACCAATCACGACTTGGTCGCCTGTGTTTTCCCGCGCTTTAGAGAGTTCTTAGTTTTAGCTCTCAAGGTATTTTCCTCTCCTTTCATTAGCTGTTGTGATTACTTAAGTTTTAGTATTATGAATAGCGCTGTTAATTAGAATTAGGCACAGTCCTCTACTGCGAAAGAGACAAACAGAATACACTTGAAGATTAAGCACAAAAAAACTGTTTTGAAGGTTTATTTGTCGAAAGTTTGTGTGTTATCTCTAGTGAGGCTCAGTTTATATCTAAAAATATAAATTTTTTAATCGCAGTCAATGAAAGTTGGGCTTCAAAATGTTGCTAGGCAACATGAAGTCTGGGTAGTCTTTCACTTTTCCTTTTCTTCTGATTCAGTAAGGACTATTAATATGGCTACCTTTCTCGTTAGACGTAATATGATTATTGGCACCTTTACTTGTACAATTTCAGCGCTCAAAGCTACAACGTCGACTAACTCCTCGTAGGTAAACATGCGAAAAAGTGTCAACTCCTCTATGTATTCGTAAAACAAGTTAAAAAGACTACTCGAATGTTATCAAAACGAATTCTATTTATCCCAAAATGATTAAAGAGCGATCTTAAACTTTTCTAAAGATCCATGCAGGACAAAAGTCATGGCAAACGACAGTCATCCAGTAACGAACGTGGCACACCACTGAATGGTTAGACAGGAATCACAGTTCGGAAATGTTGGGGCAGATCAACCTTAGTTATTTTACAAGTGGTTTAAAAAGTGTTTGGAGGTACATTTGTAGCTAAGGGGTAAAAATTTAATGCAAGGAATGATACGAGCAAGCAAGTGAAAATAGATCAGTTCCAATCTCTACGCTCAGTTACCTGTCATGCATTTTATAAAAGTATAACTCCCTCTTTCTTCGCGTTGACCCAGGGTGAAATAATGCTTCACGCCAAACACGAGACAAAGTTCCTTTTTCCGAACACGTTGTCACGGTTTTCAAAAGGCTGAGTTGATGCTTTCTTATTGAGAAAGACGGAACCTTGGAGCCCGCAGGAAGATTGTCAGTAACGTGGCAATAAAGGAGAAGATGGAGATGATCAAAAACAGCCTGTCCAGCACACGCGCTGCCTTGATCCATTCCTTTTGGTTTTTAATCTTCTCTTCGGTCCAGTCAAGTACATTGCCTGTAAGAAACTGGGAGTCGACTTGTCGCGCCCTGCTACGTGTCGCTGGATGAAGACCGCTTCTTTCCCGCCCGGCCGGAATTTGTATCCCGAGAACGAAAACTGTTGTTCCTTTTAAGCTTTTTGAAGCAGTCCTTTGAGAACCCGACAGTTTTGGTGCGAGTGTTTTGTGGCGACGCTGCGAGATTCAAGAACGAGTGATCCCCGTTTGCGGTACAGTTCGGAGAAAGCGTGCAAATGGTGCCAGACTCTTGCACGACCCACGTGGTCAAATTCTGATCGCGTCTCGTGCTCTTTTCTTGTTCGTATACATCTTCTTCGCAAAACTCTGAGTCACTGCAGGATACCCCCCTCTCAGCATCCAGAGCATTGCTGTTTTCAAGTCTTCGTCGAAGAACGCTTTTTCGATGGATTTCGTTCCAGTTCTTTGGTTTTTGACATGGAAACAGCACGCGCGCTAGACATTGAAGAATCACTTTCCTCATAGTCTTGGGCATTCGACGCCTGTTGCGATGGTAAAAATTTAAAATAAGCGTAGTTACAGCCAAGGAAAGACCTATTTCTAACATGATTGCGAAATAGAACTGTCCCAGGAGTGGAAAGCCGTACGAAGGCATGAGCTCGGAGCTGAGTTGCTGAAACACAGTCATTGCGAGCAGAACTGTGATACTCAGTCCAATACGTTCGCCTGACTCAGGTGGAAGAACAAAACCCAAAAATATCATGGAAGAAATCAGCGAGCATGGAATAATCAACTTTAGAATGTAGTCCAATGATTCTCGTCGGATTTTCACACTCACTGTTATGTCCACAAATTCGTGCGGGCAGCATTGATACTTGAGAGCATTTCTCTTCGCGGTCAGGTTCAGCATTTTCCATTCACCATTTTTGATGTAGTATGTGTTCAGGGTGCTGCCGTTTTTTACGGCCAAATCTATCTTTGCTCTGTCGAAGGCCCAAGAACCGAATTTTAATCGACATTCTTGATCGTCGAAAGGAAAGTTTGTGACATCCACGTTACAGATGCTTTTAAACATGGCGGGGTTTAGCCACGTGTTTTTGCCATCATATCGCAGTTCTACGTTAGTGGTATAAGTCGTCCTACCGCCTCCCATTCGCTCCTCTTCGTCTATACTGCAACGCAAGTAAAGGGAAACATGGAGACTAAATAGGACAGTTAAGCTTTGAGAGAGACTAAGATTGTTATTTTTCCTTACAATATCACCCCGGAATCAAACATTGAGGTCATGAGAACAAAGCAAATGATCACAAATTAAAGAAGCTCTTGATTGTTAAACAAACTCTCCTTGTCAAAACCTCAGGAAATACGCAGAGAAGGGCCTCAGAGAACAGTATGGAGAATATGCATACTGATGTTAGGTTTGCGTTGTCTGGATAACGTGAACGGCGACGTCTAATTTTTTCAAATTTCTATTTCTAATTTAAAACTGTGTTCCATATTCAGTTTCGAGACAGTTTTGACAAAGAGAAACCAACTTAATGACTCTATAGTATCGCGAGATTCGTAGGTAAAATATAAGTTCATTTTTTTCATCGACGTTTTCCACGGCGTCGCCGTCGTCGTTTCTTAAACTCAATATCGTTTGTCATTGAATGGCAGTAAGGATATTCATAGCATCGTCTCTTTGCGTGGATCAGTTCAAAATATTCTTTCACTAGGTGCAGAGCAACCTTAAATTCTCGGTAGTTAAAGGTGGTTTATGTCGAAAAAGTGATCGATCGTCCTGGAAAATGATTGGAAGCATCGAACCTTCACTGAAAGAAGTAGTCCGACCCCGAGTTGTCCTTTCTCGGAAGGAACGCAAATCGGATCAGTGAAAACTTTGGAAATCGAGCCTATGTAAAACGACTTACTTGTTGTATAATAGTGTGTCAGGCACCCAGATGTCGCTTGGAGACACATGAATTTCCTCCACTCCTCCATATTCTTTTGGATCCCATTTTAGCAAACGGTTCTCCCAATACTACAAAAATTTCAAGAATTGATGATGGTCTTAGGATCATCAAGTACGGCTTCACAGAGCTTACCATTGTCCATTAGATCAGTTGGATCTTTAAGGAATGTCAACTGCTGAGAGCATTGTGTGCGTGGCATTGGAAAATGAAACCTCAGACAGAATCACTTTTCTTTTCACACCATAGTCTATTTAAGAATTTTGGTGTCTATCATTAAGTTATCATGATCTACTCCTTAAAACCTTTTTTTTTCTGACGGAAACCCTCCTAAGAACTTCAATTTCCTTGAATTAACTTTATTCGTATTGGTTTTATGATGAATCACAAAAGATAGAAATCATCTCTTGTCAAGATTTACCTCTTAACAGGGACCGCGCAGCAAGTTTTTGAGTGGCGGGGAGGCTATTTTCGGCTCCGTTATTTTCGTTAAATTATTTTTTGTTTAATTTATTTTTATTTTTGCAAAAAAGTGGAGGAGCGAAAGCCCCCTAGCCCCTCCCTCTGCGCGGTCCCTGCTTCATCATAACCATTGCAATTTTTATTAAATGTGATCGATGCATTAGCAGTTAGAGTTGTAATCGGACACCCGTAGTTGGACAGTTGAAGCAGCCAATCATACTTAATCCTTTCACAGTCAAATCCACTTATCACAGAATTGATCACAATAACCTTAGCAACAATCACCTATCCCAAAAATATTGTGGAATTTCTAAAGTTAAGGAATTTTTTACTTAGAAATTGTTTCTACTGCACATGTTTGTCCTGAATGTTTTTTTTTTCTGGGAAATTGTAACAGTTATGATTAATTGATAAAAAGACTTTGTGTCGTCCAATCCTGTTTGTAATGATACTCGTGATTACAGACTGAACTGGACTCTGCTCGGTCCTATCACCGTTATTAATTGGAAAAGATGGCCTATGAAGATGTATTTCTCAGACAACAATATGGCCTGGGGGTCGCAAGTTTTGTTAGAGATACTTTTGATTGCAAGTAGGACCGGAAATTCGATTAAACACTCTTGAAGGTAACAAAAGTGTGAAACAAGTAAAGCAAAGAGCACAACGAATGGGAAAAAACTTAGCGTAATCAAAACGCAGTAGTTATGTCACTTTTCCTTCAGAACCACTAGTATACTAAAAGTTGATAGTGCTCCATACCTGATTCACCCAAGCATACGTGGTGATATACTGACTTCTTGCACTCTGTAAAATATAAATTCTTTAATTATTACCTTATTCGCAGCAGTTTCTTTAGATTTCCTGGAATAAAGCGACGTATGAGTGTTTCGCTGAACCTTCATTATATTATAATTAATTGTTAAGTATAACGCGCGCGCTGTTTATGTTTAATGTAGTACGCGTGCACTCCATTTGAATTAATGTATTGCAATAATTATCGCAATGTTTACCGCGTAAAACGTTTGATGAAAGACGTGTAAATTAGTTGTTCAGTTGTACAGGTTAGATTCAACTTAGGTAACCAGTGTAACCAGTGTAATTGCTAACCAGTTAGTGTAATTGCTAACCAGTTATTTGCCACAATGTATGTCAAATACGGAGGCAGTCAAGAAGTACGTTTTCAGTTCATTTCCAGGTTATTGCTGTTAATCTTCGGTTTGTTTTGAGCAAGTTTCTTTGTATTTTAGATCGAATTGTGTTATTGAATTAAACACGGTTCTATCTCCGTAATGGTTCTTTGGCCCTCTGGGCGAAGGAGCAGGAGTATGGTTGATACCTTGGCTGAGATACTAGTGTATCACAAGTCTCGGCCCCACTCCTCACCCCGACAAATCCCAGGGTTTTTCATAAATGTTTTCTGTTTACTGTTGATAATCAGAATGGTGTCATCTCCTAGAACAAATTCCGAAAAGTTATCGTCAGACGCAGCCACCCTCCCACAGGAATGTAAACAAAAAAAGACACTCACCACATCAAGGATCCGAATAAGTTGAAAATCAAAAGTGACCACTACCGGACCTGTCCCTGGTAGTCTGGGGTGTGCATGCTTGTTATATCCTTTGAATAACTCCTTGTGAAGGCGAGTTTCATTCACTTCCAGTGCTCCGTTCACCATGAAAACTGAAATTAGATAAAGTTTAAACGAGTGCCCTTCTCGATTTCGGAGAGATCCTGGGAAATTTCTTCAAAAGGATGCACGTAATGCTGTTCTTATGAATCAAATTAGTTACTAAGAGCATCGATTGATGACACTACGATAGCAGATTTTAAGTAGTCGAAGCAACAAATTCCTCTTCTTAGTACTTTACATTAGATAAACTGCATAGCAAAATGTCTTTTGGAGGGCAGCTGGAAATCGTTTTGGCCAATTACATTTTGGCCAAGAATTACGAGCTTGACTACTGAGCAGGTTATCAAAAATACTGCTAGGATCATGCCAACTTGCTTCAGTTCATATAGTACGTTTAATTGTTGGTCTTCGTGTTTTGTTATCCACATTTTAATCTAACCTGGCATCTAAATGTGCTGTTCATCTATTATGCAGCACTGATGAAGTTCAATTTCGTGTGAAAGCAGCTTTGTTTTAAAAACGATAAAAATGGCTCCTCCGAAGTACGGTTATTGGCATTGAGTTACAACACTAATTAGAAAAAAGAGAAAAATCTTTCTCTTTTCGAAAATGGGGTATAATACATATGTATAAAGAGATGCCCTCCGTGTCGAAGGTTAGTAAGCTTTGATACGCAGTTGCGAAGGCCATACAAGGGGCTAACATGGAATACAAAGTCAGAAGCTAGGAAATACCAAAATATTCCTACCTGTGGAGCGTAAAACGACAATAAAGAGAACGATATCATTGCACCTCATCTTTTTTCCTCTCCTCAAGACGGTGGTCTGTTTACTGCAAAGAAAAACGAGAGAGTTTATCTCCCTCTTTCAAAATGATCAGACAGAGAAATTCAACTTCTAAAACAGCTGTGTTTGTACTTGAGCAATTCAGATAAATTTGAATATCTCTGAAAATTACAAAGGTAAGTTTGGGTTCTATCAACCGTAGTGCAAATCAGAAAAACAATTAACAGCGTCATTTGAGAGGAGGACTGCTGGCAACGAAGTTTAATTTATAATCGGGCTCAGAGTACACAGGAGGCAATAACGACATCTTGCTTAAAAAAGTTTAAACTTGAGCAATAATGAAAGTTTTGAAGAGTTGATAAGATGTCAACGTGAATTGCTCATTCTATGCAAAAAGCTCACAAGGTAGCTTTTCCGAAGACTGAGAGAAAAACTGTTTTTCTTCAGTTGTAGCGTTCCACTTCAGAAAATAATTATCTTTTAATCTTAGGTTCGTTTTTTTTTTTTCTGTTTACATTCGTAGTTTTTAAGCAATATAGAAACCATGACTATCAGTCAGGGGCTTTTTAATAACTGCCCTCCATAACTCTCATTGCAAGGAAATTTTTCACCATTTTTTTTAGAGCTGTTGCATTTCTAAGTAGTATAGACATCATCATGTTTCCTAAGAGTTATTTTCAACTTACTTTATGTGAAGCTCAGAATTCCCAATATAGGGAAAATAACATTCCTTAACTAATCATGTGATGTCAGACACGAACCATGAAGTAGCTATTTTAAAAACGCTCCGTAAGTAATATGTTTCTCAGAAGTTCTTACCGTTTGGGCGAAACGAAAAGTTAAGTATGCCTCCAAAGACCTTTGATTCTGTATGAAAAGCTGAAGCTAAACGAAATCAGCTTTTTTGACTTGTGTTTACTTGTGTTTACCATGTACCATGCCGTTAAGCAGCCCCCAGCCGGGAAGATGTTAGAGCGAGGTTAGATGAAAAGTCTTTTTGGTCAATTTGCGTCTTTGTTCTACACGAAAAATTGTCATGGGTCACGGTTTATCATAGGTTCGGCGACCACAAAGAGAATATTCACATAGACTTGTTTGGATGGTCAGTAGAGCGCATATAGACTACAGTCTCGCCATATGCAAGACATTTTGTATTTTGGCCTTTTGGTCTTTTGTGTTGCCTGTTTAGGTTCAAATCCTGAAATCCATACCCGGTGGTACATACCCACCGCGGCCAGATAAGAGAGTGCTGAGCATCAAAAGAAGTACGTGATGGATCTACCCTGGATGCTTTCCTGTCCTTCCGCATATGCGAGATCTTGAAAACAGAGGTGATCGCTTTAATAGATCTCGGTTACTGTTCAGCACCGCTATTCAGTTCATTCAAACGAAATCTATCTCATAAATTTCAACTTAACGAATATAAATAAAACACGGGTAGACTAAACTACCCCCTGACTCACTTGGCGACGAAGGTCCTCATTTTTCTTTCAAAGCAACACACCGTAGATAGCTTTCTTTTTGCAAAGCTTTTTGAACGTCGAAAATTCAAGGTTGGTTGAAAGAGCTACTTTTTGAACAAACCATAGCAATTCGTCCAGACCATCTTGCGGAAAGTGGTTCGTGTTTTCAAGCGAGGACAATTGGTAAAATGTTAGTATCGGAGTTTTTTAATTAAAAATCATCGTTTCTGATGGTTCTTGGTCGTGCCTGCAGGTGTTGCAATGAAAACTGTAGCACGCTAAAGATCTTAATTGTCTTTGTGCAATGTTTCTTTCCAGAAAATTGTTTAAACTTTCATTAATATTTCAGCGACTATTCGACTTCCTTCAAAGTTATTCTTATTTGGCAAAACCTTTGAATAGGGGGTCTCCCTGATTTTTTAAGGTGATTTTAATTTTTAAAAGATCGTTTGAATTATATCTATAGTTATCTTTCAGCGGTTGGTACCCTGGAGGGTGATTGAAAACCAGCGATAATGTCTTCCATTCCGTGTCTGTTACTTTTCAGCTGTGGGTTTTGTGACAATCTACTCATCAAGAACTGGCCTTACAAAAATTTTTCCTATTGTGAGAAAACAATTAAAAGATAACACTTCTCCTCTGACTGAGTCTTTATCACAACGTTTCTAAATAACAAAAAAAAAGTACATTTTGTGTAAAGAAGTTACTAGGTACTTTGATATGTAATATTTGTATTCGTAACTGCTAGATATTTCAAAGCAATTTCGCAAGAGGTATGCGATGTAAAGGTAAAGTTAATTTTTTTTCCAAATTAATATACCATATTTTGGAATAAGAACAAACCACAACTTAAGCGGTACGTGAAGAGGATTTCTTAAAAACCTTTTGCCTTCAACATTGTAATGTAGATGTGAACATAGCCTTAACAACACTATAAATGAGGCAGATTTTTTTTTTTTTGCGATAAGTTCATATCATTTCTTTGTAATAAAGAAACGTTGTTTATGTGTCGTTCACACTTATATATTGCCAATTGCGGTTTTTTAGACGGGTGGAACCTATGTTTTGAAAAATGTATTTGTAAATACAAATAACTTAAAAGTATTTGGGTTATAAAATAAATTTTGTAGAGACGCCAGTTCTATTGTCATGCTAAATATTTCCCAAGGCAATGTAAACCAGTTCCAAGATAACACCTTTAGGGAATTGAATATGCAAAATTTTAAAAATCTATGATTCAAAAATATATACATATATCTGGCAAAACTAAAGCGCAATTTGAAGTTAACTTCTGAACTTGGCTAAAAAAATGTTTACACCGTTATCCAAACCATACTGACATTCAGTAAATTGGAAAGTCTTTGTGACGACAAAAACAATTTAAAAGCACTTGTCTTCTCTTGCGTGCATTAAAGACGTTTAAATTTCGTCTTAACGGCTTATAGATAAATTCAACGAATGTCACCATATGAAAAAATTAAGAGTGACTCTGGCTGTCGGCTTCGTTATAAAACTGACTTTAATACTACAGATCACGTGAAAAGTCAGTGAGTCATGGCGCTTAACATATGAAGGGCTGAAAATTGTACTCCTGAGATTCATTCCTAACGCATTTAAAAATCTATTTAACGTAACTGAAAGCGTTTGTGTGATGGTGAATAAACAACACGAAAATTTTCAGAAAATTACTGCAACATTTCTCAAGTTTAACAGTCGCTCCAGAAGCGCATAAACATGGAAACCTCAACGTGCAACTAAACAAGATTGTACCTTACCTTGCAATTGATTATTTGCAGCAAATAAGTAGCCACAGAGAAGGCGAAACGAAAAAAAAGAGGCCTAATGATCCTCAATTATCAAGGTTTCTGACTTATTGAGCTTCCTTGCTATCAAATTTACTCTATAAGGTGATGGATGTTTCCTTTCAAAGTGATAGCTTTTTTAGGGGGAGGAAACTCCAAGGTTTAAAACAGTTAGGAATGCGAGCCATTCACCTGCTCATCACGGAGAATTGACTCGAATGTTGACAATGCAATCGATAGAAAATAAACCAAGTAAGCTAACTAACTATTAAAATGATGAATATTTTATGAACATGTAAAGCAGAGTAACTGATTGGATGAAAGATATACGAAGCTCGAGGCTCTTAACATATCGCACTGAGTTGAACACATAACAAAGGAAATTCGCCTCTTTAGCTGGCAGCTAACATCACGTTGTTCAAAATATGAGGTTCAACTTGAAAATTCATTTTTCTTTCCCCGTCGAGAATAACATTCAGCTGGTATTCATCACTTTAAATATTTCTTATGACGACTACAGCCTTATCTTTATCGAGCTTTAATCTCTTCAAACTCTGTTTGAAACTGAAAGAAAACTCACCATGTCTAAACAAAAACACTCACAATGAAAACACACCGAATAAAACCAAGCCCTCATTCTGAAACAAAGTAGTTAGCCTTTGTTTTCGTCATTATCGGAATCAAAATATATTGCCAGTCTTGAGGGAGGGGGTTGTTCGAAAACTCTGCATGTTGCCGTTTTGTTGTTAAGAAAATTCTTACTCGTTTTAATTTTTAAACATCAGATTTCAGTAAATCTTTTCGCTGCGTAATTGCGGTCCCTCGCCAGTGTCAAGATTTCCATTAAAAACCCACACTCAAAAAGGTATCTCTAAAGCACTTGAATAAAAGTGAAGATTTTATTTAATCCATTATGCAAAAAAGAGAGCGTTAAGGATTGACTAAGCTTACCTTGAAGAATGCTGTTTGAATCGAAACAGGCGAAAGTTCTAGACTTTTCCTCACCGGGGGCGACGGCGCTAAAAAAGAAGCAACACTAACGAAAACTCTGGACAATTGAAAATCTGTCTCGGTATTCCAGCCAATTTATGAGTGTTGACGTGGTGTGTAGACTCTAACAGAGCAAGTTCACAATATTGAAAGTGATCCGGGATTATGGCGCTTTTATATTACCTCGCTTTGTGATTGGTCCAGAAAACTTCACCCTTTAAACCAATCAGATGCAAGATTAAAACCAAACGGAGTGACGTTTTTTCAGGTTCAGCTTCAGGCAATTTTAATGGTTTGACTTAAATTCTTATTCAGGTTTCTCGTGATGTTTGCTTTGGTTCTGATTAGCTGTTGGGATTGCTTTGGATTTGTCACTCGCAATACAATCTTAACTTTAACGACGCCTATACGGATGTGACTGTGAGCAATGCCTAGAACGACTAAATTCTCTCTGTTTTATCTCACGACCTGTCTGGCCCCACTCCCACAAACTATGAAATAACCATTATGAGAACTGACGTGTATGGGGCCGAACGGGTTTGACGTGAGCCAGTCTGAAAAAGCCGCCAGGAGCCCCACTCAAACAGCTATTACAATTTCCAAGGGCATGGATTCTAATGGTGGATTGACCTCAAAATAAAACAAATATGAGAAAATAAGTGGTCGAACTCGAGGTCATGACGTACTTGGTCCGTACGTCATGACCTCGAGATAAATATAATTCAGTTCGGCCCTCCCACTCAGTCAGTAAGTACGTACATATTACCTTTTTTGCGTGATCGGAACTCTAATAACGGAGGTTTGTGAATGATGCATGTGAATGACGCATTTTTGTGATCCAAGACTGTGATATTGATGCCATAAACTTGCCATTCCTCTTTTCCAAAAAGACTTAGTTGCTACGTGCGTTCCTGTCTTTCAAAACTCCTGTCTTTTGACTTGGTGGTAGAAATGGCCCTAAGTTTGGCTTTGGCTACAGAATGCGCTCTCCATCGGTGTACCAGCGTAATTTTGGGAGAACACACTCCTCAAAACCTCGAAAGTCACTCTTACTAGTACGTGACTTGCGAACATTCCTCGTCGTTACCTCAACATCGAGTATGGGTTCTGTTGCGAAGCGGAAGCCTTGATCTTTTGTTGACTCACGCAGTGTTGCTATTTTTTTGTTAGTCGTTATTCTGATCGCCTAAGGAATTTACCTTACCTGTGTACGTGCGTGCTATAAATTCGCTTCTTGGCAAGCATATGCATAGACAGCACACGTGTCAATTGAGATCTCATGATAATTTCCAAGCTCTTCAAGCCAAAGTCACGGTATTAAGACCACAAACGTGATTCGTCTTGTCTTAAACAGAAGTGCACGTGAAATTTAACTTAGTGGATCATATCATCTCACTATGCGTCGAACCGAGTTTTAACCAAGCTAAGGAGGTTAGGCTTCAGTAGTGCTTCGACGTAACGTTTAAGTAAGGGAACATGAAAGGGCGAGGAATTCCTTCCGTCAACCACACCTTCAAGGGATCGTCTTCTTTATCAACTGCGCTCTTATCTTAAGCTCAGCGATAAAAACCTCCCGCAAAGCATGATTTGGTCAGTGTTGCCCCCTTTCAAGCCTGTATTTAACAAAATTGGTACTACAGAGAATAAAAACCATAGATTCCCAGTTTGCGCTTCATTGCATTTCTAAAGCCGGTAAACTGATAGCATGCCGTAATAACCGTGTGGAAGACTAAAACTGCAACAACCTGCTATTTGGAGGTGATTTATTTATTAAGTTCTACCGATGTAAATCCTCTCGACAAGTTTCTCAAAGGAGACAGACCCAGAAACTAGGTGGATAGCAAATAACATCCTCTCATGACCAATTTTTACTTTAAATATTAAACATTTTCAAAAGCCAGGCTGAGAAGCTGGAGGAAAAAGGTCCGTCTCTTATTTAATGATCAACAACAATGTTCGCAATTGATCCTGTGAAGCGAAAAACGCCGACCACTGGTGGAGGAACAGGTGTCCAGTTTCTCTTTTCTATAGATGTTCCTCGTTCCTGTTATTATCTACAACACTATCATAACACATATGGGCTACAAAATCCTCATTGGTGATGGTTTGGGTTTTGCATTCTCCTAAGGCCTCAGCGAGATGTACAGCCAACAGATGCTTGCACTGTTAGAATTATCAAATAGAGACAAGTTAGACGTCATCAAAACTTTATGGGGGCTATACCCTTCCTTTGCGTATCTTTAAAAAAAAATGGCGGCTTACATTTTTCATGTTGGAACTACTAGCAGACTGTTGTTCTGTCATTATTGGGCGACACCTTTGGCTCCTTAAGGCAAAGAAATATAAGGACGATGAAGCGTGTGGTATCGCTAACGTGTACATGGCGTGTTAACGCGTATTACTCTCGTATCAGACACAATGCTTGTAACTTCACGCGGATAAGTTTGATAAAAAAAGGCACGCAAGCGAGTGTGTAAAAATGTGTTAATTACATGCAGAAAATCAACTGGAACTTATCACAAGCATGTACTGAGGCAAGAGTGTATGTAAGATGACAAAAATATTGGATTCTGAATTCAACGTAAGTTTCTTAAGGACGTCCGGGCGAGTTTATGAACTATGTATGGTTCCTTGAAGATTCGCGTTATGAATACAGACACTGAGATATAAAAAAAAGACAACAACGGTGCAACGATCTACTTGCACCGTTTGCACTCTGAACACACCGCTTGTAACGTTAATCGGGTGTCATAAATCAGTGATCACAACGGCCACTTACAAGAAAGGGCTCTGAGGCAAGAAACCATTGAAAACTGAAAACAAACAAATTGCCTAAATCGCGAGGAATAGTGAGTGACTTAGGCATAATGGTTACGACGAAGCTGCAAATTTCTAGACCAAACAGAGTATAGTGGGCCAAAAATCAATGAAATCCTGTCTTGTCTCAAATTACTTAAAATTCTTCATAATCTTCATTCTATATTTGTCATTGCTCACCATAAGTGATTCCATCTTGACTAACACTAACAAGACAGAGAGGCACATGTAGAAAAAAAAGATTATTAGAACATGTGCATAAATTTGCTAACATCCCAAGTTAGCTGAGGGACTCTAAGAACCTAAAATTCATCCCCAGTATTCATTTGCAAGGTTCTATGAGGAATAATCGTCCATTTCCTCACATATTGCTTTCTTTAAACTTATGATTAATTCCAGTAAGTCACTGAGTCTGCCAATAACAACACAGCCATTCAGTGGTCTGCAAACATGCAGTTGGTTAGGCTATATAGTTTTTTAATTTCTTCACCTAACAGGGTGGTACATCTTCCCGTAGACCACTAGACAGTCCTATGATCAGTCAGATCACTTTGTGAGTTGGTTCAACAATCATTCAGCTTATCCACAGATATAAAGTAAGTAAGTCAGGTGGGCAGTCATTTTTCCAGCTAGTTCTGAGTGAAACCATCAGCCTTTGTTTCAACCAGTTCTATTAGTTTGTTGACAATTTGTCTCTAAGTCAAGTAATCAGTTGAATATTTAACACATCAATCAGTTTGTCAGTTGATCAGTTGGTTTATCTGTCTCTCATTGAATGAATCTTTTATTTAATGAAGTATTTAAGTGATGCAAAGTGCCTCCTATAATGTCAGTCACAAAGTAACATTCATATTCTTGAAATCTGCCTTTGAATTGAATCATATACAGACACAAATTATTCACTTTTGTGTTATTAACTCTTTACAACTTAAATCCAAGTCAAACCTGTGAAAGTGTAAGAGGGGCAGGTACAATAGTCTCCAGATATAAGGCAGGTGTAGAGTGTGTTAGAACTACCCACAACCTGAAAAGAGCAACACTCTTACATTACTTCATGTGAACTCTTTACACCTAAACATTAGACAAGTACACATATTCTCCCAGCTGTTCTCCATACATTTCCTAAGCGGCTGACAAGGAGAATTTAAGAGCTTCTTTAGTTGGTGATCAGTTCATAAATTCTCCTGATCTTGAAGTGTGACTCAGAGGTGGTATTGTAAGTACAACTTACTCTTTCTTTGAGGTAAAAGTGTTATAAGAATTGACTGTTGGTTTATAATTTGTTACATACAGAGCAACTATGACAAAAGACATCATTCAATCTACTACAGATCAGTACATCAACCATGGCTTCCAATGGAGTGCATTTTGATTGAATGCTGTAAATCCAAAACCAGAGTGGTTACAAAGGCCAATCAGAAGAAGAAAAGACACCTTTAAGAGCCAATGAGAACTCAAAGTAAAACAAACCAAACTGATTGAAGTACAGCAAAATGCAAGCAATCAAGTTGTGCTTGGTTTCAGTTTTGTGTTTGATTGGTTGAGAGAGCAGTGGACCAATCACAGAGTGAAGCAAAGCAAAAATAAAGCAATCTTGAATCATTTTCAACACTCAACTGAAAATTGCTAAGGTACACGCAGTCTTGAAGGCTTTTATCTTCTCTTACTGACCTGATATAAAACCCTTCCACAAGGAGTTGTTAACTTTGTAATGTTCTTCCTATCTATCAAGTCTAAAGCATGTAACAGTGGCTGGTGGAATACAAAGTGTAACCTGATAAAAACAAAACGGATGCAGTGTCAAACCTCAGAAACCTCATTATCAAACACAAACACAAGATTTTTAGCAGAGATTAATAATTTTAAAAAACCTTCAAAAGTTATGCTTTTCGTTTACACATTCATGCATCGCAGACACATGCCATACATTCAGCGCATTTCATACACCTTTGTACGAGTTCCTCTCAAATTTCCGACAGTCGCTGATGTCACCTTTTACAGTGAGTCATCGGGAGTTTCACTTTAATGAAACCCTCATCCTATGATCATGGGAAAACAAGGAGACTAACCACAAACTAATTATTATATAATCAACTGGTTGCAAATCGATACTTACGCGGAAAGTATTTCATCTGTCACTGAAAAGACAAACAAAACAACGGGAGAAATGAAACTTTATTCAGTGAAACTATGAGTAGACAGAGTGTGTCTAGAAATCAATTTAAAAAGGGCAAGACGCTAGTATTTGATAAGCCATGGCTAAGATGATCAGGGACTTTCTTCAATGATATCTTAACTTCCACACACACACACACACACACAAAAAAAGATGAAAAATGAAACACTCACGATGACCATGCTCCTCTTTTGCTAGGCGAACTTCGGAAAATAGTTGGTCTACAACATGCCGAAGTGACAAAGCCATTCAAATGAAATAATTGTGAGTTTGACAACTCTGACGAGCTCTTAGTCTGCCATGGTTATCTTGCTGGTAGTCTCGTACCCAGGATCTCACCTGAAAGGCATTTGCTCCAGACCCCGCATTCTGAAGAGCAGTAGCAAATCCAGGGGGAGAGTGTGGGGGTCCTTACCTCCTAGCTATCAGACGTACGCGGATTTTTATTACTAAAATCCTCTCACTGAAAGAATCAAATGTTAAATACCCACCTTGAAATATTTAGAATTTACTTATCTTGGAAAATTATTTGACTTATAACTTTGACTTCATTGATGAATTACCTAAGATTGGGAATAAAGGACACTGCCATTAGTTCAGCAACCTGACAGGGTTGTGCAAAAGGGGAGTAATGTGTCAGCAGCTCATTAGCATTATAACACACACATGAAAAAATTAACATGATTTTCATTTTGCATTTAATTGATATAGATAAGAAACTAGAAATTCTTGAACAAAGAATACCAAGTTTGAGATCATTCTAACCTGAAATCCATTTTAACTTACAATGGAAATATCATTTGTATGAAATGGACCATTTTTATTAATTTTTCAGACAAATGATGAAATTTCAATAGGGTAATTTAATATTATCGACTATGTTGATAATGTTAATTGGCCACTGTAAAGAGTTACAAAGCCAAGGTTTTGAACATTAACCCTTTGTCTGTGCTCTACCAGAGGGCTAAAGCTTGAAACATCAGTTTCTTAACTCTTTACCGTGGCCAATGTACATTATCAATTCAGTTGATAATACTAAATTACCCTGTTACACTCTCACACTGATGCAGCACCACAGTTTCTATAGAAACTTGCCCCTTTATTGATGAAATTAAAAGTTTTCTTTATTTATTCATGCATTTCAGTTGATAGATGAAGAGTGTATTCAGTAAATAATTAATAAATCATTAATCTTTAAATGACTGGATCAAACTAAAACATACATTAGACCTATAAAATCTCCCAGTAGAGCCATCAACTCCATGCCTAATTTGCCATGGGTGATATCTAGTCAAACATCAAATCAAAAATCTACAGATAAAAATTATTCTAATTCTTAATAACATTCAAGGTTCACCCAAATAAAACTGTTTTACTTGAAGGTTAACCAAGTTTTAGGATTTGAGATCTGAATCTTGTCAACTAACTCCCGAGAAATTCCCCTCATCAGCATTTTTGGTACTGCATTCTTTTGTATGTGCGCATACCCATGGCCACCATACTTTACTAGGCGATGGCGAGTGTGTACATCATGTGCAATGACAATCTTATCTTCATAACCTTCTGAGGCCAAAAATTTAATATTCTGGATTCTCTGTGCATCACTGATGCCATCCACAGCATAGTTAGGCTGATAGTATGACAGTTCAATACCAAAAAAGTCATACTCCAGATAAATCCCAGTAGCTGCCAACTCCAGGAGTTTTTCTCGATCAAAAATAGTGCGATCAAGATGACTCATGACAGTTTTATTGATGTCTGCTCCAGCTTCTTGAAGAATTCTGACAATCTCCATGGGTGATGACTCATTACGTCCAGGGTGGATGATCAGAGGAGCACCAGTTGAAGTCTGTGCTGCGGCAGCTGCTAAGAGAGACCTCTTCTCTGTAGGCTCCAATGGCCAAGAGCAGCCGATTTCACCAATGACACCACACTTTATTGATGTATCACCAACACCTACAGTGAGTTCTTTGACCATGGTCTAGTAAGAAAGAGAAAAATAATTATTCATTGACTGTACAAAAACTGGATATCACCCGTTGAAATGACAAGTACTAAGAAAGAAAAAAAGGTGAAGGACTTCTCTCAAGATCTGACAAAACTTCTCTGTATTGAACATGTAGCTGATAAAAAGTGAATTAACCTTTGAAAGCTCTTCAACTGATGAAGACTTTACTTCTGCTGGAAGAGTGGAGTCTAAGTAGTAACCTGTTCCAGCAATAATATTCAGGCCAGTTGCCGATGCTGCTTTGGCAAGGTATTCCACATCCCTCACAATACCAACTGTAGTCACTTCGACAATACTCTGGCCACCCTCCTGCTTAAAATAGTTGAGTTCTGCCATAATATCATCAAAGGGCTCATCTCCAAGAGCCAAGTTTAGTTTATGGCTGTAGGGATTCTGCTGTATCCACCCAAGATTGGCCATAGTGAACTCTGAATTTGCCATTTTGTCTGCATCAGACTCCCTCCAGGGTGGTCTCAGGCAGCATTTGTAATCCATCTTGATGTGTTCATGGGTGAGGGTGCGGCCCAAGGCACTGGGTGGAATGGGACCAAGGACAGTTTGGATCTGGCCTGATGCCATCGTTTAACTTGCAAGAAAATCACAAATTAATAAGGTGGGTATATCTTGAAGAACGACTTTGATAGAGGGCAAGCAAAGAGGCATGGAGTTAGTCTTAAACCTATCACTCCTATGAGTCACCAAGACAGAATTTCTCCCTACATATCAATACAATATTAAGCAGAGTAGTGATGAGAACAAAGAAAATATCAGTTAGGAGATTAATTAGTAGTTGATCCAATAAAGAATTCTCCAAACCAACATCATAAGAATTGTATGGCAGACAGTAACAAAAATTACTACAGTTTTGTTGAGAGTGAAAGGGTTAAATGGATTTTAGTAGGTGTTGCGCCACTAATGCGTAACGGCTTCAAACCCTGACCCCTCCCCCGCTGCGTATGAGGCAAATCTGTTCATTTCCTCACCCATTTTAATACGACAAAGAAAAATGTGTGTTTGTGCCGATCAACCTGGGCCATGCCATGTCTAATGAACTTAGAGTGCATTGTGGTAAACAATTCCTTGCACCATTAGCACTGCACTGAACTGAGATTTGAGTTTTTCTCTTTCAAATCTTGATGCGTGATATGTTTAAAGCATTCGTGACGCGTGAATTTTTTTTTCAAATTCGTGCATGAAACGGGATCAGGACTTCCTGTATGCCACACTCCGGTAAGCGTTCGCACTTAAGTTCATTCGTTTAAACTTACGGAATGATGAAGCGATAGGTAATAAGGGTCAAAATGGAATCATGCTGGATGGTGAGGGTCGCACTCAAAAACGCTGAAATTCATTACTAGCTAGAGATGTTCTCTTCGTCGCTTCGTATTTCCTCGAAATATCTCTTGTCCTAGCTCTTCGAAGCCTCAGCACCCCAAAAAATGGCCATTCTCGGAGAAAAATGTACCTAAAAAAAAACGATCACTAACCTTAGTAAATTTCCCGTAAGTAAGTTCTTAGCAAATTAGCGTAGTGTCTTACATGTCTTGCTAGAGCGTGACGATACAGTAAGAAACAACCCTCCTCCCCTCTCTCCCCACTCTCCACAACGCATTACAGATGCGCAGTAGCTTCTCTGAGCGACATCGGAAAAATGGCGGGGAGTTACTACATCACGGGCGACGAGCGGGGATAGAAAAAAAGACCCAAATACGAGTGGTCAGCGGTGAAACAACTTTCATAATTCATATATAGACAGATCATTTGTAGTATCAGGAAACAATCGTGTTGTAAAGCCGAAGTGTAAACAGTTTACTTCGCTAAATAAAATGTTCAGCAATTCAAAAGTGTTGATTGTACATATATATTTTACTGCTTTAATAAACAATGAAGGCATCGGTGGCATCCGAAAGGTACCAAGAAGAATTAAATGTACGTTTTGTAGTTGCAGAAAACAATCGTGTTGTAAAGCCGAAATGTTACCAAGTTACACTTCGCTACTTAAAAAGTTAAGCAATTTTCCTCAAGCTTTAACTGGAACAATACTTTTAATGCTCTATTAACCAACGGAGGCATCGGGAAAGGCATTGGTGACACCGGGAAAGGCATCAAGAAGAATGATATTCACGTTATGTAACTTGTTGTGTGACGAAAAAAAACGTATTTTGACTTGTTCAAAGCATTAATCACAGTTGGCTTCCTTTTCACTTGAATTTTGTATCCACAGCCTAAGATGAGAAATTTAAAATTTCTATCAGCTGAAGTTCTTTTACTGCATATTATATCTATTCAATCGCCCCCAATTCACGTGGATAAAAGGCAAGTAGGAAAACACTGAGCTTCGAGAAACAGCCATGTTAAGGCTAATGTATTTACCATTCCTTAAATATTTACAATCAAGACCAGTCGTTTAGGAGACCCTTTCTCAAAAGATCCACACGTGCAAATAATGCTGTTTTCCGTTCGAAATGTTTTTCTTCCTATTCAATTGAACAACTGACTTAGCGTTTAAGCCGAGAAAAAAATCACAAAGTTTGAATTCTGGGATGTTGTCCACTGTTGGCTCCATCAAGTTACGATTCTGAAAATGGCGGCCAAATTTGATTGATATTTGCGACAAAAACATTGAGGACCTGATCTGACCATAAATTAAATTCCCGAAATCAGACTCCGAAGTCCAAAACTAAAAAAAGTTCTCAACACTTTTGAAAAATTTCTTTTGAGTAAAAAATGACTTTTCAACAAGGACAAGGATAATGTTGATGTTTTTTGCGCAAAAGGTGGTTTGAAACGACTGGTAGCTCTTATCCAACTGCCGAATAAAACAATCGCTGACATGGCGTTAAGTGTGCTGGCCAATTGTGCTCGTCAGAAACTAAGCAGAAGAGAAGTAAGTTACCGTAGGGTCGAAATTGCGTACAAAAGTTCTCTTTTAGCTAATTCTATCGCGTCTCGTCTGTTTTGTAGATAAGGAGACTGGATGGAATAGCAGTTCTTGGTGAGTACATACAAAATCCAACTCTTTGTGATCTACTGTTCTCCTAAAAAACCCCATATACATAGTTGCTTTGGAAAAACAAATCTTGGAAGTATTTCCATGTAACTACATGATATTCTGAAACAAAGGCGTAGTCCCATACTAAATCTATTGTGTTGGCATTGTTTTCTTTATCTAAGACTTAACCCTTTAACTCCCAGGAGTGATTAACATGTAACTTCTCCCTATAATATCCATACCTTATCTAGTAAAGAGATAATGAGAATTCTCAAACTTATCAGGTACAGGTTTTTTTTGTCCTGATCTAACACCAAATTCTCATAACTAAGTTACAGGGAAATGTGTAGCAGCTAGAAGGGAGAATTTACAATCAGATCTTGGGAGTTAAAGGAGTAATGGTTTGCATCATGTAGTATGGAGCTGTGCAGAATTCGAAATCTTGCCAAAATCTTTCTTATCAAAGATCATGCAGATTGTTTAGAGGTGTGCGTACAGATATTTTTCCTCTTGCTAGACAGTCTGGAGATTGGCCTTTTACAAAGACCTTGCGGTATTTACATGTAACTAAAATTAACTTTAGCCTTTATTTTGGCGGGAAAGCATGCAAGAAGATTTGCCAGTGGACTTCATCTGTTCTAAGTTCAGTGATCAGTTTCCCAGAATGAAGCTGAACTAAAGCTGCAAGCTTCAAGGAATGGGCAACATTGTAGGGCAAATAAACATGCATGATGGAGGTTATCCTGTTAGCTGTCGCTTTAATATATAGTTGACTCCCACTCCTGTAGCAACTTGGACCTTCATGGGAAATTGAAAGTGGTTTGAGTTATTGGGAGGTTTTTAAACTTTTATTTATTACTACAGAAGCATGAAGTTCAAGGTAGCTAGGGTTACTGATTTAGAGATAAAGTATATTTTTTTCTTCTTTTATATTCCCTCAGCTGAAGTTCTAAAGAACAATGTGAAAACCAGCATTTTAAACAGGACATCTAGAGCATTAGCCAACATGGCAGAAGATGAGCTTAGTGTACAGGTCATGGAGGAGCTTGGAGTTATTCATGAACTTGTTAAGCTTTTAACAAAGACATCTGACAGTGATTGCCAAGAGTCCATCATAAGAGCATTGAGGATGGTGTGCACAAATCCAGCTAGAAAACAGGCCATAGTGGATTTAGATGCTGTTAAAACCATCATGGAAATCTTGCAGTCCCAGAAGCCTTCACTTGTGAATTGCTGCATAAAAACTGTAGCAGAGCTTACCAAGGAATGTAGTAAGGAATTTGCTCAGCAAGTTCAAGATTGTGGTAGTGTCAAATACATTGTTAAGCTAGCTAACAGTGAACTTTTACAAGTGAGGAACTCAGCCACTCTGTCTTTAGCAAACTTAGCCCATCATGCTCATGTGCGTGTTTGTATAGGCAGTGAAGGTGGGATAGAGGCTTTGACTAAGCAACTCAAAAGAGATGAGCTGGGGCATGTTACTGTCAAGGCAATTGAAGGACTCTGCTATTGTTGCAGAGAAGGCATCAATCGTGTAAGGGTTCGTGATTCTTCAGCATTGGAACTATTATTGAAGATTTTGTTGTCAGGAAAATGGTTGTCTCTTGAGAAAAAGATTGTTTTTGCATTTGCACAGTATTGTCACAGCGAAAAAGACTTGGAAATTCTCCTTAATGGAGAATTAGTTCCTGGTCTAATTAATCATCTTAACAGGATTATACATCAAATTCAATCCAGAAGTGACTTTGAAGATCATGATGATGGTTTTACAGATCACCAATCATTTACAGCAGACTTTTATACAGATTACTCAATGAGGACAAACACAGTAAGAAGCTCTTTTTCTGATGTTAGTGCAGAGGCACTGAAGGATGAAACTTTCCTCAAGAAGCTGGAAGAAACAGCAAGGGAGGTCACCGACACTAAAGTGACAGGGCGACTTTCAAAGTTCAAAAGGAGACTCAAACTAAAGCCATCACCCATTCCGACTACCCCTCCTCCAGGTGTGTGTACCATAGGACAGTCTGTGTTCAGTTTTGCTGCCAGACAGACTGATACAACGACATTGGTGTCAGTATGCACCTTTTCTCGCAGTGTTTCATCTCTTGCATCCTCCTGGCATGACCTTGCAACATTGTCAACAGCAAGTTGCCCGAGAGTGTTGTCATCACATCAAGATTTTTCAAAAACACAGAGAGAATGTGATTTATGTGAACCAACCCTAGGTCTGACTTGTGATGATCCTAATTCAATGTGCACTGAAAATCAAACCCAGGTAATGCCAGGTTCTCCAGTTGGCCAAAGAAATTTGTTGACCCTACCTCTTAGTTATAGTAATGTTCAAGATGAACCTGTGTTAGTCTCTCCTCTGTCGCCAAAGGTTCAGTCAGGTCTACATCATCGCAGTTTTGGCCAGAGTGCTCTTACCTTACTATTGCGTATTGCACACATGACCAATCCAAGCACTCATCTTGTTAACAAGCCTTGCATTCAAGCTTTGCTGGATTATCTGCGGTTGGTGGACAATCCTAACCCCAAGTGTGCACGTATCCTAAATCTTCTGGCAGAAAATGCACTTTGTTTCAGAGATTTAATAGTGCATGGAGCTGTGGTTGCCATTCATCACCAGTTATGCTTCATGAATTGTGAATATCAGAAGCTTCATGATCCTGAATTAAATGCCCATTCATCTGAGGAACAGAGATTGCCAACACCCTTCAGAAAAAGATTCAGCAGCCAAAATTCTGAAGACAGTGTATTTAAACCAAAGGACAAGATCAACCCTAATGCAATGTACCAGTCTGTGTCCTCAGTAACCCAAAGCTATTGTCAGGAAACGGGAAAACATTTATTAGAGATCCTTTCAAACCAAGCACAAACCCTCTGTGGAAAGGGTGAGATTGAAAACTTACTTCTGACAGGATCAAAGGAAGAGCATAAAGAATGTGTGCTTGCTCTGCCACTCCTGTGCAGGTATTTAGTTCCACATTTTGTTTATGTTAAACAACATCCTTGCCTCATCAAAGAGATTTAATTTTGGATTATGTTTGTGTTCATGAACTAAATGTATGTTCACCTTTTGTTGAGACATTTTTAGAAACACTTTCCTGCACACAGGGGCTAGTGACATAAAGCTGTGCCTAGGAATGGCCTTCTTAGAGAATCCTGTGAAAGTAAACGTATGGGTGTTCAGCTAGATGTAATCTAAGGGTCCTTTGCATTTTGTTATTACATGGTATGCCTTTTTCCATACCAGATTACAAATTATTTCCCATATCACTGACATCCTCAGGGAGGCCACTTTAATCAATTAGGCCCTGATTTTCTATATACAGTTACACATACCTATATACATAAATAAAATATGTCCCATTGGGTGTTTTGCTCTTTTGCCCCCCCTCCCTCCCTCCTCCTCAGCATGGCCTATTGAACCACATAAACCAGCAAATTGTGTCCACCATGTTTACTTCTCAAATATGTTGTTTGAAGCACTTGCCCACCTGAAGGAAAACTTACTACTTTTGTTAAATGGCATGAACTCAAATGCCACCACAGGATATTTTAGGGAACAAAAAAAACAACAACAACATTTAAAAGCTATGTTGTCATTTTTCTAGGACCACTAAACTGAGACAGCAAATGTTTGTGGAAAGGAAAGGCTTAAAAATGCTGTGTGATCTTTTCAAATCACTCTCTTCAACTGGTGAGACCTTTCCAATTGCAGTGGAATCTGTGATAGTTTTGGCAAATGAGTTACAAGTAATATTCCCTGGTAATGTTACCAGGATGAAAAGTGAAGGTATTTCTAAAGATCTGACTTCATCAACCATTGAAGAGTCAAACCCAGATGCATCTGATGATCTGCACCAAATGAAAAAGCTGAAAAAGGAGCTCAGCAACATCCAGGCTCTTTCCTCAAGTGATGAGCAAGATTGTTCCTCGTGCCTGTACCACACAAATTCCTTTGGTCCTCCTGATATTATATTTGTGATGGAAAAGGGGGATAAAGTTGTAGCACACAAGCTACTTATCAAATCAGCCTCTGATGTTTTCACTGCCATGTTGTCAGAACATTTCTTAGAATCAACACAGTCTAAAATCTCTCTTCAAGACATTTCTGAGGATGTCTTTGAATTTGCATTACATCACATGTATGGATGCAAGATCACTCCAAATGAAGAGATCTCTAGTGAAATGATTTCTTCTCAATCATGTTGTGAGGTGTTAAGAAAAAAAGTCATAGAAATTCAAGTGAATGACAATGAATTACAGTTCTATTTGGATCTGTTAACACTTGCTGACAGGTTTTTGTTGGACAGACTGAGAACTCTTTGTGAAAAATTTCTTGTAAATCTTATTGATGCTTCCACAGTGCTGCAAATTTACAATTATGGTTATCGAATTAATTCTCCAAAGTTGTGTTTGCTTTGTCTCACATACCTTCTAACCATTAACCTCTCAAATTTGCCAAACCATCTGTATTTGTTCAAAGAACTGTTCATTAGTAACGAACGAGGACATCTTGCAGAACAATTGTATGAAATACTCCATTCTCATTTAAAATGTTAACGTACAGCCAGTACTGGTACCAGGCAATTTACCTTAGATAATTTATGCACAAGAACCTCACTTAGTAAAAGTGGTATCTCAATCAAACTTGTGTGTTTATCAATGCAGCGCTTCAACATCCTTCCCCCTGGCATTTGAACTTTCGAAGATTGTTTTGCTCATATGCCCACCCGCTAGGCAAAAATTGCTTTGAAGTACCAGATTTGACGGTTAATTTTTGTAAAAGGTAAAATCAGCGACCATTAGTTTCTATGCTATAACTAAGCAGAAAAACCTAGCCCTTGTAGACCTTTTCCTCTGAGCCATTTTCTAACAAAGACAACTTATCTATTTAACAAATAGATTCCAAGTTGCCGTGCATTTGTTCAGTAATAGATCACAGATGACGCCAAAATGTGGTAAGAACAAAAAACAGTGGCACATGAGGCACAGCCGAAATGGATTTTTGATAGATGTAAAGGTGTTCACATCCTTGATGGCTCCCAATTCATATCAATTGATGATTCATTCGTAAGGTTATCATAACTATTTTCTTGTTCGTACAAGCACTCCAAAGTTCAGTTAAAACTGCATGTGACAAACTGCACCATTACAATCTTCCCAAGGAATCATCTTAATGTAATCAGAATCAGGAGGCCGGGAGCATAAACTTGTTGGTGGAATCCACCTACAGCTGTATTAGAAATTATAAATTTGTCTCTACATAAACCCACAATGAGCACTTATTTAAAAGATATTTAACAGGATTAATATACATTATCTTGTAAGTTCAGACTTAATGAGATAATAAATATTTATAGAGTCAAGTAGTTTGAATTTGAAGTGATTGGTATTTCATATGGCAAGCAGAGCAGGTGTTCCATTCACCCCTCAACTCTCAAGATGTGATTGTTAATTCTCTCCGCCTTGATGCTACATGTTTCCTTTTAAATGAGTTACAAGAATTTGGTGTTAGATCAAGATAACTTCTACCTGATTAGTTGAATATTCTCAGTTCCTGTGCTGGATAATGGCTGGATATTATAAGGATAAGTTATGTGTCAATCACTTCTGGGAGCTTAAGGGTTAACCCAGCAAATGAGTAGGATCAGTGTGCACATGGATCTTGCTCATGATCATTCCAAACACCTACAATGCAGGCTACATTTTAGAGAGAAAATATTATCAGGTCTATGAATTCTCAGGTACAGTTGAGAGTAAAAACATGGGACAGTATTTTAAGTCTTGGTAAAACATCTCCAGCAATGGCTGACAATTTGACTGAGGCTATCTTATCAGCCCTTGTTGCACCAATATTCAAAATTGCTATAGGCTTACTTTGCCGCCAGGCAGCATCAGCAAAGCGATATGACGAATACACTTCAACTGAAGATCCTATGATTAAAACTGAATCAGATTCCTGTAATCGTTCTTGAATAAATGACACCATTGGTTTAGGTACTGAGTCACCAAAAAATACAACATGAGGCTTAAGTATGCCACCACAGTTAACACAAGTGGGAACAGCAAAATCCTTGACTTCATCATCTGAGAGAAAGGTGTCTCCATCAGGTGCATGCCCACTTGCAGTAGCCTCCCAAAAGGGATTAAGTTCTTTCATTCTTTGTTGGAGATCGTCCCTCAAAGTCAGCTCTTTACACCCAAGGCAAACAACCCTGAAAGGTTAGAGATTTACTCCTAGTGACAAGGTATGACAAGCTTATAAACGTTGTTGATTGCAACTGAGTTGAGTGGAAGGTACTTAAAGTCACTTCCAGGCATTTCACTCACTTCAATCTGAAGTACCAAGGACACATATTTAGGAAAGCAACCCTGACTTCCTATAACTGACTTAATTATGAACTTAGTAATGGTAATAGGACTGAGTGGAGTCCAATTTGGTTTGTAATCATACGAGTGATTAAAAAATTGGACAACCATGCATCAGCAGTGTGACTTGTTTATCTGGAGAAACAATTTCCAAGAAAAGACAAATAGCCAAGTTATGAAAGAAGGGGAAAATTTGTATTAAAATACTGACAAAGGAGGTGTAAATTGCTTTATGGTTGTAATTAGTTGATTAAACTACAACTTTGAATGTAATCGATTGATTTAAACCACAAATTTGAATGTGATTGGCTTATTTAACTGTCTGATAAACAAACTGATAACAACTTGGCAAGTAAATTTGGTGGAAATTAGGAGTTTTTGAAACTAATCACAATTGAGGAAATTGTAATTTTTATGATTAAGTTAATTATTCAGTGAATTTATTAATAACTGACTAGATATTGACTGACTGCCTGTTTTGACTGGCTGACTGACCGATTGTCCGACTGATTGCTTGATTCAAGCACCTGTTTGACTGACCAACTAGTTGTTTAGATCCAACTGGCTGACAAAGTTACTAACCAACAAAGGGAATCATGGAATCTTTAACTGACTGACCGACTGCCTCTTTGACTGACTGATTGACTAACTGCAATTATTGACCAACGGATAAATTGATCTGTTGGTTGATTGATGTGCTGACTGACTGACTGACTGGTTGATTGCCTAAGTGAATCAGACTGCTAAACAGCCATACACTACCTGTGTGCACAACCATGAAGCTCTGAGATTCTTTGAGAACCAGCTTTGGTGTGCAGAGCGTCGACATTTTGCGTCACCAGCCAATGTATTTTGCCTATTTTCTCTAGCTCTGCCAGGGCAAAATGGCCTGTATTCGGCTCTCTTGTTGAAAACTCATCCCAGCCAACATAGTTCCTTGCCCAGTACCTCTTTCTATTTGCGGCGCTGTTTAGAAAGTCGGCATACTGAATGGGTCGGCTCTCGCTGATTGCATACAAACCAACATCTTCGGAACGATAATCCCTGATCCCAGATTCCGTAGAAATACCCGCTCCGGTTATTACGAAAAGGCGTCGACTGCTCTCAATATGATGGTCGATTTTCCTTACAACTTCTTCAAGTTCTTGATCAGTCCTTTCACATTTGGGTACATAAAGCCTATGGACTGACCTTCGACACGATCGAAACGGCTTTAGATTAAAGAAAAATCTACAAAATATTTTGGAAGATTGCATGTTCGAGTCATCAATCACGCAACCTATTGTTGTTTTAGAGTGAATTTTACCGGGAGTGCCTGGTAACTAGTGACTCGATAAAAATGGCGACTTTGCCAAGTTGACAACTATTGCGATTGCACCAGCAGTATGTAATATTTATACTGAATGATTCACCACTTTATAGAGTTTCGTCGTTTTACGGGTTTACAGGGGTAGGAGGAAATATTCACATAGGGAACAAGTCGCCTGCGAAGGATTATTGGTATCTACCCAAGTTAGACATCGATAACTACTGTGACTGACTGGTGACTTCGTACATCGCCGTCGCTACCATGTCGAACTCCATGGAAAGCTCAATTGCGAACAATGCGTCTATAAAAGACGCTATGGTTCTCTTATGTCCTATCCAAAGCCCTAAAGTGGTATGATACTTGTCGAAAATTTTATGTCCTTTGTCATTTCTATTAACTCAGCATGAATTGGTATGTTAAACTTTGTCGTAAAATTAAAACCAATTTTTTTCAAAGGTGTAACACGAGTGCAAAACAAATAGCAATGCTTTCAAAATTTTGTCTGTCTTGTCATTAACAAGTAATAACAGGATTTTTTGCAATGTTTGGTGTAATAGCTTGTAAATTTTTCCCATACTATTGTACAAAACAAAGCTGTGACAAATCATTGGTGCTAACACTAAATTGCTTAAAATCAATATTTTTAGCCATTGTTTTCTTTAACCGAGAGCTCCACACATAATGAAACAGGGGGCTTTGTGGAAATCTTGCCATGTACTACACTGAAAGCAGTTTAATTAGAGTTAAGGGGTTAAGTTTCCAAAGAATTTGGGGTGCTATGTCAGTGGAAGAGTATAACAGTATCATCAACTGTGCGAATAATGTTGGTTGGCCATCATGCAAATGGTGAAGCTTATTTCAAAACAACAAAGCTGAAACCCATTTTTGAGTCTACTTTATTAGTTGATCATCATCAATTAGCAAATGGTGAAGGGACTGATCACTGATCTGATACCTTGCTAAGGGGGGGGGGGGTAACTTCAGGAACTCTTGTTAAGGACATGCTTCCTGATTCTTGCATCAATTCAAAATATTTTATTTTCCACACCTGTCTCCTGAATTGATGTCTTAAATCTACACGTGATTATTCAGACCTGGGTTCTGAAAGTTATAGATGGTTTTAAGTAGTATTATGTGAAGGATCACTAAACTCTCTTTAGTGTTGAACAGAGAGTAGAAAAAATGTGGAGAAAATTGGTAAAACAGTGAACCTCTTTAGTCTAATAATTGCTCAAACAATCATTTTGAGTGATGTGATGTATTTTGAAAGACCTACTTTTTTATTTTATAGAAAAAGGAAATTGCTATTACTTACATTGTGACCTCAGGGCTAAGGTTTGTAACTACTTTTTATTTGGTGTGACTTACAGTGTTATCCCTTTCAGGCAGTAAATGGTAAAATTTACTGTCTGTAGTTGACAACTGTTCACCTAAGTGGAGGTTACTAGTGGTAGATGTGTACTGTGGTGTAAAGCGGCAAAGTATATATCCACCACTAGTCACCAACACTGAGGTGCATGGTTGTTGTAGTATAATTTTTTATACTAAAACAGTGAGATAATATAGCACAAAAAGAATGATTTAAACTCATTCATTCCTGCAATGATTACAATATTTTTTAGCGCAAATCCTGCAAGAGTTGTAATAGCAAAGGATATTCTGAGTTTCATTAGCCAATCAGAGTGCACCTTCAATGCTATCCACTTTAATAGTATATATACTAATACCACTGATATTACCCCCATAAATTACTTGGAATTCCTGAAACTTCAACTGGTAAAATGGATTGCTGTACCACTTTGAAATTCCTTTTACCTGTTATGCTTAAAAATAGAAAGACATTGGACTTAAAATGATTGTACTTGTAGATGTGCAGTAGAGATATCTGAATTTGTTTAGGGCAATGTTGTCCTTATTGATTGCTTCAATGATCTGCCTTAGAAAGAATTCAAATATTTTTATTCAAGCAGATTTAATTAAAACTCATTTCCTGTGGCTCTGACATTTTTTCTTGTAACTTTGCATTTTAAGCATCCTTGGAGCTAGCTCAGTGATCATTTTTTCAGTCTGGAAAAGGATTGTAAGAAGTCCAGAGGTATGTGAAAGTCTTTTATCACTGAGTTGGTCAAAAGACTATCAGGACTTTGAACTGATTTGGACATGTCCATATCCAGCAATGAATTAAATTTAATTATGGGGAAAAGGAAAAAAGCCTCAATTGCTTGGCTTTCATTGCAAAGGTAATGTTTGTTACCTCTGTCAGCCTCCTAGGTCAAATGAACAGAACTGAAGGTAAATGCTCAACAAAATAAACCAATTTATGTTTTGTTTTTGTCAGTTAGTGCTCATACACTCAACAAGCTGTTGACATCATTTTTGACAACTGGGAGTGAGAGCATTTTAGAACACATCATTGATACCTTTGCTCAAAATGAAGCTCCTGTAGTATAAACAGAATTTTTTCCAAAATTATGCAAAGGAAAAATCTCTGGTTTTTATCTAATTGGCTGTGCTGATTGCTATTTATTGTGTGGTAGATAATGAGAAAAGGTGGTAACCTAACAGTGTGCTATTGTTAACAAAATGAGATAGAAACAAGCCTGTCTTATTTCTAAGTTTAGAACAACTTGTGGTTTTATACTATAAAACAGTGAGATTGGTTGCTCTCAATTTCTCTCCATTATAATTGATTTGGGGTTTTCCCACACTATCTATCCTGTTATCAAAATCTCAAGCCAATAATCCAGCTAATTGGTAAAATTATGATATTCAATGTTTGTTTCTTCAAAAGTTGATTTTTTTTTCATTTTCTAGGTGCACCCTTTGTTTCACTTAGCCTTGGCAGATCTGATTTTAGCTTCTCTGTGGTTTGCTGGGGCTTGTCGTTGGTTTCACGATGACACTTCTGCATGTTTTTTATTAGATGTAATAGGAGAGGTAAGTTGTGTAATTTTTGCAAATAGCGTGATCTGACCCTCTGAATCCTAACATAGCAGACAAGTGATGAGAATAAAGAATAATTTAATATCAATTTAGTAGTCGATCCAACACCAAATTCTCCACATCTTTCATGAGAATGGTAAAGCAGACAGTACAGAGAATTTATTACCAATGAGATCTTGGGAGTGGAAGGGCAAAGGCCAATAAAAAGGTTATTATTTTGACCAGAGTAACTGCAGGCGACATGTTATCAAGTTGCCGGCAGAACTCGGGCAGTCACCGTCTTCTTTTGAAATCACTGCATCAGTATGCATAATCTCCATACTAACTAGGCTTGGGCCGGGCCAATTTTGTCCTCACGAAGAAAATATTACGCAACAGCGAAAGCTTAGCCACAATCAAACAAAGACTCACTTTTCTCCACCGATGTTCAGCACTCAACATCTTCCCGACGACCATCGAAAATATCAAAGTCAACTTCGATCATGGAATCAAGTCCCTCGAGGAG